TATCCCTGTCCTCCGGTGAGTTCCCCCTGTCCTTCAAGTTGTCCCACGTCAGTCCGCTCTTCAAGAGTGGAGACCCAACTTTGCCAAAGAACTACCGCCCTGTGTCACTGCTCCCAGTTATCTCCCGCATCACAGAAGCATTTGTAAAAAATCAGATCACGCAGTACTTGGACTCCAAGCAACTTCTTCCGCCTACTCAGTTCGCCTACCGAAAGCTTCACTCCACAGAAGATGCCTTAACGTATGCTGTTGATCGATGGCAAATGGCACGGGCAGAGCGCAAGTATACCGGCATCGTGTTTGTCGACATGTCAAAGGCCTTTGACCGCGTCAGGCATGAGCGACTCATTACTGAACTGTTTAAGCTAGGTATCTCGGGAACTGCACTCAACTGGTTCTGCAGTTACCTGTCTGGCCGGACACAGCAGATCAAATTGCAGGATCAGTTGTCAGGGACTGTTCCTTGCTCTCGCGGTGTTCCGCAGGGCAGTGTCTTAGGCCCACTCCTGTTCGTAATTTACACTGCTGACGTCAAGTCAACGATGCCTCCGGATGTGGCAGATCAGGAATTCGCTGATGACATCGCTCTCGATTGCTCCAACGCGTGTCCCAAGCAAGTCTGCGAGTCTCTGTCGTCTGCAGTGACCAACCTCGCCAAGTGGCTAGATGACATCGGCCTACTTCTGAATGCCCAGAAAACCCAAGTTCTGTTTGTAAAGCCAAGAGGCGGTGCTGATGTTCAAGAACATGTACGTTGTCGAGGACAACCCCTGGAAGCAACAACATCTGCGAAATACCTGGGTGTTGTAATCGACAATGACCTCTCCTGGCAGCCACATATCAGCCATGTAACACGCAAGATCGGGCCAGTAATTGGACAGCTATGGCGACACGGCAGGTCCCTGAGCCTAAGAGCACGCCAAGTCTGGTATGTCAGCATGATACAGGCTCATCTGTCCTATGGATCCAACTGTTTCTTCTCCAGTCTTTCCAAGCAGCTCCTGGATAAACTCCACCGCCTGTCAAAATCCGGTGTCAGAGCGACCCTGCAGCAAAGGACTCTGGTCCCGACTGCCCCCCTTCTGGAGCTACTGGGTGTACCAAGCTTGCCACAGCTTCTCTTCCAGAAGCTTGCCATCTTCGTTTTCAAATGTTTAAATGACAAGACAAGTCCCCTGTTAAAGAATCTGTTCGTGCCGATCAACGACCCTGCCACACCTCAGCTGAGGACGACACGGGGTCAAGTGTCAAGCCTGCTGAGAGTTCCGTTCCTCCCTGGTCCTGCTGGACATCGTTCAATTCAGTTTGTTAGCAGCATTCTGTGGAAAGCTCTCCCAGTTGCAGTCCGTACGGAAGGTGATTGGCAGACATTTAAAGCTCTAGCCACGGCTCTCGACTTGCCCAGCCTCTACCCATATTAACATTCTGTGTACCTAACTTCATGTCGAAATCCATTTTAACAATCCGCATATCTCTCCTCCCCCCCCCCCCCCCCTCTCTCTCTCTGTGTCTCTGACACACACACACACACTCTCTCTCTCTCTCTCTCTCTCTCTCTCTCTCTCTCTCTCTCTCTCTCTCTCTCTCTCTCTCTCTCTCTCTCTCTCTCCCTCTATCTATCTATCTCTCTTTCTGTTGTTATTATTGTTGTTGTTGTTGTTGTTGTTGTTGTTGTTGTTGTTGTTGTTGTTGTTGTTGTCGTTGTTGTTGTTGTTGTTCTTGTTCTTGTTCTTGTTCTTGTTGTTGGTCTTGTTGTTGTTGCTGCTGCTGCTGCTGTCGTTGTTGTTGTTGCTGTTGCTGTTGGTCAAATTGTGACAGCTTGTACAATTCCCTGTCCAGGTAGTAAAGCCGTCTCTCTTCTCTCTCTCTCTCTCTCTCTCTCTCTCTCTCTCTCTCTCTCTCTCTCTCTCTCTCTCTCTCTCTCTCTCTCTCTCTCTCTCTCTCTCTTGTTGTTGTTGCTGCTGCTGTGGTGTTGCTGTTGTTGTTGGTCTGTTGTTGTTGTCGCTGTCGCTGTTGTTGTTGTCGTTGCTGTTGTTGTTGTCGCTGTCGCTGTTGTTGTTGTCGTTGCTGTTGTTGTTGGTCATTTTGTAAGAGCTTGGACAGTTCACTTGTCCAGGCAATAAAGCAGTCTCTCTCTCTATCTCTCTCTCTCTATCTATCTATATCTCTCTCTCTCTCTATCTATCTCTATCTCGAATCTATCTCTCCTCTCTCATCATGCATGCGTCACACTCTCATGGAATTTTTTTTTTTTTTTTAATTTTTTTTTTTTAATATATAAGATTGCATGCTTCACACTCTCATGTAATATTTCTTTCCTTTCTTCGTCTTTTTGTGAGAGCTTGGACAATCCACTTGTCCAGGCAAGAAGGCAGCAATGCCTGTTCATTCTGGCGAAGTAAAATAAAATATACCAACCAACCAACCAACCAAATCCAATTGAGTGAGTCAGCTTTGCGTCCTCAACCAGTGAAGATTCGCAGGTATAGGGCTGCACGGCGCCCCGGCACGTACTTGACTCAGTCGATCGGATTTCATGGACCAGCACTGTACATGTGCCGGTAGTGGTAACGTTAGCTTCTTCATGACGTATTCTTCTTTTTGCCAAGCGGCTTATGCTGGGACTAGCAGCAATCTCATTCGGAATAGGTACGACTACGAGTCGTTCCGGCAACATCCAGCCCATGGTGTATGCGTTTTTCTTGGATCAATAATTCAACGATAGTCGGAGACACAGAGCCCTTTCCTTGAAAACAATGGGAAAAACTGGTGCGTTCTTGCTCCGTTGAAATGATTACACGGGTATTCATAGAGACCGTGAACGCACCAAGTTTTGCTAAACCTACATGTACATGTATGTATCAACAGCCTTTTATCGAAGACTAGTTCCAATGCCGGGACCCCTCAAATTTTCAGTACAGAATTTTAACTTTGAAGGGAGTTCTGTGGCTGCGAAAATGGAGCGAGCCACCATTTTATGATGGTTAGCACGTCTTGGCTATTCCAACAACTACACACACTATACCGGTATTTTGGGTCCTGTTGATATTGCTGTTGTAGACTTCAAGTAATGACTGTTTGGGTACTTGAGTAACGACTGGTTACGTGTTCGCCAAAAAGAGATCATGTACGCGTAACTGGCCTACAGAATGTTGGTGTTTGATTCGCAAAAGTCTCGGCATTGTCGCTCGGAAAATGCACCTCTACGGGTATTTCAGCCTGCGTAGCGTTTCCGTCGTTCTGAGACTGCACAAGCGCGAAGCGCGACGGTCAGTTTAGTCTTCTGAACACCTTGACACGGCCTTGACAGGTTGTTTGCTCTGGCGGCTCGTTCTACGGACCGAGTACTGGTGATCAGACACACGGGCGTGTTCAACACGAATTATCACCGTCTCAACTGCTGTCAGGGCTAAATGCAATCCACACAAGCCTGAACAGCCTATTGTTACATGCCTAGTTTGGTGCCGACCAATCCAGGGGCTGGAGTTGATAGGACGATTGTTGCCCTATAGACAATACACTGTGACTTGCACTCACGAGTCTCAGGACGCAAGTGCGAATCTCAGGGTTGTATGAACGTGATGTGATTCGGAGCAGCATATGGCCAGTAAATGCTGCGATGACCAGCCCGAAGCACTGTGGCCTGTGACTGTGAGGCTGTGGTGGTATAGTCTCGAATGACGTAGGCGTCAATTCCGCACTCCTTTTTTAAAAGCAGGCTGTTTAGCGCGCTGGACAATTTCCCCTGCACGTCTGATGCATGAGTAGGAATAGTCCGCGTGTCGGTATACACTGTTGTGATGTCATTGCCCAGACGGCAAGTGTGGATAGGCACGTCCTCCAAACGGTTTCATTACTGGTTGCTGGAACAGAGAGCAAAGACCCCGTGCATGTGCGTGCACAGGAGAGCAATGCATCGACGCCATGGTTGGCACAAGCTAGCCGACCAGGGCTGTGCCACCACATGAGCCAACACATTAGCGAATAGCGTTGCTGAAGCCAGTCTCGGGGTTCATGCTGCATTCTATTGGAATTCGCGTGTAGCTAACAGCTACTTCGAAGTAGAAAGAATGAGGAGAATGTAGGCGACAAGACAATGGAGGCAAAGTGAGCAGGAGATAGAGGTGGCCCAGGTCTGGTCGGAAGCGAATCCTACATCCTCGCGGCGCTGCGGTCAACCCTCACTATCAATACGGCTGGATGGCAGTAGAGCAAATGCTGGGGTATTCAGGAGCCAGCAGGTACATGGATGATTCAATCTCTGCTGGTTTTAAACCTCAACACAGATGGTCGGAGACATAACAACGATCTCCTCTACAAGTACTGATCTCCTTTACGCATGAACACGTGGGTCTAGAGGACACGGGACGCGTACTGAAAACGCTTTTTGAAACAACTTCATTCTTGTATCAAGCAGTGAGGCTGACAGTAGCACCGCTTGCAGGAGCAATCGAGAACGATGCAGAACACCAGGGGAAGTAACGGTCTCCGCACCCTGACACTGCCATAGCCTAGGCATGCAGGAAATTTAGTACATCGTACCGTGGACAAGTCGAGAAGATAGATTTACCGCTGCATGACTACATCTGTTTGTCTGATGATTGGGTCAGCCATGAAACTCTGAGTGACAACGGAATTTGCCCAAGGTTTTCATTGTGTGCCTTTGTGTACATCAGTTGACTGTTCTTCCACCCATACGTGTTTGGTTTAGCGCTTTGTCTACGTGCTACGATCATGAAGCAGGCACTGATGATGGACATTGACGGCCGGCGGGGGTTTAAGAGTATGTACAGCAGGTCCGACGTGCACCGGACCAATGCTCGACCAAAACAACACACTGTACTGCGAGTGCGCCACATGGACCTAACCTCCTGGAAATATTCATGGTATTAATCAGTGTATGGTAGACCATGGCCATTGTCATGTTGTATTTCGATTGTGCAATACACAACAAACCAAGCGTGCAGCCCAGAGCAAATCCACTGTATGTTGTTTAACATTCGCCGCTTCTTTGCGCGCCGTCAAAGGCTTCGCGCTCGCCGAGTCATCGAACCACATCACAGCCTTTCAAACGTGGAGGCCGGAATGCTGTGCACCGAGTACTTGAAACAGCACATCCAGCAGTCGACACTCACCACAACCAGAAGAAGATCTTGCGGAAGCGTTGGTTTCTCTTTACTGACGAGGTACGAGTAAACAAAGAACCCACTCTCGTGTTTCTGTGGCTCTTTGAACAGCGTCGTTGGTAGCAGTCGCGTCGGATTTGATTTGCTGAGATCCATTGTACGCAATATTCCAATATGACCACTTATGTTCTACGTAAGTAAATGTATGTATGTACGGTGTACAGTTCGTATCACAATGAACTACATTTTATATAGTGAAACATCCGCGCGTGCGTGTAGTGCCTTTAACTTTAAGAATACTTTTTTTGAGTACCTTCCGTTTCCTTCTACCAGTCATTAGCCTGGATGTGTAATGTACAAGTACATTACACTGTACTGCGAACAAAACCTCAAATCGGCCAAATCCCGAATCAACAGAGGCACCATACTGTAGCATCAAAAGATAGTTGGGGTGTGAACCAGTAGCTCTGCGCAATGCTGCCACGTTCACAGCGCAGAGTTGATGAGTGCATGCTGAAACCCCGCTTGGAAACGGAAACTATTCTGGCCTTGTAGCAATCACGGGGCTTAAACCTCACCTTCGCGCTTCCGAATCAGAATGATCCATGGTGTTCCAAATAATGTATGCTTTTTTCCGCAAAATGGATCCTGCAGCTGCAGAAACACATCATGACCGGTTCCTGGAGAGATCAGGAAAGATGACTGCGTCACGAACAGAACTTCGTATCGGACAGTTCCTAATCCCCTTATCCATGTTCAAGCAGTTGGGCTTGTGTCAAAAACTTCCAAAAATGTCTTTCCTGGTCTGTATACTTCAGTATTTTAAATTCGTTTTTAGCACAAAATAATATTCTCCTGCTAAGCATAGTGATCGATTCAGTACTCACGAATGTGTGAGGGTGTGATTCGACCAACAAATCCACCCACACTGCTACAGAGTGTATGAGCACGCAGCAAGTCCTGCGTTTAGCGATCGACATAGCGACAGAACTTCCTTAAAAACGAAGGGCGCATGCAGTACAACAACACACAGCACATTTGCGCCATTTTCTGAGTGGCATGCTCTTCCTTAGGAAACGTTCCATTGATTTTTCACAATTGTCCTGTTGAAGTTGGTGCTACCAATCTTGCATATTGCCCTTGCCCATTAAATGCGAACATCGTTTGTTTATCTAAACTGGTTCAGCAGTGTTCGTCTGTACATGTACAATATACAATAGACTACATTAGGTGTGTTCTGTTTGGCTGTAACGAAGCGTCCTGTGAAATTCGTATCAGGTGTCAGCAGGCCTATCCCATCCGGCATCGCTTCGCTCCTATCACCAGCGGCGAGGGAAAACCGTGTGGTTTCAACTTTGTGCCTGAATCATGGACTCACAGTCCCTCTTTGCTGAATATCGGTACATAGGCCGCTGTGTAGACAATTCGGAACGTGTGCTAGGGATGATCCAGACATAGCACACGCCCGGTGTGAGCAGTGCCTGCTATATGTATGTAGGAGGACAATGCCAGAGGGTGGCAACGTCAAAAGGGTGAGATCCACGCTCAACTCTGTCCCCGGTGGAGAGAGGGTGATAATCGGGTGGGAAACGAGTCGGTGCAATGTACTTCAGGCGCAAAACGAATCCAGCCATCTCTACGTCACGACGGCAATTGACATCGGCTCTGCGGCGCTGCACTGAAACCTTCTTCTGGAGTGCGAATAGAACGGTGATACCACCCCAGTCCCAATGTGGTCATGGGAAGCGGTACTGGTCTTTTACACGAGCAGATAGGATGATGCGACGCACACGATGAAACTTGTTTTGTACTGTGCATGCGTGCCGGCGGAAGGAAGATGTAGAATAAGAATCACATGCCACGTCTATGCCAATCCGCGCTGCTGACCTGTGAGTGCAGTGAAGAGGCGATCAATACTGCTGCGATTTATTAGCACTTGAACCAGCCGCGGACGTTGTGCCAACTTTGTTCTGTATCGGTGCTGGAAGGAAGAGGTATGTCCATTCGTTTCTCCGTGTATAGAAGCCATGACTATGTACATGTTCAATGTCATGTACATGTACATACGTGTATATCCGTTACGTTATTTTAACCATTTTCATCTTGAAACCCAATATCCTGACATTCAGGCCGGCTGTCAAGTGCATCAAGCAAGAGCTTGGTTCTCCAAACGACGACACACCAGCAAAGGTTCAGCTAGAAGATCCATTGCATACATGTACATGTACCACTGCAGATTGTGTGCTTCCACTATCTACTGTTGTACATGTACGTAGGTTGCCAAGTGATTAGCCTTGGAAATGATAGCGCTTCACAAAACTAGTAGTAGTACAGTCTTGTAAGTAGTACATTGTGGTACATTGGTCACACGCGCTGTATTCTGTTACGTAACACAGGCACAGAGAGAGAGAGAGACGAGGGTAGAGACGAGATCGCATTCATAGCCACTTAGCAGTGTGGCAACCATGCGGTTAAAGACATGTCCCCTCCTCTCTCTCTCTCTCTCTCTCTCTCTCTCTCTCTCTCTCTCTCTCTCTCTCTCTCTCTCTCTCTCTCTCTCTCTCCTCTCTCTCTCCTCTCTCCTCTCTCTCTCTCTCTCTCTCTCTCTCTCTCTCTCTCTCTCTCTCTCTCTCTCTCTCTCTCTCTCTCTCTCTCTCTCTCTCTCTCTCTCTCCTCTCTCTCTCTCTCTCTCTCTCTCTCTCTCTCCTCTCTCTCTCTCTCTCTCTCTCTCTCTCTCTCTCCTCTCTCTCTCCTCTCTCTCTCTCTCTCTCTCTCTCTCTCTCTCTCTCTCTCTCTCTCTCTCTCTCTCTCTCTCTCTCTCTCTCTCTCTCTCTCTCTCTCTCTCTCTCTCTCTCTCTCTCTCTCTCTCTCTCTCTCTCTCTCTCTCTCTCTCTCCCTTCATCCAAAAGGTGCGGACTGAATTACAAAGCAAAATAGTCCTGCACTGTCAGTGTGTGCTGCAGATCTCTACATTTATATGTTACTTATCTATTACGATGACTTCAGGTCACCCCAATCAGTATTGATAACTACATAGTCGCCTTGACTTGCGCAATTGCTGTGTCAGCTTCATTTCTTAATTTTCTTTTTTTGTACTCTTGTAGTCTTTCCCGATTCATCAAATTTCTCCTACTGATCCCCTCGACAGGCCTAGAGCCTCTGGCTCTGGCCCTCTGGGTAATCCTTGAAATACAAAAAAAATACAAATACCATCGTCAGGCTTGTGCGTGTCGCGCGCTCGCCCACTCGATCCGCAAATGTACACATTAAACTCGAGGTAGCATTACGATGTCAATGGTCAACTTTTTCACAATATTTTGCAGACCGGCCACCAGTCAATGTTTTATTGGGCCTGTGCATGTTCGCGTGCTTCTTGTGCCGTGAAGAGCGGTCGCTGGAAAGAAGTGGGCGAGAGGCGATCGGCGGCCAGGTGGTCGAAACAGAGTGCTGCGGAGTCCATCTCCAAACTTCTGACAAATCATTCGCCGCGTGTCTTGCACGCCTCGCCGCAGGAACGCACGTCATCTGACATGATTGAAAGGTCGGGGAGCTTCCTCGCACCTGCGACCACACATCATCCAGTCTCAATTCGTTGTGGAACAGTTGTATAGCTAGTATTGGTGTCCAGCGGGCATGTGCAACACTGCCTTTTCCTATGCGATAACAGCGATTTTACGTCCATACCCCAATCCAGTCCACGTTGCTATCGATCTAAAGACCAGCATGCAATCATGATGGTGTAACGTTGTGGGTAGTGTACAATGTACTGAGTACTGAGTACATGTATAGACGTTGTGGGTAGTGTACAATGTATAATGCATAGACCGGCTCCAGCGAGAGTACAGTATCCTGTCGTAAAGAGAGTCATAGTCACTGACAGGTAAGGCGCGATGGGGATGAGAAGCGAGGAGATGTGCATCTCCAACTAACGTTACTAGGCCGCAGCGCACACGGTGACGGAATGAGGCGTCAGTACGTGCCATGGTGGTGGTCATTATTGTGGTTGTTAACATTACCTGTGGGATGTGATTTAGAGTGGCCACGTCTCTTCGAGCGGAACAACACATTAACACGACCCAGACGCGCGTATTGCCTGGGACACCTTTTGCGTTGAGATGGGGCGAAAGCGCGCAAAGCATGACATACAGCACGCCGTATTGCGTGTCGCTTTCAGTGTTTCACGACGAAGCAAGAGAATATCGAAAACAGCAGATACAAGTTGCTCGTAGTCCCCAGGGGCACGGCGCAGATGTCCAGGCAGCGTTCAGTGCAGCAATCGTACAGACAGCTCGTCCAACGCTCAAACGACCAAGTCGCTATCCCTTAAGCTCGAGACCTGTGCCCCCATCCATTCCAGAGGGGTATTAAACATACGTAGACAGTAGATAGAGGCTACAAGATACAGCTGCTTGTACAAGTTGTAGTTTGCAGGAAGACTTGAAACCTTCACTGCTTCAGCTCCCTGTACGTAGCAGGCCGTCGCACGACAACTGTTCAGCTAGACGGTGCTGTCGGAGAGGCGGAAATGACTGATCGCCGTGCGAAGACCACATGTGACTATATGGATGTGACTAGGAAGTGGCCCATGATTGGACGGCGGCATGTCATCCAGCGTTCACGCGCATGCGATTCCTCTTGGCAATGCTGCACTTCTTCGCCAACATCTAGACGGTGCTCGCTGCTTAAATCCACTCTTTATCCACGGCGCATTTGTAACGCGCATTCCACGCGGGTGCTAAGAATGCTTGTTAACAACTTTCACCCTTTCGCGTACCGTACAGCGGAAGTGTCAACAACCCCTCTTTCTCTCTCCCTCCCGATCGTACGATGTAAAATGGACGCCAGGGGAGAAGGTGATAGCTGAAACAGCCTCAGTACTAGTCTGGGTGCAATTATCCTTGGAGAATCTATCTCGCATGGCAGGCCAATAAGCCAACACCACGCGATCTTCGTTAGTAGTTGAACTTTCTGCGAGCTTTTCATTTTTCGTCATGTGCTGGATTTGAGAAGGTAGCAGTAATTGTGGCTCATGACCGATCGTAGCTAAAGGTGAGACTACAGTAACTAACCCTGACTCCGTCAATGGTGATTGAAACGAAGGAATATTCAACAACTCACCCAACTGCAGTTCACCTGTGGCTCAGTTCTAGCGCAGTTTATGTCTCAGTTTTGGAGCAACTCAGTAACATCGTGTATCACCGAACCGGCCACTCAGGGAGCAGAGCAGAGCGGCCATTTTGACGTGAGTTCACTGAATCGAGGCTAGGCTGACGACTAATTGTGCTCTGCTTTACGCAGCAAGCCCTACATGTCACGTTCCTCTCGTTTAACCAGTCCGGGGATGTCTGATCATTATGACATGTAGGGTAACATGGGTGCAGCCGATGAGATTCTCAGATTTTGCCCACTTTGTGGTGAATCTGACGTACTCATCTCCCACCACGTTGGGAGCGGTATGCCTTATTCGTCTCCATCCATGGAGGTGGGGCATTCCTGCGGATGCGGAAAAGAGACTCTTACGTGAACCAAAACACTTTTTTTAAGAATCTGATTTCTAATTTGTTCCAAACGCCGGGTGCATCATTGAACATGCCTTCTCCGATCAGTTACATGTACATTGTAGCTTTGAAATCGGTCAGATGGTGCTTCCTTGCTAAACTAAGAGCTGTATCTCAGAGTGGCGTCATTAGCTGTTGTAGAGTCACTTCTGGCCTCAGACTTCGCCAACATTTGTTAGTTCTTCATCCTGTTCTAATGTGCAAAGTAAAAAATGCATTAGAAGCTAATCGACCAAGAGTCATACAACCCAGCACTGATCATCAGATACTTGAGCTGGGTGAGGAGTGCGTGAAAATCTTTAAAAATAAATTGGCAGTACCGCACATACTGTACATGTACATTGCATGTGCCAAAAAACTGTTTAGCCAAAAGGATAGATAATAACAGCTGGGACACAGCACGCTATGCGGTTCACAGTGCAGTACTCTCTACTCTAGCACATAGCGAACGGCACACAAATACAACAAAATACGATCCTGCTAGTAAACTGGCATGAATGTCGGAATGGTCGGGTGATAGATTTTGTAAACTAAAAGTAAAACGGATCTAGACAGAGTTGGCATAGCGCTAGCTGCTAGCAGCAAGCAGAGATAGTGCTAGTGTCCAGTGAGAAATGATGTCATCGACATCAGTAATGGCATTACCATTATCATTTTAAAACGTACACGTGTGCCTCCAAAAGCGCCGCACGACCTGCAACTCGCCGCTCTTGTCTGGGTCTTTAAAAAAATGCACGAATGCCATTGGCATTGGGAATAATACTCTCCCCAGCCTAGGGAGTAGGGTCTCTCCAAATGTAATGTCACTTCCAGCTTAGCTCACACACACTGCACTGAGTCTGAGTACATGTGCTCATGCTCTACATAATTTTTCTGCTGTGTGCTTGTAGTGGCCTGTCAACCGCAACGCAAGTGATCAACGGCAGGCACTAGACTACCATTAGTAGGCATTACTACGGTCATGGTGTTGTTCTAGCCGTTGAAAACCGACTGGCATCGAGAAGACTGACCAACAATACTCAATAGTCAATAGTACTGGTGACTGGCTCACTGGCTGCTTACGCCCGCTTCGAGATCCAGATAGGGATCATCTCGCCTCCATCGGACCAGGCCATATCGGTAGAGCCATTCCGAGCTACTCTGCCTGCGCAAGGGGAGAACGCCGACCCAGTCCTTGACATCTCTCTTTCCTCCTGGTCGTCCGCTGATTCTGATCAACACCGATACCATCGCGCATCCAGCGACGATCCCCTGACAGCGTCCGCTGGCAACCCGCAGAAAAGCACACGAGGCGGGCTGATTCAATTCAGTTTCCTGCATCAATCCCCCAGGCCTTTTACGTGACCTGGAAGCTCTGCTGCTGCTACTGCTGGTCATAAATTGCTCATTTCCAACTCACGGCAGCTCTGTATAGCTCTCTTCAGCCTGTATAAAAGGAGCTGTCCGAGTACCCTGCTGAGGTAGTAAACTCTGAGTGGTGAACTGGGAAGGTATTCGATTTTTTAGGTCCCCTCCCGTCTGTTTTCCTGCAAAGTGAATCAACCAATATGAATACAATGGCGCCACGAAATGGACGCGTGCAAGGTGTACGAAGTGTTCTGTTGATGATGGCGGCATTACACCTTCTACTGCTTCCAACGCTCTGCTATGCGAGATCGATACTGGAAGGCAGTGAAGAGTCACATGAGGATGGACGGATGGCGCGAGATTGGGTGTTGGACGAGGGTGGAGAGTGGGTATCAGCCGAGCAGTCAGATCAGCAAGCGGATAATTACTCCGCGCTGGCGGGACGTCTGACCACCAGCTCAGCAGCTGCCACCGGACACTCCCATGCCTACCCTGCCGACTGTTCACCATGCAACACGACCAAGTGTCCGGGAGGATCGGCGCGCCGCGCACCGGAGAAGTGCCACGGTCGTCTGGAGCTGGACCGGTGCGGCTGCTGCAGAATCTGTGTCAAGTTCGACGGGCAGCGCTGCCAGGGTAAGCGACGACCGTGCGACCGGGACCTCGTCTGCTACCCGTCGGCAGGAGAGAAGCGAATTAAAAGATGCCACACAGGTAAGGGACAGTAGCATTTTGTTTGTTGTGTTTTATTTGAATTCGCAGAACCAAACGAGCAGAGATGCTCAATAACAAGGCAGCGAATTATGGAGGGAAGTGAAAAAATGGATGGTTATAGGGGAAAAAGAAGGGAGGAGGAGAATGCGTCTGGGAGTATGTTTGTGTTTATGAGTAGATGCAGATGTGCATGGTTGAACTACCCTACTGATCCGAGTTATGCGCCATAATCAGATCAGAGCGAAATAATAATGAGGCACGCTTGCTTATGTTAACGTTCGATAGGCGGATATTGAGGTCGAAAAATAGTCTCAAACAAAACACAATAACATTGTGAAGAGAAAGAACCAATACGTTACGAGTTATGACAAACAGTCCACCAAGGTAACGAGATCATAATACAGCCAGATAGCGCGACAACAAGGCGCAAAACTGACTATCCGACTGTATACTAGTATTATCTCGTTACCTTGGTGGACTGTTTGTCATAACTCGTAACATATTGGCCCGGTCTCTTTACTTGAATACTATTGGCTCAACATCCGGGCTTTAATAACATTGTGTTTGTTTCATAAATAATAGTATTATTGTTGGAGTGCTATCATTAGTGTTTGGGGGGGGGGGCGAGGAAACAGCATCCGTACTCAAGGGACAGTTCAGGTCTTTAGGACTTGGAGTGCGTGACAAAGCAGTGAATGCATGCCGTATACGCGTATTCTATCGGACCCAGTCGCTTCATCGGGTGGGCCACTATATATAGGAGAGCAAAGTATGTCTGGCTGGGGATCAAACGTTGGCGAGGCATGCACCGACAATTACAATAGATTTCCCGACAGATTGTGGCCAATTTTGTCGATTTGTGGCGAGAGAAACGCTATGAGCCATGCACCTGCTGGGCCAAATCGGAACGAGCAATGTGTGAGAGGCTGAGACAGGAAAAGATAAAACAAACGTAATGCGACCATCAGTGAGGCGAGATAGCAGGTGGTCATAGCGCCTTGTCTTTTAACTTGGTAAGGCAGCTCAAGCCTGCCTATCCAGCCGGTCCCGGGAGGTAGTAATGGAATGAATGCGAAGGGCCAGTTGAATGAAATCGAAGCACCAGAGAATGCGCCTTCCAGCGTAGCGTCAAGCTGAGGCTAGAGAAAGGGGGAAAGACCTGAGGAGGAGAGGCACTTGAGTAACAAACCTCGTGTTCGCGACATAGGCTTCCTTCTCACGTCTCTAGGTTTCTATCAATTTCATTATTCTGCAAACCGGATAGCCAGAACGCAGAGATACGGCCCGTCTAAGAATTTCATTTCGGAAACAGATGTCAGGAATGTATCATGCTGGACGGTGTAATGGGGCTTAATGTGGTTAGTGTCCCACCACGAAAATATGGCCTAATGATTGGCTTGCAGAGACCACGAGCACGAGGCAATCCAGGGTGAGACCGTGAACTCGCATTGTGTGTCACTTGTCAAACTGAGATCGCTGAAGTGCCTCCTCGAATCTCGGGGCCGCAACTCCTCTCCGCCACTCTCCGCTCAGGGTCCAGGACGTCGTCCGATGATGGTGTCGCTGATAGAGTGAAACCGCTGCGAATGCCACTCATCCGGTGGTGAGACGGCCAGTGAACTGTCGTGCAGGTGTGACAGGGATAAGAGTGCCTGCCCGGATCACCCGCAGCATTCCCAGTACGTACTGGGGAATTGCATTGACATTGGGACTATCGTAGAGTGCTGCTGCTGCTGCTGTTGAGATATCTGTGTCTGTACCCGCTAGTACAAGCTCCTCTCTCACACTTGCACCATTGCCCGCCAAATGTCCGGCCACTTCAAACATGGAGAACTGATAATACTTGATGCCACTATGACTTGTATACCTGGAACTTGAGTGTGGAGTTAAGCGAGTGACTCTATTGCCAGTGTGATGCCAGAGCGTTCAGCGAGTGACTCTATTGCCAGTGTGATACCAGAGCGTTCAGTACAAGACTGTTTGAAGTCACATGAATACTGTGCTGCTACTGCTACTGCTGCTGCAGCAGCTCAGGATTAGAGGATCTGGTGACGGTTCTTCAGTGTGTCTACCTCAAGTCCCGGAAATGTCGACACCTACCTTTCAGTACAGTCACCGGAGTACTTTACAGGTGACAACACAATGGCATTCGCTCTTCTTTTTTTTAATGTGGCCACCTACATGTATGGCTGTAATGATAGGTAACGACGTAACGTAGGCAAAGTAGGACCGCGGGCCATGCTTTGGCGCAATACTGTATTTACTGATCTCGGAAGCTATCACAATTTAATCGCGGTCGGACGAGTTGTTTGCTGTTTTATCGCATTAACCATCTTGCACGTTCACCCGCGAGTTGTCTGCGATGCGATCTCATCTCAAGAGAGTGAGCTAGTGAAGGATCCTTGCTCGGTGACTCTTCCACTTGTTGCTAAGTTCTACTGTCACTGGTACTAGTGCTGGAGCACTCTAACTTGATTCCAAGCAACTCTTACTCACTGCATGTAGTACAGGCTAGAAACAATGTCACACTGTGAGGCTGATGAAGGTGCTAAGAGTTAGATGCCTATCGCTGTTCGGCGTGGCTCAAGTGCTCCAAGTTAAACAGTAATGGGTGGCGCTATGTTATGCAGCTATGGCTGCTGCTGCTGCTACAGCCTACAGTGAGTGGTTCAGAGGCGGCATGAGCTCCTGCAGCGTTGCCGATTTCAATCTACCGCCTTTCCGGCGCAGGTGTGTGTGTGACGACATGACCCTGGACGAAACCACCCTACACCAGACAGGCACGAGCAGTCGAATGCTTGCAACACAGTGACCGGACTCATATTCAATTATCGGTGAAATATGGCTGGCTATTCCAAAAGGGAGGCTAGCAGTACGAGTTGAAGAACATACTACAGCTGTACAGCTGAGCTGTGTTCCAAGATAGCAAATACATGTACTAATAGTGTTAGGCTGTCTGCCTGAAAGCACATTTTAACGCCTTCGGACCAAGCAGGAGGGGGGGGGGGGCAATAGAATTGTAGCGGTACTATCTTTAACTTCGGGTACATTCCGCAATACATTGGTACTGCGCTCCAGTAGCGGCCTCTACATGTATGTGAGCCCACAAACCCCTGCCAAAAGGTTACTACTACTAGAACAAGAACATCACAAATTCACAATACTGTGCACTGTATGGCGAGTGGCTGTACTACAAATCTACTACAAATCGGCTGCAATACATATTGCAAGTTGCATTGTTACATTGGGGTTGCACATGCACATACATGTACATGTACATGTACATGCACGTAGTCATGTAAAACCTGCGTATGAACTTGACTGAGTTGTGATAGCTGTTTCGTTAGTGCGTGTCCCACGAGTAGCACGTTTCGCGGTCGACCCAATGATTATGTCAGTGTCTGTGTCAGTGTACACAAGCCCTGCATTTCGTGTGTGTATTGAATCGAAACAAAGAAGTTGGTGACGTCCACTAGTGCTCCATGGAAAAGTGCATCTTTTCTCGTGCGCCCGAATCTGCGGTGGCCCAGGGCAATCGCGTCATTGTAGCATCCTGAGCCCGTCCACATTTGGTCAATGGACACATTGCTGGCGTTCCAGCCCTCGTCCTAAGATTGGAGAGTCGCTGCAGGAACGAGGAAGAGCACGAAGAAAAACTCCACCGAAATGGTGTCGCTCGTGCAACCCGCAGCACAAGTGCTTTCGAATCGCATTTCTTCCTGGTTCAGTTTACATGGTTTACTGCCTTGCTGACTCTTTTGGTGTATTCTCGTTCAGGCACGTGACACCCTTATGTAAATTACAACGGATTGGTCCTTGACAGCGTATTGTTGTCGGCCAGTAAACAGAACCGCAAACGTGATGTTGAGCTGGAGCGCTTCAACAATGGCCTCTTTTACTCATCCTCTGTCTCCTCTGAAAAAATGACTGAATTCTGCCAATTACATCTACACCGACACATACACCAAGTACATGCACGAGTACAATAATAGATCGTTGCACTACACACACATGTAAAGATGTACATTGTATGCGTGTAAGTGAAGTTATGCAAACTGGACGGGTACGGGGTAGATCAGGTGTTGCCCTGCGTGTGGCCCTGCCGCAGGCTGCGAGCATCGTGCCCCGGGCCTTTCTCTATTTGTCAGGCGCGCTAGCTGCTTCCAAAATGGGGTAATTCGGGAGTGATTCAACTCCTGAAAGAGTAGACTGGATTGGAATAAGGGTGAGGGTCAGGGGCATGATGACACCAATACAACAACAAAGAAGAGGAAGAAAAGGTTTATCAGCGCTTTTGCATTAGGGTGGTGCATGAGAGCGAGAGTCGACTCGTGATGAAGTGCACTTCAATGTCTGCCCATTGAACATGAAAATCTGCCCTTCCCATTCTCTCGAGTCCCCAGCGCAGTGTTTGCTAGCCCTTGGTGGATAATTGCCGGCAGAATAATGGGCAGAATTCGGTACTTTTTCTGGTATGTTTCATGCATGTTTGGTATGTGCATAAAGAAATGGAGCAGAGTTCCAGGAAGTGCCTGCCATAAGGTTCGTATGGATCTGCCAATTATTCCACTGCTTTTCGAGCAGAATCTGCCAATTTTTCGAGCATTATCCGCCAAGGCGGCTGGTGCTTGCTCCGACTAGACTGAAACTGTGTAGACGGGATCGCCGGGAGTGCGGACAGAAGGTCAACGCGAACCTGTCCTATGTACTAGTACTAGTAGTAGATCTACTACATGTAGATCTACAGTGCACTGTAGTGTAGATGTCTACGGATGACTACTGACTATCTACATTGTACTAATATTGGCTACAGATGACTACTGACTTCAAAAATAATAATGCCAGCTCTGAACTCTGCGGGGAGGGGTTTACACGCGCCGCTTGGCAGGGTGCTAAGAGGATCTTGTCATGGCCTGAAGATAATGGCCAGCAGGAATGAGCGGCCATGTAGGGCCACTCACGGCCATCGCCAACAATGCAGATGAAGATTTGACCAAGACTCGAGATATCACCCGTGGAATATGTTCTCTCTCCGGAATCGTACAGCCGCTACTGGCCTGGATTCTACTGTAATAGTGAGCTAAATTTGAACACCAATGGCAATGGCGGGCATAGCCACAGGGCAAAGCTCTGCATGTGCAATCCTGGCATGGAAAACAGCTTCTTGTCATAAGTGCTAGTATTATTGTGCGGCGTGGAGATGGCATTGTTGGCGGGAGTGACATGCCATTATTGAAATCACTGCCACTTTCAGGTCTGAAAGGATGGTTGAGTGATACGAATAATGGAATACCCATTGAACTAGTACTAGGATCAACTGCAATAAAGGCCTGTATAATTTCTGATTGGGCCCCGCTGTAGCCCAGATTGTTATGGAAATCACCAGCCCTGGGACGTCTCCTGTAGCGCAACCCCTGGATCATCTGCAGTGAGTCGCATTGCTAAGCTGCGCGTGTGTGTGTGCGCGCTCCGCCTTTCACACAGCTGCCAGGTTTGATGAGATTACGCAGGTCGAAGCATTGCTTCTGCCTGGTCCTGGGTACCTTGAGAAGGATACGTGATCAGAGCTTCCCGAAAGCAGATCCTCGTTGCCGGTTTGATCTGCACGACCAATAGTATCATTAGGCGCATGCAGGTCGGGGGCCAACACATCTGGAAAGGCGATAAGGCGTCACGAGTGCTGCCTTTCATAGGCAAATGCGGCGAACGGTGACAGTTACTAAGCGTCTCTACAACCAGTGTCAGGACGACTCATTGGTCACTGTAAGGTCGCTGAGAGCCCATGATCCCGAAATGGAAGCATGGAATATGCTGCTTGCCTACTCTCCAGGGTAGATCTACGATGTAGAGGCCGGCCCGCACAGGCAATCACTCCTGCTTAGCCCTCACGGCCTCAGCCTTCCGGACTGTGAACCCAACCAGCAGAGGTCATCACTATGCCATGGTCATAATTATACTGGCGTGGAGCGTCATTTGTCTCGGATCACTTTTGCGGATATCAAATCTACGCGCTTAGCACCTGGATTTAGTTGGCCTAGGTATTCTAATCGTGGCTTTGCATTACTTTTAAAATACGCGATGACTGTGATCTTCGTAGCGGAAGGAGTGGTGGGCAGAAGAGCCTCGTTGGTGTTGGATTGAACGATCATACATGTACATGCACCGCCATAAACCCACCAGAGAGCTTCACAGAGTTCCAACTGCCCGCTTTGATAGAAGTCTTTTCACGGCATGTACTTGTAGATCTACTGCTTACCCACTCCATATGCACCAGTACAGTGTGTCAAGATGTTCAACATACTGAGCATGCTACCACACACGAATGATCATCATGATCCAAGTGCACAAACACTGTTCTCTAATGATCAGAACATCCCCAGTTCTCCTGGTTGACAATATAAGTAATTTCGGTTACTCCTGAGGACAACAAAACGTGTGTAGACAAGGCTAAATAACACGATGCACTTGAGAGCGGAAGTAATTGTCAAGGAGGAAAACTAACAATAACTTTATTAGTGATAGAGTAGCTTGTAATGCAAATACGTCTTGCTTGCTCCTGTCATTAACTATGATTAAGGTGCAAAAGTGGTTGCATGCCTTCAACTAGTTTTAGACCACAGATATCTTCCCCTGTATAGTGCGACACCCAGAGAGGCATTCCCCACCATTCGCAGTGCCCTGTTTGAATCAGACTGCTTCAAGTATTATAATTACTTGATACAATGTCATGATTGCACTACATGTCTTATAAAAACATGTCTTTTGGAAACATTTATGAGCGTGCCTCGGCCTTCCACTCTGACACAAATGCTTAGCTGTAATCTCTTCTCTGTTTGCTGTGTGTGTGTGTCTGTGTGTATGTGTGTACAGTGGAGGGCAACTGCAGTGCAGAGCATCTGAGTCAAGGCGGACCGTTCCGCAAGGCCGCGCCGATGTGCCGACAGTGCCAGTGCAGTCCCGACGGTCGGCAGCTGTGTCGACGCACTCCCTGCAGACCGCCACTCGACCCGGACATGCCGGCCGACTGTGTACGACAGCGCTGCCTGGAACGCACCCTGCTCAACGCCTGCTGCAAGTTCATGTACGCGTGCCGCTGCACGGAGAGAGCGTCCACTCCCCAGCCGGCCACCAAGGCAGCCGTCATGCGCACGCACCCCGGCTGCAGTCGCCCGGCCTCGTGCCCAAGCCAGCGCAACTCCGGCAAGAACACCAGCGAGGTGCGCTACACGTACAGCGCCGTCGACAACCGCTGCGTCATGCACTGGCAGAGTGCGCGCTGCACACGGGACCACGACTTCACCAGCCTGGACCAGTGCCGGGCGGAGTGCGTGCCGGGCGCTAAAGAAGGTGAGCAGTCCGTTGTCCGGTTCAGCTCACTATTTGCACTGTGCTTTGCTGCAAAGTTTGCAGAGGAGTCGCATGGACCTCTCCAATGCAAACTCTGCACAGCGCGCATGCACACATCCTGCTCAAAGGAGCAAAATGGGCTTATCATGATCTGCTACATGACAGGAGTACCGACAGAAGAGAAACACATGTATACGCGCAGAGAATACCTATCAACGGGGGAAATGCTGGAGATAATACTGTAGTGGTGTTACATAGGACAAGTAAACACTTATTCGAAGTTCACCGATAAGGATCAGACACAGTTAATCACATATGTCTTCCCAGGTACACAAGCTGCTGGCGGTCAAGATAGGGTGGAAATGTCGAAAGAATCCGGTTGCACAGAAACACGCAAATCGACACGGAAACCATCACATTATGAGGCATGGCACAGGTGTTGAGTTGCGTGTGTCAAAACAGGTGTGAAACGCCGCTATTCGCACTGCTGCACTGAGTGACACTGACAAGCTGCCATTTAGGCTCCTCCGTCTAGACTGGAGTGCTCACAGTGCTGGGATTGTGTCCATTCAGTACATTCACTATCACAATGCCACACGCACTGCACCTCTGGACACGTACATGAACTTCCAATCTTATCTGCTCCCAAAACCATGTCCAGCCTAGCACCTGTGTATGCCACCATCTGATGTGCCAATTGAACAATCACATACACGCTGGGTACCATCAGTACCGCCGCCACAGACCAAAACACAAACACTTTGATCCATCCACACAGATACCGGTGTAGGGTTGCAGCATGCATACAACTGTAACTGATACAACATGCACTACAAGGCAGGTCCAACTGCAGAGTGTAGCCATATAGCAGCAGCATAACAGCATGCTGTCCGCAGATTGAGTGTAGCCATACAGAGTAACATCGGCCAGCTCAACCCTTCTGTGGTCATGCTCTGGATAATTCTATGAGTGTTGTCCACAGAGGGAAACATGATACACGACTGCTAATGCTACATGTGTACATACACACACACAGTGACACACACACACACACACACACACACACTCACAGTGACACACACACACACACACACACACACACACACAGTGACACACACACACACACACACACACACACACAGTGACACACACACCCACACAGTGACACACACACACACCAAAGAAATGTGGCCGTGACTGACGCGTGATCTGATGGCTTAATTCCTTGTTGCACATAAATCCCAACTGACACATGAAAGGTGTCCTAATATTGGCCACTGTAAACAGCCACAAACCACAGGACTCTAGCACTCGATTGTCTGTGGATGCGCCTAGTGAGAGGCATAATTAACTCTAGTCAACACCCCAGGATTATGCCTCAGGGCTTGAACGACAAAGCACTGACAGTGGGGCCTGAAAATGGGATCATACAGATGTCCTTCACCTCAGCTCACCCTGCTATCCTGGTCTATTATTATCTGTTTCTGTGTGTGATTTGCATTGTAGTGATCCATGCAAAGAAGAGAGATCGATGTGCTGTGCAGACAACGGCAAGCCAAGCTGCATGCCGCTTCATCCAACTCCACAGCCGTAGAGCCCGTAAGCACCATAGGCACAGAGACATACACACTACTATAATGCACTACTGTACACACACTATCACTAGCATTGCCTTTGCTCTAGCAGGCCAGCTGAGGTGACATGCACAGCAGTGCTGCTTGGCTGACCTCGCTTACATGTACCAGTGATACTCATCTCATGTATACTGGCCACAATGCCTAAATAGCTGCAGGATGGTGAATGCAGATGTTGATGCCCCCCAAGGCCATCCCACATAATCAAGCTGAACACAAGGTCCTATGCAAATGCAGGGTGCAGGGTGGGGTGGTAGAAAAGCCTCATTATTTGCTTTGATCCGAGACATTCAATTTCTTCCAAATACATAGCCATGCCGACGGACAATGACCAACAGTCTGTTCTGTTCTCTACCTGCCTCTGTTCTTTCACACAGTGTTCCGTGCCGTGGTGCAGAATGTGGAGCAGACAGAGCTGGGAGTGCTCTACACGCTGAAGATCAGAAATGTTTACCGCGGCCCATGCCGCAAGGAGGTCATCTACATCCTGGCCGACAACAGCAGCATGCAGACGGTCTGCCCATACATGGAGACGAACTTCCTCTACCTGATCGGCTACGAGATGTCGGTGATGAACACGAACTGCCGCGGCGTCGAGAGCGTCCCCGTCGGGTCCGGGGCGAGCGTGCGCGCCGAGGTGCTGCACTCGTCCGAGAGAAGCACTATGGTGATACCATGGAGGCAGGACATGTGGTCGTTCACCGACGAATGCATGTCGGCGAGACCGAGCAGGCACATACCCGCGCCGCCGCCGTCGTCAAATCAACTACCGGACCACACGGCACAGTAACCGTGCTGGTGATCGCCAGTGTGCAACCACACCCGCTTATGTGTCCGTCTATCCACTGACCAAAGACAACTCATGGAAAAATAGCAGTGGACTGACGTCATGACTTGGGACAACAACAGATTTATCAAAAAATTCTAGACATTTCTACGAAAGAAGCTACCCATCTCTGCCCTCAACTCATCTAATCTCACTCTCCTTTCTCCTGCTTCTTTACCAATGCCCCTGTTGATAGTTGAGCTAAGCCATTTTTATTGAGCGACACCCCAGGTGTAACACCAGCACCACAACCACCACACACTGACTGAGCCGACCCAAGGTGGTCTTCCCCAAAGTTAGCAGATCTATTATCTTGATCCGGCATGCATTCAGCATCAATGATAGGCGGCCGGAGAACGATTGAGTAAGTAACGGCAACGCGCAGTTGCACTTCACACTGGCTTGAGTTGGTGCTGGCCGCTGCACCATCACACCCCATACCTTGCTCCCTAGATTCCTCGTCTAGGTCTATAGACGAGTATATGGCAGCACATGAATGGCCAGCCACTCAAAAACTATGAGCATGGACGGTTGCCTGAACGCGAATGCTTCCACCACTGCTGATGCAACAATATCTACAGTGTCTCGGCTTGAGATTTGTACATAGAGAAACTGTATATCCTTGTGCATAACTATCAAGAACACTGTAAGCAGTGCACATGTACATCTCTGCAGACGGCCAATTGACTGACCACACATTGCCGCACGTGCTCTGCTTTCATATTTATATCTTTTTTTTCGCTTCCGGCATATTCGTACATCAGCATCCAGCACAGGAACGGCGTGTAAACTATAAACCCTGCAAAGAAACTTGGAGATTAGCTTGAAACGGGTTCTAATTACTGCATGCAGCGCGAGGCTCCTCTGCCTTGGCCCAGGACATATTGGACATCTTGGGTCGTATCGAGCTAGCAATTGCACAGCAAAGTAACAACTCATGGGGTGCATCAAAGTGCAACTACATTATACTCCAGAGCAGGGGGAAGGTGCACGGCACTCAATTGTAGGATCACACCTCTCTCTCTCTCTCTCTCTCTCTCTCTCTCTCTCTCTCTCTCTCTCTCTCTCTCTCTCTCTCTCTCTCTCTCTCTCTCTCTCTCTCTCTCTCTCTCCTCCCTCACTCTCTGTGTATCTCTCTTTCTCTCTGTCGTCTTAATGGACTCATGCTGATGACACTCAGGTGCAGGCACAGGCGACAAACACACACACACACACACACACACACACACACACACACACACACACACACACACACACACAAACATGGGCTCAAAGACTCAAAGCAACAGCACTATACTTCATGAAACTGCCAATCACAACGGTGTGGGTGCGAGACAGAGAACGTGCAGATAGCTAACAATTGACAGACGTGGTAGCAATCCATTCTGAAAAGTCAACTAGACACGGAAGAGGTGACCCACCTACTACTAAAGTTTACTAAGACCCAAACAAAAACTAGTGGCTTTGCTCATGACGTGTGCAGATTGGGCAGTACTGGCCTGAAACATAAAGGAAAGAAGAGTTGTGCACAGTAGCGAATAGAAACGTACAAATACAGCACAGCAGAAGGGTAGCGTTGAAGCACCCAACCAAAAGAAAAAAAGAGCACACGCACACATGTACATGCAGTTGCTACAAGACGAGACTCCGGACACAGCACTTGAGTACATACAGGCCACGCAGGCGACACGCTCTGCACCCACGTCTGTCCGGGAGCCACACATGACTACACGCGGGGAAGAGGTGTTGGTGACAAGACCCAACTCGGCTAACACAGTAGCCAGCGACAAACATACATAGGAACACCCCAACTGGTTCCAGATCACCTAAACGAAATCATAGTTTTAAAAAAGTAAGGGTGGGTGTTACGTGCTAGTCAAGGATGGTATAAAGATGCTGTGAGCAGTCAACAGACCAACACTGTGACTGCAGACAGCAAAGAGTTCAGTCCACAAGATAACCCTCAGGGCAAGACGACGGACGGCGAAACGGACAAGACTTCAAAAGTTGGGACCCTTCCAGTCGTTGTTGGTGCGTGGCCGAAAGCTTCCGCGCCCCTGACCGCGGCCGCGAAACTGTCCCCGGCCACCGCCGCGGTTAGTGTAGGAACGTCCTCCTTGCTGCGGCGGCTGCTTCTGTTGTTGCTGTGGACGGCCCCCAGGGGCGGCTGTGCTGTACTGCTCACGCAACTCCTTACCGGTCATGGGCCGTTTGGGCACATCAGCTCCTGCTGTTGCCGGTGCTGGTCGTTTTCTGGAGCGAGGGCAAGAAGAGTGGCAGACAGCAGGACACCATTACGTCATTACAGATGGGATGACATCATTGAGAAGCCAGGCATGAGGCGAAACACAGATAGGGCCCACACAGTTAAGGCGCGCCGTACCGCCAAGCATCGTGGTGCCATGCAACGTCGTGGAGATAGACCCTGCAACTCGACCAACGCAGTGACAGCAGTGGCACCATGGTATAACACTCGCCCAGTACCAAACGAAGACTCCACACACTTCACAACACGGACGTGACGAATGGGCTGCGGGCAAGAGCCATGGTGAGCACTGACTAGCACAGCAGTCACTTCTCCGTGTGGGGACACTCAACGGCACCACCCCAACAACAATAATGAATACGTGAAAACCACCGCTCAGGAGACAAGCAATGCGTAGGACTGGTCATGAGCTCCAGGGCAACGGCATTGTGCCGGAACACTGAGCTGAGGTGTCTATCACTGGCTTCTACCACCCAGACCACTAACACAGCCGTGCCAGAAAAGTAGTTGCAAACAACGTAAAGAGAAAAATTGTAGGCATTGAATGAATCATCACTACCACAATCCCATAGCGCAGCAAATAACACACATACGTGTAGCGTAATCTCACGCATATAGGACCATGGTCTTATAATCGAAAAGTCGCTGTTTTCAGTCCTTTCACAAGTGCATTTTCATTCGATCATAAGACCATGGTCTTTAAATATATGCGAGAGACAAATATCGCATCGGCATGTGCATGAGCAAGCACGCATATTACTGGTGAATGTCAGTACAATGGAACTATGATGATCCTCGTTTCGTTTCGTGATTTTCATTCACTTAGGAGACCATGGTCTCGTAACCGGAGGTGGTCTTATATTCGAATAGAACACCATGGTCTTAGGGGCCGTCCGTAATTATCGAACGTTTTCACAAAACGAATTATTTTAGTTTAGACCCAACCCCTCCCTCCCTCCCCCTCAGAACGTAAAAAAAAGTTTAACATATGCATGCATAATACAACAAAAGTTGCAAGTGTGTAACTGCTGCTATGGGCATGCACATTGTATCAATGTTTTCCGAAATGAAATTGGTCAACCCCACCCCATAACGAAATCATTTCGTTTTGTGAAAAAAGTTCGATATTTATGGACGACCCCTTATATGCGCTAGATTACAGTACATGGATGAGTACTCTGAGACATTGCATAGTGAACACATCAAACAGTTCACGTACAACGAGCATGTATGCAGACAAGACAACAGAGCCGCAGACAGTAACAGTACATCAGATAATACACATGCCACTATTAGCATACTTCGTATTACTTACTGTGCAGTGGTATCTGATGTCGGGGAGGTCACGGTGCTATACGCTGCAGGCGCAGTCACAGGCTGAACAGCACAACACAACAGCAGTTACAAAAGTTAACAACTACAGGCAACCAGCAAACACCCTGCACTCAGTTGAGAGAGAGAGAGAGAGAGAGAGAGAGAGAGAGAGAGAGAGAGAGAGAGAGAGAGAGAGAGAGAGAGAGTGAGAGAGAGAGAGAGAGAGAGTGAGAGAGAGAGTGAGAGAGAGAGAGTGAGAGAGAGAGTGAGTGAGAGAGAGAGAGAGAGAGATTAGGCCGTGGGAAGAAAGGCATACCTTTGCGAACGACAATGTGAAAGAGGTTTGATAGCTTGGTGGGGCCTTCAAGAAAGTCTGCACACACATCCGGAACATAAACAGACATGAACACAACTACAGAGGGAAAAGCAAGTCTCGACAGGAGAAAGCCGATACTAGTGCTCTCTACAACACCACGCCCTATCACATGTCCCCGAGGCTACAGCTCAGATCACCGTGCACACCCACAAACACAATCATGCAAACCTAAGAGAATATGCAGTTGTTCCTCTAGTAAGGTTGCGTTTGCTCGTTAGCCATGCAATCATATTCCTTCACCGGTCTGTATTCATTCTTTCGTTACGCTGTCCAAGGTTACCAACTGTCCATTTTTCAAAACGAAAAGTCTTCGCCTGATGCGGTTGGTAAACCGTAACCCCGGACAGTCCCTCATGGAAATTAAGTTTTGCTTGGGTATTCAATAACAATGAGATGTGTATAGCAAGCACACAATTCTCCCTGAAGACAAGCAACAGAATGTTCTTGTGAATTGTGCACGACGTAGGGACCGGGCATTGTGTGTGCATGTTCGGGGGGGGGGGGGGGGGGTTGAATGTCTTCTACACACGATGGCTGGTTACATTCGGCTGAATCACATGCAATCCATGCACATTCTATCGTGATTCTGAAATGCATGACCTGCTTTACTAATAGGGGCCATCCGTAAATATAGATATTTATTTCCCTCAAACTAGTCAAGATATTTATTTAGAAACGAGACTACATTTAGGGGGGGGGGGGGGGGGAGAGAGAGGGGTTGAGCGCCTGTTCGTTTCTCGAAAAATATCGATGCACAGTTTGTATAATTATGTGGGCATGTCCAGAAAAATATTTCGATACTATGTACCGTTTGTATGTGTTCGTTTCTCAGGGAAGGGGAGAAATGATAGTTTTCGTTTCTAAATAAATATCGGTATTTACGGATGGCCCCCTAGTTGTAAGTGCTGCACAAATTAGTAGTTGACATTTAATACACTGCAACACACCAGCGTCACTCACCTTGATCAGCAGAGAGATATTCTGGATAGCTTTGATCGTCACAGCTGCCTGTAATGATATCAAAGGGGAACACACACACACACGGCAAATAGCTGTCAGGATTACCGGGCATACACACCGTTTGCTTTGCAATATAATTATAATAAAGTCACCACCATAACCGCCGACAACGACAGCAGCAGCAACTAACAACAACAGCAACGGTACGTGATAACACGGCTCAAACCCCGGGCAGACACACCTGGTGCCTCTACCCTAACAGACCCAGCACACACCAAAGAAAAGAGGACAGCAATAGCTACTTATGGAAGAGCAACATGGATGGAGTACATTGGTGTATGCCCTACCTCTGTGGCTTGACTTGCCTTCAGATCCTTCAGCGCAGACTGGCAACACAGTCCTAAGAACTGCAATCTGCAAACAAAGAAAAGGACAATTCTAAGAACTGCAATCCGCGAGCAAAGCAAATGACAATCGACTACAGGCTGCACACTCGCCACCAGCAAGAAGTTTGCAACCGTACACAGTCAAGGTGACGCTGGGAACAATGCGGCATAAACCAGAAGCAAGAGCTCAGGCTACGCAATAGGCGCACAGGTCACTACGAGAAGACAGGCTTACCGCACTTTGAGCAGGCGTAGCCTCGTGGTTGCCTCCTCATCCGAATGCATAAACTCTGGGCACTAACACACATACACACACGAGCGTGCGGAACACAAGCACAAACAAACACAGTTCAAAAACACATTTCAAAACAAGGACCCATGCTTCTCCAGCATGTTGTCAAATATCACTCTAGATGCGGAAATGGTGGTTCTTCTCTACAGAACTGCCAAGAACACTGGCCAGTACAGAAGAACTCCCAGTATCCGGGCGTGTTCAGAGCGGGCACTGCTCACAACTCACATGCATACTGACTCAGGGTTATGGCCAGAACAAAAGTGAAGGGGGACGGGGATCTTGAGTGCTGAGCGCAAAGCGTGGCTTACTGGACTGTTATAAAAACCAATGCCGTCCCCTAAACCTCAAGTAGGAATTACCGGGGCAGCAGCAGTGACTAGTAACCTCGCTTAGCGGCGTGCAAGACCGGAGTACATGGGTTGGTACTCGTATACAACTACATGCACCGCATTTCACAAAGTATTCAAACAACTGTCCCCGGAGCACTTCTATGGCAAGCCAGCTCAAACATCTGACCCGGCCCCGGTGATCACTCTCACCTTCTTTGCCAGCTGGTGGAACGCGTACAGGACGGACTCAGCGACGCGATAGTTGATCTCCGGAGTAGCAGGAGCTTCGTCGGATTCGGTCGGCTGTGGTGCTTCGGGTAAAAGGGACTGCACATGACGATGGCCAGTGTGAAAACAACAGAAGAAGACAAAGCCATGCTCTCAAATCTCAATCATCATAACACGTCACACTGCAACATTTGAGAAAAGAGCAAACTAGATGTATAGTGCAGTACAGTACATATAGATTCCCTCTACTAAGCCTTCAGTGAAATTACACACAACAAAAGGTAAACGACTTGGTAGACACAATAAGGTAGCTCAGGCTTATCACGAAATTTATTGAAGGTCAAAAACCATTTTCTCCACGAATTCGCTCAAATTTCAAGGATTGGAGCATCACGAGGGTATACAATCAACCTCAAAATTTAGCCAACGTACAGTGAAACCTTTGTTGTTATGTTACATGGTTTGGTCTACAACCTTGATACTAGTCAGAGCTCTTATCAAAGAGAGAAGGGAAACGTCACTGGTATTTCACATCACTGATTTCAGACGTCAGGGTGAGTTGAATCCCTCGACTGGCAGCATTGCTCGCCCTTCCTAAACATCTGTCCGGTCATCGATAGACAACTGCTCGACACACACTGACACGCAGGGCCCGACCAGGGTACAGCCTTCAGCAATCTTTCTGCTCCCCAACACAACATCTGTAAACTAACTCTGCAATCAAGGCATCATCCGCTACCTCCTTTAAAAAGTCATAGTGCTTTTAAACCAATGAAGAACGATAAATGGATCATTATAGCAATACAGCTATTAAGCTTTCAATATGGCAACACACCATCTCAAAATGGCAGCACATTATCACCACCAACACTCTCCAATACAAGCATAAACTTCAGCAGCCCCAGCGCTACACGAAAACAACAGGAAGGGAGAGAGCATTACATGTATACATACCATGAGCCCCTCCAGTGCTGGCTCGCACAATGCTTGAATGTCTTCCTGTTTCATGACCAGTGGGTGCACTAACAAGGCAAGGCCCTTGGCAGCCATCAGTTGCACGTCTTCCGGCAGGCTGCCCAAACTGGGCAACGCTACTTTGACCAAGTAGTCAATGAAAACCTTTGGCGCCGCTCCTCGCTGCCAACACAGAAAACACGAGTCAACGTAAGGGAGGGTGAACACATGTACAAACAAGGAATGGCGAGAGGAAATTGGCCACGCACGGGTCAGTTAAAATGGCCGGGAAAACCATCCTTCATGTATCTGGTATACACTATAATCGGAAGGCCGCTTTATAGCAGCCTCTTCAGCTACAACACTTAGTAGTAGCACAAACTTCAGGCTCTTCAACAACATTCTGAAGTGGTTTTGTTATAGCTTTTTTTTGTCTCCAAGGAAACTTCTTCAGCTACAAGCTATTCGGCACATATACCAAACAACAGGCAAGGCCTACAGGATAAGCATTGGTGGACGAGTGTGGTGAGGATGCGCCGGCACTTATTCACAACAGCCGTGAGCTCATGCACACTCACCTTGCAGAGGTGTGCTGCTTCTGACGCGCACGCTACCGCCCGCAGCATTGCCTCACCTTCTGTTGGCTACACAAACACAAAACAACGACGCCATGCACACAATCAACACTAAAACAAATCCCCACGCTTTCGCTGGACAATAGCGGGAACCAAGGCCACTACCCTGGCAGACACTCAAACAAAGACGCTCAAGGATCCGAAAGAGTCTACAGAACACGAACTGAGCTCGTTTAAAATGAGTCAAGCAAACCTAAACCCTAAACAGTCAGTACTAAAATCCTGCCCCGTGAACCATCTTCAAACTGATGAATTCCTTGCGAACACTTCCTAAATCCCAGCTGTGGCCCTCCCTACACAGCCAGACAGGTCATCATTCACTAGGAATATTTTTTAAAAAAAGAAAAGAAAAAAAAAGATCAGAAAATCTAGTTGCTGGCCTCAGGATAAGGACGAGGCTAATCACCCACTGCTGCACGCAGTGGCGTGGGTACTGGCCAAAACCCAAGCAGTCAAAAGCCTGCCTGGATGCCTGGCGATCCCCGACCACGCAGCACACAGTGTCAATAGCCGAGAGATTTTCATCACAGGCCGTGCCGAGAATAAACAACATGCTAGTAAGGCTTGGATTGTTGGTGAGAAGAGATTCAGGGACCTCACGAACAGAAGGCATAAGTAATACAGCACGGCTAAAAGATCGCCATGCAAACACCAAGGAGTTCTTCGAATTTACTACCCTCCCCCCCCCCCCCCCCACACACACACACACAAACCCCTGGAACCAGTACTGACCTCATCGGCTGCGCTGAAGCCACCAACTGTAGCAAGGACCTCTGCCAACTTCTGGATGCCGGCCTGTGCAGACGTGCACTTCAGCTTGCGGAGTACCAGCATGACAGAACTGAACTGGGTGCCAGTCACGTGTTTAAGTGCCTACATACACACATTTACACACACACACACACACACACACGCGCGCGCGCGCGCACATACACGCACGCACACGCACTCCCGCACACACACAGAGAAATGCAAAAACAAATACACTCAAGCCAGGGTTCACTCACTGACTACGTATATCCCCTGGTGCAAAGAAAAAACCTTCGTTCAGCCGGGTACTGTAAACCGGGAAACTTTCGCGAGCGGATAATTTTCGCGAGTTTCGCGATCACCGCCAAAACGCGAATTTGAATCGCTGAAAACTGAAGAATTTGAACGGAAGTACATGTACTAGTACCACCTGAAAAGACCAAATCGCTAAAATTTCCCGTCGTTAACAGGGGCGTTTTTTTCAAAACGCCAAAGTTGCACACCACAAAAGTTTCCCGGTTTACCGTAGTCCTTCTGCACAGATCAAACATGCTTGTCACGGTGCCATGTGTCATGTATAGGCCCTGAGTGAGATGACTGGTCTCCTAAGACAAGCAGTCTGTACAGCGCCTGCTCAGCACAAGCATGACTGCATACACTCACGAAGCACAGCACCATTGCCAAGTGCAATGTATCGAACACAACCATGCACTGGCCCAGAATCACATTAACCCTTTGGAGCCCCAAATAATCCTGATAATTGTATGCAACTGCAACTGCTACATATTCTTTACCTTATTTTGGCCATAACTTTGGTGTTCGTTTTTGGATTTCTATAATCTTGGGCTTCCTGGAAAGCTCTTCGCGAGCAGAGTAACTAGAGCTCAAATTCAACACCACAGCAGTCACATATCCAACGCCACGGCGCCTCGAACAGTCCACAGAGCTGGATATACGAGCAAATTTCCTCGCCGCCAGCCATTTCACTCTCATTCATTGCGGAACGCTCAATTTTTTTGCACTGAGTTTTGTTTTATGCTGGCCAGGTGCATGCAGGATCGAGGAAGCGTGCTTGGGTGAATCAGCATGTCATCCAAGGGGAAACCCCTCACTCAAGGCCAGTGACTGAGAAAAGTTCGACTTTTGCCGTGACTGAAATGTCGAGCGCGATATCTCTGCAACGCAACATTGTAGCTGTTCGGCGATTGTTGCATTAGAAAGCTGAGCTCTCCGGCTTCTTCCTAGATATTTAGATCGTGGAAATCCGTCAAGTTTCGAGTGAGTTACGAATGTTTTAGTCCATCGACGGTATACCGTCGATATTTGACTGTGCCGGCTCCAAAGGGTTAAACCACCTCTCTCTTTTCGCCCGCTGACTGTTCTTGCCCGACTGCCAGCACATTTAGGCGGGTAACCGTTGGCATAGCTGATCTCGTCCTCACAGGAATCAAGAACGATGTATACAGTACAATCATGTACATTGCACAGCATGGTACCAGCAGTAATTGGACTTGGGTAACGCACATCCAACCAGCCGAGTTCTCGACTCATAAACTTTAGTTTCTACTTAGTGCTATGCACCGAACTTGCCTGTACAATAATAGCTTTTCACACGCTACTCACTTCAGCACTGCTGAATCTCAAGAACAGTTTCCCTAGCCCCCTAGCCAAATTATTACACTCACGTCCTTCGCCTCAGAAAGAATGTACTCCTCGATCTCCGGGTGCGGGTTGACTAACTCCGGAACAAGGTCGACGAGTACCGTGCCCAAGAACGCTACAGCTCTGTCTTTGGCTAGAACTTCAGTCGAGACGATCTGGAGAAACAGGCCAGCTAATCCAGCTGCAGAACAACAGAGAAAGATGGGGGGAGAGAGAGGAGAGAGAGAGAGAGAGAGAGAGAGAGAGAGAGAGAGAGAGAGAGAGAGAGAGAGAGAGAGAGAGAGAGAGAGAGAGAGAGAGAGTGGGTGAGTGGCAGCGAGAGCCATGGAGGATAGAGAGACAGACAGACAGACAAACAGACAGATACCGGTATACACATACGGAAGAGAGAGAAGGGTCCAATAGAATCTGCTACCAAGTATGACTACAAGTATAAGGCCAAAGCAAGCACCAGACAACTGGGGTTAAACCCTGGGGGATAATAGTGAGATTCTGCCACACGGTAAAACGTGCCAAAGTACGTATGGAAACTTCGCCGCGGTACGGGATTTAGTTTGATACGGATTTTTTCATACCGTTTTCCGTGTGAAGCACGCTTCACACGGACTGGACTCCGTGTGAAAAGTGAGCGTACAGAGTACATACTGTACATGTGGCGGGGTGTTCATGCATGCTACGAGCATGCACGAACAGCAGAACCGGTGCAACGTACGAAAATTCCGTGTCAAACTTCCCTGCAGTTGACACGGAGTTTGGTACGTAGTTCCGTGTAGCAGAACCTCTCTATTGAGTCTTGACACTAAATGGTTGGTGGTGGAGAATCAAGCAGACATCAAATTACACGCCATCACGAACAATATGATTATCAAATGCTATGTTTAGCACTGGCACGAAAAGACAAGATCACAGCCGGTCGCAGCTGCACCACAAAAGCTTCCCCACAAAAGCGTCAGCTTGTAGTGTGACCCTGTTTAAATCTCCACCACCAACTGTTTAGTGTCAAGACTTGTGAATGAATAGCAATAACCATATTGCAACCATATTGCTCTGGGTAGTAATCAAGTGAGGGTGTCCAAAAGGGAAAAAGTCTGAAGAAAAAAATGGTCGTCACCACCAGGATTCGAAGCAGGAGCATTCGCTTGGGGCCAATGATGCTCTAACCATTGAGCTACTTCGAAGTATTCCCCTGGCGATTGTTTGGCATGAAACTTTAAAAAATCACAACAGATCACGTTGGACTCTCTCTCATTACGTGTAACCTCTGGGCCCTGCGCATTGATCACTTTTCCGGCAGTTTGCCAAAAAAAATGACAGCCACTGGCAAACGGGGGCCACCTATAGCTCACCTTTCGTGTCTTTCTTCAACAGGGAAATGAGAGCATTTCGCACAATCTTCGTCTCCAAGGCCGAGTCTACCAGAATCAAGCAACGACAGCACAGCATAGCACAGCACAGCGCACACACACACACACACACACACACACACACACACACACACACACACACACACACACACACACACACACACACATATACCAACACGCTCACATCACACTAGATCACAGCATGGTTCCGATGTGAGCGGAAAAAAAGAAAGAAAAAAAAAGAAGAGGAAAAGCTACATTATGTGCGGATGCTGCGCAGCTATTGTCATTGACATCACGAGGAGCAGTACGTAACACATCGGCACACGTTAGGTGAATCTTACGAAGAAGCCATTCTTCTAGCACAGTGAAAACAGCGTACTTCTCCCCCCGCCCACAGCAACAGCTCAGGAACGGCATAGTTGCAATTGGCACAAGAAGTGCAGCACCCAAACATACTGGATAGTAACTATCAGCCAAACTACTAACACTGGCATCATCATAATGGGGACACAACAATTCAATTACAGACAGGTACACGGCACTCCTGCGTAGCATATAGCACATCACAGCCAGCGCATATTCACTCTCCTCGGCACCTGTGTGTGCCGGGATTTCACGGCCACCGGCAAAGCCGCGTCGAAAAAGCGCCAGATCGAAGCAGAGGTTTCGACGGCACGCTGAACAGAGGTGACTGCGGCGGGGCGGAGACCATACTTGATGAGAGACAGCCACAGGCATGCACGCCAGAGATGGCGCAGCACACTTTACCCGGTCTGTCTCCCTCTGTTGAGGCGGTCAGTTGACTGAGAATGCTCGAGTGACCAAGGCTGAAGCCAGCTGAGGTCGTGATTTTCACAACGTGGCTAATTATACAATCAGATGGAACGCGCAACGCCTGGCCACAGCAGCTGTATGTATAGAAATTTCACCACTCGGTCTGAACTGCGCTGGAATCGTGGGACATCATGATGATATATGGCCTACCAGATTGCAGCAGCTGAGCCAGAACATCGCCAATCTGAGAGTTATCCATGCCTTCACGGCACAGTAATGGCAGGGCCTTGATGGCAGCTTGGCGCACCTGCAGTTAAATGACAAGTGCACATACATGCACACGCACACACACACACACACACACACACACACACACACACACACACACACATGTGCACATGTATGCACGTACGCATTCAAGCACCGATTACCACAGACCGTATTCACTTATTAAAAGGGCGGCGATAGTCAAAAGCATGTGTGCCCGTCAAAACTCTAAGGGCACGAGGTGCTACAAACACACTAGATAACATAGCAGGTGGAAACAAGTAACAGGCATACTGATGTGCACACACGCACGCACGCACGCACACACACACACACACACATCCTATTGACTTTGCGCACCCAAGACTCAAGAAGGGCATTGAATTGACCATGTCGGCAGCATTTGCTACTGCCAGCTGTGCAAGCATATTAAATTCACCTGCTGGTCTTCGTCTTCACACAGATCTAGCTGAGCCTCGATGGCACGGTCGGCGATGTCAGGAAAGTGTGCAAAGAACTTGGTGATGAAGTCGGCTGCCAGGCGCTTAGAGCCGGTGCTTCCTTTCGTACCAGTGATGAGTGCCTCATACTCGGCTGTATGCTGCGCACGTTCAAGCAAAGCAAAACAGAATGTCATCATGTCTCGTTGCGAACAGTTTCCTTGGAGACAAGAATGCAATAATATGACGATGATAAGAAGGACACACTTCAGTGAAAACTTTCGAGCTGCTCAAGAGCCTGAAGTGTGTCTTTCTTGTCAGTATTATATCTCTTTGTATTCGGTATGGCACAGAACAAACGTATTCCCTTGATAAGTTGGGCCTGGTTGTAATTCTCTCTCCAAGACATTTCCAACGAGCACACGATCAAAAACGGTCAGATGAAACCATAAATTTCGTGGAAAATCAAACATAAAAAAGCACGTAAAACCAGTGCATTTTTATCAGTCAGGACAGCGTCAAGTCGGAGAGAAGAGGGCTGGCTCGAACGCTGCCAGCAACCGGCTTCCTTACAAATATCGCCAAAGGTCCCTACGGCTAACTCTTAGGAAATTTGGTTGCGACCAGTTCAGCCAGGTACTCTGAGATCCCGGCTGATGAGACCTAGCAAGGTGGTGGAAACAGCTAGCTGTCCAGAGATTGAGTATTTCGCTCCCTCGCCTCGGCTTGGTTGAGTACTCTTTCTGATTAGCTACCTGCTCTCGTGCAAAGCTCGCTGTGTTTGTTTACCGCAGTTAGCGCACTCTTCCGGATTAGCGTCAAAGCTACCCAACCGCTTTTTTTTACATATTAAAAAGGCCACCCAGAATTAATTCGTTGTTTCGGATCACCCGACCGACCGTCTTATTTCTCCCGCAAAATGTTTTTTTTTATTGTGCATGCAAATGTACAATTGTTACATGGCAGTGTACATACACATACATGCACATTGATTTTCAGCAGTCCAGACATCAACCTCGGAAGCAGCCAACTAACAGGATGCAGCGCTAGCGGTCAGGGACGACGTCTTCTTTTATCTCCGATCCGCAATTGGTCCTGAAACAGCATCAGCTCTGCCACCTTGTCGCTTATTGCCAGAAGTTTTGGTGAGAGTTGCTCGCTCGTTTGCCAGCGAGGCCAAGATCTGGTCCTGGAGTGGACATGGACCTGATGGGACAATGGCTGCGCTAAATCTACTATGATCTACAGTCACTTCAGATTTGATCGACAGGCTTGATGGACAAAAGCTTGGATTTTCGATAATGAACATTCCACATTGTCAATTGTATGTATCCACATGGCAGTTAACGAAATAAAAAATATCCCTGACCGACCGACCCTGGTACGGATGAGTGGAGTGACCCGAAACAACAAATTAATTCTAGGTGGCCTAGTGACCTTTTTTAATACTTGAGTGATAAACTGCAGCATGCCTCAACATGAACATCACGCTTTCAGAACAGCATCACATATTGTGACAGTGGCATCCCATTTCAGGGTCTTGATTAAATGTGCAGGCCTTTTCACTTTATTCTTCTCTGATGATCGCATGAAGGCGAAACTCAGAACCACGACTGATAATTGCTTGGCTCCATTCTGCCCAGAAGGCATGGGCTCAGTACAAAATACTTCGTAAAAATCATCACTGAAGAAGGTGGGAATATAAGACAAAGAATAAAACTCCGTGCCCGTGCGCCGGAGAAAGTATCCGCAACATACCGGAAGGTATATTATCCTACACACCATAGATCCGCCACAAGTAGCTCACGCGTATCCATGCACATAACAAAAGTTTCGAGGAGAGACTAATAATAATTCGAAAACAAAATAATTATTCAAAAACGCTAGCAAGAAGCCTCAGTGACGAACTCACCTGAGCTACGTTTTCCCCGGCGTCTGCCAACACACCATAAGACTTGTACAGCACTTCTACGTCCGCCATGCCTGTTCCTTTGCCGACTGAAGTAGATTAGTCTTTCGCTCAACCAAACAGACAAATTTGTAGGACCACACTGAAAATATTTTTGTGTTTCCGGAAACAACGAGCTTGAAAATCCTGAACGAAATTTGTTCACCTCAAAAAACATAAAATTTTGCGCAACTACAAAGTGTAGACATGGCGCCGGGCGGCGCGGCGCGCGCGCTCGCTGCGAGCCTCCATGCTCCAGCTGCATGGCGTACCGCGTACCGCGGTACGGTGTGTACAATGTGTGTACGGTACGGGTTCGTCACGTCAATTGTGAAGACTGAAGTCCGAAGAGGAAGTGACAGAAAGCCCAGTGGAACTGGAAGAGGAAGAAGGCAGTTCAAGCTAGCTGGCGCTCGTGAGCATGCAGTCGTGGAAAGGCTGGACTCAGTCTTACTTTACAACGGGGTGAATGCTTCTCCGCGCAGCAACAAAATAATGGTTTTTCAGTATGTGTGTCAAAAACCTACCTGTTATGTTGTAGTGTACGGTAACGGCGTACCGGTAGTCCACATGGTCCAATTCCCCCGCCAAGTGGCCCTGCCCGCTTTCTAAAAATCCAAAATGTGCACGAGGTTTTTGTTTGTGGTCTTGCAGTTGCATGCACTGACCAGCTTTTGCAGCCAAAATCCTGGCACAGTGCTCAGCTAGCTGGCTTCTGCTTTCATCTTGTGATCAGTGGTGGTGTGCGCCAGAAGTATTCTGCTGCGCTGCACTGATACTGATAGAGTCTGGAGCTGGCCCTACAGCACTTGCTACTACTGTAGAGCTCTAGAGGGTAGGGAGGCAAAGTCACGACTACACACTAGCCAACGATCTGTGTCTGCTACCCACAGAGAGGCTTTTTTTGGCAGCTTGTACTCGTACTAGTACCTTTGTTTTTGAGTCAGGTGAAGTAGTTCAGACTTCTAATACTAATAGTGTGACGAGTTTGGAAAGGCCAATTCTGGAAAAGATACCATACTGGATTAAAGTAGACTGACTGTACAAACTCATACACGTACAAGGTAATAATCTGTGACCACATAATCCCAGCGGTTAAAAGTATCCTGCTACATAATAATAATTTCACGGAAGTAGTACCCTGGAGGCAAGGAACGAGAATTTGGGAGAAGAAAGATGACAACCTACGATTCAGATGTGCTCTTGATGAACTGCGTTCGCGACTACAAAGAAATATACGATTGGTCTAATCCGGGCTATCGCAACGCAACGCGGAAGGCGGCTGCCTGGAACGAGGTGACCAAGAAGTTGGGCATTGACCTAGCAGTGGCCAAGCGAAGGTAGGTCACATGATTTGCAGTGCTGGCCAAAGAAATCCAACTTCATGAATAGAATAGCGCTGGGCGCTACGCAGCCCTAGCACTACACATACTTCGAGTACTAAATTCTTTGTTGCCATCTTCAATAGGTCCGTCAAATGGTAGTAATAGGTTTTTCATTTGACCCGACGAGACCACACGACGCTTGCAGACCACAGCACGAACAGTTCACCAGCCACACTCCACGAAAGCAAGTAGTATTACTCCTGACAAGTCTTGTTTCGTTCCATAAAGTTGACGGGGAACTCATCAGAGGAGAAGCAGTTGTTGAATGAAGGGGTTAAGCTGAATAATGCTATTTTATAGAGAAGATACCGGCGCAAGGTGTAAACACTCAACTAACTCACATTATGGTGAACTGTTCGTGCTGTGATCTGCAAGCGTCGTGCGGTCTCGTCGGGTCAAATGAAAAACCTATCACTACTACACATACTGGTCTAGCGTCTGTGCACTCGAACGCGGCGCTACTTTATTCATGATGTTGGATTTCTCTGTCCAGCACTGTACTTCATTCAACACACACTACAGTCATCACAGTAGTCACTGATAAGATCTCAACCTCGTGCGCCGCAATCTTCTCAGTTAAGTTCCGGGAATATTGAACGAGGCTGCAACCGGGAAAGGGGGGGGGGGGGCGTGCCGGCGAGTATCTCATGGTCTAATGCTGCTAGTGTTAATGTTAGTGCCAATGTTAGTGTTTATACTATCAACTAGGGCTGAAACAATTATACCGATAACTCGCATATTGATCGTTAAGAGTGCAATCGATAATCGTTAGTGTTTGAAACGAGTGCTAACGATTATTTATTAGTGGTGAAACGAATGTCAAAACCGACTAGCCGAATATTCTTCGGCTTAACGAACGAATGAACGAATATTCTTTTGGTAACAGAGATGACATCACATGCCCTCCTCCCAGTCATTTGATGGATACTGTCATTATTATTAGGTATGACAAACGGTAGTGCCACATAAAATGTTCTGCCACATAAGGCTACTTCGAAGTTCATACATGTTATGTGCACCATTGGCAGTCCAGTATGGACATACATGTGCATGCATACAGTACAAAGTCACAGGCAGGCTGTACGCACTGCACTGTGCCGTGTTCGGCGTGCATGTATGTACAGGCACTGATGTTCGAATATTCGTTTCACCACTATTTTTTATGCATGTATATCAGTGACAGTATTCTAGCCCTTGCTCTCCATCTGATAGTGGATATGAGTGCAATCATGTACTTTCAAGCGCAGTAAAATTGATCTTAGGCTTTGAAAGAGATCGGGAAAGAAGACTTTGCCTTTTCGGTTCATTTGTGGGAGAAGTCGGAGATGAGAGCAGTTGCCAGAGGGTGATGACAAGATTCTTCGCTCTACAAAGAAACAACATGAAATTTTCTACTTGAGTAGTTCATGTTGATAAAACCAGCCAGATATGTACAGATGTCAACAAAGCAGGGCCAAACATTTCTAACGTAGCAAAGGCAACATGGAATTTCTTCATAAACTGGTGTTCGATAGAGCCGACAAGATTCGATAAAACCAATATATCGATCGTTAATGATATTGGTTGATCGTTTCAGCCCTGCAGTATCAACAGTAATATTATCATTTCTAGTGTGGTACCACCGGGGAGGGGGCTATATGCCGTAAAGTCCGCTGCAAACGCCCACCCCATTTTTGCAAGATCTGCTGGCCTGTACACACTGACCCCATGCACTGTCACCCCTACTGTACGAAAGTGCATCTCACACCGTAACGGGAAGAGCACTTTGCTACGGTAAACTATGTCCACTTTCCTGGTTTCGAAATCTCTTTGGGCGCTAGCCACGAGCTAGCTCGTAGTGATTTTATAATGATGGTTGTTTTATTTCGCAAATCCGAACGGGTTTTCTTCCGAATAACAAGGTAGCGAAGAACAGAGTATTGAAGGAACCAAATACACTTCTGACGGTGTTTCAAGCCATCATTTCGAGATCACACAACGCCTAAAGGCAGGTGTTTTTCTTGTTTTCAACAAGTTAGCAGCGACTTTGTAGGTGTAGCTTCTGTGACATACCCTGTTCGACTTGCAAATGCAATATTGGGACCAGTCAAGTCGTTGACTGACGCTTCATCAGAACAATTACTGTTCCTGACAGCGCGACATCGTGGCACTGCACAAATTTCTACGGCATTACTCGTACCACATGGAGAACGAACTACCACAAAGACGACACATTTATCGAATGAAAGGAAATCTCGACAGAAGTTATTTCTTTGCAGGAAGATAATGACAATCGCTTTTGCACAGCCTCCTGGTAGGACATAGGCAGTTTGTAGGCATTACAGTCGTTCTCGTACGCATTCGACCACGCCAGTTGTTTACAACTATATTCACCTGAAAAAGACGAAAATAGTATGGACCCGCTGGGGTGGGCGTTTGCTGCGAAGTGGGCGTTTGCTCCGGACTTTACGGTACATGTACATTGTGTGCCCACCTTGGACCTTATTGAGAGTCACATGAATCCGGCACTGTTCAGTATTAAACACCCGTCATACCAGTATGTGTGATAAACAGCATGTTGTGATTACTCTTACACATGTCTGGCCTCTGCATGACTGTATGTGTTCATTGCTGTAGATATTCTTTTATCCGCAATTGCTTCCCAGGGTATGTAATCGGAAAAGAGTATCAAAAGTAAGTTTCTTTCCTTGTTTTGCTGCCGCTGGAGCAGAATATCTCCACACATCTCGGGCTTTTCCCCCTCCCTCCCTCCCCACCCCTCTTCTCTCCCGTCCCTTACACACACTCAAGCGCACACTCATATTGTCTTTTTAAAGTGCTGCTACGCTAGAGACTTTAGAGACTTGGGCTGGGATTCAGAACTGCTCAACACTTTGCTGGGCTCAATAATTAACCTCCACTCTTTAGCGTAAAAGAAAGAACAAAATGTTATGCGTCATGAGTAACCCATCCACCGATGTAACCAGATCATGTACGGCTAGAGTGTATGACAACAAAGCACAAAACTGACACGGAGTACTGAGACATTCAAAGACCTGACACCTAGCTCCAACACGTCTATAAAGCGCAAACCAACAACCTTCCAGCTTGGAGGCTCAGGTTAGGAAGGTCCAATGAGAGGAAGCCTGAAACGCACAACGAAGATGAGCCCAAGCTACGTCCCACGGCAACAAAGAGTGCTGCTTGCTTCTTGTAAGACTGCTGGACATACACACACTAGCGCGAAGCAACAGACCACCCAACTTGGGTGGTCCAGTAACATTCGGTGATCTTTGTTGCCATGGGATGGAGCTCATGCTCGCCTTCGTTGATTGGGTTACATTGGTGGCCGGTTAGTCCATACTCAAAACTTGTAACAGCCACGGTGTCCTTCCTCTTTTCCACAAACACAACATTGCCATCCTGGTCTACTATTTATGCCACCTATTTTTAGAAATGACGTTTTTGGCTAGCACTTGTGCACGCACACACGCACACACACACACACACACACACACACACACACACACACACACACACACACACACACACACACACACATACTGTACTGTGCTGTGCTGTACTTGCTCACTGCCAAACCTGGTCACGTGGCTCTCGCCGCGGAAGAGGGGAGAGAGATTCAAAAGGAACCTTGGAAAGATGACTCAATTGGCTATTGAACCACCCAACGGCCGACACCCCCTGAAATCCCCGAACTATGGGTGGACTTGGAAATACACACATACACACACCCACATACACACACCACGTCATCTTTTTTTTCTTTCTTGTCTACCTTTCTTTGCCTATGAGGGTGGTGGCATTCCTACGGATGCGGGAAACTCAGGCTAACCGAGTGTAGCGCGAACTGCGTTATATATGTACTCTTGTTAGATAGGTACTCATGTGTACTGTACATAGTAGTAATATACCTACTTCTGTACGACTAGCATGATCACACTGTGCATGCTCTTGTGCAGGGCTTTTTTCCCCAATGTACTGGTGCTTGCTGGATGCTTGTATGCATGGGGATCAGGACACAACAAACTGTGAATTGTTTTCTTTCTTTGTTTGTCCCTCGAAAGGTGGATGAGTAAAAGGAGTCGGTTTGGGTTCTTGACACAGCCGAATAAAAATTTGGAAGCCATTATGTGGCTCAAAGATTACGTCAAGTTTAGTCCAGGTGCTTTTGACTTTCACGATGCCAATGAAGGTGGGTCACAGTGGATGGAGGCAATGGATGTAGTGATATTATTATTATTATTATTATTATGAAATGACCCAAAGGCAATGTGCCTATCGAGGGGTTCATTTGATTGAAAGAACAGTAGATGTAGATGTATGTACAAAGAGAAGTAGGGATTGATGAGGAGAGAAATGGGGAAAATCAACTGCAAGGTGGCGGAATTCCGTTGATTGCATAAGCATAGTCAGCTGTAAATTTCCTGAGGGCAGCTTTGAACTTATAGAGATATGCTAGAGCAATGAATATTATTCAATTTAGGAAGTTGGTTGCACCCTACACTGGAGTTCGCACTTCTCCCGCCGACCTGACTTGACACTTGACTGACGCACGAGTTTACATGACGCATTGCGCCTGACCCGGTTTGAAATTTCGCCCCGAGTGGATTTCAACCCTCCCCTTGCCCTGAACTCGACCCGGGTTTATTCTCTTGTAAACACAGCCTAACTGTGTACTTGGTGCATACCTGTAAGGCTGTGTTTACATGAAGCGTTCAACCCGGGTCGGATTTCAACCCGCCATGTGCACAAAATGAATGGCGCGTTTACATGACGCATTGCGCTTAACCCGGGTTGAAATTTCGCCCCGGGTTGATTTCAACCCTCCCCCCAAGGGGAGGGTTGAAATCAACCCGGGTCAAGAAAATCGTACAAACGTACTTCTGTGCGTATCTCGCGCCAGGTTTGAACAGCACTGCAGATGCAAATTTCGCGCGAACGGATTCACGTGACCATACAGGACTGTAGAAGTGGACTTTTGGCGGCATATCAGTATTTGACCCGGGTCAACTGTCTTCATGTAAACGCTCACCTCTTTTGTCTATCGTACAGACTTTCAACCCGGGCTGAACTCGACCCGGGTTGAAATTTCTCATGTAAACACAGCCTACCAGATACACCATTCACAGGGTGCCTTCTGAATGCATGACCTCCCTACCCACTGTGCTGAGACCTGTGGTACGTAGGATACACCCACAGCTTGTGTACATGCACTTCCGTTCGCGCCGCTGTGCAAACCGCACACTTGTACTAGTTGTGGCTGTAGCTTCTTTGACCTTGATGCATTTTTGTTCCGCTATGCTGTTGCAAACTGCAACCCCAATGCTACGTGTCCTGTACATCAACAAAATTTATATTCGGCCCGTATCTATTTTCGGCTTGACGCTGTGAGGCCTAAATTTAGTTGCGGCTGAATTTTTTACTCGCATGACACAGTGCGACAGTATGTATGTGGGCAAGCGCCTCACAGGCTGAAATTTAAAATGCAGCCGGAAATTTGTAGAACTACACTATACATGCTGACTCGCGCCATACAGCTATGAGTGATGGATGTAGTTTGCTGCTTTGTGTAGGGTGTACTTACGGGGAAACTGGATCCGGCACTGAAGACTCAGAGGCGCATACCGACTACAGCGATGATGATGAGAATGATTGTGAGGCGCTGTATACGGGTGCCATGTCCAACTCTACTGCCTGTCCCAAGGTAACTGAAGGTGAGTGATAAAGAGCCCAGGCTTGAATCAATCTATGCAACACCCACTTCAATTTTCAGTTCCTTTCTATTTATGCCGCCCTTCAATGCCAATCCATAGCCATGTTTGCATTTGCGTGCGAAAATTTGTGCAGATACATTGCTGTGTCCTGGGCCGGCCGTAGAAGCACTTATGCACGCCGAATGTATAGCCCTGCTAGACATAAGTCGATCATCTTCGCTTTCTTGTTATTGGGCAACCTGCCCGTTTGAATCTGCGAAGTAAAATAAACAACAACATCTCCTGCCATGCTTGAAGAGAGCATTCTCGAATTGCCGTGCTCGCGCAGGGCTGTAAAAGTTACCGTTTTTTTGTTTTTTGTTTTGTTTTTGTGTATACCGTTATGATGTTGCTCTTGTTTAAATGCTACTATTGTATTCTCCTCCCTGCAGGTGCAGTCTGCAATGTACAAAAGGAAAACAACCCACCTGCTGCTGTGAACAGCAAAGCGGAGAATAACGCACCAACTGCCGTGAATGCGAAGGAGGACAATAGCCTGCCCACTGGCATGAAGAACAAGGGGGAGAACTGTCAATCCGCCACCTTGAATGACAACAAGGAGAATAATGCACCCACGGCTATGAATGTCGAGGAGAAAAATAATGTACACACTGATGTGAACGTCAAGGAGAATTACACCGCATCCGCCGCCTTGAACGTCAACAAAGAGAATCACGCAGCCACTGTCGTGAGTGCCAAGGAGGTCCATCCCGCACCTGCCTCTGCAACTGAACTGGATGAAGCACAGCGAGGCAGGAAGAGAAAACCTGAGGAGCAGGCTGAAGTCTCTCCTGAGCAAAAGAGAGAATTTGTTGCATCGGAGCACAGTTAGATAGACAGACGCTTAGAACCAGGCTACAGTGTAATGGTTTAAACTCAGCTCTACATTATGTAACATATGTCCATGTGTGTCAGTGCGGAAAAAGCAGTTGCATCCATGCAGGACCAACACAAAAGAAACAATAGCACCGATTCAGGACCAACACATCAATGCAGGACCAACACATCGATGCAGGACCAACGCGGAAGAAGTAGTTGCATCCAGGCAGGGCTAGAACTTAGAAGCATAATCATAAAGGAAGCCCACGTTCAACAAGGCCTGCTTCCGCTGTGACCTCCACAACACACATTCGACAGAATCTGCGTTCCACTCAGTGGCCACTAAACTGCCGTGGACTTCTGAGGCGACTTTTGAAATCTACCTCTCCGAAAATGAGTGTAGCCTAAGCTGCCTTGATGGCTGAAGTTCCGATACAGTCATGTTATCCTTGATTCCAAGTTACCGGTACATGTATGTATGTATGCCAGGTGAGATTCAGTGGGCAGTAGTCACATGTACTTCAGTACAGTGTAACCTACATGTATCTTCAGCAGGCCCCCCCCCCCCCCCCCCCCCGTAGAACCTTGGACAAACTGGACACATGTCTTAGTAGACAGGCAATCCCTCTGCAACAGCGAGACTGTAAGATGTACATGACCCGTTCTATAGTGTACAGTTGTTGAATCTCGTATGCTAATACTACCATTCCGGCTGTGTTTGGAGCCAGGCCCGAGCATCAAGACAAAATGTGATTCATCGGCAGGCCCGCCCGTATTGCAGCTTGCGGCATCGCTCAATGCTGGATGTGCAAGGAGGAATCAGTGTTGTATTCTTTCTTTCTTCATTTCCCTAGCTCAGCTACTGTTACATTTGTCACAGTAAACACTATCACACACATCTGTGGACATGACATCATTCATCCCATGGATATTCCATTATACTTTTTGAAGTAGTAACATACCGGTACATGCAAAGACTTTAAGTGCAATACTGTGCACTTTCTTTTCCATGCGATCCACATGATAATCATTTCATCGGTACGATTTTACCCTAAGAACTTTCTAGAAAGAGGTGTACTCCAGGGAGTCGTCAAATAATGGTATTTGACGACTCCCTGGTGTACTCGTACTCCGAAAGAAGTACATGTATCATTGTATGCTCTATAATATTTTCAACTATGATTTATCTTGAGAATCCTCAGTGCGCTGTGACTTGACACGTCTGCAACAAACCTCCAGTAAACGTAATAATTATATTACATGTATAAAGAGTTGAAGAACACTTGAAGCATTGAGTTGTGCATAGGGTTTGCTCCACCCCTAGCACACGCCGTGAATCCGTGATGTGGTGCATGTGCACAAGTCAGTGTACAACCCGTGCCCCCCCCCCCCCCCCACACACAATAATACAATGTTACATACATGACTGTACAGTCATGTACAGAGTCAGTCATGTTACATGCCGGCTGCCTAGCTGTTGTCTGTGTCTGGGAAGTGGAATACATGTACGTATAGAATTCTTGCATTCAAGTACGCAAGTGAGTTCCCCGGGAAGTGTGATTGGATGAAAGGGAAGTGAAAAGGGGTCAAGGGAAAGACTTGCGAAACGCTGATATCCCACCGGGGGTATACATGACAACAAGTACAATATGTGGTGAGTGTTTGGTCCCTGGCCTGGGGACAACTGCGCGAGTGAAAACGATGAAACTCGAAAAAGATCGACCGGTACGCGGTGGATCATGGTGGATGGTACCGGTACAGGATCCGATCAACAAGTACATGTAAGTAAATAGTTACCTGGTGCATTGTACCATCTTCGCCCAAGACAAGTCACCATCAGAATCAAACGATTCAAACCTCAACAGGTGTTTTAAGTTTTGTGTCTTTTGACTTTTGTCTTGTTTTGATGCCGGGTTGCAGCCAACGACGTAAAGACTCGGCCTGCAGCCTGCGCTGTAGTTGTTACCAGGGAGTAGTACAATACCATTGTACAGCTGTACTACTAGTACTAGTAGTATTCCCTGGTTGTTACGCCTGTGCGCTGGAGAAAGTGATTTGTAACGATGAGTTTGCTTCTCGGCTTGCATCATCCATACATCGCTCTTGTCTTGCCCAAGCTTGCAAGCTTGACGGCCATGCAGATGACAGAAGCAGAAAGATGGACAGGTCGATACAGTATCATAGTGTAGATCTACCAGGTTTGACACGCATACCCAGGCGCTACACCTGTACACCCTGCCGTAGATCTACTCGACAACAGCACCAACAGACAACTCTGGCGAGGCGCGACTTCCGCACTTGAGCCAACCCCTTCACCACTCCTTGCACACTGCACACACCCTGCAGGGAGATCGACCCCTGCACATGGCCCAGCTGACCAGTAACAGAATGATACCGGGAATAGCCTGTCAGGTAACACTTTTCATGATTGATTGTGTAGATCCCTGGCGAGGGTTGAAAACTGAGTATACTCGCGTGTGGTGAGCGCTGTCGATGATTCAGATAGGAAGGGGACATCTGGGGTGGTTGTGGCTTGCGAACCAGCGTCTACTGACACTGTAGTCTGCCACTTTTGTCTTTCTTTAGTGCCAGTCAGTGCTCACGCCGCGCGTCACGATGATAACAGACTTCAGTGACGATGTGCTTTTGTCTGCGAACTGTCATCAGGTCATGATGTATTATAATATAAATATTAATTATATAAGAAAGGTTTGCTCCCCACACCGGAGCTCGCGCTATTCCGCCAACTTTACTTGACACTTGACTGACTCACGACTGCCATCCAGAGCACACGAGAAGTCCATCGAACCTTCGACTCGGCAAACCTGCAAGAAAGCACCACTCCCTGCTCAAAACACAGTGTTTCGGGGAATTCACCCCTCATCAGTTGAGCTTGAGTAGGCTGAGGAAGATTGTGCCTGAAGAGCGCGAGCTCCGGTGTGGGGAGCAAACCTTTCTTACAAATCATCGCCGAAGTCGCAACCACTACTTCGTATTAATTATATAATTACATGTATTACACACACTTGAGAGGGATCAAAATTACATGTATTATAGAAGCCTTGCTTGATAGTTGAAATCGAAAACATGATTGTGTTAGTATTGCCAAGGCAAGATCAAGAGTTGATAACCGCCAGGGGTTATTATTCTTATGAATACTCTTGGCACTGGAAATACTTAGGCTGCAGACTCCCCCACATGCCAATGCCATAGCCCAGTTATATAGCCCATTACGTATGTAGGAATGCATCCACCCCACAGGGATCCAACTCATCCGAGGAAGTCAGTGTAGTGCCGTCACTCACGCGTCAGCGGCGAACCCAAGAAACTCTGCCGTGGGCATGTGGCGCAATACTGATACCGACTCAGCGATAGTGTGAATTTTTAGTGCAGGACGTCATGGCACAAATGCAGCCTGGCCCGAGCCAGTGACTGCTGAACAACACCAAAACGGTAACCGTTACATCCTTCTCCTCCTCTCTTCCCTGAAATAATTAATCTAATCTGCCCAGTGAAGTGCTAGCTAGAGACGTCTAGACCGCTTACACACCATAAATCCTCGCTCCCGTTGTCAAGTGTCATCGGATTGCACCATTATGAGTACTGCAACAAACACACAGTCATTGACTCAATACAAGTACAAGTCGTGTTACTGGCGATTGCGTGAATCAAGGCCCGGCACTGCCTCGCGATCGTCCGGAGGTAAACATGGTAAAAGCAGTGCTGATTTGGCTCATATAAATGTAGAGGCAGACTTCGCAGCGCGGAAGGAATCAAAGAAGTGAACGTTTTGGTATTCGCGAAAAAGGTGAGCTTGCAAGTCTTTGCAGATGTTGCTAGCGGCTGGTGCTGTTCTGTTACTTTGACTTGACTGTCCGTAGCGCCTTCCACCGCATAACTGCACCGTGCTGCATGCAAGTGACGTGAAAGCGTGTAATGAGCACGTGTCAGCTAGCTGCACAGGCATCGGTCTGAAATTTTGAAAACAAATTGATCCTTTTGAATTTATTGCACAACCAAAGTAAAGGACGTTCCTGCAGTCTTCCTTCTGATCTCTACAGAAGAAGGTACCCTCTCATCTGGAGATCGAATTTTATCCTCTGGAGCTGCATAACCTGGAAGAGGCATGGCATTGGCGGCGTTTGCTGTTCGCGGAGGACAGCGCTGCTCGTCACTGTCGCGCAGTGTCCCTCTGGTAAGTAACTATTAGTTGTGCTGCAATTTCTTTTCAAAAGTTAAGGATTGCAGATCTACTAATGACGACGCTTGGCAGTTTTTCTTTGCCGTTTCGTACACGAGATGTACACAATTTGCAGTGGAACATGGGAGTAAATTTGCCATGAGTGAACTGTTATAGTACGTGTATTTGGAGGCCTACTTATCATATCTCCAGGAAATGGTTAAAGGGGAAGTTAAGGCAAAAATTAAAATTTCACCAGTTGTAGTCTTCGGGGTGCTGAGTCGAATGGTCTTGGTCCGAGAAAGCTGAGACGCTCCCTTCCTACTTGAATCCCAATCGAACTCGCGCACTTCCACCGAAACTGGGTGACTGCGCCCTACTAGATGGGGATTTGTATGCAAAATGTCACTAAAAGCGCCATTTCGTTCTTATAAAAGCACGGATGACCGCGATTGGCCCATATGTTGTAGTCTTTTGGACGCTGAGTCGACTGGTTTTGGTCCGAAAAGGCTGCGATGCAGCGTTCCTCCTTTATTCCCAATCGAACATGGTTGAACAAGTGGTCACGTGCTCCTGGGTGCCCAAATCACCTGGTCACCACGCCAGCAGGTGACAACTTTCACACCAAGGTTCAACTCGAGTGACAGGACTGCACCCAAAAATGGTCAAACAGGCTAGTAAGTTGTACCCTGCAGGCACGGTGACCAGGTGACTGGTGTACGCAGGAGCACGTGACCGCTTCTTCAACCATGTTCGATTGGGAATAAAGGAGGAACGCTGCATCGCAGCCTTTTCGGACCAAAACCAATCGACTCAGCGTCCAAAAGACTACAACATATGGGCCAATCGCGGTCATCCATGCTTTTATAAGAACGAAATGGCGTTTTTAGTGACATTTTGCATACAAATCCCCATCTAGTAGGGCGCAGTCACCCAGTTTCGGTGGAAGTACGCGAGTTCGATTGGGATTCAAGTAGGAAGGGAGCGTCTCAGCTTCCTCGGACCACGACCATTCGACTGAGCACCCCGAAGACTACAACTGGTGAAATTTTAATTTTTGCCTTAACTTCCCCTTTAAAAAAAGTTGGCTGCCAGAGCATGATCACGCAATTCCTCCGTGTTGCTATTTTTATAGAAAAGAAAAAGGTATACCCAACTCGCAACACACTAACTGTCGCGTCGTTATCGTTACATAGACCGACGGACAAGATAATAATTTTAGACTCTGACGAGTATACTTGGTTGGGAGATTTATTGATTAGACTGAAAGACTGATTGTAGAAATACTTGGGTTCGTATAAATAAGTCTCTGTATAATTACTTCTCTGGCTACTAGTAAATACTTCTCTGGATACTAGTAGTAAATACTTCTCTGGATAAATACTGATCTGAGAGAGAAGCATACATATGTAACTCTGAAACGAGTGGAAGCAAAATATATCTGTCTACGTGGACGAAGGAGCACCGAGTTCTTTCCTCGTGTGCTGACCTCGTTGCCATAGAAAATAAACATGGTTTCCTCGTGTGCTGACCTCGTTGCCATAGAAAATAAACATGGCGGCTGTACGCAAGAAAAAATCTCGTGCGTAAAAAAATACACAAAAATACGTAAAATAAATAATTCGGAATCTCCGTCGTGAGATTCGCGACACTAACAGTCCTTGGCTACACCACGTACAGTTGAAATTGTCCAAATTTTCACCCAGGAGGGCATCATCAGGGATTATAGGAGAAGAATGATACAAAGTTGGCTTTTATAAGACAGTACAGGAACAGTCACATAATTCACACTACATACTTCACACTACTACATGTAATCTGAGACACGTTATAAGCTAGCACTAAGACATAACAATGTAAGTGAGCATTTCATCAAGTGCAAAGTGGGCGTGAAACAGCCATGGTTGAGTTGATGTGTGTGTGTGTGTGTGTGTGTGTGCCTGAGGTGGGGTATTCACCGACAGGAGACTTGGTCGGATAGTTACGATGCCGACACTCTCCTCGTCGCCCCACCTCAGAGTCCTTCGCGAGGCCTTGCAAGCCCGCGAGTGGAGCAAACTACCGCACGAAGACGACAACTTGGAACGACTCTGAGCATTGGTTCATGGAATGTTTGCTCTGTTGTGGAGAGTGATGGACCAGTTCGAACGGCCGCCGTGAGAGGAATCGTTTCCGACGATAAGAAAATCTTTCAAATAGTTGAACATCTTGACAATGTGTGTGTTCTCTGCTCTGGTGGAGGACGGTTGTACTTTTCGGGCTCTTGTTTCTGGCCTCCGTCCGTGCTTGTTCTCGCCGTTGTGGACGGCCTGGGGTGTCCCCAGCCGTCCAGGCCAACAGTGCCTGAGGTGGGGTATTCACCGACAGGAGACTTGGTCGGATAGTTACGATGCCGACACTCTCCTCGTCGCCCCCACCTCGGAGTCCTTCGCGAGGCTTTGCAAGCCCGTGAGTGGAGCAAACTACCGCACGAAGACGACGACTTGGAACGACTCTGAGCGTTGGCTCATGGAATGTTCGCTCTGTTGTGGAGAGTGATGGACCAGTTCTAGCGGCAGCCGTGAGAGGAATCGTTTCCGATGATAAGCCAGATCCATAGCTGCTGGAGATGGCTCTCTCGAACATGGTCCCGCTCGTCGTTCTATATTGTCGGCCCCGTAAGGGGACACGTGACCGTAATGGCAGTGTTTACCAGGTACCAGGTGTGTGTGTGTGTATGTGTGTGTTTGTGTGGTGAGACGGGAGGGGGGTTAAGAGTCAAGTATGGAGTGTGTTAATCTTCTCAAGCTCTCAAGTCAGGTGTGGTTATCCATTCGAGATGTCGAATCTGAGATCCCGCACTCGCTGTGATAACAACAAGGTGTGGAATACCCAGTCTGTAGATCAGCCATGTGCTGGGAAGTTTGATTCATGCCGAAAGGCGCCAACCCTTGTCGCTGTTCACCTTTGGTCGTCGATTTCTGATCTCTGTTGCCTCAAGGTACTTGCGTGATGGAAGAGAAGGCTCCCTGCCGAGAATCTTCGCCTGGTGGAAGGGCTGAAATTGTGAAGATGATGTGTGAGATTCTCGGTGGTGGGTTTTGTAGTGGTTGCCCCAGGGAGCTTTCTCCACCATCGTCCGCGCTTCCCGGTAGTGCTCCTGAAACCGCTCCCGCACTGGCCGCTCGGTTTCCCCGACGTACAGCTCTTGACAAAGCGTGCACATCATACTGTAGACAACATGCTTCGCCACACATTCACGATCAGACATACCCGTATCACATGCTCTACACACCATCGGTGCGCCACGACCACGCTTCACCTTCGCTCTCTGCACCTCACGGGGACATACACGGGCAGACAATGATGACCGAACAAGTTTCCTCTTCAGTGATGGACCAGATGTGAACACAATACGAACATCAGGACTGAACCGGCGCACGCGTCGAGAAACCCGCGCGGACAGTGCTTCGTTGATAAACGGCAGCTTCAGGATGACTTGGTCCGGTTTCTTCCACTGGCGGGGTGTTGCATTTGCGAAGCGAGCAGCATTCTTGATGGCGCGGCTTATTTCATTGTCCGGGTAATCATTTGCCTTCAGCAGTGCAGAGATCTTCCCAATCCCGGCTTGTCTTCCCTTTTCGGTCGATGCGTTCCTCATAGCCCTGCCAAACTGGTTCTTAGCTACTGCGCGCTTGGAGGCCATCGGCACTGCTGAGTAATACGACAAATGTACTCCACTGTGGGACGGCTTGATGAAAAGCTCCCATTGAAGCTGACACTCCGCACTGATGGAAATAGTTAGGTCAAGGTAGTCGATACTGCGTGTGGCGTTGTCTGAGTGATTGACTGTGAAGCGAATGAATGGATGTTGACTGTTCATATGTTCGACAAAACGCTCCAACGCTCTCCGGCCATGGCGCCATAGCATGATTATGTCGTCTATGTACCTTTTGTATAGGCAGGGTCGATTCTCATGCAGTGCCAATGCAGACTCTTCCAATGATGCCATGAATATATTATAACACTATTAAAAAAAGTACTGAACGCGTCCTCCGTACTCTGCATTTTCTTGCCGCAGTGGTCGACGGCAAGCCGTGCTATCTCGACCAGTGCGGAATGGCGCAAGGAAGAGGAGTCTCCCGGCTCTAGCGCGTCGAACCACGGCGGCCAGCACTTCCGTACCAACTTGCAGCACCACCCCATGTACAGCGAACTGCCCAAGCCAGACTACGACGTGCAGAAGAAGTCACCTAACAGTGGTGCTGCTGCTGCTGATGGTGCCGGTGGTCAGGCCGGTGGTCAGGCCGGTATGGTTGCAGAGGAGAAGTACGAAGACTATGTGTTACCGCACTTGATCTGGTGGGTAGAGCTGGACATTGAACATTATTTTGTATTGTAACGTGCCTACGTGTGTCAGTGGTGTGCCCGACATTGCTCCTCGTGTTGCAGTTTCAAGCTTGAGACTTTCTGATACTGGTTTGACCCTTGAATGGTCTTTTTTCGTTGGATTTGTTTTATCGTCTCTGTGATCAGGGGCAAGAATGAAGCGGAGAGCGTCACAATCACCCACCATGAGCCCGCCGACAAGACAGAAAAGGTAAGACCATGATCATCATTATGGCGTCCCTGTCGGCTGTGTGTGTGAGAGAGAGCTTCTTTGACATGACTTCTCGCCGTAACCAGTAGTTCTCTTCACTCGTTTCTCTATCGTCCTGCTCTCCATTCCTATAGCTTGCCTACTACACTGTACGGCTGCTGCGCTTCGGCTTCGACATCCTCTCTGGCTATCAGTTTGGAAACATGAACGAAATCAAGTGGCTCAGGTGAGTGTTCTACAGCAGCCAGAATAGACGTGTCGCACATCTATCACATGACCATATCGGGCAGCCATGTTGCTTCCAATACCAGTGAAGCACCTGCATCAATGGGTCACGTGATGTTGACCATTAGTTTTTGGTGCCATTGTCCACATAATTATGTACTTCGAAGTACACTTTCTACGCAGATGCAGTCATGTGACCAAGAATGAAGATGTATCCGCACCTGATTACTGCCTGGTTGGTCTGTCCCCATGTCCATTTCTCTGGATGCTTGTTGCACAGCTTCATTTTTCTTGCTTTCCTCTTCCGTTTGCAGGCGAATTATCTTCCTTGAAACGGTTGCTGGCGTGCCTGGTATGATGGGGGCAATGGCACGGCACTTGCAGTCTTTACGCCGCTTCGAAAGAGACCATGGCTGGATCCACACACTACTCGGTAAGATACTGGCAAGAATACTGGTAGTTAGTGAGAGAGTCGCTCAGGAAATCGCCCGATTTTGCGACGTCAATTTTTAACGACTGAGAACTCAAGTTGGAAACAGTACAGTCAGTTAGTGCCGACCGGAGGAACACGAATTCTCTGTTGACGAGACTAAAGTTTAGGGAAAACACCTCTCCTTCCCCGAATCACTTAAATTCAACCTTTGCTAAAATGACAAGTAGAGATCTGTTATAACATAGGTGTGTTGTTATCAAATTCTCATTTTGAAACCACTCAGTTGCACACATTTTAGACTGTTTTTGGCACTCGTACATGACTGTAATGACAGTATAGTAACTGGAAGTGCATCTCAGTTTGTGTCAATGTCCCACAGCATCAGTTCACCTGGATAATTCCATGAGTGTTGTCTCCTTCTGTGGTATCATCACAGAGGAAGCAGAGAACGAGCGAATGCACCTGCTGACGGCGCTGGAGATGCGAAAGCCGGGAAATCTCTTCCGCTTCAACGTACTTCTGCTGCAAGGTGTGTAGAATCGGCTGGTTTCCCTCTCTCTCTCTCTCTCTCTCTCTCTCTCTCTCTCTCTCTCTCTCTCTCTCTCTCTCTCTCTCTCTCTCTCTCTCTCTCTCTCTCTCTCTCTCTCTCTTCCCTCTCTCTTTTTCTCTCGCTCTTGCTCTTTCTTTTGTCCATTTCCCTGGCAATACGTTCTCATGTTAGCCTTAACCCGTCCTATTCTGTTTTTGACCGCTTGTCTGCGTGCGGTGCAGGTATTTTCACAAACATCTTTTTCGTCGCCTACCTTGTCTCGCCTCGCTTCTGTCATCGCTTCGTTGGCTACCTGGAGGAGGATGCTGTGAAGACGTACACTCACTGCTTGGCGGTATGTTGATGACCTGGGCTTGGTGTTGAAATATTTGTTTGCAACCACCACTCACAAGTACAGGAAAACCTGGTTTAAGCGACCACCCCACGGTGCAAGCAAAAGCGGCCGTTAAGGCCAGGTGGTCTTTAGAACCAGGTGCCACAGTGTCTGTGTAGAACTGTCGGTGCATGGAAAAGCGGTGGTTAAGAGCAGGTGGTCGCTTACACCAGGTTTTACTGTACTGTCACCTACACTTATAAGGAACTCGCATATCGCGAATTTCTTGATAAAGCGAACCGTTGTCCATGTCCCTGTTTCAGCCCACCGTGCAAGTGCATTTTTTTTTAACGAGCTTCGGCTATAAAACTAATTCTCCTGCACAATGGTGTTCGTTATATCAGGAGTCGACTGTACGTGTGAAGTTTGGACAGCCCGGTGTTGAACATTCACACTACTATTAAACGCAGATTTGAACCACTGTATATGCCCGGTGCGTGAGATACACGTCTGTTTCGAAGTATTTCTGATCAACTCAGCCAGAATTCCATCCCACAGCTCGTATCCTGACATACATTCACAGACAGTGCAAACAAGGCCAGATATGTTTTGCCTTCACGGGAGGGTTGCAGCTTATACTGATACCCTGAACCATAGTGGGAACAACATGCAAGATCTGTATTCATACAGTGTATTATTTCTAATTTGCATGGCGCATGCATTTTTGAAGTACCTCCTTTCTCTACTGATACATTTGCTGCATGTGTTCATTTGGGATCAGACTGGCTTTGATTTATGACTGATCTGGTGTCATCATTAATTTTTGTTTCCTACTCCAATCCCAGGAGATTGACAGTGGTCACTTGAAGATGTGGTGCAAGATGCCAGCGCCGCCGATTGCTGTCAACTACTGGCGCCTAGGGGTAAGTGTCACCAATATCTGCCCAGGGGTTTCCCCTGTTCGGCACCAGCCTGCTTACGCTCCTGTTCCGCATAGGGAAACACCTGTGGGTGTGTGGGTGGGTGTGGTATGCGTGCACGTCTGTCTGTCTCTCCCTCCCTCCCTCCCTCTCTCTCTCTCTCTCTCTCTCTCTCTCTCTCTCTCTCCAATGTTGTGTCACTGTACTGTTATGACAATCACTTTGAAGAATCAAGTCTGCCTTTAAAAAAATTCAAGTTCACATACAGTAAAATATTATGTAAGGTGAAGATCACGAACATGGCTTTGTTATATTGTACGTACTGTACATGTGCTCCGCAGTATGTATTGACATAGCAAACCGCAACATCCCTCCTCTTTCTACTTTGTGCATGTGTGCACGTGCAGGAGGGTGCAATGATGCGTGACGTGATCCTAGCTATCCGTGCCGATGAAGCCCATCATCGACTGGTCAATCACACCCTTGGCGGCCTCAAGCCTGACCAGAAGAACCCATTCGGTCCAGGAGAGTGATGGGTGGCTTTCTCGGCAAGAACAGACATAGGAACAGACAAGTTGACGCTGTCCCGTCTCATCACTTTCCATAAGTTTCATCCCAAGAACTCTCTGCAGTCTACAAGCGACTTGTTTGCCGCCGCTCCACAACCATATCCATCTTAGCATGCCTTCTACTTGCTACTGCGCCAATGCTTTTGCCTCATTTTGTGGAGTTGCGTTGCGTTCAGTGCACAATAGGTTCGCTTCTGCTAGTACAAGCACTCTACATGTTGGAGATTGCATAGTGCAGATTGACCACTCTACATAGTATGTTGATGTTGGCTTTACATAGTACCCAGAATCATCTGAAAACCTACGACAATACAACGTAGTGTCTCTTAACGAATACCGGACAGGAGACCAAGTGTCCGTTACTAATGCACATATCCTGATTATATTAACCTTAAGCTTTATTATTTTGACCATGGTCCATCATCGTTAATGCACGCAGCATATCCGTAACTGCTCCAGTCCTGGTGTTAGGACATTTAGCTAGGCCACCTATCTCACCTCACGCGTAACAACAGATTTAGCAGTTATCGTACTTGTACTTGTATTTGAAACCACTCTCTCCCACCTGCCTTGAAATACACCGACTGAAGCAGTCTCTGCTCCAGAATCCCCCTCCCCCGACACACACACACACACACACACACAGAGACAGAGTGTTGTGGCAGTGTGCATGTCAATACAACACGCCGTGTATTCCTTTCTTGTTCTGTTGTGTTAACTCAGCCAAAGGAACTTGTGAACGGGCTGACCCACACCTCAAGGTGATCGAAATATAATCATGAAGAGTTGAACAGCTATAAGCCTATTGAACACAATACAATGACTATGTGTGCGCGAAACGATTTCACCTCAGTTCTTGACCTTCCGCTATCCTTGAAGACGCGCGCGTGGCGATGATTCCTTGTTCATTCCTGTCACTAAGACAGCCAATGCGATTGCATCATTTTCATCCGGCTACCATGCAGCCTCACACTCAAATTAGATTTATGGAAGCGTGGTGTGCCTGAAAAAAAAGCTTGCATGCAGAGTTTGTTCGCTGGTGGTCAAAATGTGGACTAAGGTGTAGTGTCCAATCTCATCAAAACTGTTAACCAACCCGAGCGCCGTCTCTGCACCGCTGTATCCAACGCGGTGAAACATGGCATCCGCCCGGCCCCGGACTCACATCACCTTTCAGTATCCGTGTGTGTGTGTGTGTGTGCGTGTGTGTGTGTGTGTGTGTGTGTGTGTGTGTGTGTATGTGCGTGTGGTGGATACCAGGCTAAAAATAGTGGCGGTCAATTCATCAGCCTTGCAAGCTGTTGAATGGTGTAATCCCAGCACAAGTTGCTATGTCTAACATAGCTGTTCGCTATCATCGCTCCCGCGATGGGCATGTCTGAGGTCTGAGGTATGTGCGTGTATGCATGCGCACCCTGCACCAGACCAGCTGTCGCACAACAAAGACCACAGCCTGCTCCAGGAGGTAGATTGACTCGAAATAAAGCAGAGGATGAGGAGATAGTGACTGGTAATAGGTGCAGGACAACGCCAGGTGTGTGTCAAACTGATAAACTAGTATCAGAATGATATAGGATCAGTGAAAGAGTATTAAAATGGTAAATAGAGGTGTTAACGTTAGATAAGTTACCATCAACATATTCAAGGCAACAGCAGCTAGTAGGGTTGCACAGAATACAGGTAATTGCTAGTGACACTGTCCTTTGTCCATTCAGTCCATTCAGAGCGCTGGCGCTGGCTAGATCCCGTATTTGGCGATTTTTCGTGATTTTGTGGTACACGGTGCAGTGCATGCCGCGAGACTTGGAACTTGAAAAGGGGTCCAAAAAGGTACTTCAGCTGGGGTTCGAACCCGCGCAATGTACTGTTATGCAAGTGGTGTGAACGGCCTGGATTTTCATGGTTTTCCTCCAATTCAGTGCTGGGGGGCAAAACCTGGCCGATATCCTATTCTTGTTATGGCTTGCTTTTTGGAGAGATAGACTTCAGAATCATCTTTTCATGAATGGTCAGTATTAAAGGTAAGGTACAGTGCCGCTACGAGATCAAGGACGGTCACGAACCGCCGTGGCAACACACCCTACCTGAGCGGTAAGCACTCCTGTGGTGGAAAGTGGCGGCACCCAGACATGCCCGCACTGGAGTATGTCCCGCCGCTATGAGCCAATGAATGACATCACTGGAGTATGTCCCGTCGCTATGACCCAGTGAATGACATCACTGGAGTATGTCCCGCCGCTATGAGCCAGTCAACTGCATCACTGGAGTATGTCCAGCCGCTATGAGCCAGTCAATTACATCACTGGAGTATGTCCCGCCGCCATTACCCAGCGATTGACATACACTGCCGTACGTCACGCCACTATGACCTAGTGAATGACATCACTGGAGTATGTCCTAGCTGCCGCTATGAGCCAATGAATGATATCACTGGAGTAATGTATGTCCCGTCGCTATGAGCCAATGAATGACATGCACTGCTGTACGTCGCGGCGGTCTCCCCAGCCACCGAAGGGCTTCACGTTTCGGCGCATGCGGGCCACGGGCACGATACTGGTTATGCCTGTCGGAAATTGCTTATACCGGTTGCCGTCGAGGAACTGTATGTACTCCGTGAGAGCATCAGCAGGATTACAGTTCTTCATCTTGAAGTGCACGCCGCTGTCACCATGGTCACAAAACAGAAGAGAAGAGAAACAGGCGACATACAGCAAGTGACATAGCAACTTGGGCTGTGAATATGATGACACTGTTCAATAGCCTACACCACTGAGGAATCAACCACCATTATTTCAGATTGACATTGCATGTCACAGCTGATTGGAGTGGCTTTTTCTGGCCGGAATACTCCAATTGTAGACTTTAATTTTCCACTCTTTTTAATACAGTACGCACGCACACACGCACACGCACACACACACACACACACACACACACACACACACACACACACACACACACACACACACACACACACACACACATGTTCATATATTTACATGTTCATACATACAAATCTGGCTTCGGAAATATGTTTTTCATAGCTATCAGGTTCGGCCTCATTATCTCTGTGCTGCGCCAGACTAGTCCAGTACAATCCACTATTCAACTGTCCTGAAGACCTTTCAATGCCGTGGAAACCTATTGTGCTATATCATTTATGAGACGGCATCTTGCCCCGGAGGCCTCCCTACTTCTCCACAGAGGTTATGTGCGCCCGACTCTGGTGGAAAATGCCACCTCAGCCCGGTCCTATAATATTATAGTATATACCCTTACCAAAGCTGAGCTGGAGCGTTTAGACATCTTGCAAGCTAGAGTAGCTGCGAAGCAGGAGGTCTTTGCTGAGTAAGAAAGTTTCCACCTGTCTCTGTCTTCGAGTCCCAGAAGACCGAACAAACTGAACCATGGTGTATGTTCTTCCACTCTGTGTTTCCACAAAGCAAGCATGCTATGGAACTGTTTACCGCCTGTTGCTGCATGACAGCACTGACTCACGGCACCCTTTTCGTTTGTGCTTTGCCCGATTGGGCACCCACTGTAAAGAGCACGATACAACACTTTTCCATACATGTCCGACTCATAATTATATGCCCGTTTGTTCTGCTGTTCGTAATACTAATGTTAGTAGTTCCACGAATGAGTTTGTTCATGAAAGTCATGAAAACAATTTTGAAACATGTAATGCTTCCTCTACAAGTAGGCCGTTTTCATATTCGCACACACGTACCTCCACACAAATGCATGCAAACAATGATCCCGTACACGCACCACATCATGTTGCTGTAGATTTAGCACCTCACCAGCCGTACGCTGGCCAGTCCTTTTTAGGTTCCGATTTGCATGACACTCACACGCGCTCTGTGACCCCGGCTGTTCCTTTTTTGCCTCATGCACACCAAAAGCGTGTCCAGTACACAAACGACGCGCAGATCGGCGAAAATGCAGGCCTTGCTGCAGCCAGCGCAGGGTACCAAAACGGGAGCAGGTCGATGAGCGCTCGTTCACTCACCACTTCATCAGCAACGTCTTGCAGCAGCCGGCGCTCGCTCCGCTCAATCGACGAACTCGACGCGGAAGCGGAACGTATCGCCGCGGAGGAGCTTGCAGAAGTAGAACGAAAGCTGATCCGCAAGAAGCTAGAACTCCAGAAGAAGTTGAACAGAAACCGGTCAAGCGGCAGCAGTAATGCCAGCGTCCGATCAAGTTCGTCCCGTCGATCACGGGAGACCGGCAACGGATCCGAGCTGACATGCGCAGATCGCATTAGCCTAGCTGAGCGCGCACAGCGCGCCGAGCGCGCGGAGAGAAACATGGGAGCAGCGCTTGAGGAAGCCAATGGTCAAATCCAGGATCTGTTACTGGACCACCAAGTCCAAGGTGAGCGGGCTTCAGGGAACGAGCCCAATGGCACACGTCCTACCCCTACAAGTGCAAGGCAGTCACACCCCATGAATCTCACCACCCACCATTTCATGGCAAGGCAGTCCACTGCCAAGGACTTGCCTCAGTTCTCTGGACATGCTGACGAGTGGCCAGCATTCATCTTCGCCCTGGAGCACACGACCAGAGAGTGCGGATTCTCGAACGGGGAGAACCTTGGACGACTGCAAAAGGCGCTGCGCGGAAAGGCAAAGGAAGCTGTACAGGGGATGATGACTCTCCCCGACAATGTAGGGGAGGTCATCTCCATCTTGAGGATGAGGTTCGGCCGCCCGGACCAGATTGTCCAGAATCTCATTCTGAAGACGAAATCACAGAGAGGCATGAAGTCGGAGGAGGCCATCGAGGTACTGATTGAAATCAGCGCCCTGTGCCGCAACCTTGTGGCCACTATGCGAAGCACAAAGTGCACCGGCCATCTCTACAACCCTCAATTGGTCAAGGAGCTAGTTGGCAAGCTGTCTGGGGGGCTTCGGATCCAGTGGGGAGAGTACGTGCTTAAAACCGGCACAGACCCGCACCTGGACACCTTCTCTGCCTGGCTTCAACAGAGGGCCAAGGCTGCATGCCTAGTCGCTCAGCCGAGCCCATGTGACGTCACTCATGCCACTCCACGCACAGGCCAAACGTTCACAGTCGTGGAGGCCACCGCCGGTAAGCCACATTGCCTATTCTGCAGCAAAGCTGGGCACACCACAAGTAGCTGCCGTCAGCTAGCCGCGGAGCCACTTAACGCCCGTCGGCAGTTCGTTAGTGACAGACGGCTGTGCTTCCGCTGCCTTGGCGAAGGCCACCTGGCGAGGGTATGCGAGGAGAAGGCCTGCTCGTGTGGCAAACCCCACCATCCGCTACTACACCGCGATGGCCGCGGAAGTGTAGCACCGCTAGGACGCATGTCAGAGACGACATACACCTCGGCAACCCACGTGTCGGAACACAGTGGAAGGGTGCTGCTGAGGGTGATTCCGGTCACGGTGCGAAACGGAGACATAGCGGCTGATACATACGCACTCCTGGACGAAGGCTCAACAGTGTCCTTGATTGAAAGCGAACTGGCGGAGGAACTTGGACTTGCAGGACCAACGCGGCCCCTGAGGCTGTCATGGACGGATGGCAAGCAGCACCAGGAGTCCAGCTCCAAGGTAGTAACATTCAGCGTAGCTGGCAGGCAGAGACAGGACAGCTTCACCTTGACAAACGTCCACACTCATGCCAAGTTCAACCTGCCAACACAATCAATCAACCCTCAACGGCTGAAAAACTGCCCCCACCTGGAGGGACTTGAACTACCAACGCTGTCTTGCGCCAAGCCCAGACTCCTAATCGGACAGGATAATTACAGCCTGATCGCACCACGGGTGATCGCGGAGGGCCCTCCAAACGCACCCGTAGCTACACAGACCAAGCTAGGGTGGGTTGTTCATGGCAAAACGATCGCCGACCGCTGCAGAATCGATGAAGGCGTGGTCCTCTCCACCTGGGGTCTCGACAGCGACCTCCATGACCTGGTCCAGCAGTCGTTCGCCCTAGACTCCCTCGGGGTCAAGCCTGCGAAAATCCGCAGCAAGGCTGACGACCGCGCACTCCAGCTGCTAGACACTCTCACCACGCGTACCGGACGCCGGTGGCAAACGGGGCTTCTCTGGCGGGAGGACAACATCACCCTTCCACGGAGCAAGGCAACGGCTGCCCAGCGTCTCGAGCAGCTGGAGAGGCGCCTGCGGAAGGATGACACGCTTGCACAAGGCTACCAGAGCAAGATCGACAGCTATTTGGAACAGGGGTATGCCCGGAAGCTGTCACCTGAGGAGGCCACCCACCAGCCAGAGCGGACATGGTACCTGCCACACTTTGCTGTGTACAACAAAGAGAAGGGCAAGGTGCGACTGGTGTTTGACGCCGCGGCAAAGTCGCATGGAAAGTCTCTAAACGACTTCCTCCTCACCGGCCCCGACCTCCTGACGCCGATCACACAAGTTCTGTACAACTTCCGACTGTATGAGGTTGCCTTTGGTGCAGACATCAAGGAGATGTTCCACCAGGTGAAGATGCGTCCCGAAGACCGTCATGCACAACGCTTCCTCTGGCGCGACATGGATGCAAGCAGACCAGCTGATGTGTACCAGATGGACGTGATGACGTTCGGTGCAGTCTGCTCACCAACCGCCGCCCAGTTTGCGAAGAACATCAATGCGCACGACTTGGCTTCCGGAGATGCGCGAACCGTGACAGCCATAGAAGAGTGCCACTATGTCGACGACTATTTCGACAGCACCCCAACAACCGAGGAAGCTGTAGCACTGACTCGCAAGGTGATGGACGTCCACGAGGGGGGAGGGTTTGTGATCCGTAACTGGGTGAGCAACTCTCCGACGGTCCTCGAGAGCCTTCCATCAGATCTGAGGTCACCAAGAATCGTGAACGTCCACAGCCACGACCTCCCCATCGAGAAGACCCTGGGCCTCCGATGGGACCCTGCGAAGGACACTCTTGGCTTCTCCTGCGGCACGAAGCCAGATCCAAAGGCACCAGTCACGAAGCGAAGCGTCCTGCGACACACAATGTCGGTATTCGACCCACTCGGCCTGGTGTCCTGCCACTCCATCATCGCACGCATGCTTCTCCAAGACGTGTGGAGAGCTGGCATAGGCTGGGATGATGAACTCCCTGCATCTCTTGCACTGAGATGGACAGATTGGGCTGCAGAGCTAGATCAGGTGGCCACCGTAGAAGTGCCACGGTGCTACACACCGTTGATTGCAGTCGCTACAGACATCCAGCTGCACGTGTTCGCTGACGCAAGCGAGAAAGCATACGGCGCCGCTGCGTACTTGAGAGTAGCGAACCACGGTACTCAGCTGGCAGTGTCCCTAGTTGCAGCGAAGGCACGCGTTGCTCCACTGAAACCGGCCTCGATACCCCGTCTGGAACTCCAGGCTGCGGTCCTCGCCTCGCGCCTATCCTGTACCGTACGGGAGCAGCTGCGTATTTCAATTCCACGGGTCATATTCTGGACAGACTCCAGAACGGTGCTGTTGTGGATACGCTCGGACGCCCGGCAATTCAAACCATTTGTGGCCCACCGGATCGCGGAAATAACAGACACAACAGAAGTAGATCAGTGGCACTGGGTACCGACAAGACTGAACCCAGCCGACGACCTCTCCAGAGGCATCTCTGCCCAGCGCTTGCAGCCGGACGATCGCTGGTTTGGCGGCCCGGACTATTTGAGGCAAGGCGAAGCAGACTGGCCCGCCGAGGAGACTCGTACGCCGGACCCGGATGATCTCGAGCTGAAGCGTGCGTTCAGTGGCGTCCACGCAGCAGCCGGAGACAGCTCAGAGCCACCCAGCCTGAAGGCAGCACTACCAGAGATCGAGCGCTTCTCAAGCTGGTGTCGCCTGGTAAGAGCAACCGCCTGGGTGCTACGCTTCACTCGCCACCTGAGACACGGAGGAAGAGACACTGCCAAGCCGTCGCTGACAGTCCCCGAGCTACGAGCCGCGGAGAGTCTTTGGTGGAAAGCTGCACAAGCGGAAGGCTTCCCAGAAGAACTCGCTGCGCTCCGCAATGGCAAGCCAGTCAACAAGGACAGCCGCCTGGTCCAGATGACACCCTTCATCGACGACAATGGCATCATGCGCTCTGACAGCCGCGTACGGAACGCAAAGGTTGAAAACAAGAACCTGCGCCAACCTGTCTTGCTCCCGCCGAAGCACGCCTTCACTAGGCTGCTCATACAGCAACACCATGTCTGGTCGTTACATCAAGGACAGGATCGCGTAGTGAACGAGCTGCGTCAGAAGTACTGGGTGCCCGGTATCCGCACAGCGGTAAGAAGCACCTGGAGCGAGTGCCAGCATTGCAAGAATCTCCGTGCCAAGCCGCAGCCACCAATCATGTCGGCCCTGCCAGAGTGCCGCACTGACGCCTTTCAGCGACCCTTCACACGGACAGGACTGGACTACTTCGGCCCGCTGTCTGTCACTGTTGGGCGCAGACATGAGAAGCGGTACGGCGCTCTCTTCACTTGTCTCGCCACCCGAGCCGTTCACGTGGAGCTGGCGCACGACCTGTCCACAGACTCAACGCTAATGGCCATCCGGCGATTCATCAGCAGGCGAGGCTGTCCACTGGTGATCCACTCAGACAACGGAACCAACTTCAAAGGCGCCGCCAAAGAGCTCCGCCAGGCCATTCGTGAGCTGAATGAAGCTCGCATCCAGGACCAGCTTTCTCATGACGGCATTACATGGTCGTTCAACCCGCCGGCGGCACCCCACATGGGCGGAGCCTGGGAGCGGCTCGTTGGATCCATCAAGACCGCACTTCACGCCATCCTCAAAGAGCGCCATCCCAAGGAGGAGACCCTCCTGACCGCACTGGCAGAAGCAGAGGCACTCGTGAACAGTCGACCTCTCACACATGTCAGTCTGGATGCCGCCGATGACGAGGCCTTGACTCCGAACCACTTCCTGATCGGTTCCTCGTGTGCCATTCTTCAAGGAATCGCGCAGGCAGGAGATGTCTCGCTGCGGCGCCAATGGCGCGTTGCGCAAGCCCTTGCAGATATGTTCTGGCGCCGTTGGGTTCGCGAGTACCTTCCAACTCTCGCTCGCCGCACAAAGTGGAACCGCCAAACGAAGCAGCTCGTCGTAAACGACATTGTCATTATCGCGGATGACAACGCACCACGGGGTTCCTGGCCCAAAGGTGTCGTCTCAGCTGTCCATCCAGGCCGCGATGGTGTTGTCCGTGTTGTCGACGTCAAGACCGCATCAGGTAGCGTTTTTCGCCGACCCGCCGCGAAAATTTGTGTACTGGACGTGCGGTCGTAGAGCTGTCATGCCTCCCGCACTTCTGAGCTGCAGCTAGCTGCGCTGTTTTTTTTCTCTTTTTTTTCTTGTTTTCCTTTTTTCTTGTTTCGTGCGTCCATGGACCGTCCACCCTTATTTCTACTCGAATAACACGATGGTTGCTAGGTTTTAATACAGTCTTCTTCGCTTTTCTTCTGTTCTTTTTTGCATGTTTATGTTAACTCTCCCACGGTTCGTAGCCAGGGGGGAGAATGTTGCTGCATGACAGCACTGACTCACGGCCCCCTTTTCGTTTGTGCTTTGCCCGATTGGGCACCCACTGTAAAGAGCACGATACAACACTTTTCCATACATGTCCGACTCACTTTGCACACTATTTTTCCTATAATCACACAACTCCCGAGAACAGGGACAGATTAATAAAGAACACCTTCTAACCAACAAGAGAATTAGGAGCTTGTGTCTGTGACGAGGGTTGTGCCTAGGGGCACTAGGATCTCACGAAAACACCGCCACTTCTCTCAATTCTATAACCTGTCTCCCAGGATTCAAATATTCCCTTTTCCAACATTTTCGCATTACACTCACTACACGGATGGCATACCAACCCCATGACTTTCGCCATTGCTGTGCCTGCTTCCTTTCCTTGTTGCCTTTGATAAACCCTTGCTTTATTGAGTTTATTTTTCCCGAACACATGCCATTTCATCGAGTAGGAGATCCCCTGGACAGGCCTAGAGCCGTTGGGTAATCCTCTAAATACACCGAAGTACAGTGAAACCTCCGGGTTAGGAAGAACCGACTGATAAGACAAAAGTTTGCCTAAGAAGAACTAGCATTCGTAACTGTATTGGATAAAACCCTGCGTATTCACTGGGTAAAGCATGTGGATAAGAAGAACGCCCGTTATTGCGAACAAATCTCATCGGTCCCTGGATGTTCGTCCTAAAGAGGTTAGACTGTACAGTGAATACAACATACAAACACACGTACAAACACACGTACAAACACACGTACAAACACACGTACAAACACACGTACAAACACACATACAAACACACGTACAAACACACGTACAAACACACGTACAAACACATGTACAAACACACGTACAAACACACGTACAAACACACGTACAAACACACGTACCACATGCCAAAGTGATAGACTCTGGGCGCGAGCGCGGCCATGACCTCGAAGGGCGTGTTCCGACACGACTTGCCAAGATGGAACAGTGTCCAATCCCAGTTGTAATCGTCATATGTACAAAACACCTGTCAGCACAAAGAAAGCCCAAACAGGTAGCTGTATGAAGCAAAGACGGCAAATGTCAACAATACCAAAACCAGTACAACTAAAATAAACCCCCAAAAAGCGATTGTCCAACTTTCCACATACAAAGTCAATGCAGAATAGCACAGAATAGCCGTAAAACGTTCAGGAAAAGATGACACACGAATGCCATCCATGAAAAGTTGAAAACCTACGCAACCTACACAAATAGGTGCAGCCCCCCTGGTGTGATATTGTATGTACTTCAGAGGACATGGATCAATTGTATCACATTATTCATACAATTGGCACGCTCATTTAGCTAACGCTAATATGTAGTCTGTAGCGCTAATACGTGTATGTAGTCTGTACATAAGGCACTTTCCTTATGTACGTTGATTCATTCTATCCAAGTTCGTGGAACATAACATGGCGCAGTGACCCGAACCAACTTGCTATTGCAGCAATGGACGCGGAAGGTGGAGAAGCAACCAATATGGACGGCGACTTGGAACACAGCGAAGGTGAACCAGTTTCAAGGCAGGACCACACCCTCGCCCGATTGGCGCACCTGATCGCTGATCAAGCACAGCAGGCTTCTGCCCGGGATGACCGAATGGTGGCGCTGCTAGACGCTGCGCTGAGCCAGGGTGCAAGAGAACCCCAGAGGGCAAGTCAGCCCACAAAGCAGACCTCCATCAATGTTGAACGCCCAAGCTTTACAAGGCTTGTGACTTCACAGTTGGAGAGTTCTGCTCTACTTGCACACGTAGCCTCCGTCGATGTGGCCAATGCTGGTCGAGCGTCCAGAGGAGAGGCCAGGAGACATTGCGCGACAGGCTTGTGGTTGGCATTCGTGATGACGACACGAGGCATAGGCTTCTGTCCACCCCAGCCCAACGCAAACTCATCGTAAAGAACCTATTACGGGTACGGATATGAGTAGGAATCACAGCACAGGTGGAAGGAGAAAAAAACTGTGCACACAACTCTTTCCATACCTGTGCACAACTCTTCACAGTGGTCCAGACCGTCCTCTTGAAGGCGAAACCCATGTTGTAAACCGCAGAATTCCACATGCCTGCCTCGAACTGACAACATAGAAAGGAGGAACACATTTCGTAAATGACCATTATGTTGAGACGCACATACACACCATATACACACACACGTGTACGTGTACTTACACACACACGTACATGCATACGCACACACACATATATACCCCCCCCCCCCCCACACACACACACATATATATACCCACACACACACACATAATATACCCACACATATATACCCACACCCACACACACACACACACATAATATACCCCCCCCCCCCACACACACACACACAGCATGCACAAGCGTTGCCCCTCACCTGCGAGAAGTCTCCATTGCTGATCTTACTGAAGCGGACCCGGTCTCCCTTGCCCAATTTCTTCCGTTGCCTGCCTAAAGAGAAGAAGTCTACGTTCCTCTTATCCCTGAAAGATACCGGTACACAGATTGTGACAACATGAGAACAAACCAAGGGAATTCAGTGAAAACTGAAACGTTATGTGAAGTTATTAGTTTATGGCGCTGCCCAGGTGCATGCACCAGTACTATGCTGCAGGCTCTGCTTCCGCCGCTCTTTGACAATGCACTTTACACATGCTAATTATTCCATATTCAACACATTGCACGCACGTCGCTAACAGGGTGGATCAACGGTACTTAAGACCGTTTTGTTGACACCCCCCCCCCCACACACACACAGATTGCTAGGTTAGTACTGATCAGAGTGTTAGTCCCCACGGCCCAGTGCTACAATTGGAGGGCAAATTCCATATATGGGAGGCAGCTTGCACCTATTTCTCATAATATGGAAGACAGCAGCCAATCAGCGACCTTCCTCTGCCATAAATCTCTGATTCGAATATCCTTGCTCCTTTCTTTCAAAAGAAAATTCTGAAAGAAAGGAACACGCAAATTCAAATCCACACCCACCATATTCCCAACATTTTCCCTTGCCAAGCAGCCACGGTGGTACCTATCCTAAAATCGGTCAAAATGGAGATCTTGAATATAAACCCTTTCCGTATAAAGGCATGCAAAATAATTATGTACTATAGACCTCGCACGGTGGGCAATACACACTCGATATCTGCCTTCACGGCCGTTTGGGCAGATGCCGGACTTCACATGACTATCGTTGTGTGTCAGTTATCCGTTACCCTCGGGACTTGATGCTGTTAGATGTATGAATACTTAAGATAACTGCAGCTGCATAATAATAATAATGCATCTTGTGTTCACACACACAAAAGGACAGTAGAGCCTGATGTTGATGCTCTGTTACTAGCAGTATCCGGAGACAGCCATCGTGCTTATCTATACAGACTGACTTGTACGTGGCGTTGCATAACGACAACGTTCATGCAGGCCCGGTGGAACCGGTCCGGTTGGTCAGGCCATGGCCGGACCAACTTTTTGGCCACCAGCGTGTGTCCTCTGCTACGGTACACCCTCCATATCATACGCACCGTATGAAAGGCTACGGAATGGCCTGGCCAATCAAAACTGCTTCCGCCGCTTCTGTCATGGTGCTCACCGTCCACATTTACTTGAAGTAGGACCGTAAACAGCACTTCAAGTAAGTAAATACAGAGTGTATGAGCTGTTGGTACCCTGTTGGAAAACCGACATGCCAGTTAATTAATTAACCGACAAGCAACATTCAAATATACCATCTAATGTATACACATCATCGCGTTACAGAGAAAGTTTTCTTACTCAATGCTGGACTTCTCCATCAGGTTGAGAACATGCAGGAAGTCGGGAGCGAGATAGTGGTCTTCTTCGACGAACAGTTTGAAGCCGGTGTGATTGTGCAGTGCGGGAATCCGATCAAACACAAACGCACACTGCAGCAGGAAAATAGCGCACATTGACAGCGACACATTGGCATGGAAGTCAGCTCTGGCATGGGATTCCCTCATGACTGTACCCGGTTTTACAACAACACATCTTCTAAGTACAGCAAAACCTGCGCTAACCGGACACCATTGTGGCAGCGGAAACTGTCCTGATATAACACGATTCCGCTTGATCTAGGGATGCGCGTTCGATCCACAGCACTTCGGCGCATAGAAATTTATCCGGTCAACACAGGATTCCGCTTGGTACCGGGTCCGGCAAACACAAGGTACAGCCATGCCAAGATGCAGATGGCAGATGCATTGCTCAAGGTGTGCTGCACAGGCAAGCTTCTGTAGCGAGCACAAGACTATGATCGGATTGTTTGTTTACCTTCCACCACCAGTGATGCTTAGTGGCCGTGATGCCAGCATCCCGGTAGTGACCGTACGAATCAGGGTTGCCCGCATTCCCGCAGCCAGCCACCTCAGCCCTAACACAGGCAGGCACGCGGACATACAGATAAACGAACAGCACACGCACACACATACACACACACACAAACACACATATACACACACACGCGCGCGCACACACACACACACACTACGTACTCAGTCATGCACCTGTGCACTAGCTGTAAGCGATCAGCAGGACAGAGAAAGAACGGGAAAAGGAAGGTTTCCACTCCCTCAAAACCGATGAAAAGGAATACTAGCGATTGCATTCTACCGTTAAAACACTGACCCAGAAACCCATGCACAATAGCATTGATTAGAAGCACCCAGCTTTTCCAAACATGCCATCAGCAACTTCAATTTCTACAAGTTGGACTGCCATCATCATCTCACAACAACAACAACAACAACAACAACAACAACAACAACAACAACAACAACAACAACGACGACCACGACGACAGCAGCAGCAGCAGCACAACCATAGACATAAGCAAAGAACATACTCTTGTCTAGATAAGGACGGCTTGCAATCATGCGGATCAGTGCCGGGAAACTCTCGTGGATGCAGCTGAATCGAATGGGGGAAGTAGATAGGTAACACCTGTACAAAGAATGCAGCACATATACCCTCACTCACACTTTAGAAAAACTCTGCAGGAATTTGGGCTTAATGACGCAGTGCTGGGTATCTGGCATGCCAAGAAACAGATACAAACAAAGATCTGGGTGTAGCGGCATTACAATTTTTTAAGGAGTTTGGTCGGCGCGAATCTTGCTTAACAACTAGTGTCAAGTCAGTACACCCCGAGTGGCAGCTGTGGCATTGTCAGCCATTGTCCCTACTCCCACCGCTTTAGGAGCTGCATCTGCGCCGTGATTCTTGAGGGTGGTGGCATTCCTACGGATGCGAAAAACTAGGTCTTTAGCCGAGTCTCTTGCGAACCGTGAATTTTTACCATACACATCCACCAACCAGAACGGATTTAACAAGCTGTTGAATGTGTTCTTAGAGTTCACTAAGGAACTAAGCACTAAGCAGTGTCGTCTTTGCTTTGTGCAGTACTGGACACCACGCACATGCTTCGCATCAGAACAGTGGCCCGCCCTGAGGATGGGCCATGCCTGAAACTGGTGACTGTTGCAGAAGTTTTTCGCAGCAAAGAGACAACATTCTGGGCCAAGGCCATGCTTGCTATCAAAGCGCCCAAAACATGTTGTGTACGAAATGTATCACTACCGTTAACCACGCGAATAGCAACCTCAGATACAGGCACAACAACAGCTCATGAATAACAACACTATCTTCAGACTGAGTACCAATTGACTGCATACTCTAAACCTGGTGAATAACGACAGCTCACAAATAACAACATTTTTAATGGTTGACTATCACTGTATCCAGGAGTCTAGTAACTTACCCTGCAGAAGGTGATATTGCCAATGATGTTTTCCAGGCCTGGCGTAATGTAGTCCATGCTGACAATGAGTAGACTGGACTCCACGCCACGCGCCTTCGCCAGCCCCGACAGGAACAGCTCCAGCTCACGCACGCGCCGGTGCACCTGGACGACAATCACGACGTCGCTCGGCGACACGGCGCCGAACTTGGCCTCGTTCAGGATGACCAAGCGGCGGTTACGCTCCGAGACGCGCTGCTTGTATAGTGCAATGACTGCATCATCCAGTGCCTCACCGGCGAGTACCTGTGGGATGTCAGCACTTGGGCCTCTGGCCACAGAGCCAGGCGGAAAGTTACTTTCTCGAAATAGGTCTTTTGCACTGGACGCATGACTACTGGCTGACGTCATTGACAGGTGATCGGGGTGGGGCTGAATCGCCGGAAACTCAGCTTTCACGTACACAGATGACTCGATGTCCGGGCGTGGGGAGAAGCCCACCATCAGCAGAAAGCCGACAACCTGTGTTGCCAGCATGGACACCAGCACAAGCCGCCATGACGACTTCGTCAATACGGGGCAGCGACCGTGCATGGTCCGGTCCGTCACGCGTCAGTAGTCCGAGCACGGCAGCGGCATTGCCAAGCGCGGCACGCAGTTCTTTCCGGTCTCCACAGCAACAAAGCAAGTGGCAACGGCCGCTCTCAGTTTCCCGTCACTTCTAACGCGTTGACATACTGGGCCTTGTTCTGACCAGTGTCTCTACACTAAACGTCACAACCACATACACACACACACACACACACACACACACACACACACACCGCACACACACACACGCACACACAAATACATACATACACTCAGATGCTTATTATTTTTATTTAATATGAATGAAAAGTCTTGGCTGCAGCACTGTAGCTGACAACCATTGGGCGTGTCAGTAGCACTATACTGACCAAGACATTACAAAGGCACGGTGCGTTCAGGACCTCTCTACTCACTGTATTAGCAGCGAGAAACACTGTTTTCCAAGGCGATTTGGGCTTAGCTGCAACTCACTCAAAAGCAGTTGAGTTTCTGTGTGTCAGCTGAAGACAGCCTGTCCCTCGGTCAGGAAAATCCCAATATGAACCCAATATCGGGTAGGCAGACAACTTGCTTCAGGAGACGACGGGAAGTATATAATAATATTATTATTATTGTTTGTACACGAAATCAACACAATTACAAGTCGACTAGTCATGGCAAGCCAAACTTCAGCTTCAAAAATGAAAAATGATGTAATTACGTAACACAACAAATAATTATTTGCGTCACATTATGACTCACATACAGCGTACATGCGTGTACGGAGCGGCGCACCGCGTAGGTCTACTCTACGGTGCCGGTGTACCCGCGGGGCACGGCGCGATGGGGCTTCCCCCGGCGCATTTGTACTACACTCATGCTAGCATGATATGTTTTCGATTTCGACCAGGGAGTCGTATTTTACGACTCCCTGATTTCGACAGCATAATGTTTACAACAAGGCGCGAGGCCGAGGACGCACAGCAGGTGACAGTACGAGTACAGTCCTGACTACAACCAAGACAGAGTCCATGGGGGTTATGAACTCTTGCTACAACCATAACCCGGTTGGCAGAGAAAGACAAAAAATAACAATAACAATACAATAACTAAAAAATCATTGACATACATGGATCCTACAGCCGCGGCAACACAACAACGTGCAACGTCAACAACAACACCACCAGCACTAACGACAACAATAACACATCAGCAAAAAAGATCAAATTCCAAATTCAATCACCCCCTAGAATATAGAGTGTCCCTACCGGGCTTTTCCCCATACGGTTCAAATGGTCGCAAGACTGGATTATGGTTGTAGTCAGGAGCACTGTGCGTCCTCGCCTTGTAGCATGCTGTCGAAATTGAAAACATGTTAAAAACTATCAAAGCAAGGCTTCTATATATGTGCACATATAGAACATGTACTCCCAGATCCCTGGTGGATGCCAGGAGTTGTCAGACATTCTTTTATCGGCTCCCTGACAACCACTACCCACAATATGCTCATACAAACACAGAGACATTTGTACTCTCCCACGCGTGCACGCACACCCAGACTCAGACTCAGACATGCCCATCGCGAAAGCGATGATAGCGAACAGCTATGTTACACATAGCAACTTGTGCTGGGATTACACCATTCAACAGCTTGCAAGGCTGATGAATTGACCACCACTAATTTACACACACCACACGGCACACCTGTCCTGTCGAGCCACTGCCACAAGGGTAACATGGGCCCCGGAGGGGCAACGGAGAGAGAAGAAGACACACACACCACACACACACACACACACACACACAAACACATACGCAAACACAGCAACTTATCTTTTTCCTTCGGAAGTTTAGGAAGGGCTGCGACTACACGTTTCTATTGTAGATGCGTACACTGTCACATAATATTATCATGAAAGAAATCCAGGCTGTCTATCAGTGACCCATGGGATCACACTCCCTAGACTAGGTAAGATGTGGTAAAACGTGAGGTATGTTGCTACATTGTAGCTTACCTAAAGTGAGATGACCGAGCATTATTCTGGCCCAAAAACTAAATTGGCGCAACTCGGAGAAAGGGGTAAAAAGATAATTGAAGGATATCACACCACTTGTCCGCTTCCGTCTGGATAGCAGCCATAGTCAAGTCATGCAGTCATAGTATTGAATGTCCAGCACTCAAGGGCGGTCTAAAAAAAACTACATGCAGGGGCTTTGTCGCACAAGTGTGTGCCCCAACATTGCCAGCTATCTCTGTGAGCTCCAGCAATATAATAGGCACTGGTCGTAAAGTGTTTGAGATTTGAAAAGGCTGCTCGGAGGTTTGAAATATCTTCTCCGTGGTGATGGAATTCCGATAACATTTTACTTGTCCTTCTTCTGACAGCGATAGTTCAAATCTTTACGCCATACTGAGGCCCGGTCTTTCGTGTAGCATTTCACCTTATAGTTCCGGCCATTGTACATATGAATAGTCAGCACAAACGCGTCCGTCTCTGGACCGGTGACGTTCTTGATCTCATCAGTACGTATTGACAACACCAACAGCCCTTGAGTTTTGGCAAGAGTCTGGCGCGGATCGTCCGAGTAGAACAGGATGGCCTGATCGGTCAGCTCAACCCACCTCCGCTTCCAGCGGCCTAGTACCAGGCTAGGCGACTCCAGCCAGTCACAGCGGCTGTTCAGCGGCTCCTTACCTCCTTCAGCCATCAGCCATTAGAAGAATAGATCCATGGCTTACTTCATTGCTTGCCAGTTCAAATAATTGAAGAAACAATTATTGTTCAGTTATTTTTTTGTGCAGAGACTTCTTCATGAATTCCTTGTAACCAGGGAGATCATCGAGCCAGCAAAGCATGACATGACGTGACGTCAACTAGTACAATGCGGTCCAAAACAGGCACCGTTTGTACCGTATTTTAATGTGTATCAAACAACAGTCCGTTGTTTGAACGAAAACTATTGCTAATGCGGACAATGGTATCATAGTTTATCACTTTATGTTCGCTTGGTGGTATAAACGTAAAGAAGTAAAGTGACTTATAAGTAGTTGATGACATTGTGCTCGCAGGTCGCATGCGCGAAGAATAGTAACTGTTGCTGGTTCGCAACCTGGCTTGATCGGGCCTTGCTGCAATTATTTCCTTTTCTAGTGTATGCGAGGAGACGACTTCACGAGTGTGAACTGCCCTTCTGCAACGTGGAAACACAGAAGTGTTCATTCTGATACTCACGGCACAGAGAGTCATGGCCAAACTTGGAGCGTGTCTATATCTTCTGGCAGGCTGCATCACATTTGTGACCTGCCACTCGCCGGAGTCCAAACTCGCCATCTTGCAGGGAGAAGATGATGAGGGTTTTAATGCTTACCGCGTGGAAGATGGTCAGCTGGTTCAGCAAACGCATGGCGAAAGTGCGTGGGGTCCCGTACCGAGATGTCCAGGTGGTAGGATTGTATCGAATCCGGTAGCTCAGAGCAGTGATCGCTTTGGTTTGGTATTCGTTTTGGCTGAGAATGGCCAAGTTTATCATGGCGTGGATGTCGGTCAGGGTGTGTCCAAGTGGACACAAGTATCGGCTAGTGTTATGCTGCCGCGCGATGACAACGGCACGGCCGACATAGACTCACTCACAGTGGTCCGCAACAACGACACCATGCTTGTGTTTGTCAAGACGATCGAGACACAGCCACGCCTGTACTGGTCATTCGCCAACGCCACTTCGACCAAAGCTGCGTTCTCCAAGTGGACACTGATCAAGAAAGGCGAAGCACTGCAAAGTGCTGCCGCTGCAGCTGTCAACTACTTCACACATTACGTGGAGGTGGTGGCCATAATGACCAACGGTAAAGTCTACCACACGTGGCAGACTGGCGTTGCCGAGTTTCACGACTGGGATGAGTTTGGCACTGCCTTTTGGAGTCACATGCCTGACCCGAATGCCGCACCGGTGCTCCGTGCCAATAGCGGCAAATCCATCTTCAATGGGCGCCTGGAGCTGTTCCTGTACGGCAAAGACGGCTACATCCACCACCTCAAGCAGACGACCTGCGACCGTGTGATGAACCCATGGAGCGAATGTACCTGGGGTCTCTATGAGCGCCTTGTGGATCAAGTTGTGCCCACGCCGCTCGTTGCTCGTTCCCCTCTCATCGCTGGCAGCAATGCTCACGGTGGCATTGAGCTGTTCACTGTCGATAAGTCATTCGCCTTCTGGCACATTTATCAAATCGAGGAGGGCAAGAGGTTCAACACCTGGTCTCAGATCAAGGCTGCTGACGCTCAGTTTGCGCCCACCATCTACCAGGATCAGACTGGCTATTGGGTTGGCTATCTTCTGGACAGTGGCATGAAGGTCCACCGTGTGGTGGAGGAGCGCACTATGAAGCTCACCCCAGCCGGTACCCGCTTGCTGTCCACTACCAACATCACTGTCTCCTGGACTGTGCCCGTCGACGAGGCCACCAACAACGACTGGATTGGAATCTACAGGGCGGGTGACCCTAATGAGAACTACCTTGACTTTGCATACGTGCAGGGCTTTCAGAACCCGCTACCCAACCCAGTGCCAGTAGGCAGAATTGCACACCGCTCAGTTCTGGATGACAACGTGTATGAGTACCGGTACATGGTCAACCGCAAGTTTGTCACAGTCATGCACCAGTCCGTTCGCTTCTATAACTATACGACCGACGATGATGGCACACAGCTCTACCATGGCCTGGCCGTCGGTCTCGGCAAGGAAGCCGGTCACTTTGATAACTGCGTCGAGGATGCCAACCACACCCTTACCGCATTCAGAAAGGCATTCGTCGACTTTGAATACCGCGAGATCGCCTCAGGCCTGAAAATGCTTGGAGTCGGGCTGAAGGACGTCGCCACTGCACTCGCTGTCTGCAAGGACACCGATGTTGCCAAGAAGGTCATGAAGTTCGTGATGGACCTCATCGCCTGCACTGACGCAAAATGCGAGCAGTTCATCATCGATATCGCCGGTGAGCTGATCAGTGTCTTGTACGAGAACGTCCACGAGATTTATGGCGACATCCGTGGTGCCAAGAACTGCTTCCCGTACAAGCTGTACGAGCAGGCTGGCATAAACATTGGCCGTGTTGTAACCGCCTCTATTGAGGGTCCCCGGGCTTGATTGTGTGTTGGGTTTTTTCTTGTGTTGCTTTGCTCATCGCTTGCATTCCAGTGAAATGCAACTGCCGGCCTATCTTGAGGTTTACTTGAAGTTCGATTTCTATTACTTTTTTCCAACTTTATCCCGCTTTAGGAGGACCAGCACTTACTGGACCAATTTCTAGACTTATTTTGCCAATGTATACCTTCGTGTGCATCATGTGTCTGGGCGTGCTTACAGCAGTAATAAGTTAATGTCTTTTGGTCGTTCTCATGGTGCTCTGCAGCCGTTCTCTTGCTGGCTTTCCACCTGAATTTCTACTGATTTTGTGCGCTTTGTGGTAAATTTGTTTTGTCGATATCCCACCTTGTGTCTTTTTTACTGTCTGAGCCTGATGCCAAGCGCCAATGGATGATTTCAACTTGAAATTCTGTCAAGCGGATATGCGACCCTGGTGGGCATGTGTGCCCTTGGTGTCTGTGTGGGCGGTACATCCTAGCCGGACATGGATTCGATTGAATGTCCGTTTAGAGAGTCCGACCCAAATGGTGCTTGTTGGTCAAGACTCAAGACCCACTGGCTGCGTCCTGGGAAGATTCCGCCCCGTATACACAAGCATCACCTTTACTGGGCAGCAGGGTCCAAGGTAGTAGCGCACACCCAGTCATACTGGTGTTCCCGTGGTGTACAGTCACTGGCAAATCCCAGTGCACACATAATACAATAATATGCCATGATCGTGCAGAAGGCAATACATGTAGCATTACGTATGATTTACTGCCCGACTAAGAGTGAGTACAAGGGAATACCCGCTGATACATACCCAAACGGCGTCAGCCGTGAGGACATGTATCAAGCCGGTATTGCACATAATTGTATACATCTACGAACGAGGCCGGTGCAGTAAATCATTTATTGCAAATGCAAGGATTGCCTTCATAAATAATTCAATGAGGAATTTTGGGCACACATGCTCTTTCCCTCTGCCCTGCAAATTGCGGAAACTAAGTTACTTCGTTCAAAGAAACCAGGTCCGGCCATGGCGGGGTTGCCATGGCATAGTAGTAGTAGTAGAATTTATTATTTTGATAGGGAAGGCCCTACAGACGTTGCGTTGCCGTCTTGTTACAGGCATGAGTTGTGGATTTGTAGTGCTGAAGGAAAGGGCAGGTGTCCTCAAAAGTCCTCATTGCACACTGTAGCCAGATAGATGATTGCACAAGACAGCACTGGCCAGGGTATCTAATTAATCCCCTGTTTGTTTTAGATCTGTAAAACATGGTAAAGCAAGAGGATCTCTGGGGCAGTAGATCGACTCTCCTACACCTGGACTGCTGGAGTCAAGGAGCTGCTCCAGAGAGAGCCATAGGCCCATACACCTAGTACACTTGTTCCACTACATTAATTTTTTTATTTACACGTGGAGCATACTCCCGTCCAGCATATGCAGCATGGCCATAATATGGCGAGATGCCATTCGAGCATATGGGAACGACTTCCAAGCAGGGAGTTGTACTACTCCCTGCTTTCAACCCGTTTCGGAGCAGGGAGCCGGAGTCGTAAAATACGGTGTTGTTTTACGACTTCGGCCTCCCTTTCAAGCTTTTTTTCTCCCTTTCAAGTTTCATGACACGTACATGTACGTGATCGTGACCACAAAGTTGCACTCGGTCGAAAAAAAGGGAGAGGGATGTTGGATATCTTCCTTCTAGTTCTCTGGCCCGGCGTTGATCTCATCCGAACAAACTAAACTTGCATCTTTTCTTCGTCTGCAGTTCACTGCTGAAACTTACTTGTTACTTCAATACCGTGAAATAGATTTGAGGGTGCGGTACAGGACTCAGCAGGAGGAGTAGTAGAGATGATTGCCAAGCCTGGATACCACTGCAAGCTGGGGAAGATGTGATGGCAATGACGATGAGCCTGCGGCGTCTTTTTCAATAACTTTTTTCATCGGGTTCACTCCTACTGTTGTCACACGCATGGCCATTGGTTAGAGTCAGCTAGCTCTGGTTGTTTTCTTTCTGGACTGTGTGTGGCGGGTTTGGCTAGGCTAACTCAGCTGCCGGGCGTCACAACGGCGCCATGTTCAAATCGGTGAGCTCGCATTCACAGCGTACTATTAGATCTGCATCTCAGGACAGTGGCGTCATGTCTGCTGATCTCGAATCACAAGCAGCTGGGCACAGTTGTGAAGCTGCTGCTAATCCCAGTAATTCCCGACCCCCTTCTCCATCTCCTCGTCGACAATGGCCATGGAGTATGAATAGTTCGTCGGTGTCCATCCCAGATGAACACACCGCGACAGATAACGAATTTTTCGCAACGGTTGTACCCAACTCTCTCATCAACTTGACGGTGAGTGTTCCAAAGTTCGGAAGTAAGTTTGTCTCTGTTGAAGTCCCAGGCCTTCTTTCCTTTTCTTCGCTTTTCCGGGACTGTGGTTGATCGTGATAGCGGAAGATCCTGTGCCGGATACCCTCTGCATGTGTGTGTGTTTGTGTGTGGTGTGTGTGTGTATGCGTGTGTGTATGCGTGTGTGTATGCGTGTGTGTATGCATGTGTGCGTGTGCGTGTGGCCATATGCTGTCAGCTTGGTATTTTCACCATAACAAATAATGTGGTTTGTCTTTGTGTGTGTAGTGCAGTGCAAGTGTAGCCAATGTCAGGTGGTTCAGTGTTGAAATTTGAAATGCATACTGACTGTATCGTGGAGGCCGGAAGCCGAAAAATTCTCCGAAAACGAGACATCAAAAAATCGCTAAGCCTTTCGCCAATTGTGGAGGGTTCCTTTGAGAATCGCTGAAAATCTACCAAAACAATATTTAAAGGGGAAGTCCGGTGAAAATTTAAATTTCAGGGTCGGTAGAGTTTCGGGCGCTGAGTCGAATGGTGTTGGTCCCACTTGTCTCCGACAAAGCGTTCTCGAGATATTTCCGTTTGAAAAACTGAGTTTCGGGGGCTGCGCCATGACGTCATGCGGCCGCGCCACACCCTCTGCAACGTCATAGCGTGCAGCTAGGTCAAAAGGAGTGCGTGAAAGCAATAGTGTCAGAGCTATTTCAAATGATTTGGCGACTGATATTAGGTGGTGCAAGCGACCCCGAAGACCTATAACTCCTTGTGAGAGTGAGGATGCAGCCATGGCTGACCTTCATGAGTTTGGTCTGGGGCTGAGAACCTCGGTATTCAGCTGAAGAAATGGCCGCGCGGGCCGGTCAAGAGTGAGCGCTACTGAGTTTCCGACTGATGAAGAAGCAGCAGCTATTGCAGACGAGGCTGATGTAATTATCAGATCGCTGGAGAGCAGGGTCGCCAAAATGGAGAAGAGTGATGCGAGTGCTCTAAATGTTGTTCCATACCGATTAGATTCGCTTAGACTCCAGTAGCCTGCCACATGGTGATGTTTTGGTGCGAACTTGGAATATTTCGGACTACTCAATTGGAGAACAGTGCAGGCTCTTTGAACCACGGGCACGACTCTTCGCTCGCAACGCTATGGAATCTGAAAGTTCTAGGTCCGGGAGCTGTTCGCTGTTTTGTCACTTGTCACGGTTGTGCACTCATCGCTGTAGCATAAAATAATGAGGCGGGTGCGGAAAACTAAAATTTTCTTTCTCAAAGCACAACCACCGGCACCGGCAAGGAGAAACGCACGTTCTCTGACTACATGACTGTACAATACGACTGATACGAGTGTAGTACATGACAAGTCCGTGTGTTGACTAGTTTTCTGAGTCTTGTGTCATGAGTTTGATGACTGCACTACAGCTAGATAACACACTGCACGCACTGCATGCACGCAGCGCAGAGCGCGCGCGTAGACGGGCTGACGGAAAAGTCCAACTCGGAAACGGCTAAAATACGGAAAAACCTCCAGGTTTACCGAGCTGAAAATCACAGGGTACATAGTGTTTGTAACACTGAATCGAATGGTCTTGGTCCGAAGAAGCTGCGACAAACGGTTCCCCAATCGAACGCGCTCCGAATATGGCCATTTTTGTACACAACTAGATGGTGTGGCTACCTGGCTGCACGCTGGGACGTCATCACCTGGATCTGGGTGATGCGCGCTCAAATTCGCACATGTTCGATTGGGCGTATCTGACGAACCATAAGCCGCAGCCTCCTCGGACAAAGACCATTCGACTCAGCGACCCGAACTCTATGGACTGTGAAATTTAAATTTTTCACCGGACTTCCCCTTTAATATTGTTGCAATGTGCGTTTAGGAACCAATGATATTGCTGCAAACATGACCGCTCGAGCTCTCTACTTCAGTACTTGTAGCACTAGTGCGTTGAGATCGTGTGACTCGTGTCCTTTGACCTCGTCTCAAACAAACATTAGCCATTGGGAAGATCGTTACTGGTAAAATCCCCATATTGGCCGGCCGAAAAATTCGCCGAAAACGAGACATCAAAAAATCGCTAAGCTTTTCGTCAATTTTGGAGAGTACCTTTCAGAATCGCCAAAAATCTACCAAATCTTCCAATATCTCACCAATTTTGAAGCCCATATTCCAATTTTGAAGCCGAATTTTGACCAATCACCTGATTTTGCAGCCGAATCTGATGTATTTTTTCAGCTGAGCGAAAAGCCGAATAGATTTGGGGAAAGCCTACCGAGGCGAGAGGTACAGGTTCCTACACGAGTACGAGGGCAGTACGGTGGAATCCACGCCACGATAGCGGCAAGGGCTGGATGAACAGCGGTACTGGCCGAGTATGAGTGACTGGAACGTGTTTCCCGTGTGCATCCAAGCCAAAGAGCACACATGCACGCGCACTCCATACAATCACGGACATAACTCACTCTTTCCGTTGACCTTGTATTTACGAAACACGCGCCAAGTTTGTGAGCCAATGAACGCAGTGGATTCCGTTCCTGCCCGTCGTCACTTGGAATCCGTTTCGGCAGTGGAATCCGTTCCTGCCCGTCGTCACTTGACGACGGGCAGTGGATCCAGTTCCATCACCTTTGAGCAGGCAGGACTGCACTTTCCATGCCACGCAGTTCGATCTTTCATTGGTCGACTCCAAGGCGACAATCACGTGACATACGGGAAAGGGGCTTGTTTCTGTCATGTACTGATATGATGTAATTGTAGACCTACTGATGTTTATACAATTATTTATTGTAGTTTTGCTTTGCACTCGTTGCACTCGCAATCGTGTGTACCATATCGACTATACACGGTATCGTGTGTAATAGTTACTGTAAGTGTAAGTACATGTAGTACTAGTCTACAGTCCATTTCAAAACTATAGACGCGTACCTAGGCAAAAACCGTTATGCCAGCATCTATACCACACAAAATCTGTGATCACTTTGTGCATATTTTTTTCCAAATTGGGCGTCTGTTATCCAATCGTTTAGAAACTATATGAGAGTAATTGTGGAGCGGACCTGAGCAATATTCCGAAAACTATTCTCAAAAAGCTCCAGCCAAATTTGAAATATTTCAAAAACCCTACGCGTCTATAGTTTTGAAATGGACTGTACCAACTCTCTGTCGCCTCACGTGTGTCCAGCATGTACATGTACATGTAGGTTGTTTCCGGTTAGGAAAAACGGATCGCGGAGTAGGCCCAGACAGATCCTGGCGGCAATTCTTTCGGCAAAATATCGAATAATTGAAAGAGCGGTAATTGCCGGCAAAATATCGAGATGTTGGGTAAAATCGACGCCGGATACTTGGATTTCCTTGTTTCTTACCCGTTCAGCACGATACACTGCCCAGGACGAGATCATGTCACCGAAATATCACTGGGATTCGCTGTGGATCGACATGATTTTGGAAGAACTCATTAACACGTGCGTGGAAGCCCGTGTTGAGAAACCGGCCCTGCGATTTTTACGAAACGTTGTACGGGAAGTGGATAAAATACACGTTTTCCGGGGGAAAATGGAGCAAAATATCCAGTTTCTTGTGCCAGGCTCGGCAAAATATCGAAGATTTCGCAGCAACATAATTGCGGCAAAATGTCGAGGCGAGCGAATTCGAAGCAGAATCTGTCTGGGCCTATCGCGGAGATCCTTTCTCGCCTCACAAGTAGAGACTGTACTACAAAAAACTATTTCTTTAGTTTGTCACGTGCTGTGCCCAAACACCATGGAAGTAATGACGACAGTCGACGCTGTCAGTGTCAGCCTGTCACCGGTCCCCAAGAAACACACAAACATTGCGGTGAACACATCACATACACACAGTCCCATAATCATGATACAATAGTCTTGGCTGTTTCAGTACATGACTGGACCAAGCGATGTGATATCGGATGCGACCCATAATTCCTCGCAACATCAAATCGAGAGGAGTGTCTTTTGTCCTCCAACATTCCAAGCAGACTGGTGACTGAGCAGCAGCGACTATCGTAAGTGACCACCAATGCGGCAATGGCATGTGGCTAGTATTATTATATCGTTGGCGGTGTTTTACGAATAGACGAGTAGAAAGATGTTGCGACATCGTTTTGATCCTGCAATCTCGTAAACCTCTGGCGCTATGGCGAAGTATGAGGTCAGTGGTGTTTGGGCTGCACTGCCACTGGTGCAATGGTCACCTGGTGTTATGTCTGTCTACTCTTTAATTTTACGTAGCTTGCCGCATCCGGAGAAAAGAGGCAAGACCTGCTGACATGTCGACACTGTCACTACTTGAACGAAGTGCGGCCACAGTGACACCAATAATTATTATTATGTAGGCAAGAAAGAACCCAGCCTACAAAGTACAAAGAATTATGAAAGGATTGTAGAGCATAGCGCTTATACTAAGTTAATACTAATAATAGCATTCAGTTTTGATATGTAGCCTAGCCTGTGTAGGCAGCGTGTTGGACCGGACATCTGTCGGCCCCAGCCACTCCGCCATCCGTAGATCTACAGCTGCAAGTATGCTTAGCACTTAACTACTTGTGACTTGTGTCCTGAGATGTGAAGCTGTGCCATTTCATGCTCGGACTTTGAGATTGGCACAGTCAGCTGCAAAGACGTAAAAGAGAAACCTGAGGATCGGCTCGCATTTTGTTGGGCGGCCTCGGGCCTAGGGAACGGATGGATTACGAGCGGCACACGTGCGGGGAAATTTACGATGGCGACGACGAGAGCGATGCTGGCCGTCATCGACGTCTATCTGCCGCACAGCCTCCAGTGCCTATGCCGCGGACCAGGCAACGAGGCCAGCGGCAGGACATGTTCAACAAAAGCTGGCATGGCCGACTGCCGTCGTCCAATGGTCCGGACTACATGCTGACCATGCCTTCGGAATCGCACAGCCGTGACTATTCTCCTAGATCACCGTCGAAAAGTCCGCGTGCTAGAGGATCCGCACGGCGTAGCTCCGCTCCAGTACGTAACTCATTACAAACCCAGCGACCAGCTGTTTGTATTTTTGGATTTGTAAATTCACCATCTCTCTAATACTATTAGTTTGCACTTCATCGTACAGATGTTGAGCCACATGTAGCTAGCCGTAGATTCTACGGTGTGATGTGAGACTTGGAGGTGTCCTGAAACACGTCGAATCATGCATCTCGCTCCCAATACACCTTGTGGGATATATTACTGGCACATTGAAGGAGAATAGTTTTGCATGCAAAATATGGCGCGTGTTGCCTGACTGTTTTCTGGGAAATTCTGACGCTGTGTACTTGAGACAAGTAAGTTGAAAGGTGCATAGTCTGCAAGGCCGCATACAGAGAAAGCCACTTATTGCTATACACGCTTGGGTTATATCCATTCACTTCGACCACACCTACATGAATCTCACTGCTCAGCGTGACATTTTGTTCAGTCTGCAGAAAGAGAGCTCGGATGTAGTTGCTTTTTTATCATGGCATGCCGTCCGACTGCTCCTGAATGAAACACGTGTATTGCAGGTGATTACTCCTGGCGTTGCGTATGTATGTCTCTAAGCGACATGTGAGCTGTCCGGGTGAACTGTGTTCAGACAGTAATATGCATGAAAGTTATCAGTAGTATGCATGGAAGTAATTAGTTATCGACTATGATCCCTCTTGATTTCCAGAACAGTTGCACTTGTCCTATATGCATAGCCTCTGGCACCATGTCACAATGTGGACCTATGTCGAGGCATACCTGTAAGTGCTGAGAAAACTGGTCTCGGGACGAGTTGGTTGGTACCGCCAGGTTCAACTGTACTTGCACCCCGGTCTACAGACTTCCAGTACTATGCAGTGCCACATACTGTATCCATGTCAGTCTGACTGTCTTTTCACATCTGTAGAAACGCCAGCGCCCTCAAGGATCACGATGCAGATACAGCTCTCTCCCTATTTTACATTGTCTTGATGGAGTGTACTGTTTGAGTTGTGATCTGACATGGTTGTTGTTGTTGTTTGTGTTGTTGTTCTATGGCCGCCGCTGTACAGGCCGACGAAAAGGTTGGATATTTGGAGAAGTGCAAGATTCATATGCTGACCCGCACTCGGAAGCATGGCACCAAGTTCTACTTTCGTCTTACGCGTGCCTATTTCCAGTTCCATGACAACGATAAAGTAAGAACAGGTCGAGCCCCAAGTAAGCCACTTTGTAACTGTTTTTGTTTTACAGCAGAGTTACTGCAGTTGAGCGGCACAAAGTGGCAAGATGCCCAACCTATGGCTATGCTGCTTGAGTCTTGTTTGTCTGTACCGCATACTTACTAGCTACCCCTCATAAATTGACTTTATAAGTTAGCACCCCTGGCTGGTCTGCATGCTCCACTTCTCTCTCTCTCTGTCTCTCTCTTTCTCTGTCTCTCTCTCTCTCTCTCTCTCTCTCTCTCTCTCTCTCTCTCTCTCTCTCTCTCTCTCTCTCTCTCTCTCTCTCTCTCTCTCTCTCTCTCTCTCTCTCTCTCTCTCTGCTTTGCTCTGCCCTCCCTCCTCCCCTCCCGAATATTGGCAATAAATCAGAACCGTGTTCAGCAACCAACATGTCCCCATGTAATTTATGCATATTACGACACACATGCCCGAAAGTTAGTACGGGTGTGGCCACAAAATTCGAAAGTAAGTACTGTAAGACATGTCATTATAACGAGTCGCAAATTTAACGATTGTCCAAAATTCATAGGTTAACGAGAAGATATGTAAAACGATCTTGCAGTATTCTGCCATATCCACACACAGCATATATGAAGCAGTACGGCCTCAACGGATCTTATTATAACGAGGAAATGTCATCCGTTAAAACTTTAGATTTGCTTCCTCGTTTTATATACATGTCCTACAGTACATACTTATTTACGGACGTTTACAGTAGCCATTGTCCCTCTCCGATCCACAAACGTGTGTGTCATCAATAACATACACGTGCACGCCTGTTCTTTGTAGGGTTTGGCTCCAGGTCATGGGTGTCTGCAAGCACCTTGAAAACTTTACTTTGTTTGCCCGTTCGAATGGGGAGCTCAATTGTTTTGCTTCATGCTGCTGCTGTGCTTCTCGTGTTGTCTCAGTCGAGTGTACCGAAGCGCTGCGAGGTGCGCTTAAAAATCAGCCGAGTCACCAGCACCAAGGGCAGCGGGTTCGACGTGCACTTCCGCAACGGCAACACCTGGCACCTGGCCGCTGGTAACTTGGTGAGTGCGTCTGATCAGTTTGAGCACAAACTTAGTCACTTGACAAAGATGTAAACTGCTAGATAAGTTCCGTGTTTTCTGGACTTAGGGCCGGTGCAAGTACAGTTGAAGCTGGCCCAACCAACCAACCTGTCCTGAGACTACTTCGAAGTACTAGTAGTCATTTCGGCACTTAAGGTATGCCTCCACATACATGTACATCCACATGTGTGGAATGACCACCTAAGACCTAAAGAGCTGTTTTAGTGCAATGTCAGGTGGTCGCTAAGCACACGTCACTATAATTATTTATTTATTATGTTCTCAGTAGTTGTGAGTGTCCCGAGGAGGCACAGCCTGGAGCAGGGTGACGACACCGAGCGCATTGCGGAGTGGCTACGAAATGAAGCTGGAAGCAAGCACACGCACACACGCACGCCCATGCGCGTGCACGTGATTGCATACTTGTAATTGCTCACTGTCGGAAACTGGTCACGTGGGTCTTCTTAGGAGGGATACACACGCACACCTTGGTGTCATCACTTTCAGGGGCACTCGTATTTATTTCTCGGTATGGCGTGCGTTTGCTCAATCATGTCTTGATTTGTGTGAGGTCTTGCAACTGTGCCTTCTTGCAGATTGAGAAGATTGAGTGGATGGAGGCACTTCTACCCGGCTCGTTTGTAAGTATCCTGAGAGGTATTTCTTTCTGTATTCTGACACAGCATGCTTGGTCTATTGGCAGTATTGCGTATGGGGTTTGTGCATAATACTCCCGCCATTTGACCTTGAGGGGCAAGTCCACTGAACGGTACGCACTGTGATGCCAATCCAGCATCAAAGGTCATAAACTGTGTACGATCATACCCACAAATGTACTACAACTGGCTGTACCTGCCAAATATGGGACAAGTTGCCCCTCAGGAAGGTGGCGACCATGTTTTGTGCATAAGCCCCCGAAGACATGTGGTGTTCATCTTGTTGGTCATCCCTTTTTCCAGGAAAGAGATATTCAATGTCTTCATATGTTTTTTGAACTTTTTTGCCTCTCATGTTTTACGTGTACGCACGTGTTCGCGCTTGTGCATGTGTGTGTGTGTGCATGTGGTCTTCTGGTATGTTAGCCGGCTAAGGATCGCGCCAGTGTTATCTGTGCCGATGGCATCCCGGGACCCGCGGACCTGGAATCTCGCGCCGAGGTGACGTCCAACACCTCGACGGACGTGGGCCGAGACGCGGACAAGGACAGCACATCGGCGGCATCCGCACAGACATCTGGCATCTCCACATCCGGCATCTCCACGTTCGGTGCAATCGAGGAGCAGAAGAGCGACTTCTCTCTGGACTCCGACCCGGAGCTGCTCAACTCGATTCTGGATGAGGTGGACGCCATGGCGCTGACGACGCACAAGTCGCCGCCGCCACCTCTGCCCCCTGATGATCGGTACGCGGTGCCTGCACCCGCGCTGAAAAAGCCGACCATGCACGAGCCGCTCGGTGATTACATGAGAGCCGCTGATGAGTCCGGTATTGACTACATGGACCCGAACTACGAAGATCACGACCGCGCCGGCATGGTGGGAGATTCTCTAGTGGAACTCAAAGACTACGCGCTACCGCTGAGGAGGGAAACGTCAATATCGTCAGTATCGTCAACCTCGTCTCCTTCCCCCTGTGAGTATATCTCGAACCTATTGCGTAGTAGTCTAGCTTAGTCATCTCATTGAATGTGTTTTCGCTGATTGATGTGCTGTAGTGTGTCTGTGTGTGTGTTGGGGGGTCTGTGTTGGTTGTCCCAACAAGTGTAGGGTGTGCATAGGTGACTGACTGTCTTGGCCGTCCTATTCTGATGGGCCCCGTGTGGACCAGGTGTGCATTGGGGGATTCTTGCATTCAGATCTTGTCCATGGTCGTTGCTGTAAGAGAAAATCTGTGTACATGTGCATCCGGTGCATTTGCAAATGTGCGTGCTTCTCTTGCGACGGGCTTACGTGGTACACTTGTGTGGGTCTGTGCGTGACTGTGTGTGTGTCTGTGTGTGTGTCTGTGTGTGTCTGTGCGTGTCTGTGTGTGTGTCTGTGCGTGTCTGTGTGTGTCTGTGTGTGTGTGGGGGGGGGGGGTCTGTGTGGGTCTGTGTGTGTGTGGGGGGGGGGGGTCTGTGCGTGGGTGTGTGGGGGTCTGTGCGTGTCTGTGTGTTCTTGCAGTGATGCCCAAGGATTCTATAAAGTTTCTGCGGGTGGCACAGGAGAGGAAGGAGGTCCTACACACGCAACTGCGCAGCACGTCTAAACTTATCGAGCCGGGGCAAGTGTTGATGAAGCGTCTTATTGGCAAAGGTGAGCTTTAGTGGACCCCTGTCTTTTTTCTGTGAACAAAACCCGTTCCCCAATACTGGCTGGTCAAATCAACAGGGAAAACTACAACAAGCAGAGTGAAGAAGCTTTTTACTCCTACATGTGCGTGGAGCACCGCTGACGTTGCTACTTCTCATTTCAAAAAGCAGAGCAACAAGAAGAATGTGATTGTGACAGAGCAGGAAAACACTACAAGGCAAATCTCTGCGTAGGAATAGTTTAGTCTTTAGTCCATGCCGTTGCTGCTGCTGCTGCTGTTCTCATCAGGAGCACCCATGATGCTTGAAAAATCCTCGCTTCCTTCGAGGCTCGATTTCACTTGGCCATTTTGCCACCTGAACTGTCCTGCTTGCTCTCTTGCGCACCATCCGACGGTTGTGAGTCTTCTTCAAGTTCTTGCTTCTCAGGGCCACACACGGGGAATAGAGGGTGTTCAATGGTCATATGGCAGTACTCACTTCACCCGTATACTGAAGACAAGCTGCCTCATTGTCCATATTTGGCAAGATCTTAAGTGATGGCAGGCTGGTACTGTATATGGTGCCAACAACCTTATACGGACAACAAAGTACTCTCAACGACTAATCGAATACCCTGGGCGATCGATGGTCATACACCGGCACCCTCCATTACCATCCATATGTAGCACTGGCCAAATTTGGATGAAAATCTTCCATATCAGGGTGGAACATCCTCACACGCATATTTAGCAGCACAAAAGTTCGAACTTTCGGTGGCGGTGATATTGTGCGAAATTATAATTTAGAGGGAGCATTGAGCCTTGTGAGGTTTAGCAACGCGATATGCCTTTTTCGTGAAAAAGAGCCAAGTCTTTGTGGTCCACTTTCACAACAATAACACACACACACACACACACAAGTCTCTGCTGCGAGCACGGTAGCTCGGCAATGACGAAGTAAAATAATACGAACACACCTACGAAAGGCCACTGCGAAATAACAGGAATGCGGTCAAGCAGCAAAAGGTTTCGGGGAAATCTCAAAATTGGTGCGATTTTGCATGAGCCCGAATGTTCAAGTCACCCACAAAGACACAAGCTTTCCAACTCTCTTTGGCTGTTGGAAAGCGTACCGTCATGTGTGTTTTTTTTAAAGAGAGAGAAAGTTACTTTTGCAAATCATTACAACTTCGCGTCCATGTTTGCGAATTTTCAAGCTTTGTTTCTGTACTCGTTCCCAGACTCAAGACGTTGAAATATGTGATCTTGCAGTAATGGTATTATCAGACTGCATTTTGCTGAGCTCATTTTCTTGCGCCTAGTGTTGATCAAATCCTCTTTTGCACCTAGAGGTCATGTTGACCAGAATCATCTCTATGCCAGTAGAGGACAACAGTTACTCCGTTTTTTTTTTGGGGGGGGGGGATTCTTGGATGAATATTTGTGAACCCTCCTCCCCTTTGTCTTCTGTCTCCTCGTTCTGTGTGTGTATTGGCCAGGTGCGTTTGGGTCCGTTCACTTGGCCGAGTGGTCGTTCCGCGTCAGCTGTGCGCCGGTAGAGGTGGCGGTGAAATGCCTGAAGGACGGCGCCGACGAGAAAGCCGAGAAGGATTTCCTGGCCGAGGCGCGCATCATGGCCGAGTTTGATCATCCCAACATCATCCGCCTGTTTGGCGTGGTGGACGATGGGGCGGCGCGCATCGTCACCGAGTACATGTCCAACGGCAACCTGAAGGACTTCCTGGAGCAGGTGCGCACCACCGACCCCATGCTGCGCTCGCGTGGACAGCTCGTACAGTACATTGTGGACATCGCCGGCGGATTGCAGTACCTGGCCACGGAGGGGTTCATTCACAGGGTGAGTCAGGGAGGGGTTCATTCACAGGGTGAGTCAGCACTGCTGCATGTTTGGCTCCGGGCTGCTGCGTGTGCACCGCTCACAATCTTTTAGTCCGGACTGCTGTATGTGCACTGCTCACAATCATTCTGTACTTCTTTCTCTTGAGACATGTCCTATGTACAGTACTGTCGGGTGACGAAGAAGTGGGGGGTCAGCCTCGTAGCCTAGGCCGTTCTTATTTTTGTGTACAACAGTCCATGCGCAGTGGAGTAGTCGCCACGGATATGTCAGTGTGCCTTGCTTGGTGAAATCCTAGCCTGCTCGTTCTTCGGCGCTCGACAGTACTGTTTGTGTATGTTACGAGTTATGGCTAATGTGAAACCGGGAGTTTTCTGCTGTGTAATATTTTTGGTATTTCCCAAAATCAACGGTTCGGTAGCGCGAACATTTAGGCAAACCAGTTTTCCAGATCAAAAAATGCATTTTGCACACTGTGTGACATGGCATGGTTGAATCTTAGGTCGCGTTTTATTTTAGGTAAAAATTACCTGTACCGAAGTTACCGAAATAAAATCTCCATCGAAGATTTCCGGTTTTACAGTAACAGTCCACCACGGTTACGGGATAATATACAGTCAGACGATGCGGCAGTAGGGCACACAACTCGCAGGGGTACTGAGACATTCGAGTTCAAAGAAGTGCACTACTGTCTGTGTTTGAAGGATAGCGTGTTGCTCTGCTGTTGCCGTTGCAGGACCTGGCAGCGAGGAATGTCCTGGTGTCTGAGGACGAGCGCTGCAAGATCACTGACTTTGGCCTCTCACGCAAGCTGGAAGAGGACACCTCAGAGTACATGTCAACCGTAAGTCTGAAATGCCATTGTCTTTGACTCATTCGTTCCGAGTACGATTATTATCATCCCCCGCATAAGTTCACTGCCCACGGTCATCATCATCATCATCTGCGTTGCTGAAAAAATAATAATAGTAATTTTTTTTTTTTTCAATAATAAACGGCATTATGCAGCTGTGTAAGCCCACGGTGCTCAGTCTTAATCTGCTCTGAAAGTCAAAGCTCTTTTACATTATTTTGTTCTGCTCAAATCGTTTTTATTTCATTCGGATTCAGTGTCCGTCCTCGGAACTGGGAGTTGCACACTGCAGTGTAAAAGTTTAATTTGGATTCTGGATTCATTTTATCAGCAATGCTGCAGAAAACGTGAAAACTGTTTCTAGACTTTTTTTCTAAGTTTAGAGGGTTTTAGTAGGAACTTCTCTACTTCTTCTCTTCACCACGGAGGCTTATCCTTATACCCAACCCTATTGTGCATAAGCGATTCACCGCGACCATGTCGACAATAATAATAATACCGTAAAGTACCGCCAGAGCGCCCCGTCTCGCGAGAGCGCCCCACCTTGATTTTACAGCCAAGGGAAGGAAGTCGTACGGCAGAATGCTAAGTTAGTTTGTACGATGTGAGAACGTTCGTGTACTAAGGTCACACTTGGTATGCTTTTATGTGGAGCTCGAAGGCAAACTGGGTACGGATTGATTGCACAATGTGCAATGTTTGTACAAGGTCCGTGTCGTATGACCCACAGACAGGAATCCACCTCCACAAGGCGGCCACGAAAGGACGAGATGGTGGGGCGCTCTGGCGGTACTTTACGGTAATAGGAGCTTCAATTTTCAACTTTAGGAAAGTCACCTGCAGTGATGGCTTTCTTATCAGCTGCTGATGGTCATATACATGCGTACGTTGTTCCTTACAGGGCGGGCTATTGCCGCTGAAATGGACAGCGCCTGAGGCCGGTCTAGAGAAGTGCTTCACCACGTCGTCGGACGTCTGGAGTCTCGGCGTCACCATGTGGGAGGTGATGACCTACGGGAAGAAGCCCTACGCGTCGCTGTCCTTCCTCACCCTCTTCCCCGCGCTGCAGCGCGGTGTGCGACTGGGCAAGCCACGGGTAAGGACTAGGATGTTGTCTGGTCTCTGCAGGGATGGGGGCTCGCGCCCCACCCGGACCGTACGTTATACATGTAGTGGTTAGAGCACCGCTGGCCTTAGTTGGCTTTAGGTCCCTGGCTCGAGTCCCAATGATGACAGTCAATTTCTCTTCAGACTTTTTTTCCCATTTTACTCCTTCAAATATATTTTGGTGTTTACTTCGGAGTATCGGCGTGCCAAGTGGATGCGTTGGTTTTATGACTTATTGCCGTGTTATGGGGGAATATGGTTATGATACTGGCCAGAACACTTGTGTTCACAGTATAATATTGCAACCTTCTTGAAGATCTCTTTTCGCAGACTATGTATGACTTAGCTGTGTGTGTATGTGTGTGTGTGTGTGTGTGTGTGTGTGTGTGTGTGTGCGTGTGTGTGCGTGTGCGTGCTTTCAGGACTGCCCTGATGAACTGTATGATCTGATGAAGAGCTGCTGGGAGTGGGAGCGAGAGCAGCGTCCAACCTGCGAGACCATCTGCGAGCAGCTCCGTGTCCTTCTGGAGCACGAGCATCAGGACACGGATGATGAGGATTCGCCGCAGAGCGCCAGTTGAAACCATTACTTTGAGCGCACGTGCATTGAAACACTTCTTTTGAGTGTCGGTCAGTGCATTGAGGTGACTGTATAGTAGTAGTGTTTGAGAGTTCAGCTGTATTTCACTTCCGTAGTCCGTGTTTGATACTACTATTTCTTTCATCACTCTGCGAAGTCTTGAAGAGTCCTTTTCGAATTTTTTATAAATGCGGCGTACGTATTTTTTTATCAACTCCACGTACCCGGCATGATGGGCAAGTTGACTGCAGCAAGTATTACTAGTACCACTCTATTCAACCTTTTAATTATCCTGCCCTGATGATGGTCTGCCCTGATGCGTTTACTTCTTTTTCTTTTTGTTCCGATTCTCTCTTGCTCTACGCTATTATTTTCTAGGCTTGGTCATCAGCAGGCCTGGTGTTACCAATATCCGTGCGCCTAACCCTCCCTCTTTTTACTACGCTCATGGCACATCCGTTTACTTCTTTTAACCTACATGTAACATTGCGCAATCGCCGTATTTGTTGACGGACACTATGCCTTTATTGTCGTCTCGTTTTATTATTTCTTTTAAACTCTTACTCCGGATGTGTATCTACGTTTTCGGACAAGACTACGAAAATCGGTACCGTCGTACCTTTGATCTCACTTCTCCTGCGTGTTCTCATTTGCTGTGCTGGAAAGCTGTTGAAATGCTGGCAGTCCCTCTGTTGGGTGCTCCGCTCTGCAGCACGCACGCGCGCGCGCACACACACACACCTCAGACCTCAGACCTGCCCATCGCGGAAGCGATGATAGCGAACAGCTATGTTAGACATGGCAACTATTACTTGTGCTGGGATCACACCATTCAACAGCTTGCAAGGCTGATGAATTGACCGCCACTATTTTTAGCCTGGTATCCACCACACAGCTGATTGAAGTGACTTTTTCTGGCCAGTGAATCCCTATTTTTCATTTTTCCATTTTTTTCTTTTCTTTTTTTTCTACACACACACACCACACCACATACTCCGGCATACACTGGCTGTTGGTAACCACCCAAGAGAATGAAAGAAAAGTCAGGAAGACACACACACACACACAACTCTTGGTACTGTACACCACAGAGTACTAAACACTTTTTTTAGTACTCTGATGTACTGTAATTCAAGTCTGTAAAACATGTAATTTTCGGTGTAACTTTAATTTCGGTGATTTCAGTAAAGAAACCAGGCACCTAAATTTAAATTACACCTAAAAGGCACTAGAGTATGCACTGTATGTGAAAGGAATGCTGGTCACCTAATCCTACAGTACACCTGAAACCTGGCAGGTCTCTGGCACCGAAATTTTAATGCACCTAAAATTACATGTTTTACAGTACATGGTTTGTATCGTTGAGGTTCGAGAATGTTGCACCATAAATCCATAACAATAATTATTATGGTGTGCACTGTGCAGCACTTGTGCGTATAGCAAGTTACAATAGTGTTGGCTTTGGAATGCCGGCCACGACTGCAGTCTTGGAGTGCTGAAGACTAGATGAGTAGGTCCCGAGCCGCTCTCTGATCTGACAAGTGCTGATAACGGCCGACATTGCCAAACCCTATTCCTGATACTCGCGGGCCGGTATTGAAAAGAAGTAAATACTTGTACTTGTCGTTGCACAACGAATAGCAGAAACGTGATAATTTGAGAATTGCAAATTGAATTTCAAAACAGGTGAGATCATCTCACACTCCTACAAATTACAACGATACTGTTCCATGTAATTCTTGTGAGGGAGAGGGTGGAGGAGAGGCAGATGGCTAGTCCGCCATCCTCATGACCACCTTGCCAATGACGCAGTCAGACAGCTGCTTGAAGGCTTGCGGTACGTTCGCCAGTTCCACAGTGTGGTGAATGGACGGATTGATTTTCTTGGTATTCACCTTCTCCACCAGGTCGCTGAGCATGTGCATGTAGCGGCCCTGCTGACCACTGGAAAGCAGCCAAGTGTGCTCGTTGAGGAAGCAGACACTACCGCCCTTCATGTACAACAGGTCCGAGTGTGGCGGGTCAAGCTGAGCAGCGAAACAACACGCATGCACACACACACACACGCGCGCACACACACACACACACACACGCACACACACACACACACACACACACATTGCGGCTCTCAACACGAAACCTAAGAATTTAGGAACAGAATGCATGTACATTTAGAAACATGCTGCTATGCAGAAAATCACACTGTCCCATAGAAGTGCAGTCACTGGCCATGAGACATTCACCTGTAATTACCTGTAGGGTGCGATCAGCGGTGACAAAACGGCCGCCGACCGCCAGACAGGAAAAGAACTCGTGAAGGCTTGGCTGGCCACCCTGACGGCTTGGTGTCGGTGATGATGGCGTGGATGATGGAGTTGACATTCTGCCGGCGCCGGACGAAAGGTCGATAGAGCTTGACGCTGCACAGTACACAGCAGTGACAGCAGTGACAGCATTACCAGACTCATGCTACAGTCATTTGAAACCCAGATGTAAAGCCAATAATCAATGTAGAAAGGAAAGGGAAAGTACCCAGTTGATGCACTTTCCAACTGTATAGTTTTTGTATCGAGTTAGTTACAGTGGTGGACAGTCACTCTGAACTCGTATTATGTCCCTTTCATGTATACTACAGTAAATTAGTAATACTGGTGGTAGGGCTGAGGACATGCTACTAAGCGTACAAGCAAGGCATTCCCTGCCGGAGTGACACTCGTGACAGGACTGCGGCATGGATAGGGAAATGGCAATGCTGCACTGCACTCGACTGCTTCACTCATGCACGCAACCCGGCTTCACTGACAGTACAGTACCGACAATATCATACTTCAATTAGAATGAGATTCATGAGGCAAGTCCACACTACAGAACGGAGGCGTGTAACGGCACCAATAAGTTACATGCTGACACAACTGTGAACTGAAGACATGCACACAGACACACACGTACGCACACATGCACCATCCTCCCCCCTCCCCCCCCCCCCCCAAATACAGACACACATGCACACACACGCACGCACACACATATACACACACACGCACGCACACACATATACACACACATGCACACACACCACCTTGAACCTTGAACGCCCATTGCTGTAGCAATGATAGCGATGGCTTCCTCACGCTGAGGCTCTAACCCCCCCCCCCCCCCACACACACACAGGCGCGTACGCAGGGTCACCTCTAGGGGGGTTTTCAACCAAATCGCAAACAATGACTCGTTAACCCTTTGTATTTTGTATTTGCATTTCTAAATTTTCAAAATTATGCATTTTTTCGTGTTCTTTGGATCATAACTTCAGTTCTGCTCACTCAATCTTCTTCATTATCTTAGGCTTCCTGGAAGTGAAAAGGTACGCTGGAGAGAATGAGCCCCCCCCCCCCTGCGTACGCGCCTGCACACACACACACACACACACACACACAATACCCGCAGGCGTACAGAGATACGGTCGTTGTCTTACCGCAATCAAGTACGCAGTCAATGCCCAAACCGCCCGTTTCCTCCAAGCACACGTCAACCAGAGAGCGGCGATACTTGCCCACTTCAATCACTTGTGCTGTGATCAACATAGCACACATCCACACATAGAAACACATACACACACATTCATCCCTGCGATACTGTGTTGTCAAGCTAACTCATAATGTAAACATGCATTATGAATTTAAACTCGGATTATGCATTATGCACTATGAATTGCTCACAAATAATTTTAACTTGTTAATGCAAACCTCCCCAAACAGTTTGTCGGACAAGCTCCCTGACACCACCGGCATCCCTCACAGACTGTGACATCCATTAACAAGCATTGAGTGCATGTACCCGTAAGCTGAAAAGATAGCCGCCTTACCGAGAGGAGGACGGTGACTCTCCAGGAACACAGCTTCCTCGTGAGTGCTGGCCGTTGCTAGCACCTGCACACAGCCAACGAGACAGTAAGATTATTACACCCTCTTTTCTCTTCTCCCCTCCCCCCCCCCCCCCTCCCCCTCCCCACACATACTCTCTGTCTTTCTGTCCTTCTATCCCTGTCTCTCCACAACCATACATGTTATTCAAAGTGCCTACACACGTACAAGATGCGCAATACTCTCGCTAGCATGCACGAGTTGGTGACTACGTACCCGTGCATTCCACAGCTGTGCCAGCTGAATGGCGATGATACCTTCGGGCTGATGGAAACCATTGCAGCACAGCACACAATACACAAAGACGCGCACACGCACACACCCGCACACATACACACATTTAGCACCTCTAACACTGACAAAACTGCACTCTACACACACGTAATAATACCAAAGGTTTTACCGGCACTAGCTAACCTACATCTGTGGTGATTACGCACGTGCAATCAAGCATTTGCACGGGCATTCACTCCGAAGTGAAACAAACCCCAAAGCAAGCAGAGAAACTCACCGAGGAGCCATTGCAGACCAGCACTGTCTCGCCGCCGCACACATGTGCAGCATAGTGCAGTGCCGTGTAGGCACGCACGCCACCACTCACACAGCCAGCCGCATCCACGTGACTCACAGCACCAGGCTTGGCAACTAACAAGCAAAGGAAGAAAGCAATGGACAACAACCCAAGGAACACGATCAACTCTTCCGCCGCAATAAAAACCCAAAAGGATTACTGCAAAGTGAGAAACTTTCGTAAGAGATTAAATTTCGCTATTTTCGCGACCATCACACATTCGCGAATATAAATCGCCGCAAACCTTTCCATACATTGATTGTAGACCGTACAAGATCCGACTCAAGAGATAGAATCGCAAACGTTTCTCATCGTGAACCAGCCCAAATTATGAAAACGCTAAATTTGCACATCGCGAAAGTATGTCACTTTACAGTAACAAGAATGACTCAACCAACTGCTGGCTATACGTGCTTGGTTGCGCGTACGTTCTTCTATGTTGTGTCTTCCCATTTAGCTCCTCTCTGTTCACCCTGTAGTTTGCTCTAGATCCGTAGCCCGTTAACTAGTCAACTTTGTGTATAACGACACTCGGCGGGGCATCAGAAAAGTGTCCTTATAAGTTATACCCGAAGTCTCATTATATGTATCACAGTTAGGAAGATGGGACTTTGCTCTGGGCATGGAAATTCTGTCGTTATTCACGCATTGTCGTTATATCCGCAGTCGTGATTAGCGAAGTTGACTGTAGTTGCAATACCACTGGTGCTTGATGTACACAACCACGACCACATCATGAATAGGTTAACTCATACCTAAGCAGTACTCGGGCGCGACGCACTCCTCTGCACAACCAGAATGCGGCCAGTTCAGTGGCAGAAGACCTGTGCATGCGTAAGTATGTCCAAACAACACACACATACATATACAGACAACACACACACACACACACACACACACACACACACACACACACACACACACACACACACGTACACACACACACGCACACACACACACGTACACACACACGTACACACACACACACACACACACACGTATACAGACAACACACATACGAGCACACAAAATCACTCAGAATCCCACAGAAACAAACTATTAAGTTTGTCAACCCTTAATGACCTCAGTTCCGAGTGGCTGGGGCTAGACTAGTCTCATGGCAGCCCTCTAACTATTGCTTTGCACACTGAATTGTACAGGGATGTGACATCACAACATAGACTTACCGACAACTTCATCTCCAACATTGAATAGATTAGCATTCGGTCCCACTGCAAGCGCAGAAACGACAATAGGAAAAAAACAGACATCCGAATGCGAGCAATCCAGAACAATTTTTCGAAAAGAAAAATATCCAAAGTTGGATGGCACAGCTAGATCAAGATCCACACGCACACAGCAACAATGTAGAAACATCAACAGTATGGGCATGAGTATGAACTTGATCATGTGGGAATGCTGCAGCAGCAGCAGCAGCAGCATTAGCATGGGATTGTGTTGGAGTGCTGTGTACTGACCTTCCTTGATAACACCAGAGATCTCGTGGCCAAGTGGAAGCCGTGCCTTGGAGCGGTGAATATTGCTCACAACCTGTGCATGAATGACATGCCACAAGCACACACACGTACGCATGCATGAACACACAAACACACACAGAATTGTATAACAGGAAATTTTACAGGACAAGGAGACCCACACAATTCGCATTTGCGCAATCCACAACTGTGCCACGACGAACAATGACAATGCCCCCCCCCCCTCTCCACCTCCTAAAGTTAATCAGGTAACAACACGTGCCAACGTCTGTAATCACCTCAAAGTCCTGCTGAGTGAGACCGCAGGCCTTGACCCGAATACGCACGTGGTGCTCCTCCAACGTAGACGGTACCTCGGACTGGAGGGTCAAACAGAGCACAGCAAAAGAATTAGATCGGATAAATGACTACAAATATTCAGGCTGGTGATGGCTACAGAAAACCTGGTCTAACAAATACAGGAAAACCTCGTTATTCAACCAGGCTAGATTGGTGGTCATTTAGACAAGTTCCGCAACAGACAATGGGCCTCGGCTTCACTGGTTTTGTATAAACTTTGTCCACGATTACATCTTCATATTTGAAAACTTAAAATGTTACTGTCACCCAAGCAAAGTGCCACACACTATCAAGTTGTGTATTCTCACAAAGGTATTCAGTATTCATGCTGCTCTACATTATACACTGTCTCAATGTCATTGTACATCATTATTGAGAGGGAGAGAGAGAGAGAGAGAGAGAGAGAGAGAGAGAGAGAGAGAGAGAGAGAGAGAGAGAGAGAGAGAGAGAGAGAGAGAGAGAGAGAGAGAGAGAGAGAGAGAGAGAGAGAGAGAGAGAGAGAGAGAGAGAGAGAGAGAGAGAGAGAGAGAGAGAGAGAGAGAGAGAGAGAGAGAGAGAGGTTCTGGATACTGTATGGGGAGTTGGAGTGTAGCTGCAACCACTGAGGTAAGCCAGCAGGGGATGAGAAATGCCTACTGCAAAACTAAACTGCCCTCCACATAAACAGGTACAGTCAACTTCGCTTATAACGACACTCGGCGGGGCATCAGAAAAGTGTCCTTATTCGCGAAGTGTCGTTATACCCGAAGTCACATTCTATGTATTACAGTTGGATGGGACTTTGCTCTGGGCATGGAAATTCTGTCGTTATTCGCGAATTGTCATTATATCCGCAGTCGGTATTAGCCAAGGTGACTGTACATCTTCGCTCGCTCTCTGCCCCCCCCCCCCCTCTCCCACACGTACCCTCCATCTGCATCTGCCAGTTTTTTTACATGAGATCGACTGGTACCGTACCGTACTACGCACATATAAGCACATGCGCTTAGAATTCTAGAAGTGAATTTTTGCTACGAATCCAGTTTTCGAAAATGAAATATTTTCACCTAAACGCGCATGCTCGATCAGAGTTCGTTTGCCAGAGTCTTTGTGTTTGACTAGGTCTTGTAGTGTAAGTATCAGGGTTTCTGTATGCTGTTTGGAGACTTTTATCCGTGATTGTGTCAAAGTGAGAATTTTGGTAGTGCTTCGCCTATAAGAGCATACGCTTATAAGTGAGAGCGCGCTTATATCCGAATACAGGCACATGCGCCTATATGTGCGTTACTACGGTACTGTATATCCTTCATAGAGCTACATTGCAAATAATCTGTGTTGGCCGAGTGTCTAGCATCCTGCATACACCATTGCACTGAGCAGGACAATAAAAGCATTATTTAACCTACAAGACGTGATCTGTGGTAGGGTAGGACAGTCTCATCGCCTTTAGCGTTGTACTCATGGGTGCTGAATTGGCTGGGTGCACTTTTTCAATTATACTACACTAGTACATAATACTAATTTAGTGTTGGCATCCAAAACCCAAAGCCATGCTTTCTTACGTCCTCAGCGACTTCGACCTCCCAGTGGTCACCTTCCACGCGCACGTACTCAGCCGCCTTCACAATCACATTCATTGTCACTCAAATAGATGAGGCGCTCTCCCCTAGGCCCTTCCTCTAGCTGTAAAACCGAGGGACTATGCAATTCGTACTAGTATGCTACTGTATTGTTTTTCAAAGGGTAAATTTTACCAGCTACGAACACAGCACAAGAAAAACGCCAACACTCTGATAGATAGAGTTGCTCAACAGTTGTCAGTACTCCCATCTATTCACCCTGTATCCCAGTAGCCCCATCTGGAAAAAGTCCTGTTGTCACCTCCTTTCTTCGTGCTTCTTTGCCAGTACATTTTTGTAGTCATTTTGAACGAATTCGCGAAGCAAAAAATCACATCCGGCCTCCTTGGCGTCATGACGCTGTTTGCGGTGTCCATGGTGATCAATGATCACGTGTGTGTACCGGTATGCATTATTATTATGAGCAATTGAGCATACAAAAATTACAAGATTCTCATTATAAATAAAAATAAATAAATTTCACGGTTCGCGTGAGACTCGGCTGGAAGCCGAGTTTTCCGCATCCGCCGTGGGAACGCCACCACCCTCTAGGATCAAAGGCGCAGATGCAGCGCCTAAACGGTGGGAGGTGAGTAGATCAGACCCACCACCAAGTGGTCAAAGACCGAAATCCCATTAGCTGCATCCATTCTCATTCATCTACAGTACTCAACAAGCAATAACAGTAAACTTGACACTTCTACCTGGTTCTGGACTCTGGCTACAACTTACAAGCCATAAAATAAACCTTGTCAATCAAGTACAATCAATTCATGTATGGCCATTTGTGAATGCCGCACTCTTGGCATGTGTATCACCAACCCTGAGTGCATGTTTCATGTCCGGCAGTACAAACGACGCCGTACTGTGTGCACGTGAGCGTACGGGGGGATAATGTAAAACCGGTACCGGGAACGCTTACAAGAAATTCTAAAGCTGAGCTTCAGAGGTAAGGACAACATGCAACATGCACTACAGGGCAAGTAGGCCACGGCTACAAGTACAAGTGATCAGATCCGGAATTCAAAATCCGCAGGCCGCACAACCCTGACACACGTAGACACCGTCAGTGAAAGAGATTCATGGCAGAACACAATGTTTAATATCCGGAAAAAAAACTTAGTACTTCAAAGTATGTGCAGGGCAAGGCACAAAAAGCATGCTGTATGCACACGGCCAGCATACACTGTAGCTAATCGCCCCATGGCAGTGCGTAACATGCACATGTACATGTATGTCGAATGAGGCCTGTCTAAACAGTATTGCAAGGACATACACACACGGGCGAGCACATAAGTTACAGTAGCTACTGTGGAGACAACATGCGCCGAGAAATCAACTGAATAGGACGACGCGATAAAAGGCATTCTAATATCACAACATGGAAGAAGCACCTGCAGCACCTGCAGCAAGCTGAGAAAGCAGACACCTGCAGCAAGCTGAGAAAGCAGACACCTGCAGCAAGCTGAGAAAGCCGAGCAAGCCGAGAAAGCAGCAGTGGCGGCGGTGGTGGCAGGTACCAAACATCAGTTACTTGCCACACAGCAACGCCAGTAGGCAGTAGAGGCAGAGAAGAGCTGAAGCACCAGCAGAGCTGGGCAAGCGTAACGCACCGCCGAGAGGCTCGGGAAATCGTTCGACGCACTAAACACTTCGCTCACTTCTTGCGACCGCCGCGTTCCTTCAGCTGCAGCTGCATCACTGTGGCTGGCGTAACGTTGTAGAAGCCTAACGAGTTCGAGTCCTTCACGAACATAGGCTGAAAAGATGAACACACACACAAACGAAAACATAAGGTTTGTGGTTTGTGCCGAGCGAGCAAGTCACAACCAAAACACAACTTGAGAAAACAATATCCTCTCTTCTGGCGATTCTTGTAAAACTCAAGGACAAACAGGACAGACAGCATCTAGATTAAGAATTGAGGTACTGTATAGCAGGAAATTTTCGAACGGAATTAATTTTCGTACGATTTCGTACACGGCCTCTTTTGTACTAAAATATATACAGTACTTAGGGGTCGTCCGTAAATATCGAACTTTTTTCACAAAACGAAATAATTTCGTTATGGGGTGGGAGGGGGTTGACCAATTTCGTTTCAGAAAACATTGATTCATGTACATGGCCGTTGTATATACATGTATATCAACATTTTTTACGTTCCGAGGGGGAGGGAGGGAGGGGTTGGGTCTAAACTAAAAATGATTCGTTTGGTGAAAAAAGTTCGATATTTACGGACGGCCCCTTAAATTTGTTCATGTGAAATTATGTACACTATACATGCATACTGCTTGCGAACACGTGTATTTAGCATGCAGCACTGTACGAAAATATAATCCGTACGAAAGGTCGAAATTCAGCTTTGCCCGAAAATATTTCCGTCCGAAAATTTCCTGCTATACAGTAACTGTGTTTAGAGGACAAACAGCAACGCAAAGTGAAGTGAGATCATAGTGTAGTGGAACCCTTTATCCAGGCAACATGGGACTGGGAACTGCCAGCAACTCAGAACACACAATCATACTGTTTACATGGCAGGTAAACACTCTTTTAGTCGAGCAATATTTTCGGTTGCTGCATTTCGTTGAAATGTTTTGTGACTTAGAGAGGCCGGACAAGCGCCCGGTAGACAGGAGGGTCTGGATCTTGTTAGTCAGGATGAGCCTGACCAAAACAAATTACCCTGATATGACAGAGTACATTACAGTGCAACTTCAGTATCAAGTAGCCTGAATAATACAACATACTTTTTGGAAGACCTGCAATTCTGCACAATTATCCTTTCCCAGGCATTTGACCCTGCGTACGTATGGTTCCAAAATGTTATGACCTTTGGGAGGTATGTGATATTGAGGTTGCACTGTCCATAATTATCGATCTTTTACACGAAACAATTTTTTGTTTACGGATGGGTGAGTCGAGGAGGGTTTCGTTTTGAAAAAAATATTGATAGCTGAAATATCCATACGAAATAGCGCAATCCATTCTACCTGGTATTATATAGTCGATATGATTTTATCAATATTTTCGTTCGGGGAGGGCTAAACATTTTTTTTCGTTTCATGAAAATTATTGGTAATGCCAGATGTCCCCTAAACAAATAGCATGACAGAACTCAAACTTACTCCCATGACCAGCTTCTGCTTTCCTGCTGGCAAACCAACCTCCTCGAACAACTTGGCCTTGATGACTGATACCTGCAATCACACAAACCATCACAAGAAAAAAAGCCTCGATTAATTTACATGCAGCCATGCGAAACAATTTCTGGAGTGAGTTGGTGGCAATAAAGCGTGCAAACAAAACATTCCCATTCTGCAATATGCACAAAATTGCACAAAAATGTACCTGTCACACATGGGGAACACAGACACACATACACAGACACACAGATACACAGACATACACACACACACACACACACACACACACACACACACACACACACAGACACACACACACAGACACACACAGACACACACACACACACACAGACACACAGACACACAGACACACACGCACCCACCCACCACACCACACACACCCCACACTGGGCTCACAAACGAAGTCACTACCATATGCATGGGCAGTTGACAGCGCAACTAACTTACAGGATCGGTAATTGGCAGAGAGATTCGTACTGTCTGGCCGTTCAGCTGCCATTCAGATTTTTCAGAACTGTTCGGAATTACAACACCAAACGTTACTGGACCCTGGAGAAGAAAGAAAGGCACATGGACAAGCATATAATTATTATGCTATACCCAAGACACAGGCAAGTGAAACAAAGCCTAGCATGAGTCAGGCATGCAACTCTAACATGACAATCTCCAACACTCTTGAATGGAACAGAGTGAGTTCTCTGTGCCAAAGAGAGTTGCTGTGAAAGGGCTGTTTAGTCGCTTGTAAAGCAAACATGCGTGCTAGCAACAAAGGTAGAGCTGGAGGAACGAGAGAGAGAGAGAGAGAGAGAGAGAGAGGGGGGGGGGGGGGGAGAAAAATGTAGGGAGACAGAAGAAGTTGAATGCCTTTGAATGGTAAAGCAAAAAAAGCAAAAAAAAGAAGGTGGTCACCAGCAGGTGCTGACTTACTGGATGCTGTGCAATGAACTGGTCTTCGGGAATAAGATGGTCTTCGGGATCAGGTCGCCGCTTGCTGGCCGGCTCGTCTCCAACACCTGGTGGTGGCGGGCCACCGGGTGGAGGTCCTGGCATGCCTGGTGGTGGAGGCGCTGCTGGTCGAGGTGGTGCCATGCCAGGCTGCATAGGCGGACCGGGCGGACCTGGTGGAGGCGGTCCACCGGGCATGGGCATTGGGGGACGCTGCATGGGCGGGGCGCCCATTGGGGGAGGGGGACGTGCACCCATGGGCATGCGTGGGGGCATGGCCATCAGAGGAGGACCCGGGGGACGAATAACTGCACACCAGAACAAGACAAGAGAGAAGCAAGAGCCATGTTGCACTAAAACCAAACAGTATTAATCAGCTTGAGGGAAAGGTGCAAACGGAAAAAAAGTCTAAAGAAAAAATTGACTGTCACCACCAGGACTAGAACCAGGGACGCTCTACCATTAATTTGAACCTGGCGCTTCCTGTGAGTCCACACAGGCTGGTGGGATGCAGTCCTCACTGCAAACCCACACACTTCACGTACAAACTAGCACACCGCGAGCCCCAACATATATAAACTATTCATCAGTTTGTCCTCTCAATGATGTAGTGATAGTGTACACCAAAGACTTGCCCTTTCCTGAGCTGATGGCAAAATTGTAAGTTGACGACATTGCATGTAAATCGCAAACGCTATGACGCGAAACACAATTTGTCAAAATGTTGTTACTTCGCAGCGTGCAGTGCTTCCAGTCTAGTACACACATACAACTGGAACAACAGAAAAGGGTAGCACCGTAAAGTACCGTTGATCCACCCCCCCCCCCCCCACGCCATGTCGCTTCCCAGCTGGGTTTTCGGCAGGGGGCGGGAATTAGATCAAGGCTGTCAAGTGCAGTACGATGTACAACAACGCAGAAGTTCAGACTCGATGTGCTGGATTGTGCACATTTTCATCCTGGATTGGCAAATATTGTGTACAGCAGTGCATGCGTCGGTTCAACATCGTATTTTCGTTGTATACGCCGAAGTCGCTTCACAGGTAGAACATCGACAGGGGGCGGGAATTAGAGAGGGGGCGGATCAACGGTACTTTACGGTAAATCAGACTCCCGTAATACTATTGGTCGGTATGCATCGGTCTCGCAGCAATATGAGAAGATTTTTTCTGTCATGAGGGCATCTCCTCATACGGGAAGACACATCTGGTCCCCTGGAATGATCGCAATCGAGCTTCATTTTTTTTACTGCAATAGAACGTTCACTTACGAGGCATTGCCGGAGGTGCGGGAGGTCGCACGGCACCGGTCATTGACGCGGCGCTGGACACTGGTGGTGGCGGTGCTACCGTGCGAACTGATCCGGACGGTGGACGCAGTGGCGGAGCCTGCGTGGCCGACAACGGTACGGGCGGCATCGGCGGCGGGCCTGGGTGAGGACCGATCCGCTCCGCTTCCTCCCTCGGTCTGAACACACACGCACATGCACACACGCACGCGCGCACACACACACAAACACACACACAGCAGGAAGGTCAAGAGGCATCTCTCCGATCTATGTATGCTCGAAATACAAGTTGAATACGGATGTACGCCGTGGGAAAAGGGTCTAGCTACATGGACATTGAGATATCGTCACAATATTCTTCACCCTTGCCTTGGCATCAGCAAGTGAAAGTACACAGTAAAAGAAATAAGAGAGAGTTCAATAGAATTTCCAATCAATTAGCGACAATACAACACAATACATTACACACACAAACACATAGTACATACAGAATTCCACGCGCTTTCTGCGAGGCTGCCATTTGCTCGCTGAGCGACATTTTAGAGACTTCCTTGCGCGCCGATTCCTTGACCATATCACGCCTACAAATGCAGCACAGAACAAAACAAAAACGGATGGCAAAACATGGCACAAAGTCAAGCACATGACAGCCCGCTGCACACCACAGCTCAACACCACAGTCACCATTCCATGAGCATCCAAAGAGATACACTAGTAGCAGCAGCAGCAGCAGACTTACGATCCCGAATGGCCATCCCACGTGACTTTCTTGGAAGCACCGATATCCTCTTCTTCACCGATCTAGAACAAGGCAAAGTGAAAAAAATAAGCAAGACATGCGTTTTCCCTTTTCAACCCCTCAGACTTACTAAAAGAAGCAAAAATAGAAACATATTAAAATTAATAGAATAGAAACATGAAAAACGAAACAAGAAATGCATCAGCCCTATAATACTACAGTAGTAGACAGACCTGACTGACATCAGCACACTTACTTCTAACACAGACAGAAGATGGACACTTGGACTTTGTAGGAGTACAGGTGGAATCTTGATAATTCGAATATCGCTTTTAAAATTAGAACATACCGCTTTATTAATTAGAAGTTTCTCCCAGGACTGATTTCTAACAATACGATTTCCACACAACAATTTCGGATAATTCGAACCTCGAACTGGGTATGTCCGAATAATTAGAAGTCCCACGGAATCCACTTACATAGAAAATGTGTGGATTTTGTGTTGATAATTTGAAGTTAGCAAAGCATAATTCGAAGTTCACATTATTTTTTACAAGCTAGTTAAGTTTGCATGCGCAGGCAGTCCTGTGTCCACTACATCTGTATCTAAGGTGCGTAGCGCAACTCTGCTTGGCAATGCGAGCATTTTGACACACATAATGTGTTGTGGGTACGTGTTTGGATAATCAGAAAGTCAGGATAAATTAGAAGTTTTTCTCTGGCATTTTGAGGTCGAATTATCAGCAGTCCACCTGAACCACACACACGTACAGTAACAACATTGATGTATATTCAGCTTTCAGCAACTGCCTGCTTCTACAGCATGCAGTTTACAGCCAGTAGCATACCTTCTGTCCAATCTGTGCCTCTTCACCGCCCACACCGAAGATGTCAGTACGACGCTCGGCAATCTTCTTGAGATTCTCCTCGATCGTTCCACCTGCAAAGCAGCATTGAAATGAACGATAGCTACCTCAATGACACCGCACACCCTCACATTAATCAAGATGGGCTGGACATGTTTGAATGTGCCAGTAACACAGTGCTGGCCACATGGCAGTGGTACCAAACACACACACGATGACACTTTCGACAATATCATCGCCTGACCAACAACAAAGGCTGCACAGCCTCAACATGGGGTTATACTCAATGTGGACAACACAGTGCTGGGTACAGCCACGTTCGCCGCCTCATACTACACAGTGCTTCTACGTCTTGGGACATAGCACAGGGCAAACCAACGGTGATGTACGCTCTTTCAAGCTCTGAGCACCACACTGAATAGTGAACACATCATGCACTGTCACGCAGCCTGCATTACTGTACTATACAGTAGCCAATGCACAGGTTAGTCGTTCACCAGCCCTCACCAAGTGCTTCCTCCTGGTTCTTCCTGGCCTCCTCATTCTTATCACGCTGCTCCTTCCATCTCGGATCCAGCAGACCTGAAGTAAACGATTGAGAAAGGAGAATCAGCAACACAAAAGAGAAAGAGAATTGCTCAGAAAGCAGTTTACAATGAAAGACAGGCCTCAGAATGTTGGAAAGCATTGGTATCTGAACGGCTGGAATGGAAGAGAAGACACAGTGTGGTCATACAAGTACCAGTTTTCACAATTCCCAACATTCAGTATGAACAAAAAGAGTTCCACCAGCTCACCGAATCGCATATGGTCTGCCATCCGATCAGCAGGAATCAGCTCTCCAGTGAGCGGTGAAACGAGCATCTCTGTGCTAGGCTTGACCGGTGCGAACTTTTTCTCTGCAGAAACACACAAGCACACACAAGGAAACACACACACACACACACACACACACACACACACACACACAAAAGGAAACACACACACACACAAGCACACACAAGCACACACAAGCACACACACACACACACACACACACACACACACACACACACACACACACACACAAGCACACACACACACGCACGCACGCACGTACGCACGCACACACGAATGAAGCTAATATAGACATCACAGTAGGCATGGGCAAGCCAGCATGCACACACATGTGTGTGGTAGGAACATGATTGTATCGTGGAGCAGGTGCTAGCACTCCACACACTGTACAGAAGAGAATACATCGACTCATCTGGACTCCCCAACCCACAAACGCACACTCAGGCATGCCCGCACACACCTGTACACACCCATCCCATACCCCCCACCACACACACACACTCAGACATGCCCATCGAAGAAGCGATGATAGTGAACAGCTATGTTAGACATAGCAACTTGTGCTAGGATTACACCATGCAACAGCTTGCAAGGCTGATGAATGGACACACACACATACATGCAAACACACACACACACACACACACACACACACACACACACACACACGTACAGCACACATGCAGCTGCAACTTACTTGACTTGGGGTCGTAGTTCTGGCGCACCTGGACACCAGCGGGTACCTCCACAGCAGCAGCATCCACCCGCTTCTCAGCACCAGTGTCCATTGACGGCTCATCGTCGTCACCCTCATCTTCATCATCGTCCATGTCCATTGCCATCTACGCAATGCACAAAGTGACAGTGCACGACAACAAAGAACACAAGATCGTTCCTTGATGATGTTTATACAAGTAGATGCATGATAACATAGAATGACTGCGCAGTGCGCACTTTATCCTATTCATTGCGATTTTAAAAACAACATAAGGTGTGTTTTCCATTCAAATGGTGAATTGATGGTAACATTTCAACCCAACACAGGCATTTCATCACCAAGGGCATCTTCCATAACGTTAGTGAAAAGGTACAGTCTACTCGCGATAAGTCACTCACCCGATCTTGAAGACAAAAATGCGTGACTTATCGCGAGTACACAATAGTATACGTATACGAAAGTATATGCCCTCCAAATTGCAAAAGTGCGCGACTTGTCACGAGTGTGTGGCTTAAAAGTGCGTGACTTATCGCGAGTAGACTGTACTTCCTCCGGTTCATTAAAAATTAATAGTCATACTCATACACTGTACAGGCAGAAAGTTTAATAAGTCGGTAAAGAATTAATGTCATCCGAATCGAATATAAGGGAGTTCATCTGGGTGAAAAGTTAGTCCATGGACCATAAGATTATTAATCGCATTGATAAGCTGGATAAATGGACGTTACAGCAAAACAAGAAGGACGTATTGTGCCGTCAGCATTGTTTATTTGTCGACATGGATGATTGTAGTGTAGAAAGGTGTGAGCTCTGCTGAGGAGACCTAACAAGATCGAAACAATCAGCGGTCCAGAGACTGAGTACTAGCTACCCTAGGTACTGCTGTATCACACTATGTACAGTGCTGCCCAATGAAATCCAGTCACAAGAGTCAAGTTGGCGCCGTACACCTTTTCGCAGCCCAGTGTTCGCAGGTCTTGGGCTGCGCAACGCCCAGTGCGTACTTGAGAAACTCGACTGGATTTCATTGAGCAGTACGGTACACACAAGCCAGGCACCTTTCACACGCCTAAATACACAACCTACCTCATCCCTGTCATCCACGGCAGCCTGCTCTCGCTTCTCGTTCTCCTGATCCTCTGACTCCATGGGTTCTTCTTCTTCTTCGTTGGCCGCCAGGACGTCGGCAATATCGATGCCCTGCTCGCGCATCTCCTTGTGTCGCTGCGTCGCAATGACGCGAGCGCCAATCTGCTCGCGAGTGACAGGCGGCGGTAAGTCGCCTGGAGTTGAGTTGGAGCAAAGCGTATGCGCAGACACACAGAGCAAGCAGATGCATCAGTATTCATGCCACAAGGAAGCACCCAATTAACAAACGCTACATTACACGCACTTGCCGGTGTGTGCCAGCATACTGGAGCCAATGTACAGTGAGTTGGTGGACAAGCCGTTGATTATCCACTCTCATTGTAATATCAAAAAAGTATTCTTTCTAGACCAAAGAGTGGTATGTTTGATAAATGTTCTTTATCCACTGACGATGTTGTTCAGAACAACGAAACGTCTGAAGAAGTATCGTAAATATTTCTATCTTTATTTATCAAATATACCACTCTTTGGTCTAGAAAGAATACTTTTTTGATACCAATGCGCAGTGCTGTACTATACTTTCCTGGCACTAGAGCCCTGTACTGGTACTGTACTGGTACTGCATTGATACCATTCAGAGGAAATCAGCCCGTGCTTACCATGCGCTATCCATACAATGAGGGGCAGTCGTCGCCTACAAATAGACCATTGCACACCCGCTTCGACCCATTCACCTTGGTAGCACGTCACACTTGGCACAGTGCAGTGCTCGTACTCACCTTTCTCGTCTTCATTGAACACGATCGTTTCCACCACAACAAAGTCATGCCAGTCAATGGCAGCGAAGGCAGCTGTGAGAAACACCAGGGATAAAAGCAGAGATTATACTACCCTGATTGGACTTTCAACTACACGCAAACAAACCTGTGACCTACTAGCTCTATGGCACGCCAAGCAGACAGCCAGCAGTCCATCCACAGAAGTCCATATTCAACACAGTTTCGTACAGTCAACCTCCTGAACAATGACCTCGGGTTCAACAACAACCCGCAAATTACAACACAATTAAACCTAGTGACCATTCGACTGCATACCTACAACAACCTCGCAAATAACGACACTTTCTCATGCACGATCGAGGGTCAGTATTGGTAAGGTTTACTGTGACTGTATGAGAGCAGTAACTGTTATATGCAGCTGTGACAAGGTAGTTCGATAACTTTCACCAAGGCCCAAGCCAATCTGAGAAGGATGTTATGGTCATTGAGATATTGACGTATAAAAAAAACGCATGCACGTGTAGATTACCTCTTTCCCTGTCCAGCTCCTCGTCACGTTGCTGTTGTTGCCGCTGCTGATACTTGGTCCACTCCACGCGGTGATTGACCTTGTTGAGAATCTGTGCATTGCAATCATTGACATGCAGTACATGCAGGGAAGGAAATTATAGGATTGCGCACTTATCCGACATGTAGGAGACGTGGGCTAGAGTGTACAGGGGGGGGGGGGGGGGGGAGGCTATTTCCATGAACCGATGAACAATGGAACGTGGCAAACACACTTTGACTGACTCATGAGAAGAGTCAACTGCTCACAAACCACATTTACAAGTACTAGTACTTGGCACATTGCCCTATCTCCGACAAACACGCATCAGCATGCGTCAGTTTACAAAACCTCTAACCGTACTGGCACCAAGAGCATACTGCTCTAATGCTGAACTAACTAAGTACTGTAAACCGTGAAATTATTGCCATGGTCTAATTTCTGCGAAATTCACGACCGCGTGGAAATCGCGAAATTTAGACAGCGCGGAAAGGAGATCCATGAAAGGTTTAGCAAGAATGCCACAGGTTTAGCAAGAATGCCATTCTGCAATCGCAAAAATTAAAACCTCGCAAACCTGTCCGGATTCTGAAAACGCGAACTAAAAACGCCGCGAAAATTTCACGCTTTACAGTATACAGGTGGCCTGGTTGCAGACACAACTCTCTTGATTGAACAGAGACTTTTTAAAAAATCCAATGAGGCCTTTCGCATCATTGCTCTTCATAATCAGTACACTGGCAATATGAGCAGTAGCTAACAACTCCTTTTGCATAGCTTTCCAGACAGTCCAGTCAGTGACAAATTGGCACCCTAGAGAGCGTGAGTGGTGCCGGCTACGTAGTGAAACCATCAACACACTGCATAACATCATACTAGTACAACAATGAAGACTACGACAGCAATGTCAAAAACAGTGACAACTTTCGCAAATACTACTGCAAGTAGTTTAGATTTCAGTCTAGCAACATACACTGCCTCCAGCCCAGGCAGGTGAGATTTGTTGCACGCTCACGCTTGAGTATCAATACGTCAGCAATACCAATAAAAAATATACACCATCATCTGAAATCGTCACCAGCTTGCCTGAGTGCGGCTTGCAAACACAACATTCACTCCCACTTTGATCCTCAAGCACGAGACCCTGTAACACTGGGTCTAGGATACGAGTACACCCAGCCAACCTACCGCATTCTTATCTGCTGCCTCCTTCTGTAGGGATGTCGTGACCTCTTTCGGTGCAAGCAGAACCTGGACAGTGCCAGTGGAGTAGGTAGTGAAAACACACACACATGCACACACACACATGGGCACACACACACACACACATGCACACATACACACACACACACACACACAAAGTCAGAAAAAATAAATCAGTGCCCAAAGCAAAGACCAATTCAGGAAGTAAGTATATGTATCGCCCCAGCATCGCCCTGTCGAGATTATGGTTGGTATAGTGCAGGGATGAATTTATCCTGTATCGCATCGCAGTTTGCGATGCAAAATCGATCAACTGCTATTCAAAAGTCACCGTGACTCGCAAAAAACTGCGATACATACAGACGATCCATGCCTAGCCTGTGCTATCAAGTAACATGCATACAGTGCAGTGTATGTGGTGCAGGCAATCTCAATCTGCGTGTACATGTATGATTCAGTCGGTTTTTTTGCAAATGGGCTTTCAGGCATCACTCTCAAGAAGGACAATATGGTAAACACCCAACCTTCAAAGAAAAATGCTAATTAAAATCAAAGACTGCTACACAATTGTGATTTTGTATAGCAGAAACTGCTATGCAAAAATATGACAATAAATTCATCCCTGTAGTGTACGTGTATCAGTTCTTGGCTCGTAATTGGAGTAGGCAAATATGGAGTCTATACAGGTATGCATGCTACCATGTTAGACATTGTTTGTACACACTCCCATTGCACTGAGAATAGCACTGGGGACATACAGAGGCATGCACATTACATGTATGATAGTTGGGCCCGCATGCAGCATCAGCACGCATGCCCACATCAAGCATGGTCATGAGTAGGCCCAGTCATGAGCGCATTGTTCATGCGATTGCATGGTACTACAGTCCATTCATAAAAAAAATGGGTCCTGGCTCTGGCGAGCTCCCGTATTTGGCGATTTTTCGTGATTTCATCGTACACAGTGCAGTGCTGCGAACTTTGAAATTTGAAAAAGGGTCCAAAAAGGGTGCCTGAACTGGGGTTCGAACCGCAGAATGCACTGTTGCAGGCGGGGTCAAACGGCCTGGATTTTGATGGTTTTTCCCAATTCAGTGCTTTTGGGGCAAAACCTGGCCGAAATCCTATTCTTGCTATGGCTTGCTTTTTGGACAAAAAAACTTCAGAAACATAATTGGAAGAGGATTCCATATGGGATTGCAGAAAAAAATTCTAAAAAAACTCAACGTTTGACCCATTTATAGCCAAAAGCTAGAAGTTCATTTTTTTCTGAATGGACTGTAGGGGGGATTTCTTTCGCCCCGACTGAAGTTTATCAGCTTCCATGCTTCACTAATAGATGCTGGAGTGACCGCTAGCATCGGTACACAGACCCTTTTAGCACCAGTGAGACGCTGCAAAGCTATGCGACGAGTGGCAGGCATCGGTGGACACCAACAAACATACGACTCATAATGCCTGCTACGGGGTTGTGCCAAGCATCCTTACTTTGGTGTATTGCTCCACTAGCTTGGTGAAGTAGTGGAACAGACTGTGCTGTGGCCGCAGGAAATCAAACTGATAGTTGAACTGTAAAACAAATGACAACAAAGGCAGTGTCAGCATGTCGTACTGTTGGGTGTGACATCGCCAGACAGGAATACAGAACAAAAGCACCCATACATACATATCCAGAGAGGTCAGGAAACTAGTGAGCATGTATGTGCGCGTGTATGTGGGGGAGGAGGAGGAGGAGAAAGAAGGGGGGGGGGGAGGAGATGAAGAAAGACAGTAGACACCCACAAATGGTAAAAGCGGCAAACAGAAGTAAGGGACAATAGCTGACAGTTGGCCGTACCTGTTCCTTGGCTGCGAGCGTGGTCAGGAACTGGCGGCCATTACGAGCTACAAACTGGGCAGTAAGCCGTACAATATCCCTGAGGAAAAGCAAACAAGAAAGTACTGAGCGTATACATATAACCGATTCTAGAGCATTAAAAAAATTCAACCAAAAAACACCAACAGAAGAAAAACTACAAGTATATCGTACACACACTTGAGAGGGACGAAAAGCGTTTCTTCTGTAACTCTGAGTTTCACGGTTTTAACCGATCATCAGACAGCAACTAGTATATCTATCATAAATCTCGTGAGAATCATGTTCCCAGAGCCTGAGGAGCTGTCCAATACTGTCAAACATGCAATTCTCGGTGTAACTTTAATTTAGGTGATTTCGGCAGAGAAACCAGGCGCCTAAATTTAAATTACACCTAAAAGGCACTAGAGTATGCACTGTATGTGAAGGGAACGCTGGTCACCTAATTCTACATGACACCTGAAACCTGGCAGGTCCCTGGCACCGAAATTTTAATGCACCTAAAATTACATGTTTTACAGTAACTTGGAACCAGAGGAAAATAAGTCCTGCAGTAGTACTATCCTCTATGGCGTGGGTCTTTGTACACAACCAACTGGAGCTGTCCTCCAAAATCGCATGCACGCACATGCACGCACATGCACTCACACACGTGCACACACACACACACACACACACACACACACACACACACACGTGCATGCATCAAAACTTACAGGTCATGCGCCGAAATAGATGGTGGATTTGCCATGAAATCAAACTCTGGTGGTGCCTCCTTAGGGACGGTGGGTTCCTGGATAAGCATCTGCTGTTGGGTGGCTGATGAGGCAGCACCAAATGTTGTCTACACAGTTGATCAGCGGACAAAATCAACAAAACACAGAAATGATACAATCAACAGATGTCCTGGCATAACATTTACTGCATTCATAGATGAATACCTTTGGACTCACTGTAAAACGATGACAATGCCTGTAAGGACTTCCCTTGCAAAACGGGTGGGTATGCGCTCATGGGCCCTCACTTCGCTGGCCATGCATGTTTGTGTCCATGACATTTTCCACGGGATGTGTACGGTGGCACGAGACATACCTAGGATACCACCAAAGCCAAGCATCGTCCGCCACAACGTGATCACTACACATACACACGCTGCTAGCCTACGGTGCATGCACTCTGCACACGGAGTGAACACCTCACCGGGGAGGTAATGTGATAGAGCCGTCACTAAATCTAAACCTCAGCCGGACCATGGACACGCAGTATACTAGCATAGGACCATGCAAGGCTGCTAGACCTTGGCTTCACCAGGTGTACGTCTTACACATCCCAAGTCATAATAAAATCCACTACTACTTCGAAGTACTACACACTGCCCATAGCTGGCTACACACAGCTACACACAGCAATGCCCCCAGCCATGCCCCCCAGCAATGCCATAATCAAATGGCTGTCTCCTACACTGTAACACGCACCGAGATAATGCGAATAAATCCAAAATCCGATCTCACTAAGTGGGCAAACGGGGCCTTACCTTTGGAGTAGACGCAATCGTTGGCTCAGGACCTGAAGAACGGAGAGATGGCACAAACCAATCAGTATGTTAGAATGATCGCAATCAACACAAGCAGCATGAAAGGAGGAAAGTCGCAACGTGAACACTTATTCGAATCTTTCTTCATTGTTATTTTCACTATTCCATCTTCTATTCCTTTTGTTACTGCACACTGGTTTCCACACATTGACAATGTTTAAATAAAGTAGCCACACGTCCGTTCAACTTGTTCTCTTGATTGCGATACTAGGATTATTGCCTCCCCGCGGTTTGTTTAAATCCAGCCAATGTTACTCTTTATTATGACCTGAAGATACAAAAACCGAATTCGGTTGTCAATGTACCTCCCTCAAATCGTGACATGTTTTCAGGATTGAAATACCCAGTGAGAAGCCGAGTAGCTCAGTTTCCTAATGCAACAATCGCCAAAGACCTATGATGTAGCGTTTGGCATTTCCGTCGCGGAAAACCTCTTTCTTCGTGACTGGCCCCAAGCGCGGAACTTCCCCATCCTGACCAAATGATCCATCCAGGCACACTCAACTATGAAGCACTGGGCTTGGTAACACAGGCAGCAGAACAGCAAACGTGCTGCCAATAGTACACCATAACAAAAAGTGATGTCTGATTTAAAAAATTACTGCAAACACTTACCACCACGGCCCTCGCGGCATTCCTTCACCTTGTGCTGGTAGTACGCATGGTAGGGGTCGCCGGGTGTTAAGAAGTTGAACTTGGCGTTGTTCTGTTCATTCTGACGGATACGGGACTCAAACTCAGGCCCTGTAAGAGTAACATAGAGAAGGAGCAAACACAGTTGAAACACGCCTAGTCCTAACTAACCCATGCGACCAGTACCTGCACAAACCACTACTGTTATTAATCATTCACGTTCTACTAGGGCTGGCCCCGTGGGCACTTTACCATCTTGTGAATGTCAAAATAATTGTTCTCTTTACGGCACGGCACGTCTCTACAACAGTATTCGGTGTTCGCACAGCGCAACCTTCACCACACTACTAGTAAATAGCCCGCAAGTACAGTCGTCCCTCTCTAATCCGGCACTTTATAATCCAGCACCCTCGATAAACCAGCACAATTTCCAGTAGCCAAAATGTCCTCTTCATGCACATTGCAGCAGTAAATCAGATTTGTTAATCCAGCACCCTCCCTAATCCAGCAGATTTTCGTGGCACAAATGGTGCCGGATTATAGAGGGACCACTGTACACAGAGATGAAAGAAATACGGAGACAATAATTCAATTAGAGCTATGAGAAGTTTGAACGCCGCAGACATCGCACACAGCATGATATCTGCGGCATTCATACTTTGCATAGCTCTAATTACATGACGAAAGCATGAACAAACAAGCCAATGGTCCATACCATTTCTGGCTACGAAGTTTGCAGTCTTGTCCACAATATCTGCAGATCAAAACATGGTTAAGGTCATTGCAGACACTCAGCAGCACGCGGAGAAAACACAGACTGAAACAATACCGCGCACGGCAGCATTCAGGACTATAAACATGCAGATTCAGTTGGGGGGGGGGGAGAGAGAGAGAGAGAGAGAGAGAGAGAGAGAGAGAGAGAGAGAGAGAGAGAGAGAGAGAGAGAGAGAGAGAGAGAGAGAGAGAGAGAGAGAGAGAGAGAGAAAGAGAGAGAGAGAGAGAGATAGAGAAGGAGAGAAGGAGAGAAGGAGAGAGAGAGAGAGAGAGAGAGAGAGAGAGAGAGAGAGAGAGAAGAGAGAGAGAGAGAGAGAGAGAGAGAGAGAGAGAATTGGGAAAGGGAGGTCAAAAGGACGGGAAGGAGATGGCATAGTCTTTGCCATTCGTTTATCAATGCAATGAGGAGCTGTCCAGTGCTGTTGGCTTTTCCCTTCACGGTTCGCGTTAGACTCGGCTGAAGGCCGAGTTTTCCGCATCCATAGGGTATTGGCAAGAGTGCATAAACACGAGTTTGCAATTGGGGTTATGGGTCAGTGCGCGGCACGCTGCCTTCATTACGTAACTTGCTTCCATCACGCTCTGAAAGCATGCACATGCGGACTACAGCTGAATGATGTAATGAAGGCAGCGCGCCGCGCATCTGGCCCATAGAAAAGAGATCATAGTTGCATACTGTTGTTGACGGCCTATTGGTATCAGTATTGTGGTCATGCAGTGACCCCACAGCTGTTGTATTAAATGGCCGGGGGGTACCAGTCAACATTCTAATACCCAATTGTACAGTGCTGTTCACATCTACTGCACAGGAGAAACATCTTACAATTTCAAAGCACAAATTGTAAGTGAAGCTTAGCTTGCAGATCGTGACGAAATAAATTACCAGGCCCGTTCTAGAACTGGCCAATATAGAATCGTGCAGCCCCAGGTGTGTACTTCAACCAGGTTCAATGGAGAACTGAGATTTCCTAACACCCAATTAAACTGGAATATAAGATGTGGGCAATGACATAAATAAATTGCCTTTCTCCAAATCACCAAATGGGGGCAGTGCTTGGAGAAAGCAAGGGAATATAACACTAAAGGATACTCCTCACTTCTGGCGGCGGATAAATAATTCCCACCATTTGCCTCGGTGCTGCCGCACCTTCGCTTACTTCCACAGGCATTTTGCTTAACTACTAAGTGGAATCTAAAAATAATACAAACTCAGCGTCGTCTCGGCGTAGTGCTCAGTTGCACTTTTGCATTGTAAGAATCCAATCAAGGGCTAACACAATGATCTTAACCAGAACAATTAAATGCTCGCTGCTATAATCTTCTTCTCAAGCGTACATCTGCATGGTTGTCATCAAACAAATTTCAAGAAATTGTTCGCAGTTTTCTTCTTGGATTTCACACTGCATGATGGTGCTGAGTTGAGCCAAAGTGTATTCACTGTGCTGCACTAGTCGACTCGCTCGCGCTACGGATCGAACGTCGGAAAGCTCGCAAGGCCGACGGCCACTCGATCGATCGCATTCATGATTCACAGCCATTTTCCCTGCACATTGTCATAACAACAGTGTAAAATTATTTTCCGCATTGAATATTTATTTTGCAATTAATTTTGATGGAATATCGAATGCCGATGAAAATGAATTGAGTAAGAAATGCTGTAAGGAGATGAAGAATGTGGCGGGTTAGTCGACTATTCTCCTCGGGGGGATGCCAACGATGGCTGTCCACAACATCTTTTACTAGGTGCCCATACACAGAAATCGTTCAGTCTCAGGAAGACACTGTCGATCTGACAGCAGTCGTTGAGAAATGGAAGGGGAAATTACCTGAAGCTAGCATGGACGATATCAACCAGATCCTGGGCGTTACAGTGAACAATGTCAGCCCGGCACTGGATGATTTCCTGCCGTCGGTAGTGGAGGAGCTGGCCAAGAAATTGGAGAAATCTGACAATGAGCAGTTTGCTGTTGCTTTCGCCCTGTTGTCGCGTCGGCCGATAAAGTGGCACTACCCTGACTTGGTGAAGATCTTTGATCAGGAGTGCTTTCACAGAATGACAGCTACAACAATGAGCATGGAGGCAGTGGGTCTGCTGACTGAGGCACTGCATGCATGTCGCCACCGTGTTGACAAGCCGGCAATCTTCTCTCAGGTGTTGCTGGCCACGAAGGATTGGGAAGGCCCTGAGTACGCGGTGCTCCAGTATCTAGCTTACTGTGATGGCATGAAGGACACCAGAATAGCACGACTGGCGGAGATGTTCCTGAAGACTGTAGACCCGAGCAAGCTGTCGCCCCGCGCCATCGTGTGCATTGCTCAAGCATTCCTATACTGCGAGCGCCTCACTGAGTATGTACCGCCCGTGTTCTTTGCTGATATGGGCCTGCGTATCAAGCTAATTGCTAACAAGTTTGATTCCGAGTCTATCTCCACTCTCATACTCTTCTGCATACAGTACAAATGCTTCTTTGATGGCTCCGATGTTAAGCTGGTCGAGCAGATCAAGATCACGCCGCTCTGGCCTCTGAGTAGCTTATCACGTGTGGTGTACGCGCTCAGCCACTTTCAGCAAGCTTACGAGGAGCGCAACTACACAGTGCTGAACAACCACCGGCGAGTTCTGGGCCTGCATGAGGTGGCCGGGCAATTCGACGAGATTGTTACGCTGTTCATCAGCCTGGCACACATCGGCGTGAACGTGCCCAAGTGGAGCAAGACCGTTTGCCGCTATCTGGCCGGCAGCGCCGATTTGGTTGCCAAGAACAATGCGCGCGGCACACTGCGCTTGCTGAGTGCGTTATCCGAGCTGCATGCGCTGGATGACTCTGTGCTGGAGCCATTCTTCCGCATCATTCCCCTCGGAGGCCTGGACTTCGGTAATCTAATCCAGTTCTGCTCGAGCTGCGCTGGGCAGCAGGGCCTCATACCGGACAAGTTCTGGGAAGGCATGATCAAGCACTGCAGTGAAGAGGTCGTGGTCGCCCTGCCTGAGATGTCGTGCTGCTCTCTGTTCTGGCTCAACGAGCTTGCCGGTCACCAGCACCTCACAGTACTGGCCGAGGAAGTGGAAGACACGCTGGCGTCATTGGTTAAGAAGCGACTGGAAACTGTGCCGCCGTTGGTACGAGAGTTCCAAAGGGACATTGTGAGCATGATTGGTGACCAGATGGTGCAGCGTAATGTACCCATTGGTGGTTGGCTGAAAGTACCGTTTGCCGTGCTCGTTGATGAGAATGGCGTGCCATCCGACTGGAACGCTGTCGGAGCCGAGATTGAAGTTGACCCTGAACGCCTGGCCATGAGCGGAATGTACCCGGTTGTTCTGCGGTTCTCCACCCCCGAGGAGTATATTATGGTTCACTACAACAGTGGAAAAGCTACTGCGCATCCTAATGAACAGAGTTCTCAAGAGGATGGTAATGAAGAAAATGGACAGCAGGACACTCAAGATGACGGTGAGCCCGCTCGCGGATTTTCCATTCGGCGGCAGCTGGACGTTGAACTGCGCTGCTACGAGGCAGCGGGCTGGGTGACAGCCCCGATTCAAACTGGTCAATGGTGGGCGGCCGAGGACAAGGGTGCGTTCCTACGCGACACGCTGCGCGATGCAGTGCAGGAAGAGCTGCGTGTGCGTCGGGAAAGAGAAGAGGAACTGGAGAAATGATTTTCTGTAAGCGGGCGGGCGCTGGTCACCCTTCCTTAGCTGTACATTGTTGACTACATGTACCACTGAACTGATGGTGGCGCGGGTCGCTGCCTCCCTGAGATGTTTTTAGTGCTACCGTAAAAGTCCGTAAATAAGTACGTACTTACTTTCGAATTTAGTGGTCGTACCCGTACTAACTTTCGGGCACGAACTAACTTTCGGACCTGACGTGTGTGTGTAGTGGAGAAGTCATTTTCATGTAGATGTACATGCTAAGCGCTGCATGTGCGAACCATACCGGTACTTATTTCGGGCAGTATGGTTATCGGGCTGAACTTGACTTCAACAGACACATGCACAGTCAATAGGATGAAGGGGGTATTTATTTCAGGCAGGTACTTATTTACGGACTTTTACGGTATTCTCGCAACCATTCCGTGTGATCTGGTGGTTGCTTGTTTTTTGCTAGACTTGTAATGCTGGGCTTCACGTGTCGGAAATGCTTGCGCCTCATGGCATGCATGGAAGTTGTAGGCCCATTTACCTACAGTCCCTTTGCAAGAAAAAAGAAAGAAAGATGGGCGTTGGGTTTTCTTGACTATTCAGGACACGCTGGACTTTTCCTTCAACGAAGTGTTTGGCAAACCATAAACCTATGCACTGCAGAATGGCTTTTCAGTTCGTCCTGATCATTTTGAGTGCCAGAAAAAGATGGAATTAGCTTTTTTGGCCTGATGTTACACATCACATTGTTCGTAAACCCACATCGATTAAAAACAGTGCAGGTTTTCGGAGCTCAACGATCTGTCTTTTTCTTCCCATGAATGTTTTCAGTTGGCTGCACTTGAAGCCAGGGAGTAGTACAATACAGTATTGTACTACTCCCTGCTTGAAGCTGTAGCAGTAGTGCAAGTCAGGGTGCCCTACACGAACTGGTATGTGTAGGACTCATTGGTGCATGCATGATTGATGGATGAGTGTGACCAGTCAGTGTATTCCTTGGTTACATGGCGTATTGTACCAAACCTGATTAGTTCCTATGAGTGGGTGCCTCAGCTCCCTAAATAGCAGTTCACATGACACATAAAATGCTATTTCCAGCCAGTGACATCGGCCACGTGATGTAACCAAATGCTATGGTCGTGTTACCACCACAGGTATGTGGTCACATTGTGGTGTATGCTATAGTATAGGCATCCAGACCCAATTAACTCTATGGTGATAGGTATAGCATCAGTTCTCTTGCTATCAGGCGCCTGCCTTAAGACTTTAGAGTGAAAAGAAAATTGCAAACATGCATATTGTTGTTCAGAATCATGGAGTAGTAAAGTGCAGGTATTTTGCTACTCCCTGCCGGAATGTGGAGCCCTCCATACACCAGTGTGCAGTCAAGAGGATCAGAGAACCCCCAATCCGTATGCTTCTCCACATTCAGTATTGATCTGCAACAGGATGCCCTGACAGCAAAACCTCGCATCTCATGTGTATTAAAGGTGTTCTGGTAAGCATCCAGGGTGAGTGTTTGCAGCCAACAAAGAGTGGTGGTGGAGCACTGGACCCTTGGACAGCAGTGGTGGACCACACAGTGATGTGAGCTTCCACAGTCGGAGACCAGTTACAGACGTGCACAGTACAGGGGGGGGGGGGGGGGGCAATATCTTGACTTTATCTATCACTCCCCCACTCCGGACAGCAACTCCTACCCTGTATATTTAGCAATTGGGCAAAAATTATACAACCAGGCAACAGATGATACTGCTTGCAAATAATCAAACTGACAGATCAACTGAGAATGAGTCCAGAGAGATAGCAACGAGCCACTTGAGACAGGCTGTGAGACAGGAAACAAAAAAATTAAAAGGCCAACCGGGTAACAATCGGCATTGGCCTGCACCACGCACACCCATGCAGTCGCGGCGGCGGCATGCCGCAACAGAAACACTTGACATGTACGCAGCTAGCACGACAATGATGAATTGCATACTGAACACAACTATCAGCTGTGTGGTGGGTGAGAAGACGGAGAGTCGACTATACGCATAACGTCACGTTCACGGCTGCATGAATGTCAATGTCGCGTGCAAGGTTTTCTTGAACATCTATAATCATTCTTGTGTGTTCACCACCTTATTTGTCATGTTTGGCACACATGTTCAGTGACCGATAAAAAGACCGTATCCAACATTGAATGAACAGACATCGTCTCAAGAAGTTTGGCAGCTATGACAGTCATGTGCAGTTCTGTCGCTCCAAGTGGGCATAGCCCAGGTCGACTTCAATCATTGTCCACATCATTTCCCTGTGAACGGCACACTAAAGCCTTCGTTTTCAATGTGATCTCTGCCTTGTTTAGATGACAGGGGGTAAAACCGAGTGGCGTTGCTAGATTACGCATTCTCAGCGACTGTACCAGTGTGACACGGCGCCAGAACTATGGAGGTACACGTGACCTGCCTTGAAATCCACCGTCGCTCACAGATAGCGCCACTTGGTGAGGTCGGTTGGAATCAGTCCGTTCTTGGCTTTCCTAAAGTTGCTCTCTCGGAATAGGAAATAGCCACGGCTTGTCTGCATGTAGGCCTCCTTGGAGGCCATTAGCTCCTGCGGTTCGGGATTCGACGGTTCTGGAGACCGGGTAATCCGATCTTCGGGTCGCAAGTTCTCGTAATGTGCCTGTCCCACGACCGGGAAACCTTCCACCGCACATGTCCTCTTGTACTTGTCCGCTTCCCGGCGGTTCCTGTAGATGGCCACATCGCTGTCCGGGTAGATGACGTGGATTGTCTGGGGTGTGTGCAGGTACGCGTCGTGCTCAAACATTGGTGCCGTGTACTCCGCAGGCACTCCTGGTGGCTTTGGCCAAGCTTTCATGACAGGCTTTCTGCCGGTCACGCCGATTATCTCACTATTGGCACCAGCAGTAAGCGATGCTGGTGGTGTTGGCTTGCGAGTGCGTAGCTTCTGCCGACCGATCGACGGAGACGCCAGCTTCTCCATCATCCACTCTGCTTTGGCCTCGTCGAAATTGTCGAAGCGTACTCGTTTCTTGCCCGTCTCTTCTTTCTGCTTCGCTGAGAGCACACCATTGCTAGTGGGTTTCACCAAGCACGCCGCTGTGGGCGGTTTGGTCTTTGCTGGATCGGGAGGATTGTGATAGGTCACGGGTGACCTAGCCGACGTCGACCAGTGACCTCCTCGGAGTCTTGCGACGGCGTTCGCGTACTCTCTGGCTTCCTCCGGGGCGACGCGCATCACATCCGCTTTGGCAATTCGCGGAAACAAGACGACCGGCCGAGTTTCCTTGCCCGGCGGTGCCTCGGCCCGATGACAGCTGTGCTCGCGCCTGGGCTGGAAGAAATTGTAGCCACTCCGCCAGTCAGGCCAGTCTGGCAGCCATACAGTTTCCAGGGGATTCGTGCTCTTCTTACTGTATCGGTCATGACGGAGCTGCCCGCTGGTCGGCATGTTCGTAGAATTCCTCAACGTATCTCCACTCTCTTCCTTTATTTTCTTTAGCGTCCTGACCCTAGTCGTGGCTGCGCCCAGAGATCTTCCACACAGCACCTCGCTCGTGTGTAGGCTCCACCAGTGCACCGCGATTCAAGCTGATGGACGAAGGTTTTTAGGCAAGCGACCAGATCTGCGCAGCGAAAAGCGTTCTGCTGTATTTGCAAGTAAGCACTGAGACTGCTGGGACTGTGGAAGCTTCGAAACACACAGTCACTGATGGGGAATGAGGAAATGGTGGAGGACCGATTACTGTGCAGCATAAAAGTGTTCAGGCACTACACAATACACACTTCACAACAGACCGTCTCCAGTCACGCACGTCACTGACTCTGCCTCCACTGCTCCAGTTTTCACATGCCCCTCGTTCCCGCGCGTGCTCTGTTCATAGCGATATCACTACTGTAGTATCAGATCATTTCGACAGTTCGCATGGTAGATCTACATGTGTGAGGTACCTGCGCACCACCGGTGCACCAGCAACGACTGGTTCACACTAGAGCAGAGGCTTGGTGGTGAACGCCCTCGAGGAATAGAAGACCGAGCCTGCATGCTGAGCTCAGACTCAGAGTTGGCGAGGACAATGGGTGACTGACAGGCGTACTGACACCAACAGTGACTCCAGTCCCACTCACTGACACGGTGGGTGTGACAGACTGACTCTGTATGCTGTAAGTGTATCACAACAAGGGAATGATAACTCTTCCAGTAACAAGCAGTTCCATGATCCAGTGTAGATGTACTGGTGATTGGACGCCATAACTAACTTCATAAGCAGACTGTGACTCTGATGGCAGCAGAGTGTTTCCACACACACAGGCAAGCCATCCTTCATCTTGCCCCCTCACACTCACAAAGTCACACTTTCTGAAGATTCACATCATCTGTGATACAATGCCTGTAGATCTACTGTGAAGGCTGTATCATGACTAACTGTTATTTCCGCTATTAAAATCCTAACACAACAGACATGCGTTGCTAGTACTAGCACTGTGCGGTTGACGGCTTGCACTTGCAGCTAGCTCGTTCCTCGAGCAGCCAACCTAATGAACAAAGTAGGCGGCGGGCGCTATTCTATTCAGGAGGTTGGATTTCTTTGGCCAGCACTGAGCCACTGACTGAGTGACAGTCTGTAGATCTACTCAGTAGAGTGTAGTACCGGTGTGTAGATCTACACAATCATGCATTGCATGATGCATGCTGTGGTGCACCGGTGGGAACCTCTCTTGTTCATGGTAATGCTGTGGTTATGCATGTTTCAGTACAAGCATCCATAACTATGGTCCTGTTCATGCATGATTAGATCAGCCCGGATGCCAGAATGTACTGTAGTAAAGTAGGGGAGTTCCCTGTGCCCTATCATCTTTCCCGGAGTCAGTGGTAGTGTGTGCAAGCAGCATGCAGTAGGGCAAAAGGCCAGGCCAAGTAAACCTGATAACCATTGCCATTGCTTCATTGCCATTGTACTACTGAGGTACATTGAATTTGTAGGTGTGGAACCAGCCTCAACAACTGACAACCAGGCACATTATGCATACAGATCGACTTGTATGGGGGGGGGGGGGGGTATTCTTGCTTGTACAATGCATAATAATAATAATTATTATTATGATTGTAGCCAGTGACAGTGACATTCGTGTTGCTTTTTCATGCACTCAGCAGCTCAGTAAAGACTATGATCATGAAAGTTAGTTAGTTTGTCAGATCATGTAGATCTACAGTACTGACTGTGGACTTGTACTGTAGCATTGAATCCGCAGAACATCACTCAGACAGAGGTGACCTTTCGACACCAGCGCCAAGTCCTCAGCTCAGCAGATTCCATACCACATGCATGCATCGGGTTGGGGCCAGGTGAAAGGTCGAAACCGTAACTGTACTGTCCGGAGATTGAGCAACCATCATGTACTGGAAACCGAAAACATCAGGAGAACAAAAAGAAACAAGGTCTATAATTGTAGTCGTGGAAAAGGACAAAACACAGGAGCTGCAGCCCAGTGTCGGGACAACGTGCCGATTTAGATGTGCTGGGAGCAGCAACCGACCAACGCCTCTCGGCATCAGCGTTGCAACTAGGCATAGAGGGGGGGGGGGGGGTCTTGCTCTTGAGTCTGCTCACTGATTCTTCTCTTGCCTTGGTAGCGCAAGCGTAGCTATCCTTCGTCTTGGCTCAGTTTGGTTCTTGTAGACGTGGCGTTCGGTGTAACTGTAAGTCGGGACACTGACAGCTGCAATAACTCCGGATGGGAAATTTATGTAACAACCTCCGGATCGAGACACTGATCAGATTCAGGTTTCCAGGCCACCAGCCAAACCCTTTTTGCCTTGGCCTTGAAAGATATGACCAGATCAGATCAGCATGATCAGCCCAACGACGTGTTCATGTACATGTATGACTAGTCTATGAAGTACAGTGCGCCCACTGGGCATACAGTACTACACTGACTACTGCTAGGAGTAGTAGATCTACGTAGCCTAGCGCATGCATTTTTTTGGAGGCAAGGATGGCCTGTCAACATGGTCAAGTGTCAGCCTGTCACTAGCTGTGCATGCATAATTATGTCAGTCAGTGTCACACAGTACAGTGGAACCGTGTCAGTTTTCATTTTGCTGGAGTCGAGAGCATGCACGGAACCTTGCACGAAACAGCCAACTGTTATCATGGTTATCTACTTGCCTGGCGACTCTGTGGCGATTCATGCATAGGTCGGAAGGGCTGAGAGTGAGAGTTGTCGGAAAAGTAAATCCACTGACTCTGGATTCATCCGATTGTTGGTCCCAAGCCTTGATAGCAAAGTTACTGGTTAGGGACCCTGGACTGCTTCCGGGGTGTCTGCTTCAGCAGGAACACACGCGGAGGTAGAGAGTCATTGTAATCTGCCGGCGATAATTATTTCTGCACATTTTCGGAGAGTGAGTAATTCAAAAACAATAGCTGCTAGTATAGTACCCACACTGACGCTATCAGCGCCGCCACGGTCAGTGATCAGTGATGGTGGCTGCTCAGTCACATGATGGAAGCGCGTCGTTGAGAGGAGTACCCGAGGCAGGGAGATAAACTACTCGCCCCTAGCCCTGACGGAAGTGGACTGCCCAGCCAGTTATACCGGACCACCACAGGAACAGGAATAGGTCAGCCATGACTAGTATGACTAGTAGTAGTAGTACAGTCAGTTCAATGGAGATGGCTGATGTAGGTGGCCACTGGACGGCAGTTCCGCTCAACAGCGTCACCAGCGCAAACATGACGCAGCTGGCCGTACAGTTTGATCCGCGCCTGCGTCTCTACTTCTTCGTGTGCAGCCTGGTGTCGCTGTGCTGTGCACTGGCAGTGGTGATAATATACTGCTGCAAGCCCCAGTGGCGACGGCATCCCGATGAGCTACTTCTCAATAGGTAAAGAACGCTCGCGCAGAGTCAGACATTGTGCGTGTGTGGTGTGTGCGTGTGTGCATGTGTGTGTGTGTGTGTGTGTGTGTGTGTGTGTGTGTGTGTGTGTGTGTGTGTGTGTGTGTGTGTGTGTGTGTGTGTCCCATATGGTGCAGTGGTATGTGCAGTCGATTTCCAATCGAGAGAGTGCGGGTTCAATTCCCGACGATTATGGTCGCACACGTCTTTCTTCTCTTTCTCGGACTCTTCCTGACTTTTCTTTCATTCTCCTGGGTGGTTACCAACAGCCAGTGTATGCCGGAGTATGTGGTGTGGTGTGTGTGTGTAGACAAAAAAGAAAAAAGAAAAAAATGGAAAAAAATGAAAAATAGGGATTCACTGGCCAGAAAAAGTCACTTCAAACAGCTGTGTGGTGGATACCAGGCTAAAAATAGTGGCGGTCAATTCATCAGCCTTGCAAGCTGTTGAATGGTGTAATCCCAGCACAAGTTGCTATGTCTAACATAGCTGTTCGCTATCATCGCTTCCGCGATGGGCATGTCTGAGGTCTGAGGTGTGTGTGTGTGTGTGTGTGTGTGTGTGTGTGTGTGTGTGTGTGTGTGTGTGTGTGTGTGTCACCTGTGTATGTAGCAGGCCCGTAGCACCCGGTCCGGCCGTCTGGCCATAGTCGGACCTTATAAGTTATTTCGAAAGGTTCACCGGCCCAGTTCGTGCAAAACGGGGCTTTCCCATCAAAACTGTTCATCTCCTGTCGAGTATCCTATTTAGCCGGACCACCTGAAATCGCGGTGCTATGGCCCCAGTGTGTAGTCCCATCTTCAAGGTACTACTCATATCATAATTATGGTGACACAACCATCCACAGAGCTGTACGCCAGGTGACGACCACGATAGCATTACTGCGTAAACTGATACTTAGCCTTTTGATTGCAGTGCACATACCTACAGAAAGAGGGGAACCCAAACAAAAACAGGACAACAGTACAACACAGGGGCGTCAGAAGGTACTGTAGCGGACATGGAAATCCAGTGGATTGACCGGGGCTGGCGCCCTCAGCTCTTACAGAACGCTGCGTGCAGTGCACATGTTGATCCGATGCGACCAGCGTGCTGCAGCGCATAAATGCATGTGTGCACCGCTTATCCACGGCTGTATGGCCAGCGCCCAGGGGCCGCTAGACGTGTGACCGGATTTCCATGTCCACGACAGTATTTTCGTGTGGTACAGTCAGCCATCTGAAGTACAATTTACTAGTGGGGAAGGGTGGCTGAGCCGAAATGTTTGGAATCTAGGCCCAGATCAGTGTATTAGAATTTAGAATTATTGATTCATGGGGTGATTGGGCCAAAATTGGTATGGTCAATACCGTGCTGACCGTACGGTGTCCAACGCCCCTGTAACAATGAGTGTGTGGGCATTACATGGCCTGTGCTGGTGAGGTGCGGTGCAGGTCTACTACTAGCCCAGGCAACCAAGCCAAGGGTCTCGGGTTCAGCGCACACAGCACCTGAAGAACACAAACTTCGGTTCAAATGAGTTTGTCTCAGTTTGCCCCCCCCCCCTCCTCCCTGGCCCAAGATGCCCCTTCCTAGTCCAAAATACCCCCTTGCCATTCCAAGATGCATTCTCCCTGGTCCCAGATGCCCCCCCCCCACCTGCAGGGTGAGCTCTGTCGCCTCAGGCAGGGGTGGAGCCTGTGGGAGGAGAGGGGGAGGCATATCTCCCCCCCCCCCCCCCCAATCTTCCACTTAGGTTCAGCATGAACATGCGTATGTTTGGTCATCGTAAACATGAATATGCTATCTCCCCCCTGTCTACAGGTGGACTACATGTGGCTACATCTCTGTCTGGGTCGTAAATTCTCATAATAAATAGCATACCGTATTTCCACAAATAGTAGGCCGGTCTACTATTTTTTCAACCTCGTCCTAACCCGGCCTTATAATCGAGGACGGTCTTGTATACGAGGACGGTCTTTTATTCTTTCAACCCAGTTTGACCCCGGTCTTCTATTTCTCGCCACACAGTTTTACCCCCGTTCTTCCATTTTCTTCTACACAGTTTGAGCACAGTCTTCTATTTTTTCCCACAGTTTGAGCACGGTCTTCTATTTTTAACACAAGACAAAGACTCATTTAGTAGGCCCGGTCTTCTAATCGGAGACGGTCTTTTATTTTTTCAATCACCCCCTGCCCCGGCCTTGTATACGAGGAAGGCGTTGTATACGAGGACGGCCTTTTATTTGCGGAAATACGGTACGAGGCGAAGGGGTGGGCACAATGTCGGGAGGGCGGGAGAGTTACGGCCCCGTTCCTTCCAAAATCGGAACCCGAACTGACCATGACATGTTTCACAGGTCCAGCGATTGCTTTGTGTTCCTTTGAATTCCATGCACGTCGATATAGAACCATTATGGACGGAGTAATGATGGCATGCCACATCATCAGCTATGCCCTGGGCATTACACCTAGCAGCGACGTACATCCGGACGCCGATAACCACTCGTGCGAGTGGATCAGCCTGGTCTACCAGTTTGCCGTCAGCGCCTCGACGGCCTGGTACTTCATCATTAGTCTAGACCTGCTGCTAATCATACGCAACCCGTTCAGGTCAGCATTCATTCTTTCAAACTCTCTTATTGAAGCCAAGGCTTTTTATCTACAGTCCACTTTGCGTATAACGACACTCGGCGGGGCATCAGAAAAGTGTCCTTATTTGCGAAGTGTCCTGATACCCGAAGTCTCATATGTATTACAATTAGATGGGACTTTGCTCTAGGCATGGAAATTCTGTGGTTATCCGCGAATTGCCGTTATGTCCGCAGTCGTTATTAGCGAAGCTGACTGTACGTAATGCTTTCATGCTTCAGCAGTGCGGAGCCACATTTTGTACTTCCCCATTTCCTGGTGAAACTGATCCAGTTGTCCTGGTTATGACCACTGTGGCACACCGCAACATTTCAGCCCCTAAACTGTATTCCCTTCTGAACAGATCATGTGCATGTGTCACACTACACAAAGTATGAAATTGTGTTGGCGACTTCACTCTTCAGTCACAGTGAGTGATAGCAGAGGAAGTGTGTGTCCATCCCTATGTATGAAAGGGCCGGAGAGAATAAGACGGTTAGGTTCTGTTCCCACTTGTCGCCCATGTAGAGTTGTTGATAGCCTAGTATCCACCCTGCATACTGGAGTATAGCAGATGTATGCCAACAAAGTGTCTGCTTTGTATGGTGGTTTCTTCGCAAGCGCGTGTGTGTGTGTTTGTATGTGTGTGTGTGTGTGTGTATGTGTGTGTGTGTGTGTGTGTGTGTGTGTGTGTGTGTGTGTGTGTGTGTGTGTGTGTGTGTGTGTGTGTGTGTGTGTGTGTGTGTGTGTGTGTGTGTGTGTGCAAGGCCGTCACAGCTGGGGCGGCTGGGGCGGCTGAGGCCGCCCCACTTTTTCGGCCGTTTTTTTTTTTTTTGAGCACACTCCATGATCGCAGCTCAGCCCAAATGTGGCAAATAATGAAGAATCCTTGTCCCCGATCGTGGTTTATTGCAGAATCAAAAAAGTCTTTCATTGCACTACAACACACTGAAATGGCACCAAATGCCTGGAAATGCTTGCAAATTGGCTTCAAATTTTGAATTTTTTCCCGGGGGAGGATAATGAAGAACCCATGTCCCCGATCGTAGCGTCTTCTTGGTTTGTTGCAGAATCAAAAGTCTTTCATTGTAGTTGCACTGAAATGGCACCAAAAGCCCGGAAATGCTTGCAATTGGTTTCAATTTTTGAATTTTTTTACGGGGGACGACCCACGCACCCCCCTTCCACAGCCGCCCCACCTCCAAAGTCGGTGCGACGGGCCTGGTGTGTGTGTGTGTGTGTGTCACTGTGTGTGTGTGTGTCACTGCGTGTGTGTTTATGTATGTATGTTTATGTATGTGCACGTTTATGTATGTATGTGTGTGTGTGTGTGTGTGTGTGTGTGTTTATGTATGTGTGCGTGCGTGTCTGCATTTCATCCATGCCATGGATAGGCCGTACACGTGGTACCGACACATCTACTATCCGCTTGTCTACCTGATTTGCGCCGCGCTGGCAGTGGCACTCATGTTGACAAAGAGCTACGGTAGGTGAAAGCATATCCTTACTCACCCCTGCGTCCACTCTATTGCCTCAACAGCTCAATTACTTGGAGCTGAGTAAGAACTAGGGTACACCCCGTTGATTGAGTGAGCTTATGTACATGTAATGATATCCTGTCTGGACTCGTGCTGTGTGTTCTGGGGTAATGGCTGCACCGGTGTCCACTTCTAAGTAAGATGCATCTCCTTATCAGGATGCAACATGCAACATTCAGGTGTATTTGTTTGTGTATGTACTGAATCTGATGAAATACATGTCCGGGTACTAGCCACAAGGATCAGTCTTGGCCTGTTTCTTCAGAAATGCTCGTTACGTGTGGCTTACCATTATCCCAGGAAGCCGGTACATGTGATCAAACCAGGATTGCGTATTCTCATGTGATTGCATGTTGCTTGTCGTGCGCTCAGGTCTAACTGCCTTGGACTTCTGCTGGATAAGCATGGGCCACCACGATGACGGCTTCACCAAACAGACATACGTCTACCCGGTCGTCCTCTACTTTGGCTGGTCGGCATTCCTTTCCCTGTTGTCCGTTGGCATTGTCATGTACGTGGCCATCACACTGCGCCGAGCACTGGCCTCGAGCAGCGGCATACGTCGCCGACTGCTCACGCAGCTATTCGTCTACGTCGTTATGCTCTCCGTCGAGTGGTCGCTGCGTATAGTCTTCTGGGTTCTGCAGAACACGTACGTGCGCGATCATTACCACGACAATGTTGTAATTCACCATCTTGGTCTGCCGTTCGCACTCGTCGAGGGTTCCCGTGGCATCGTTGACTTCGTGGCCTGGCTATCCAACAGTCGCCGGTACCGAAAGCTGGCACGGTGCCTCTGCTGCTGCTGCGTGGGCCGCTGTGCATCGAGCAGAGAGATGACGATACAGACGGAGCAATCGCCGCTGATGGATCAGACGTTCAGCTACGCCACCGTGCACGACCTGGCGAAACACGAGCCGTCGTCAGCAACCGGAGCTGCGGACTCGGCGAGCAACAAAGAGATGCGCATCAGTAGTGTCCTGCGTCACGATCTGATCTGCTGCATTGCCTGGGGTATCGTGGACATGGCGCCGATCGACTGGCACCGCCAGCGCCAGGCGTCGTCGGCGCGCACAATCAGCTTCCACCACCAGTCCGGCGACCAGCAGCTGCCGGTGACGCGCAAGCGGCTCACCTGTCCCATGGCGCTCAAGCACCTGGAGGTGGACTTTGTCGACTACGCGCCGGCCATGTTTACTGAGCTTCGCAGCATGAGCGGCATCGCGCCCATCGAGTACGCCGAGTCGTTCAAGAAGAAGACCAATAACCATGGCACGGTCATGGACGAAGTGTCCAGCACCGGCAGCAGCGGGTCGTTCTTCTACTTCACCGGCGACAAGCGCTACCTGGTCAAGACGCTGCAGCGCTCCGAGCTGCATGTCCTGCTCGACATCCTGCCACGGTATCACCGGCACATGGACAGATACCGGCAGTCGTTTCTCCCTCACTTCTTCGGCCTGCACGAGACGCGCCTGTCCCCCGAACAGACCCCCGTGCCGATTGTCGTGATGAGCAACATATGCCACACACCGCCAGGCATTCCCATCCACGAGAAGTACGATCTGAAGGGCTCTTGGGTGAATCGATCAAGCAGAAAGTCCGACAGCAAAAGCAAGAGCAAGAAGGATGCAGAGCACTTCAGTGCCGAATCCGTACCAACCTGGAAAGACTGTGACCTGCAGGGCAAGCGTTTTCATGTGGGCCCAGAACGACGGCGCTTGATTTTGGAACAGCTGTACAACGATACACAGTTCCTGGAGCAGTTTGGCCTCATGGATTACAGGTACGCTTATCTCCCTACTGCTGCTACTGGTGCCGTTCTAGGGGCATTTTTCAACCACTATTCTTCCTGATCACGGTGCACTTTTTAGAGCCTGTGCGTGTGTGTGTGCGTGTGTGTGTGTGTGTGTGTGTGTGTGTGTGTGTGTGCATGGGGAGGGGGACTTGTTCTGTACCGTACTCAGTAGCATTATCTGTACGTTGTTGCATTTCCCACAGCCTGTATAGTATTGTACAGAGTCTATAAACGTACAAACTCTATTGTGATTTGCTTGAGATCAGTGGTCAAGATTTCATTTTTAATTGAATAGGTTGCATTATCTGTGCTTATGAACTTTGCTACTTCTCGCTTGCGTTGGAAAGGATGCGCTTGGATGAGTTCCTGGCAGACGTTTACTTGTTCTGAAATGTTCTTTCTGGTTCTCTGTGCCTGTGTGCGCCCGTGCATCTGTGTCTGTATGTGTCTGTGTGTACCTATGTCCGCGTGCGATCAAATACTCCCCCCATCTCCGTACAGCCTGCTTGTTGCGGTGCACCATCTGACCAGACCGCCCGGCGTTGTCCAGCAGGAGGTGGAGCGGCAGCAGAGGCGGCAGCAGCGCCTGCGCACCAACAGCACCGTGGCCATGCCCGAGCTGCCCGTCGACAAGTCAGTGCGCATGCACGGCGCCAGGGCCGGCACCACGCCGACCAGTCTCGACCGCATCTCGCTCGACCCGTCCGCCATGCTCGCCTCTTACGAGCGTTCATCGACAACTCAGGTACACGGGAGTAGCTACCAGAGCTCTCCGACGCTACCCCGATCGAACGGCAAGGACCGATTACTACCCACCACCATAGGTGAAAGCTCAGCATGCTACAAGCCAGAGAAGATATTTTACGAAAGCGGCGAGCGTTCTGACATGGAGTCGACGCCGGCACCTGTGCCTCTACATCGTTCCTTTGCCGGCGGACTGTTAACTGAGCCCGTCGAGCACGTCGACTCCAGCAACTCGTATGGTCATAATGATCAGTTGGCTGCTGCGGCGACAGTGCCTGAACGGCAGCAGAGTATTTGCTACATAGGCCTCATCGACATCTTTCAGAAGTACACGCTGAACAAGAGAGCCGAGCGCTTCTACAAGGTGCACGTGAGGCGCAAGGATCCGGCCGGCGTTTCGGTGATGCCCGTCGAGCCGTACGCGAAGCGTTTCATGGAGAAAATGGAAGCGATATTTGTATGATAGTAGGACAGCGTGGAGGAGTGTGGGCAAAAGAGTCGGGTGTCCTACACGCAGTCGTGAATCGATTCTGTGCACTGATTTGGACACGCGCCCATTGAACTTCCAGAAAGCCTGCTGCCAGCGCCAGTCTCTGCTCAACGGCGTACAGTCCGTGTTTGGATCCGTCCACTTGCTCCCAAAAGTGCAAAAGCCATGCAGTCTTCTGCATCTTGAATTCCTATACTAGGCTATAGTTTGAGAACATTCTGATCTTCTGATGAGAATTACCATTGAGACTGTGCATTCATACATTCCCCGTAACAACCTGGATCCTTATGCTTTACAGTGTTCCTGCTACTGCTGCTGCTTTGCACCCGTACATTTCCAGCGTGTTGAGTTCCTTAAAACCCTGAAAAGGGAAATGTATGCACGCGCACGCACATATGTGTGTGTGTTCGTGCGTGCGTGTGTGTGTGTGTGTTTAACTTTATTTGTTTGTTTGCGGAAGATGAAGCTTTGAAATCTGCCTTATTATCCAGTAAGGTATTCAATACCTGAACTAACATCAAGTACGATAATTATTCCACCCAACAAGATATTGTTTGTTTGTGTGTGTGTGTATGTGTGTGCGTGTGTGGTATGTGTGTGCGCGCGTGTGTATGTGTGTGCGTGTGTGTGTGTGTGTGTGTGTGTGTGTGTGTGTGTGTGTGTGTGTAACTGTGCTGCAAACCACTCTCCACTTCTGGAACATTCACTCTATTGCAATCTTCTGCCGCACTTCTGACATTCATGTAATTCCTGGTGACAACACTACAATTGTAGTTGTCTCGACGGGGTCATGAGGGCATGGCAAACGTCACATTACACCGAGGTCTTGCTACGTGGAGTGTGTGTGTGCACGCGCCCTGCACTCTCTCTCTCTCTCTCTCTCTCTCTCACACACACACACACACACACACACACACACATGTGTGCGCATGTGAGAGAGAGGGGGTGGCGTCGAACAAACATGTGGCTTCAAGCCAGCCGCATACCGCAGGTGACACTAGCCGCAGAGCTCATTTATAGTGCTTCCTGGAAAACTTGGCCTCTATATAGATAAACCGAATCTCACGCGAACCGTGAAAAATTTTTCCTGGTGGAAAATGCGACTGCACTGTACCTCAGCTTTTCAGGCACTGGTACTTGCTCTTGGGACTATTTTAAATTTATTTCTGAGTTTGGTGCCATTCTGTTTTAAAAGTGTAGGTAAAGCCGGGTATCTATGGACTTTGCTTTCAATTGCGAGTACTGCGGCTACTGGTAACAGTTAGCTGGAATGTTACCGTACTTCTATTTCTACTGTATTTTTACCGGTAACAGTTGTACATGTACTGCTGTATTTATGAGCCTTGTTGAGCAGCACTGTACACTCATGTACTTCGAAGTGAGTAGACCATGCAGGAGAAAGTTAGTTTGATCAGGATCAGAAGTCGGGACTGCCCTCGATCATTTCCATACATAAAAACCTCATACTCAATCTCCGGACAGCTAGCTGTTTTGACCTTGTTAGGTCTCGTCATAAACCTCAAAATTTAATATTATTTTGAAATCTTGCCAATGAGAAGCCAAAGCAGCAATGGCATGTCTCATACAGTGCGGTCAGAAAGAGTCAAGGAGTTGCTCAGGTGCAAAGGGTGAAATGCCATAATAATTATGATATTTGATAATTGAAACTAAGCAATAGGTCAGAAAGTCAGAATAACGCCCAAAGACGATAGCGTGGCCAGAGTCACCAGAGTGGATGTTCAGATACAAGACTCAGTTTTAAATCAATAAGGTAGTTATTTGAATAATAATAAAGAGTGTTGAGTAAGGTTATACAAGTCTGTAGAGCAAGACCAACGCACACAATGCACACAGAGAATTTTGACGCCTACGTGAAGTAGACAAGTTTGTGAGTTATAAACTTAGTACTAGTACACAATCAGCAATGGAACTTCACCGCTCTCACCAGGTCAAAAGCAGTGGTGCATTCACGCTGCGGCGGTGACTCTGGTCGTGATACTGCAGCCGAGGTGCCGAGAAGAACGACCCCAGTGAGAATGGAGAGCAGGCGGTGAGGTTGCCGAGCGGGCTGGAGTGATGGAGCAGATACGCGGCCTCTTCCTCGGTCAAGTCACGTTCCTTGGCGACACCATCGGCCCCAACAGTGCGTACAAAACCAGCGTAACATGCCTGTTGTGCTGCACGGTCGCCGTGTCGCTTCACATTCTTATTCTTCTTGGCACGTGCATTAGGCTGATTGATTGTCCCGGTTCCTTCTGCAGCACCTGCATCCTCGGTCAATGCTCCGGCTTCTTCCTCCATGTTGGTGCCTTCACCGTCGCCATCTTGAGCCTGGACACTCGCTTCGGCCCCTACGCCTGCACTCTCCTCTCCATCAATCACTTGATCTACTGCGGGCTTAGCCTCATCCGGTTCAGTAGTCTCAACTTGCGGATGTCGACGTCGGTGTTGGTGACCGGACTCCAATCCAAGCCAATCCACTCGTACGTTCACTCGTAGAACATTGTCTCTAAGTCCATGCTTGACGGCAAACGTCAACTGCTCATCAGTAGACAGGCGAATCTCGTCGCCATCCTGGTCCAGCCAAGTCAGCGTTACTGTACGACCATTCACGAATCCCGACACGGCTTCACGCAGATTTGCAATACTAGCGGTTTGCGAATCAAACTCGAACAGGTGAATGTCTGGCGACCCGAACAGCTGACGGACATAGGCTTTGACCAATATGGAAGCCATATCTCTACGACTTGACGATCGCTTTCTCAAGTGACAAACCCAGAAAATATCCTTCCTAACGGTAATTTTGATAACAAACTGCAATAGGCTAGGAAAGCGTCACTCGACACTAACAGCTTGCATGTACTCGTACCAATATTTGTGGCTTGCTCCTCGAAGCGCTGATGATGATCTTGGATTACAATCAGCTCCATTTTATAGTCCTTGGGAATGTGACTCACCTGAAAGACAGCAGTAAGTTGGTGAAGACGCCAGAAACAAACCGATGCTGCGAGTGCATCACCAAGGCAAGGGCTAGGCTGGGCTGACGCGAGATCGAGAAGCAGAGAAAGAAAGAAAACAAAAGAATCCTCCTCACAGCACACGATCTTTCTGGAACTAGCTGGATAGAGTGTCGTCACGTGCCAGTTTTGACGTCAACCAAACCTCGCACCGGTGCGCCATGTACATGATGTACCAGCACAGCTACCAGGGCTAGCACGTGCACGTGAGGCGCACCCATGCATGGCCCAGCTGCAGCGTCGGGATACTACCCGGCCGGCTAGGCGCCTGTGTCGTTATCGCGACATGTCGCTTCAACGTCGATGTTCTTTTTGGATATTTATTTTCAGGTCGCTTCAAGAACATTCCTGCTTTCGCCGGCTGAAAGTAGACGTCTGAAGAAGGGGCAACGTCTTCAGAATCTCTGTAACTTTGTTTACGTAACACGGTGAGGTAACCCGATAGTGATACTGGTACATGCTGGCTTATTGTTGTGTAGCACGTCGGTTGTGTAATAATTGTTCTGCGGTCTATTGGGAAATATTTCGTAACATGTTGAGCAATTGGCAGAACTTTCCTGAGGCCACTAGTACATAGTGCCGGCGGAGTTCTGGTCGCTCCTCTCGATCCTTCTCGCCCGCTCAGACATCGCGAAGTTGGTATAAAAATGGGCCTGTTCACGAGCAGAGATCACCACCGCTCTGGAGACGGAAAGAAAGTGGCTAGGCTTTGCGAGCCCTGGATAGTACCACACAGCCGTAGTAATAATTTCAGCATCGCTAGTATAGTAGCAACTCGGTGAGGGTTGAGACTGACTGAAGTAATGGCCCCGATCTTAGTGAAAGCCTACATCCGGCAATTGTTCGGATCGCCAGAAATTCACCTGTTTGAGTTCGACTCGCAAAGTGCTAGTATTGCTGAACTACGTGAATTGGTATCTGGATTCGTAGATGACCGAACAGTAACGCTGACTTGGCTGGACCAAGATGGTGATGAGATCCGCCTTTCGACTGATGAGCAGTTAGCGTTTGCCGTCAAACACGGATTGAAGGACAATGTGCTGCGAGTGAGCGTACGGGTGGATTGGCTTCGCTTGGCGGGTGATTGCCGCCGTGAACAGCCGAAATCCAGTACAGCTGCAATCGACGGAGAGGAAGCGGATGTAGTGGCTGAAGACAATGGTGGCAATGACATGGCCACAAATGAAGGAGGCACAGCAGAAGAAGAAGATGAAGAAGAAGCTAGCGCCAGGGCGCCCGCTGCGAAACGCAAAGGCGGCCGACCAGCTGGAGACGCGTGCTATTCTGGATTCGTGCGCACTGTTGGTCCTGACGGGGTGGCCAGAGAGCGAGACCTGACCGAAGAGGAGGCAGCCTATCTGCTTCGCCGCTCCAGCCCGCTTAGAGATCTGACTCACTCGCCATTCGCAATCACTGGCGGCTTCTCTGCACCACATCTGTCGTATCACGGTGGTGGCCATTTCCCTCTTCAGCCACCGCGGATTCTTCACTGGTAGACAATGCGAGGCTCGTTCATACGATGATCGGTGCTGCTTCATATGTTATTCGTTGGGTTTACCGCACGCCTCTGGCATATTACCATCATCTCATTCCTTTTCCATTGTTTTGCATGTCTTTTCTTCGTTTTTGAGACAAAAGCATGATTTTGATGGCTGTTTACGCTTTTTTTTTGCTGCAATTAATTTGTGTTCGCAATATATCCACTGAAAGCAATTCCAACACATGACTTTGATGGCTGCTTTTAACCTGTATCTGCAATATAGCCACTGAAAGCAATTCCAATATGAGTATGCTCTGTTTTACAGTGCTGTCATTTACAGTTGCAGACTGCTGCTGGACTTGACATTATTACGCACCTCTCCCCTCTATGCCTGGTCTCTACTGTGATGAGCAAAATAAGAGAACACATACTACTACATGTACTGCTACTACTAGTACATACAAGAATGAAGTTGGCATTAGTGCGTGACGCATGCACTCTGTGATCACATTGATATTGCACTACAGTCCATTTCAAAACTATAGACGCGTACCTAGGCAAAAACCGTTATGCCAGCATCTATACCACATAAAATCTGTGATCACTTTGTGCATAAATTTTTCCAAATTGGGCGTCTGTTATCCAATCCTTTAGAAACTATATGAGAGTAATTGTGGAGCGATCCTGAGCAATATTCCGAAAACTATTCTCAAAAAGGTCCAGCCAAATTTGAAATATTTCAAAAACCCTACGCGTCTATAGTTTTGAAATGCACTGTAGTCCTGCATGTTATTTTCCATCAAAAAAGGTGTCGATACTGGACCCGTATAAGCAAGAGTACATCACCCACCCATAAACGAATTTTTTTCTCTTCGAGAAAAGTAGGTTGATCTGGGCTCAACTATTTCGCATACGGGAAAGTCATCGCGCGACGACTTTCCGGTACGAGAACTGTGCCCTCAAATTCTTTAAATAAATTTTAACATCTACATGACTGTATGACATGTAGCAAGAGTACATAAAAAATGTACTCTTGCATGTAGCTAGCTGCGCTCAGTGAAAGAAATGCGACCAAGAGTGCACATAGTCATTTGGTGCCCTGGAGGTGGCACGAATGTGGCTGGATGTACACAAAATTCTCATCTACTACATGACGATTGTACACTCGTACTACTTTATTCCGCTTGGTTTCGACATTCTGTATAAGGGGTCGTCGAAAAAGTTTTTTTTGTCGTCCTTGAAACGAACATGATTCATTGGGGGGGGGGGGGGGGGGGAAGGGGTGCGAGCCAAAATTGCAAGTCGACCGACACTGTACATATGACATGTACAGTCAGACCTCGCTTATCCGGTCCTCGTTTATCCGGATCCCTCGCCATCCGGAAGAAAATAGTTGGTTACAAATGTACAGCATATGCCATGCTTACATAGGCTGTGTTTACATGAGGCGTTTCAACCCGGGTTGAGTTCGACCCGGGTCAGATTTCAACCCGCCATGTGCACAAAATGAATGGCGCGTTTACATGACGCATTGCGCTTGACCCGGGTTGAAATTTCGCCCCGGGTTGATTTCAACCCTCCCCCCAAGGGGAGGGTTGAAATCAACCCGGGTCAAGAAAATCGTACAAACGTACTTCTGTGCGTATCTCGCGCCAGGTTTGAACGGCACTGCACATGCAAATTTCGCGCGAACAGATTCACGTGACTATACGGAACTGTAGATTCGGGTAGAAGTGGACTTTTGGCGGCATATCAGTATTTGACCCGGGTCAACTGTCTTCATGTAAACGCTCACCTCTTTTGTCTATCGTACAGACTTTCAACCCGGGCTGAACTCGACCCGGGTTGAAATTTCTCATGTAAACACAGCCATACAGTATGTGTGTTGGATTATCCGGTCCCCTCGCGCCTATCCGGGTATTTTTGTGGAAAACGGATGTGTGCGGTTATGCGAGGTCTGATTGTACATGCATGCGATTTTCGTCGTCCAGCATAGCAAGCTGTGTTCGTTTCAAAGGGAGGGGAGGGGGTCCGAGTACGAAATGAACGGTTTGTTTCAGGGACGACAGAAAACGCGTTTGCGACGACCCCTAACAATTTGTAATTTTCCCGAACAAAGCGTTGAGTGACTACTACTGGTGGGCGCCTGTTTTGAACTTGAGTCGGATTTCACCAAGTGCACCTGTAGACAACATATGATTGTAGGATACGCCAAACGAGCATGAGTTTCGACTCTACACTCGGAAGTTCTACGTGGTCAGTCTTTGCAACTCCCCCAAAGTGATTGCAGCCCAGACCAGCAATGCCAAAAATGGACGTTTTTAAATCGGTGCTGCCCACAGGGCAAACGGAGAGAGAGAGAGAGAGAGAGAGAGAGAGAGAGAGAGAGAGAGAGAGAGAGAGAGAGAGAGAGAGAGAGAGAGAGAGAGAGAGAGATTGAGATTCGCTGCATCACCACACACACACACACGCAACAACAGCACCAGCAGGCTCGATTGGGCATATCAGTTTCGGAACATTCATCAACGCACATGTCAGAATGCCACAGAGGATTAACCTGCGCCTAGTGAAAAACTAAACGAATAAAACACCAGCACTGTGACATGAGAGAGAGAGAGAGAGCACAGAACAAGCATGGGTGAAGCAGGAGAAAAAAAGCAGAGCACCAAAAACAATAACCATCAGCACAACGACACAGGAAGAGGGAGAGAAGAACGAGAGGAAGATGATGATGACGAAGAAAGTAACTACAATAACAGGAAAAAATAATCATATGGATATGAGAATATACGACGAGCAAACACCGGGACAGGGTAGAAAAAAACACAGAGACAAGCTGAAAAAGAGGGAAGACAAAACGTACTAGCAGAGAATTGGTTAAGCAGTACAAACATGGCTACTGATGGCCGAAGAAAATCAACGGAGACAGAATTTGTCAAGAGAGACCGAACAAGAAGACTGGGGACGGCAACCAAGAAACGGCAAGAATGAACCATCATGAAATAGTTAAGCATAATACATTGAAAAAGAAAAAAAATTGAGCAAAAAAGCGATGCATACAAACAGGAGAAAAGACAAATGGAGCCTCGGATCTATGTTTCTTGTGACGGGTCTTTGAAAGCAGTGGCATGCAAGAAAAAAAATGATCAACCATTTGGCCTAGCAAAAAGTAGAGTATGAGTCAGATGAGGAGGCATGATTAGAACAACATAGGGGAGCTGATGCAGTCCTCAGACTAACAACACAAGGCACAGCCTGGCAGCCAGAAGAGCTTACACATACAAAAAAACAAGAATGAGCGTGAACGCCCCTCGGCATGCAGCGCCAGGAAGGGCATTTTCTTTACAAAAACGTTATTGCATGCGGATGGGGGATTCAAAAACGGGCGCATCCAGTGTGAAAGGGAGCTACATGATTGTGAGTATGATACATAGCCTCTCAGACACGATCAATGGCAACGTGACTGGAGGCGATTTGATGGAGATTTATGCGTATGTACTATGACTATTGGCGGATGCAAAAGAGAAAGAGAAGCAGCAGCAGAAGCGAAACTGACCCGGATACCGCTCAACATGTTTTTATCGGGGGAGGGGGAGAAGCCAAACGCAAAGGCAGCCGAGTTAAAAACGATCAGTGGGCCGCGTGCAACCAGGCACGGAACCGTCAGTCAACTATCAGTAACTTTCAATTGTACTCACAGCAATTCATATTGACGCAAATGCATGCGTTGAATGATGTCCTTACAGTCATTGAAGACACGCTTGATGTTCTCGGTGTCAATGGCTGTGGTGAAGTGGGGATAGCAGAAATGGCGATTCTCGTCATTGTTTTCGCGGCTCAATAACTGCAGCAGGAAGAAACGCACGCGTGGAAATAGCACAGCCACAGGGTAAGTCAGAAAGTCACCAAAGTCAAGCTTCCTTCCATTGAGTTTTATTCCAAGGCAATACAGGTGTTCAGAAACCACTGGAAGTGGGAGGTGGTGGTCTTCGTTGCCAGATAATATACTTCTATAGGTTGCTGTATGCATAAGCAGCAAAGAGATCAGTTTCACGCACTGAGCAATATCCTTAGATAGCATACGGCGTAGTATCATACCGTATGTCCGCACATTTAATGCCATGTGGAGGTATATTCGATTATAAAGCCATGGGCTTCATAAATCAAATACATTTGATGTATGTTTTGTAAAAATGAAGGTATAAGTATTAGTACTAACGAACTAACAACCCAGGAAGAAGGGTGAACAAGTGGATTTAGATTGAAATTTCTGTGTGGACTTTTATGGCATGGCGTAGTAGGTGAGTCATCGTGCATCTAAAATAGCTAGGAAAGCAGCGGTGTTTCGAATATAAGGTCATGGCTTTAAAGGCGCTGACATACGGTAAGACAACATCCAGCTACACACTCTAGTGCTTTGACCACTATTTCGAGCTGCCCAGGCTGGACCTGATGGCGACGGAAATGCATACATGTATGTGGCTAGGCCATCGACATGAGTGATTGCAGCATCATTGCAACTGCAGGATCAAGGGAGTCAGCGAGGAAAGAACAAGAACTGTGCGAAAGCACTTTTGCCGTAGCCTTTTTGATTACCTTGGTTGTCTGTTTTCGTGCTTGGGCAGGTTGGAGATGGGGCAGTCCGCTCGCTGACCTTTGCTGTGATGGTACTTGAGGGTATCTCCACACAACCTGAGGTTTTTTAAATCGATTGAATTCTCTTCCAGATTAGCTGACTGTTCGGCTTGTTTTTGCGCCGCTATTCACTTCACTTCTAGAATTAACCCTTTGTGTACGGTCTGTACAACTTTCGATCCCCTGGGACCGAAACTTTTCAAAATTTCAATCGTAATTCAGTCATTTCTGGGTTACCGTAAAAGTCCGTAAATAAGTACCTGCCCGAAAGAAATACCCCCTTCATTCTTTTGGCTCTGTCTGTTGAAGTCAAGTGAAGCCCGATAAACATACTGCCCGAAATAAGTACCGGTACGATGCGCACATGCAGCACGTAGCATGTACATCGACATGAAAATGACTTCTCCACTACACACGAGTCAGGTCCGAAAGTTAGTTTGTGCCCGAAAGTCAGTACGGGTGTGGTCACTATATTCGAAAGTAAACACGTACTTATTTACGGACTTTTACGGTATTTCCAAAATCTAAAATATGTGGGTCGAAGAGAAAACTCCCAGCTGTCTATTGAAACAATCGCTGGAGCGCTCCGATGTGCGGTTCCAGAGTTACGAAGCTGGAAAGTCGAATCGTGGCAAATGTCGCTCAATAGCCGCGTCTGCAGATTTGAATGAGGGACTTCCCCATCATTCTGGGCATGCCGTGACGTAGAAACACGTTCAAAATGGCAAACGGACTCGTGGCATGCCACGGCAGTTTGTGCAATTTTTGAAGTTGTTACGAGCAAGGAGAGCGAAATGGTTGACACAAGACAACTTCTGTCGGAGTACTGGCGTTGCAACTAAGATGCTGGGCTGTAGCGCTGGCGTTTTGACCTTCGTTGTGGCAAGTGCGGGCTCAATGTGTTCCTCTTGTGACGAGCTTTCCAGGAAGCCCAAAAGGAGACCAAAGTTATGACCCGGAGAATTATGGAATTTGAGGTGAGTCGAGATCAACTTCAGTCTGAGTACATTAACCGTACATAAAGGGTTAACCCTTTATGGACAGGACAAATGTACGCATATTGAATTTGACCTCAACTCACCTCAAATTTTACAATTCTCCAGGTCAAAACTTTGTTCTCCTTTGGACTATTTTTGCAATATTGGGCTTCCTGGAAGCTCATCACAACAGGAACAGTCTAGGACAACATTAATTTTGCTACCATGAGGGTCAAAACAACAGCGCCACAGCCCAGCGCCTTAGGCTGCATTTACACGACAATGCTGGGCGTGAAAACGTAACGAAATCCTTTCGGATCCATGGTTCATTTACACGGTACGCGGAGCAAAACGTAAAAGGTGTACATCCAAACGGAAGAAAACCAAAACGCTGGCCAAGGTGGAAGAATTTGAAAACAGAAATGTTCTACCGGATAAATTTGGGTGTGCAAACAGTCGAAACTGTGTGCTGGCCTCGTTTTCCGTCACGTTTGTTTCGTTTTTGGCCGTTTACACGGATCCGACATTCCAAAAAATTGTTTTTACAATTTCCGTCATGTGACGTGTGTTGTCGTGTGCCTGTTTTCAACCATTACTTGTGTGTGATTGGTGCTTCCATGGCAACACTTTGCACACGACGAACTTTGGCGGATCCTTTGCTCTCGTGTAGACGCTTGAAAACGATACAAACGGAGACCACCTCGGATCGGCTTTGATCGTGTAAACGTACGAAAAGAAATGCGGGACTGAAAACGGAAAACTGGCCGTGCGTTGTCGTGTAAACGCAGCCTTAGTTGCAAAGCTGGTATTCTGACAAAGGCGTCTGACCATTTTCACCGAAGCGATAGGATCAGCGGTTCGTAAGTTACGGCTCTCGTAACTTCTGTCACGGTTAAAGATGGACTTCGCAGTGATTAAATCAAACACACTGGGTGTCTGTTGCCGTCAATACTGCCTGTTTTCGTGTGGCCAACACAATACACATAATGACCAGAGAGAACAGAAAGGTACTCACCAAAAATTTGTCTCGGATGTAGTCCTTTGCTTTATTGAAATCGCCCAATTTCGCATCTGCCCAATCTGACCGTGTTGCCGCTGCATGAAATCAGCACCAAGCACAAACATCTAATATATTAAGGTGCACTGCTTGCTTCCTGAACCCTGTTTGTGCTGCATATAGTATACACACTTGAACCGACGGATATCGGATCACAGAGAATTATTAAATTTTAACCCTTTGCCCCCGCGCTTTAAAAATTTCGACAGTATCCCGTCGATGACTTCACAGCACAACTCAGTCAAATATTGCATTAGTGTGAAAATCGATGTATGCAGGTTGTAGCCGAAACGATTGAAACGATTACACCGAACCTTCCGTTGGTGTAATCGTTTCATGACAGCTCCAAAGGTCGTTGAGATCTCGCGCTCGAAAGTTGGGTGACTGCACGTTTCTCGCTTCGAGTGCACATTCTGGTGTGAAACGGGGAACTCCCCTTATCTTCAAGTACCAGTCATTAAAAATTTGTGCACTGTAAAAGCCATAAATATATAACGAAGTGCTAACTCTAGCGAGTTAACGAGGAGAAATCTGTCGTTAAAATAGAAATCGTTATATACCGTACTGTACTATTGAGCGTTGAGAATGAGTGAGAATCGTTACCTTTGGTACACGTAAACTAGTCAATTTTGGGAAATCATTATAATTATATCCGCCTCGTTAGAATAATGGCTTTTACAGTAGATCCCAAATGCTGGTTATCTGGGGCGGCAGCTGGGCGAGAGGAAATTGAAATGGCTGAAGGAGAAAGGGATGGAGGGCATGGCCAGTGGCGACTTCGTTAGGCTGGAGAGCTGGGCCTGCAACTCTGGTATTGCTAGATGATAGCTAATTTTGTTAACGATGAGAAGAGCTTCTGGAGAGCCCAATATTGTGAAAATCAGGCTAATATTACATAGTAACTGAAAATTGAACTCGAGGGGAAATTATGGCCATTGCTAAATAATTGGAATTACGGGGGGGCAAAGGGTTACCTCCATCAATCAAGAGAAGCACATTTTAGAGTATGGTCAAAAATCTAAATATCATCACTTGTGGTCTTTGGGTGCCGAGTTGAATGATGTTGGTCAGAGGGAGCTGCAACGTTTCATTCGTCCCATGCCATATCAAATTTGTGCACCTCCATTGCAATGGGAAGGCCTCACTTGTAGATATGACTTGACGTGTACGGTCTGCAAGTACATATGCGAAGACTGCTTTGTAAGTCTTGCCCCCCCCCCACCCCCTTGCCCAGATGAAATAGTTTCTTGCTGGGCTTCTGTGCTTTTGCAATGGTCACAAACCCCGACACATACATGAAATTCAGCCCAGTGTAGCGAACAGAGGCGTCACACTTACCACTAAAATTCTGCGGATTCTTGCCATATTCTGAGAAGTCTTCGAAGTATTTGACGAGCGGATGCTGCCCACTTGCAATTTTCTCCTCCAAGAGATCTTGCTTGTTCAAGAATAAGATGACTGATATCGTCCGAAGCCATCTGCAAGATACAGGGCAGAAAAGGCAGAGCTTCGGATGACTCCATGCAAGACCAAGGCTAATGTGTGCGCACACATACACAGCAAGAAGATGTCACGCAGAATATGCCTATACAAACCAGAACAGATGCTTGCTTCAAAACAAGGAAACGAAGAAATACTGCCATGCACAGCGGGCACAAATAAAGCTACGACACGATGAAGCAGACGTACCTGTTGTTCCATATACTCTTGAACAAGTTCAATGCTTCCCGTAACCGATTCTGCATGCACAAGACAAAACGGAGGAGCCACGGATAAGTGAAAAAGAAGAAAAAGAAAGTACTCTCCAATGTGTCTTTATCTGGCCAAACTAGACTAGAACATGTGACGATTGAAAAAAATCATACCAGGAGCGGACTTACAACTGGGAATGCAGTGCATATCGCAATGAAGTGGTACCTGTAGTGTAGGGTCAAGCGGGATTCACAGAAGCAATTTTGCGATGCGATAGCCGCGAAATCCCCAAATCGTAGCCACCCCGCAGCCCATGCAACCGCCGCATCTGGGCCATCGCAGAAGTTGAGCCTGACTTCTTCTGTGAATGGTATTTCATGAGTTCGCACCGCAATCTCCCGTCGCAGATCGCGTCGCAAAAAATCTTCTGTGAATTCCGCTTTAGTTTTTAGTCACGATTACTATTACAAGTAAATGTGCTACTAGTATCGTCAAGAGCAAATAAGCTCCCAAGAATGTGCAACTCTGCATATGGGGTCTCCGACGGCAAAACCTCACATCATGTGTCTCAGGTACGTCTTGTACTACGTACAAGGAGAGCGTGTGCGCAAATCGAAAATCTGCCATGATTATGCTGGCGAGTTGCATACGCGCAGTGAGTTACTGCCAGGGAGTGCTTTCATTGTTACTCCGCTGCTCACTAAAAAACAGGCTGGGAACGTATAACCGGGCCACTACACCACATGATGTGAGTTTTCGGCGTCGGCAAACCTCACAGAAAGGGTATCAGCAAGAGTACATAAACCAGAGTGTGCAAATCAGGATGGTTCCTGTGGGAGCGTAATCCGCGCAATATGTCATTTCTGACGGCATGGTAAGCCACAGGTACGGTTGCGGAACCAGTCACGGTGGTGCAGGTCACTGAGTTTGTCCTGACTTCGGTTTTTTGATACGGATAGCCTAGTGAATTTACTTGTCAGTGGATGTGCACAGTCACACAAAAACTGAAATCCTGAAACAGGACGTCTAAAAATCATGCAAATTTGGGCAAGAGTACATGAAAACCAGAGTGTGCAGCTTGGGGCCTTTTCTGCTATGGGTGTCTGTCACGGCGAAATTCCGTGATTACATCATATTTGGCCCAGATCTGAGGCGGGAAATGGCGTAGTGCGTACAACTGAGCTGCAGTTGTGCAGAAAGAGACCTGCTTGAATCCTGCTCGTACGCACTACATCACTAAAATGATGTAATCACGGAATTTCGCCGTGACAGCAACCCATCCGAGCTGCACACTCTGGTTTTCATGTACTCTTGATTTGGGTGATTTCCGGGCTGTGAAACACTGAAACTTGACCTGTACACAAATCGCGGCTTGGCTGACCTCATCAGGGTGATGTAGTGCACGAACTGCGCTGTTTCAGATCTGATATGCACAGTTGCACACTCTGGTCTATGTACTCTTGGTATCAGGAGTTGCACACCCTTGGGAGCTTATATACTCTTGGTATCGTATCTCACAGTCAAACAGCTCATACACACGCCAAAGCGCAAAGTCGGACTTACCGTCTCTCCATCTTCACGGCACACCAGGTTGTATGAGCTACATGCTACTACAAAAATAATCGCTGTTACATCTGAGAGGACAGATTTGACAGAGAATGCACACATGCACATACAGATCATAACTTAAGTAAGAGCACAAAGCAAAAAGACCCCTGTACAATAATCCAGAACAGTTCTGTCTGCAGATAGAGCAGGAATCCAGAACTATACGTATAACTGAAACGCACGAATAACCATCCCCTTCACAAAGGGAGACTTCTCGGGGAATTGACCGCCTTTTCGTCTCTCTCTATTGACCGACTAATCAGAATAATAACGCATGCAGTCTTGCTAATCTCCTTCTAATCCGGTGGCCAATGCTGGCAAACCCATGACCAAGAAATGATATCGAATTGTCGACAATTCCACTGTTTTCGGATCTGCTTTTCCATACATTTTGTCATTGCACTCCTGTCCTGATATTGTAAATCTGGCGAATTGCATAATGCCAGGTGTACAGTTTTCTCCCTTATGACTATGTCAACGCGCTGCCTTCATTAAGTAGTGAAATGACGACCAAACTGCTTGGATGTAACTTTTTTTCCTGGTTCAGCCGCAAGGATTTAATGTGTGTTGTGGTAAGCCCAAAAGCAATGCCTGTGCATTACGTACAAAATCATTCGAAACATCCGAGAAAAGCAGACTTGGAAACAAGAAACCATCGCAGATTACATGCATGATGGATGGTGCAATAGCCCAGCTGATTCACCAATTTATGGCCGTGTAACGTTGGCAGGGTGTCGCACCTGACACCACGTGCAGGGTAGTTTCAGCTCTTGGTACATAGAGGCAACCTTTGACCTTGCGCAAAAGGATGCATGAAAGAAGGGAGCCGTACAACGTTTGTAATTGTCTTGAAAACTTCTACCCAAATGTGACCTATAGGCTGAATGGCACCTAGTGTGAAGAGGCCCGTATACTGCCCACCAGCATGAATGTACCTTTGAAGGGCACGTCTCCACTGGATTCAGCCTTTATTACGGTGTATCTAGTTATATCTACCCTCATTATCACTATTCACTATGTTCTAATGGGCATACTAGTATGTGCCAAATTATCGGACTTATCAATAGAGAGGTTCTGCACAACGAGAAAATTCGAACAAATGTTTGCAACAGACCTTTAACGAAAATGTGTACGATTTTTTTGTGTTCTGCCCAATTTTGTAGTTTGCATGCTCCAAGTGCCCGTACACCATGACCCGATCTCACGAAATGTCCTACGAAAGTTCATTTCGAGTTCCCTCCAAGTTTCGCGTCCAAAGTTGCGAAAGTTCGTGCGAAGTTTCTCACTTCGTGATGTAGAGCGAAAGTTCGCACACATTTTCGTTGCAGAACCTAACTAATATTCTATTTTGAATTTTTGATGCATATTTGTATTGACTATTTGAAAGTGTCATAATTAAAAGCTGTCAAATAGACTCGACGTAACTCTACGCTTGTTTTGATAAAGAAAACAGTTGTTGCAAGAAAGGCAGCAGCGCAGGAACACAAAAGACACGTACCGTTGAAGCACTGGATCCACTTGCGCCGCTCATCGCGCTGTCCACCCACGTCAAACATGCTGCGAGTACACATACGCGTGGGGATCAAGACAATGCCACAACGACACTAGGCTCACACGGAACGGCACAGCACTAGCTTGTTCATGTCCGTCACAGCAATCGATCCAGTCTAAGCACTACCCGTATACCAAATGTCAGCCGCGAATGCGTGATTATGCTCTTGATCAATGATCTCCAGAACCATTAGGTACTGACTGTGGTTAGAGATAAGCTGCAATTTACAAAATTATGATGAGGCACGAGGTCAAAGACTAAGGGCATGTTCGATTCGTAAGGATCGGGATCCAGATCTCAGATCCGTCGGATCCTTCAGAGTCAACTGGACACTTTTTTGGGCCTCGACTGCTGCCATGTTGACGAAGTAATAAAAAGTCGTACTCACCGTGCCAGTTGTACAAAAAGTCAACAAGCTCTATCTCGATCCACGTGTGCGTACCACAATGTGTACAAAAATGATTTTTACCCGCCATATACGCACAAAGGTCACATTTGGATCCGGTCAACCCTGCTCCCCGAGGTGGGTTGACCGGATCCAAACCCGAAGGATCCGGACAATCGAAAGGGTGCGAATCCAGTGGATCGGGATTCCGATCCTACCAATAGAACATGCCCTAAGAGATGCATAGAAAGAGAAAGAAAGAAAGAAGAAAGAAGGAAAAGAGAGAGAGAGAGAGAGAGAGTGTGTGTGTGTGTGTGCACGCGCAATTGCCTAGCAAGTGCAGTCGACTCACTGAAAGTTGACGCGATCTACTGAAAACCGTGTCTCGTAGATGCCCGACGTTAGGACCCGACACCGAAGTAAATCCTAAAGATAGATGAGAGAACAGCAAAACAATACTTACAACTAGGACAACACGATTCTACTACACAAAGTCTACCATTTGCACATTTCGCACGTTTAGTATTATACTCATATCGCTCTTACCCGGACCTCAAAGTTAAGGGCACCGTGTGGGTGAGTTTTAGTGGAAATAGTGACGTCATGTGCGAGGTCTCTGGCACTCTCCCATGAAACGTATTCGATTCAGAGTCACAGGCAGTACCGAGTCCAGGACCAAATGGATAAACAAGATAGAAGCACGAGTGTACCAAAAACTAGGGCTGCGACGAAGGATTGAAGGTTCGAATAGTGCTGCCTTTGATATCGCAACTAACTAACGCTTCTAGCTTTGAAGGCTAGAAATCAGCGCCCGTGTGTAAAACGTACAGGTTGTACGAGAATACCAGCAAGTACGAAACGCTGGTCAAGCAGCATGCAGTACACACTATCTAGGTAAGTATGTTGAAACGTCTGGCCGGACGCACGATATCGCAAAACACCCATTGGGTACTTAGTTGCAATACCTGTAGAAGTGGTAAGCGTGACTGTAAAATTGCTAGATTAGCCGGACAGTTTTATTTGTTGGAATTAGTTGGACTGAAGGCGCAGGCAACATCAGTGTACGTGTTCAACGGGCGTGGTGTGGCTGTGTGTGACGGGCTGGCAGGGCAGTGATTGCCTCAGGGGCCTCTGAGTCTGCCGCGTCGGCCAGTTCGCTTCGTCGTTCGTTCCCCGTCACGCCACTATGGGATAAGTACAGTCATCCGCAGTATCTTTGTTTTTGTGGCACATGCAATAACTAACTTTTCTGGTGTTAGACTGACTGCTGTTTTTTTGCGCCCCCCCCCCCCCCTTCACACGTGCTACATGTTCCTGTCCCAGCCATGAGCGCGTGTCGTTATCACCTGACCTTGTTATCACTTTTGTCACTTAGGGTATGCCACGTTTCTATGCAGAATGAGCGCAATTGCGCCAATTTAGCCCTATAAAGATCAGTCTATTCTTAATATTTTTTCATTCAACATCATATGCCTCCACGATGAGCTCAGGAGGAGCGAAACAGCTGTCTGGAGGGTCATTGTCAATATCAATCTATATACCGGAACTGTCCTCGCTGTGGTGATGGTGATGTGAGTGCACAGTTTGGATCGGCCAAGAGCGCAATGTGGTGGTGTGGTGTATTGAATTAGTTTGAGATTGAAAATTGAAATGGATGTCACCGGTCTGGCTTAGAAGTGTTTGCTTGTCCCTACTGCCAAAACCCGAAGGAGCAAAGCCAGGAATCAACTTGACAAATGGACTTCCAACGACAAACGAAGCAGTGTGTTGACTGGAGAACAAGCAGCCAAGTTACAACGGGTGGAATATCAACCTCGGTGAGCATAATGAGACCCCCCCCCCCCCCCCCCCCCCCGCTCTCCCACACACACTACGGAAGTAACCGCAACTGACACAACCCAAAAGCTGAAGTTTGTTTTGAACATCAGTTTGCGCCAATGGATATGGATAGCTTGGAAGAGATCTGACCATCGCACTCGGTTTATGATTGCTTTGGTCCAAATTCTGGCATAATGCAATGCATTACATACCTGTTCCGTTGGTACATAGTCTGCCTTTCTTATTCTGTCGATTTCATCCAGGAAGCTATATAGGCACACACACACAGAGAGAGAGAGAGAGAGAGAGAGAGAGAGAGAGAGAGAGAGAGAGAGAGAGAGAGAGAGAGAGAGAGACAGAGAGAGAGAGAGAGAGACAGAGAGAGAGAGAGACAGAGAGAATATTATTAGGAAGGAAGGTGCACAGCCGACAGCTTTGCGACCTTGCAAACACTGCAGCTGACTCAAATTCAATACTATTGAGCCCAGCTCCTGGTAAAGGGTTGCAAATCACAAATGTGGAAGCGGGTTCACGAAACATGGAATCAGTATGCGCATGGTACACAGAGACTACGTGGTACCGCAAACACAAAACAACTCTTTGGTACAGCGATAACAAAAAATAAAACAGGGCAGGAAAATTCATTGGCTGAACAACCTAAACACAAATCAATGCACACCATGCAGATTGATAGCACGCCGAGTACAATCACAGAGTTCATAATTATACGCTGCACAGACGGCAGCGTATTGATTTGTGAATTAGCAACGTGGAGACATGGGCTTTAATTCCCGCAATAAATACAAGAACGGAGAACAATATTACACATTGTTGAATGTTCCCTTTTGAATTACCAATATATTTTGCTATTGTCCCAATTATGACCTCTTTTCCAGTTTTTTTTGCTGTCCTAAAGCCCCACAAAGTTATTTCTATGTTTCGCGCCACCACACGAGTACCTTTTCAAATTGTTGACAAGAAAAAAAAAGCATCCAGACGAGTCAATCGATGGCTGTTCTGGCGAACATTCTCTGACCAGGATGGTAGATCAGACGTTATCAGCTTCTCGATAATCTTGCATTTCAGACGATGGTACGTAGAAAGTGCGAGCGATGAAAATTCTATTTTTCCCAGCAACACGACAGGGCCTGCTCAAAAAAGCAAGCGGAGATTTCAGGTGTCAAGGATTTTCCAGGATCGCGATGTCGAGGAATTCCACTCGACTCACGTCAAACTCAAAGTGCAGAAGAAGCCACCCATGAAATCTGTTTCGGGTATTGCTCCAGCCCAGTCTGCCAGCTGTCCTGTGGCGACTTGTTGTCGTTTTTGGATATAAGTGACAGTTTAGTAATGCTATTCTGTGTGCAACATGGCTCAGAACACATAGCATGAAGTTTTGTCGTTTCCTCTGTTTTCGTTTTTTTCGCCCGCCCGCGTGCCTTTTCCAGAAAATTTCTGACGCGAAACATAGAATTAACTTGGTGTCGCCTAATAATGTTACTTCAGAATTTCACACGAAATTCATTTGAGACTAGGATAGAAAACTGATTCTTACTGGAACACTCCACCTGGGGGATATAGCCTACAGGACATGGGAACACTTACTGACAGTGAAACTCTCTCGAAAAGGTGATACAAGTGACAAGAGAGCATCGTTGCTCGTCATACCACACAATAATTCGAATTGCAATAAAAACAAACGTAAAGCTTTATTTACAAAACGTCGAAAGGGTACAGTCGGGTCCATTTCGAAGTCACCGACCAAGGCTGCGCAAGCATTACATGGCATTGAACAAGTGCACAATGGAAAACGGATACAAGTACAAGCACCTCCAACGACACACCATGGTTAGTACATACACCTACACATCAATAATAATAAAAGGAAAAGAAATTTGTCCACATATCGAGGGCAAATCACTTACTACTGTGCACAATCGATGAGCTGATACTCATGCGAACGAGTGAATGCCTCCTGAACACCTTCATCTGCCCAGAGAGCTTTGGCATGGTCGAAGAACTCCTGCGCATGAGCAAATTCATTCAACAGCATTGTCAAGCACAGCCCAAGGATTCTTCTTGTAGTGCATTGAAGTGGCAAGTCATTTCCACAATATTGCTCAGCATTACTGCCACTCGGCAGCCCACAGTCAGCAGCTCACCTGGGGGTAGTCGAAATCCTTCGTGGAGTGAACAGAGCGCAAGTACGCCACCCTCTCCTGGTTGTTCTCGTTACTCAGACGAACTGGGGGGTCCAAACTGTCCATAGCAAACGCAATCGTCTGGAAGGACATTACGATAGAATTAGAGAAACATTAGGCTTACCAAACTGCTACTCATGTGTGGAAGGAGAGGAACTTCGTCACTCTACTCACGCATATACTGTCCTTGACATTGTATCGGATCTCCTTCACTTTCTCTTGGATTTCCCTGCACAAACAGGGGCCGCAAACCAACACAAAGATGCAGACGGGATGGTCAGAGCTCCAAACTGTAACAGTCATCCATATCGTGGGGTTGACGAACGCCTTCGACAAGCAGCTTACGAGTCAGTAAAGCCAGCGTCGGGATGCAAAATCCTCATCTGCTTGACAATAGTACTCTTCCCTGACTCCCCCGCGCCTACGAACAACAAACACATCATCCCTTAGGACATAGTTCGGGTTCTCCAGAACCAGTTGGTCGACTTCCAACACACCGAGAAGGAGCAGTCTGTGTGTCGCTCGGTACTCCTTTCCAAACTTTTTCAGGTCACGGGTGATGGCTTTGTTAATCCTCGCCATCTCCCGCTGCACCTCCTTCTCTTGCGGTGTAGGAGCATCTTGGCCGCTTACACAGTTGCCCATTTCTTTCTCCTCGGCATCACATATCAGGGCTGCACTTCATGGACGCAACTCAACAACCAAACAAAAGCTCAACAACCTTGAGATTTGCCGATGCGCATGCGTTTTCTACAGATTCTGCAAAGAAAATGACTATGCCGTGTTGACGTGCAAGTTTTATGGCCAGAACGTGAGTGAAGCGTGTGAAGTGTAGTATATTTAGCATGCATATGCAGTACATCCTGATCATACGCTACGTAGATCTACGTACTAGACTACGTGTGTGCATATTCAGTAGCTGTACTGTACGTGTATGCATTCATGCAAGAGTCATACCAGTACATAGGCTGTCATAGCTGCATAGACGGATTGTAGAGACGGGATCCCGGGAACACATAACACAGGCGCGAGTTGGAGTCATGATCTGTGTGAGAAAACACACGCTGGTAGGCTGGGCATGGTACCGGGTCCACTCTCGATCTCCACCAAAAAGAAAGCGTGGCGTGGTAGATTCTACTGAGTGGACTGCGAGTGTGCCTGTCGCGGCTGTGTTTGCAGGTTTGTGCCAGTAATTAGTTGGCAGTTGTGCTGCTCCAGTACTAGTTCTAGTAGTTGCAGTGCTACTCGTGCCCTTGTGTGTAGATCTACGGGTGTCCACCTTCTTTCTTTAATGTAGCCAGTTTGCTGTTTTCTCTGTGGCCGTGGGGGTCATGCGTGTCGGCACAGGTGCCGGTGCAGTATCATTTTCATAGGCGAAAGCTGTGGAAATGTCGAAACTGGCGATCGCGATGCTTGCGAAGTGGAGATTGAGGCCCAGAAAAGGAGGAGTTTCAGTGATTTGTTTACAAATAGCAACTGTTGCGTTCATCCTGTAGTAGTACTATAAGGTCAGTCATTCACCGTGCTGGGGTCTGGTTTCTGCCCGGTGTACAGGTACCTCTACGCAACTCAGTTTAGTTTTCGTTGCTTTGTCGCTCGAAATGGCGAAGGCAAATTCCGGTAGACATGGATGCTGATCTGGGAATCGCACGAACTGCACTGCTAGCCGTGGACAGGGAGTAATAAGTTGTAGCAAGAGTAGATCTACATGAAAACCATTTCATGTACTCTTGGTTGTAGAGCTACTACAGTACGTGGCTCATGAGCGTCACAAATAAACCAAAAATACCACCGTAGCCACCCAAAAACACTCCTCCAACTACATGTACAATCATGAGTACTGGGGTGGGTATACTCTTGGTACAATCTGTAGAAAGCAGGGAGTAGTAAAATACACTGTATTTACTACTCCCTGGTACAGTACAAAGTAAGTAATTAGTTTAGTTGTAGCTCCGGTATCCCGGCGCCAGTAGGCAGTACTGCTATAATACAGTGATAATAATATTATGAGTATGCCTGGCAGTTTTTGAAGAAATGCATGCAGTGCATTTTTGTCCCCACGACTCTTGGTTCCTACATTCTTGTTCAAGTTGTTGTAATATTGGACTTGACATGACTCGATCGACTCTGTACTTCTGTAGTCTGTAGACTGTGTAGAGACTAGAGTCTAGAGTCATGTATAAACTATAATGACCACATGATTGTATAAATCGATCATCGCCAGTGAAGTCAGCTTCTATTTTTTACAGTTTATGCATGTTCAGTGCATGTTCAGTGTAGATCACGTGAATAATCTCTTGAAGTCCTTCGCTCTTGAAGCTTGCCTCGTACGAGGCAAGCTTCAAGTTCAAGAGCGAAGGACTTCAAGAGATTATTCACGTGATCTACACTGAACATGCACTGAACATGCATAAACTGTAAAAAATACGATCGTGTCAGCTTTTCATCTCGGGACGTAACGTAACGTAACGTCGTTAGTTGGCGTTGTTAGATTCCCAGTGTAGAGATGGTTACTCTGTAGTTTTTGGACAACTCAGTACAGTCAAGGCAAGGGGAGTTGCTGTACCTGGAGTTGCATGATATCGAAAAGTACGTGTCATCCTACGTGATATTATTACAATTTTTACATGTGGGTGTAAACAAGAGTTTGTCCAGTCAATACTATTAGTGTTACATGACTGATCGTATAGGTATGTACATAATGGTACTACATACTGTATTTGGAATGGCATGTGTATACAGTTGACTTACCTGTAGTATAGGGGGGGGGGGGGGGGTTGTCAGTTCTACAAGTAACTAATTACTAAAGCTGTGTTCACCACTGGCGCGTGTACGCGTGAAACCATGCGGCCGTGCGAATTTTGCTGGCTTTTGCCGTTTTGGGGCGTCGTGCGTATGGAAACGCGCCGAAATGGAAATTCCAACACGCATTTTTCAGCGCGTAACGGCGTGCATGCCAGTCACTTTGACTGGCGGGTCCAAAAGTTAGTACTTGAACTTGAAGGTGTCGCACGCCCTGAATACGAGTCCAATTGCTGTTTTTTTTGTGAAAGCCTGAGCACGTGTTTGGGCACGAATAACCCACAAGCGTACTGCGTCCACGCGCCAGTTGTGAACACAGCTTTAGTTGCATGCCATGAAGAAGCATTTCTAATAGGTCTGTTGGCATGATCACAACGATAAATCAGCCAGCATTACATTTTCCGCAACATCTCCAATGTAATGTTTGCGGACAGGCTAATTTACAAGCACCTCCCCCATCCCCCAGGTTACGTGGCAGCACAATTTGTTACATTATCGCCTGCCACTCGCATTCTGGCACAAGTTCCGCTTTGACCTTTGCCTAATCTTAAACTGATGCCTAGAGAGCACAGCAGTACCGTAGTACATGTATCGAAGTCCGCTGATAAAACTGTGATTATCGGCTGATGAGCCTACACTACAGTGAAGTGTGAGTCTAGCGTGCCTCGCTAGCACTGGATACTCGTCTGGCACCCCAACCAGTGCACTTCTGGCGAACTGCTAGCACATGTACATACATTTACGTGCGGCTAACCAGTTCCCTGACCTGCATGAGTGTACTATCTGAATACACTCATTCTCAATAGGGCTTGAAAGTGATGACGTCAAAACGGCCAGGGAGTAGTAAGTTGACATCAGATTTCTATTTTTGGATCCACTAAGGTGTGCCTTTGCTATTGCCTAAGTATGTGGGTGCATAGCAACCCACTCATGTCGCATGCAGGTGTGACTTTTATTTCGCCACCAGTTGTAACCCCGCCCCCAGTAGCCAAATCAGTCAGTTTCACTGGCTACATCACCATGCTGTGGGTAAGACCGCTTGAAATGTGCTTGGATCCATACAAAAACTGGATCCAGACTTGGATCCAGTTTTTGAATTTTTGAAATTGTTGCTATGCTGTGACGTAGCACTTTCAAGCCCTATCTGGGGACAGAACTGCGCGTCCGTTGCGGACTCATCAACACAGGCCAGACTGCATTGCAGCTTAAAATGTATTGAACATGTTCCGCCCAGTGACTCAACTTCCATGCTTGGTATGCATTTCCAGCCTGTGGAATAGTTATCTCATGCCAAATCCTTCAGACAAAAACTTTTAAAAAAATTCTGTGAAAAAAAGTAATTCAAAGACTTCAATACATGCAAAAACGGGTGGTTGGCCACACTGACATACTAGTACAGCAGTTCATTCCTCTAAAAATATTCCGGCTGGCTTTTGAAAACCCGACTTTGGCCAACCAGGCCGAACTTAAAGTGAATCCCTATCGTTTGACTTCTCCGGTCTCAAATGTGGCAAGGAAGATTCACGCCGTGCAGGATGTACTCGTGCAGTTTATCTACCACTGTGCTTGGATTAAAGACTGCGACCCAGTAGGTTACATGTAGCTTTGTCGTTTATCCGACTTCATTGCGATCGGTTCGGCCAAGAACTGCACACATACACGTAGCTCCGCTGAAGAGATTTAACAAGGTCGAAATCATGAGCTACATGTTACTGTTTTGAGAAGTTGGATGCCGCAATTGTAAGATGAAGTAGAGTACTACGGTCAGACCTCGCATAACCACACACATCCGTTTCCACGAAAAAATATCCGGATAGGCGAGGGAACCGGATAACTGAACACCGGCTATGTTGGATGCATCACATATGCTGTAACCAAGCTATAACCAGCTATTTTCTTCCGGATGGCGAGGGATCCGGATAAAAGAGGACCGGATGAGCGAGGTCTGACTGTACAGTCAAACCTGTGTTCACTGGGCCCTACACCAAGCAGAATCCTGTGCTGACCGGACATATTTTCATGCACTAAAGTGCTGTGGATCAAGCGGAATCCTGTCATATCAGGACAGTTTCCGGCGCTACCCCACCCACGGGCAGGCTTTACTAGCTTATCTACAGTGCACCTTTTTGGGCGGAGCAGTGACGTCTGACAGACATAGCACCTAAAAGAGCGCGAGTGGCACCAACTATATTGTACATACATCGTGAACCCACCTTCTGCACGCATACATGTACAGTCAACTCTGCGTATAACGACTCTCGGCGGGGCATCAGAAAAGTGTCCTTATTTGCGAAGTGTCCTTATACCCGAAGTCTCGTTACCGTAAAATACCGTTGATCCGCCCCCCCCCCCCCCCCACGCCATGTCGCTTCCCAGCTGGGTTTTCGGCAGGGGCGGGAATTAGATCAAGGCTGTCAAGTGCAGTACGATGTACAACAACGTGGAGGATCAGACTCGATGTGCTGAATTGTGCTTATTTTCATCCTGGATTGGCGAGTATTGTGTACAGCAGTGCATGCGTCAGTTCAACATCGTATTTCGTTGCATACGCCGAAGTTGCTTCACAAGTAGAAAATCGACAGGGGGCGGGAATTAGAGAGCCTGCGGGGGTGGATCAACGGTACTTTAAAAGGTATATGTATTACACTAGTTAGATGGGACCGTAGGCTTTGCTCTGGGCATGGAAATTCTGTCGTTGTTCGCGAATTGTCGTTATATCCGCAGTCGTTATTAGCGAAGTTGACTGTACATGTAGTTCAGGTTTCAGCTTGGCAATTTACAGCAGCACCTCCACTGCTCCAGTACAGCCATTTCAAACCAACCGGGTACGAGGCCTGCACCTGACACAACTCTTGCAACCTGCCTGTTTCTTGTTAGTCCTGGGTACATTCAAGTGAGTCCCAACCCGGTCAAAAGTGGCCCTATGTTCTTTTTCCAAACGGGTCCAAGTAACCCCCCCCCCCCCAACTGTGTCAGCCCGCTCTGAAACAACCTGTGACACTGACATGTACTAGTATACGGCCGTACAGTATAAGGACTTGTTTGCTGCTAGCATGCTGCTCATATCACAGTATTGTACATGTACAAGTATTTGTAACGACTTTGAAGAGTTGTTGTTGTTTTATTTTACTTCATCAGATTTACGGGCAAGGATGCCTTCTCACCGGCCAGGGGCCGAGTACTAGTACAGTCTGTATCGGCTATAGAGTGACCGGATATAAGAATATATCGGCTACAGTGATATTGGTACGAAATATCAAAAGCAAAACGTATTTTATCCAGTACAAATATCACTATAACCAATATTATCGGATGTAATGATACAGTCGTCCCTCTCTAATCCGGCACTTTATAATCCAGCACCCTCGATAAACCAGCACAATTTTCAGTAGCCAAAATGTCCTCTTCATGCACATTGCAGCAGTAAATCAGATTTGTTAATCCAGCACCCTCCCTAATCCAGCAGATCTTCGTGGCACAAATGGTGCCGGATTATAGAAGGACCACTGTATATCGGATATTATGATGGCAACAAAGAATCAAAACATGCATAACACACTACATTATTGTCGGCTATAGTGATAACTTTAAAATACATGTTGCAATAATAATATTAATATCAAAGGCCCTATTTTTTTTACTTTCTTAACCGTTGCTTATTTTGATAGTGACACATGTACATGTACATAACAGAATTTTTTTATGGAAATGCGGGCACTGTCAACTATGCAGCATGCTCATTTGTCAAAACGCCATGCTGGAAGTATTTCCTTGCCTTTCATGTGTCGATTGAAAAAAATCGATCGTATCGCATATAGTGATGCATCGGTTAAATGATAAAATCACGGAAATCAAAAGGGTACGCTATAGCCGATACAGACTGTATACTATTACTAGTACTAGTAGCAAGAGTACATAACCGGGGTTATGTACTCTTGCTACTAGTAGGAAAGGTCTGGTCAAGATTTCTACAATGATTATGTGGTGGCTTCTTTTGCTTCGTGTGTTATTTTTGAATGTTTATTACATTTGTAGTATCTCATTCAGTACTACAGCAGTAGTAAATTAATTTGTGTGTCTCTACCACTACATGCACCGTACACGTCCACCTGCATTGCAGAGTCAAAACCAGGGAGTGGACTCCCTGGGCCTGGTCAAAACCGACCACTCACTGGCACCAGTCACTGCGCCATTGATTCGTCGAGTGCGGTTTGTCACTTGTAGATAGACACTCAGAGTTCCATTCATGACTCACGTGTGACGTCGGTCCAGACAGTCGCACAAACTGTGCAACTGCATTCTGCAAGTCGCCGAAACAAACTGCACATAGCATGCAGTCTACGTCTCGTCTCATCGCTGGACATACATAATCAGCTTTCTTGCCAGATTCCCCCCACGGCCACGTGTACACGATCGTGCGAATGCATTTTCGGTTTTTGTCTGAATCGTCGGAGAGATCGTAGGAAGTGCTTTGGAGTTGAGCCCTGAGTCAAGCCAAGCGCGATGGATGAGCAAGAGAGGCCCGATGCTCAGGAGGTAAGACGTTATAACGCTAAGCAATGGCATTAGCGACTATTACGGTATTTTCGTAGAGACATCATAATAATTAGAAGTTTGGCGATGGCCATGGGCTTGGGTCACCCAATGTTTTCGGCAGAGCATGCAACTACGAGCCACGAAATCAGTGCCCATGTTTTCTAGTGGCCTAATGCCGCCGCTGTAGCAGCATCTGAGAGGTTCTCAATTCTCTGCTGTCATTGTATTGGAGAATCTGGCGCAACCGTGCCAAGTATGCAGTACATACATTGTGCTGAGTGAGAGTTTCCATGTGATAAGCACTACAAACAATGTACAGTTCATTGATAAAAAAACATGATGATAATCTTGCTTTTGACCATAAAATGGGTAAAACTTTTAGTTTTCCCAGAATGTTTTTCCAATCCCTCAGTATGGAATGCTCTTCTAATTTGTTTCTGGAGTCTAATTCTCCAAAAGAAAAAAAGAGACCCGCGCTGGTAGCAGGGGGCGTGCGAAAACTTTTTACGCGTGGTGAACTGCGCCGACATCCACAGTCAACTGGGTTCTCGCAGCTCGGAGTGAGGATACCGGTAGCAAGGATGCAGTTTATGGGGTCATGGGCCGCTACGCGTCCGATCGGCTTAGAGACTCACCTCCTCTCCCCTGACTCACTCGTGAGGTCTGCATTTGCTCCTAAATTGTACAGGCATAGTGGTGGCCTGCGGATGCGAAGGCTAGCTTGTGTGTTTCCGAACCTTCAAGCGATGCTGACGCGGGTCCCGCGAATATTATTTAGGCCCAAACAAATGATCCTTAAGGGTGGTGGCGTTCCTACGGATTCGGAAAACTCAACATCTAGCCAAGTCTCACGTGGACTCTGAGTTTTATTTATTTTTTAAATTACAGTGTAAGTAGAAGCGTATAGTGCGTGCACGCAATGATAATTATTATAATGTAACGGCCACTCTTGATAGTGCACTGCAGTTCGATGTGAGTAGTGCAACGTTCCTATTGCAGGACCAGATCAGTGTTAGGCTGTCATCACACCATGGTACAAAGCGCTGCGTCTACGTCCACGTAAGGAGTTTTTGGTCGGTTGTCATGATGATCCGTATACGGGGTGAAAACGGGAGCAGCGGAAACGGGAGACGTGGACGTGGTATGGAGAGGGGGGGGGGGGGGGGGTATACGACTTTTTGTATTAACGTGCGTATCTCCCCCAGCCTTTTTCCGAGCGACCCTGTACTTCGATGTACGTGGGTTCAAATTTCTCCACAAAACCTGACTGCGTGTACGCGTCAAGAACTGTGCCTGTCTGATGACACGACCACCCGTTTTGGTTTTTTCACCATAGACGTAGACGCAAACGGGAGTCGGAGAACGTGGTGTGATGACGGCCTTACTGTAAAAGCCATATTTACAACGAAGCGCTAATTCTATCGAGTTTACGAGAAGAAATCTGTCGTTAAAATAGAAATCGTTATACAGAAATCGATACAATACTGTTGCTATTGAGCGTTGAGAATGAGTGAGAATCGGTACCTTTGGTACACGTAAACCAGTCAATTTTTAAATAGGAAATCGTTATATTTTACAGTACTGTAAAAGCAGAAATTTTCGGTGGTGTTTTATTTTCGGTAACTTCGGTGCCGACAGTTTTTACCGAAAATAAAACGCACCGAAAATTTCGGTACAACCGATACTGTATACATGTACTACTAGTACATTTACCTGGAAAACGGGTTTTACCGAAAATTTCCCTCCACCGAACCGCCGATTTTGGAGAAGACCGAAAATATTACACCGCCGAAAATTTCTGCTTTCACAGTAGTGTGATGATTGGCCCGACTGTACACGTATGTGTTCTGATCATGTCATGTCGTCTCCAGGCATCGCCACATCTCAACTCATGCGGACAGACGTCACCGTACCCAAGTCGAAATGACATATTCGGCCTGCCTGTGACTCTGTCTCCCGGGACGGACTTGGACGCGGCTATGGAGAGCTTCAATACTGCTGCCGAGTACTACGTCAACTATTCTTCAGCGCCGGTTGAAGCACTCGCCAAGGCACTCGAGGCCGATCCCAACTTTTTCATGGCACATCTTGTTCAGGTGAGTGTGGCATTATATAGTTGGCCGAGCGCTGAGCTGAATGGTCTTGGTCCGAGGAAGCTACGGTTCAGCGTTTGCCAGATATTCCATACCTGCCAAGTATCCCGCATTTTGGATGACCTCCCGAAATCCCGAAATCCTTCTCAAATATCCTGAAAAGGTGAAAAAATGACGTGAACTGCAGTTTTGATGATTTCCTGGCATACTGCACGCAGTCGAGCATGGATCGCGGCCACAACACTGAAAAGGAATGGTTACGCACAGTTTGTTCTGGTGGAGATATTCAAGTTTTTGTCTCTGAAAGGCTTATGGTACAATACCTGTACATGTGATTGTATAACATGTGTAAACTGACTCTTTTACATCATTATTTAATCAATGACGTCACACTATTCTCCCTCCCTCCTTCCCTCCCTCTCTCTCTCTCTCTCTCTCTCTCTCTCTCTCTCTCTCTCTCTCTCTCTCTCTCTCTCTCTCTCTCTCTCTCTCTCTCTCTCTCTCTCTCTCTCACACACACACGCACACACGCGTTCGCACACGCACGTCAACGCGCACGCCAACGTGAACGCGTGCATAGCTGACAAGAGATGTGTTAAAATCCTTCCTTTAGGATGGACAATAGCCAACAAGACTTTTGTTGCTGCTACTGCCGCCGCCGTTGTTGTTGTTTCAAATCTTTATTCTCACGATAGCCAGGGGGCCAATACGAGATAATAGTGTAAGAGAGGAGAAAGAGTGAGGAAGAATTGGGTGGGCAGAGCCTAGGGATTAATGACTACTTAATTAAGTGTACGGGCTGGGGTGTTCGCTACCCGAGCATACAGAGTTGTGCAACAGCAGGGATATCTGGGATTTGAAGAGAGTACGAGAAGGGATTTCGCGAAGCTGGGTGGGCAAGCAAGTTGTTGTTGTTGTTGTTTCAAATCTGTATTCTCACGATAGCCAGTGGCCAATAAGAGATTTGTTGTTGTTGTTGTTGTTGTTGTTGTTGTTGTTGTTGTTGTTGTTGTTGTTGTTGTTGTTGTTGTTGTTGTTGTGTTGTTGTTGTTGTTGTTGTTGTTGTTGTTGTTGTTGTTGTTGTTGTTGTTGTTGTTGTTGTTGTTGTTGTTGTTGTTGTTGTTGTTGTTGTTGTTGTTGTTGTTGTTGTTGTTGTTGTTGTTGTTGTTATGGTCACCATCGTTGTCGCTGCGGCGGTCGGCGTAATTGCTGCTGTCGCCATCGCTGTCATCCGTGGTAAGGGTTGGGGGTCGTGGTGCTGCTGTTGCTGTTTTTCTCGTTCTTGTTGTCTTTGTCATTCCCGTCTTCATCCTTTTTTGGCAGGCGGCATTCTTTGGTCGGAGCAACCTTGATCGCCGTGACTTGTCAGGTATGAGAGTCCTTTAATAATAATATTAATATAATATAATATTAGCCTTGATCCTTGTGGCGGCGGTGTTTCTGTGGATGCAGAAGCTCAGTCTGACGGAGCCTCGCACGAGCCGTATTCTATATTTTGATGATACACAAATCATCGAGCAATGGACAATCGAGAAATTTGTTGTTACTCTGAGTTTTGTGTCGGACAACGCACGTCATGACCTGATGTTTAAATAAACCTGTAACGAACGTACATAGCTGATTAGGCATATGAATAAAACTGCTCATCATGTGCATATAAGCATGAGATTGCAGACAACCATACATGTTACATAAGTACATGTAGGTACAGATCACAATACCATGGTGTGCACACCTAGCCTGTGTAGCCACTGTGTGCTGCTTGAGAACGTTCCTGTAGCTTCTCAGTCCCTCGGTTTCACCCCTTGCCTAGTGTCTTGTGCCCGTAGAATACGGGCGCAAGAGACTAGGCAAGGTGTGGAACTGAGGGGCTGAGAAGTGTATTATACGGTATAAATAATTGCCACGTCCATTAGAATATTATCTTATTCAGTATCACCTTCTCTGACGAGCCTTTGGTAGGTGAAACAGCTGTCAGAAGAAATAGCAGTAACATGTACCTGGAACCCCTTCGTTGTGTGGAATTTTTGGCGTGTGTAATGGCTACCGAGGGTAGCTACTTGTCGGCCGAGAGTGCGTGGAAGAGAGGTGGAGAGATTGTTGCATGCTAGAGAGTGTGGTGTTAAAAACTCAATAACTAGCACCCACTCGGGTTTTGCTGGCTATCTCTTGCTAACGATCTATCTTGTTCTGTGGCGCGATGTTTGCCTTTCACAGCTCCCTCAGACTCGAGTGCTGTCACCGAGCGAGCGGCGGACAAGAATCTGAACGAACGGGAGCGCATGTACTGCCATGGGTATGAAGCCTGGGAGAGCGGGGACTTTGATGTAGCAATGCGCCGCTTCGAGGATCTCGCACGATCCTATCCCACAGGTTAGGCCACAGGTTAGGACATGTTGTCCTTGTCATTGGTGCTGATTGTGAGCATGTAGCTTTGATTATGGCCTGTATAAAATTAGTCCACTGAAAGAATGCGCTTTTCGTCTAGATACATCAGAGATTCATGTAAAATTATTAGTTGTGTGTGTATCAAAGTGTGTGTGTACACTTGTGTGTGTGTTTGTGTTCTTACGTGCGTGTGTGTGTTTGTTTGTTTGCAGATGTGATTGTGCTGCGTCTACTGCATGCCATGTATCTGATGCTGGGTCAGCCACGGCGCATGCGCGACTCACTGATGGGCATTGCGCACGCCTGGCACGAGTCAATGCCGTTCTACCCTATCTTCCTGGCAATGTAGGTCAGCAGGGTTTACCGTCATCTCGCCGGTAGAAGCATGCGTTCAATTTTGTGTATGACCGTGCCGACCTGTTTGGTAGGCCATTTGCCTGTATAATTATGTCTGTGGGTGCTGTTGATCAAGCTTCTTCCTGAAATGTATCGTGCCAGCAGCTCTTCTTGATTGTATGTTATTACTTCAAAGGAATGCCTTTGTGCAGTATGCGTAGCACCTTGGTTGTGTGGAGCACTTGGTGAGTCTTTACTGTGGTGACTAGTACCCCTGGCACTGTCTAGGGGTGTTTCCAGCAATCCTTGGCGACCACTCTTGACTTAAGTCTTGATGCTCATCCAGTTCACTGCACACGTGACGGGAACTTATTGAACGTTGGTGCAGTCTGAATATGTTACCAGATGAAAGCAGCTTTTATTACAATGATTTTGCAGCACAGGTTCTTGCAAAGTAGAGTGTCACATTTTCGTAAGTTTCATGCACACAGCAGATTAGTATGGCCCCCTGGTGAACATGGCGCTTGTTATGTTATCTCCGGTGCTTGCAGGTACTCGTTTGCCCTGGAAGAGTGTCATGAATACGAATTTGCACGTGAGAAGGCATCGCGAGCGCTACGCATGCGACCCGATGCTGTCTGGGCCATGCATTCGCTGGCACATTGCCACGAGGAGCGCTCGCCTGCTCACAATGCCATCGCGTTTCTTGAGGGCGTTCAGGACAAGTGGCAAACCAGCATCCTCTCAGGACATCTCTTCTGGCATCTTTCGCTGTACTATGTCGGTATGTTGTCTTTTTCCCTCACTCTCTCTCTATCTCTCTATCTCTCTCTCTCTCTCTCTCTCTCTCTCTCTCTCTCTCTCTCTCTCTCTCTCTCTCTTTCTCTCTCTCTCTCTCTCTCTCTCTCTCTCTCTCTCTCTCTCTCTCTCTCTCTCTCTCTCTCTCTCTCTCTCTCTCTCTCTCTCTCTCTCTCTCTCTCTCTCTCTCTCTCTCTCTCTCTCTCTCTCTCTCTCTCTCTCTCTCTCTCTCTCTCTCTCTCTCTCTCTCTCTCTCTCTCTCTCTTTTTATCTCTTTGTCGACATGGTGCTGGGACTTTTGCTTTGAGTCGATCAGTCGTAGTTATTTTTCTTCAGTTCTTCCTCTCGTTGTGGACCTCTTTTTTTGGACAGTTGCTCTGTAGCCCTGGTATGTCTGTTTCAGTTACACGCACTTGGATGTAATTGTTTCGACCGTTACCGCTGCTATTCCTGCTGGTTTCATGCTGATTTCGCAACTTGTGTATTGTGTATTGGGATGTATGTTGCCATGCTGTTATTCAGATGTGAACAATATGGACCGAGCCCTTGAGATATTTGACACGCAACTGGAGGAGCGCCTGTCCTCTGGTGTTATCTATTCCCTGGTCGATGCAGCGTCGCTTTTATGGCGAATGGAGGTCAGTTATAGTGAAGTACACTGCATGCTGTCTCTCTCTCTCTCTCTCTCTCTCTCTCTCTCTCTCTCTCTCTCTCTCTCTCTCTCTCTCTCTCTCTCTCTCTCTATTTGTCTGTGCATACCTTTGTGCGTATGCCTGTCTACCGGTCTATCCAAGTTATCTGTTTGATTAGTTGCTTCAATGGGTACTGGGGTATGCACTACGAGTTTGTGGCCGCATGAACTCGGCAGGGTTTCACTAAACTTGCACTACGAGCACGGTAAAAACCTGCAGCAGGAGAAAAGTTAAAATTTTATTTTGAAATTGGCAAAACATGAACTCATAATGAAGGTTGGTGCCTAGCGCATGCTTTGTATGCCTTGTGTTGTGAGTTCTGAAAAGGTGGTGTCCACAAAAAAGGTTCTTCCATGGACCACACCAGCTGTGGAGTATCACACTCTTTTTTATGTACTCTTGCTACTCACTATATCTTGCTTGAAGGATGTCTGCAGCAATTCCATTTAAGGCATACCACCTTGTACTTCGTCTGACATTCTTGTGCCGGAACCTTGGGACTTTACTTAACCTAGTTGGTTATTCTGAGTTTCTTATAATTATCATGGCTTTGCGTCTGGACAGATGGCTCTTGGTCTGTTTTTCTGTACTATGTCCAGTGCTGTGGGGTGGATGTAGGCAGTAAGAGGTGGCAGAAGATGATTGAGATGTTTCAGGAACACATCGGCAAGCACCAGATGGCATGGTAAGGTCACAAACACACGTAGCTAGCCAACACCCACGGTTTGATAGCCCAAACTCAGGATTTGCTAGCCCCAAACCAGGCTTTGCCAGGCACGAGCAAGTGATAGTGACCTCGCCGATAACTTTACGGTAAGAAAGTTGGTTGTTCGCAACGCTCGAGAAAAGCACTAGCTCGAACTTTGACAAGCCAACGTTCTTACTTCCTCCGCATCATTAAAATTGTCGCTTCCCAGAGCGATTTTTCGAATTTATTTTGTCCACTCGAGGGGCAAAGAAATCAGCTAGAAATTGAGGCAGAGCATTGTTGACGGACCCAGCTTTATTTTCTGGCCTCCCGCTTTGCTGCACTTGTAGCTAAGGTCGACGTCTTCATCAGAGTTTGAGGCAGACCATTCAGCACTCAACACTACGCTGAAGAAGACGCGCGTTCAAATTCAGGTCAAGAAACTTCGTTTTCAAGCGATCCATGCCTCCAGGTGGCAGGGGATGAAGGCAAGCTAGCATTTTTCAAGTACACTGTAACGACCCTCCAGCGGGGTAGGGTAAGCAGTTCCGCACCTTCTTTCTTTGGCAAGCACTTCGCTGATTTTGTCGGTGTTTTCAGACCTGCTACCTTCGCAGCAACATGCGCCACAAATAACGCATTTTAGGAATTTGAGACAACTTTGTTCTTGCCATCGTCAACTTCAGCATTTTGTATTCAGGAGAGATACCAGGATTCTTATACCTGGGCTTGCAGTCTTGATAAATGCCCACTCGAACGATGTGGGACGGCACGAACTCCAGAAAACGAAATGCGCTCTGGGGCGGAATAGTGCGGAGCGCGATGAATTTGCTTGGTGCGGAAGAGACCTCCAACAAAGTCCGAGACCACCATGGGTTCAGTAACGAGTAGACATTGCGCAGGAAGGGTCGCACCAGTGTTCGAACACAGAAAACAGCGATTCCGACTGTCTGATGAAGACGAGCCAAGTCACAAAATATTACGATGTGCGAAGCGACAATTTTAATGACGCGGAGGAAGTATGAGCTATAACTACAGCTACCTGTGCTGAGGTGTATGCTCATTGTTCATGGTTTGTGATCAATTTCTCTGTGTGCAGTTGGCGGCATTCGAAAACCAGTTTTTTGAATGTCTACACCTGTGCGTGCGCATATCTGTTCTGTACTACCGCAAAGTAACTGTTCATTTCTCTGGCAGTCACACACTGGCATCAGTGCATTGTTTTGGCTCGAGTTCGGTATTATCAGAATGGTCACATTCACACCAGCATTCTATTGTTTTGGTGTTGGTGGTGTTGTTGCCTGTCTTGATGTTAATACATGTACTGTGTTGCTTTCTGCTCACGTTAGGTTTGATATTCATCTGATGTATGCCCTAACTCACAACGCCGATCCTGAACAAGCTTCCAAGCTGCTTCTGGGCAAGAAACTGCTTGAGGTAAGCTCGCTGTCGCTGCCGCTGCTGCTGCTAACGTTACTGAACACAACATCTTCTCAACAAAATGTGAGAACTGGAAGGAAATAAGGAAATAAACACATTCAAATAGTAAAAATGGCCAGTAGTCAGGTGTGTATGCAACTCAGGAACGGATGGTGATCATTACATTACTGCTGCTGCTGCTGTTGCTGCTGCCGTCAGTACTAGTACATATATGACCCGCGCTCTGTGAAAACCGACCTTAGGTGCTTCGTAATTTTTTCGAGAAAAAGAACAAAACGTCACGGTCTGTCGATTTTTTGAAGATCACAAGATGAGAGTCATGGCGGAACGAAGCAGAAGACGGTCTGTAGCTCAAATAATTGCTGTGGGCTTCTGTCAGAGCAAGTGAAATCAGGAAATAAACACATTCAAATAGTAAAAATGGCCAGTAGTCAGGTGTGTATGCAACTCAGGAACGGATGGTGATCATTACATTACTGCTGCTGCTGCTGTTGCTGCTGCCGTCAGTACTAGTACATATATGACCCGCGCTCTGTGAAAACCGACCTTAGGTGCTTCGTAATTTTTTCGAGAAAAAGAACAAAACGTCACGGTCTGTCGATTTTTTGAAGATCACAAGATGAGAGTCATGGCGGAACGAAGCAGAAGACGGTCTGTAGCTCAAATAATTGCTGTGGGCTTCTCCCAGAGGCTTCATCCGAACTCCTTCACGATGAATAGTCATTTTTGGCCTGGTCCAATCGCAGTTCTGATGACAGCAGTGCCAAGGAGAGTCGGATGTGGAATCGCAGGACGCAACGCTGATCGAGCTGGACGGCCATGCGGAGGAGAATTTCGATCAGGCGTCAGTTTTGCCACCAGCCCAGCCCCTCAATGCCGGCAATAAACAGAGCGCAGACCAAGAAAAATCGGTTCAAGTATTGTCTACAATCCAGGAGGCGCGCGACAAGTTTGACAAGGGCTGTAGTTGTTCCGCACTGGTGCTGTTTCAAGAGCGTGACACTTGAAACCTTGCTTTACATTTACAGCGCACACAGCGCACGTCCTGACCAAGTCAGAGCGCTGCTTATGTGTAGGCGGAAATCTAGACGTGCTCAGGAGAAGTGGTGAGGCTACCCAGCGCGTCCAGCATGCTGGAAGATGTGATAGATGGGGCTCAACAATACTACTCTGAACTACCGTACTGAAGACTACAGTCAGTGGCTGGTGTGGAAGTCATGCACATGCATGTCAGGACTTTGTGTATGCCTCCAGCCCAGGATCAAGCCCTGTGTGCTGAAATCTGTGCAGGCTGCTGTCAGAGCAAGTGAAATCAGCCCAACACAGGAATTGAATGAACTCTGGAATGCACTGCCTGTGGAAGATGTTGTGGAGCTGAAGCATTATATAGAGCATTATGCTATAGCTCATGGCCTCCCTTAACCTGCAGATCCACATGGGCACAACAAGCCAGTACCGACCTACATGTACATGTATTTGCCCAGTATCACTACGAAGAAGCTTGTTCACCAGGCGTTCACAAAGCCTGGTGGCAAAGCTGCATACAGTACGTTTGGCAAGATTTGGAAAAGAGACTGCCATGCTATCACCGATTATGAAACAATGTGTGCGGCAGATGTAGACATAACTAGATGTTCTACTACCAGTACCAGATAAAACTATCAATATCCTTTAACCCGACATTGATATGAGCTTCTTCACTACTTTGCACCTGCCTCTACCCATCACTCCGGCTGGCATATCCTCATACAGAGCCAAATACCTCTTCCAGCAGATCGTGAGCAACACCATCCACAGAACAGAGATAGAATGTGTCTATCTCCACAACAGGAAGATCCAATGCCATCATAAACCTTTCCTTTTCACGATTATGACATACAGATTTATTCTGCAAAGTTTGGTTGCAATCATGTTGCTTGAACTCTCACAGCATTGGCTCCAAATGTAGCATATAATCCAGGATTTTTGCTACTTTTCCTCAAAAAATTGTAGGAAAAGTGCAAAGAAATTGTCATTGTATCTAACTGAATATGTATGCAATCCACCTCGAACTTCACCAGAAATTGAAGGAAGGGTCATGGGTCAACAATCCAGCACAAACTCAATTTTGCCAAAATAGCACCTAAGGTCGGTTTTTGCAGAGCGCTGGTCATATAATGCCTCCAACCTTGCTGCATGGTGAATACTTACAAAAGTATTGGTTATTGTACATGTATAGTGCTATCCGATTGGTCAATGTATACAGTATAATCATAACGCGTAAGATACCAGTGAAGCAAGGCAGTTCTGCTTCTGCTTGCAACTATACTCCACTGAAAGCATTTTTGATCAGACCAGAGTAGTTGTTTCCATTTTGTTACGGCAGGAAGACAGTAGTGTTTTTCTAACAGCTTGCCTTCTGTTTTCGTGTTTCGCGTGCCTTCTGTTTTTGGGGTGTCCATGTTTCCGTGTTGCAAAAGTCAATGGACACGTACATGTCCTGCCATACTGGTCATAATACCGATGTCATGAAGCAAGTAAGTGCCTTTTAGTTAGCATGTGTCCAGGATATGACATTGCACGCATGTGAACAGCAGCACCTTCATTGTAAATAATAATTAGAAGACGAATATAAACTCGACTCTGAGCTTGGAGAGTGGTCGAATATTGAAACAATAATCGCTAAGCATGTAAAGGTTGTCGATCTCCTACACTCCACGCAGGTCATTATTGCAGTGGCGTAGGAAGATGTTTCGGCTTGTGTGTGTGCGTGGGGGGGGGGGGGGCTGAACTCGATTTGGCACGAAACTGCTCATAATATTACAGCTGTTGAACATGTTGTAAACGCACCGGTAATCATGGCAGTAATTTAAGTAATTATGGTCATGCTACAGAAAGCTACCAGTGAATGTATTTTGCTCAACGTTATGGTATGTACTGGGTACTTGTACATGTAGACAGCTACGTTAGCTGATTTCAAACACCAAGCAAGACAGCTGGGCTCATCTCCTGCTAGTGATCGGAACAAGAACTCTAGAATTTTAGCTGATAGCGGGTTTCTTCTGGAAAGAGGTTTCTGTGGAACGCAGTACTGTTTCTGTGGCGTGGAAGCAAGTCAACCTGACTCCTCCCGCCATTCCCATTTCGAAGGAAACTGCCAGGTGGCTAAGAACAACACCGTGGCCTCATCAGTAGCTATCATGCACAAAAAAAAAAACAGCCCAGCAATGATCTGCCATTATCTGGTAACTGCCCTTCACGCCGATCGCACATGTATATCTTGTAGATCTTGTAGACTCGACTCTGTCTGGATGTAGATCTAGCTGGAAACGTGGAACACTATACGCACAGCTCGGACCACGATCGGAGAACATGTACCATGTACGAGTGGTAGATCTTCTCACTCGCTCTCGCAACATACAGTACATGCACGTACACACTCTGCCGAGTTTCAACCTTCTGTTCACCACCATATTTTTCGGGGGGGGGGGGGCTGAATACACCTTCCCCCCCCCCCCCCCCCCCGCACTTCCTGCACCACTGTTAGAGCTGATACAGTCGACCGACCCTTATAACGATAACCCCTATAGCGATATTACCCTTATAACGATATTTTTCTGTCAAACCAAATCACTCCATTAACTTTTGTATACAATGCCTTACCTCTATAACGATATTACCCCTATATCAATATAAAATGGGCTGACTGATCGACATTTTCCAGTTTATAACAATATCAGCAGGGAATATGTAGAGTCCACTGTCAAGGTGGGTCAAGCTTCACTTGATGAGTCGTTGGGACATGACGAAATGCGATGGGGGCACCAGTGGGCACCTTGCTGTATACATAATGTGCATGTACATAAGTTTTTGATGCTATGAAGAGTGTAAAAAATGAACTAAACTCATGCATTATGACGTATGTGTATGAATGAACCAGTTACCCCTATAACAATATTACCCTTATAACAATATTTCTTGTTCGGACGCAAATATCGTTATAAGGGTAGGTCGACTGTATATATTTCTACTTAGCTTGCACTCTGGTATTTGCCGTGCTCCAGTTTGGCTACAGGACGTGTCAGGGCTTGCTGTCGTTTGCGTCTGGAAAATACGAAGAGGTATGTTGTATCCCTTGTTTTGTTTATGTACGTGTGTGCACATGTGTTTGTGTATGGGGGGGGGGGGGGGGGAGGAACCATTCTAACTTAGTAGTATGTATAAAGTAGGGCTCAAACGGTCACGGCTTTACCCCTAACGGTTAACTGCTAAGGGCACGTTCAGACTACCGTGAACCCCGTCAAACCGTGAATGCCGATAAACCGTGAAGGACATTCACACTACCGATAACAAACTAACGTTACCGTGAAGTTTTCAGCTCTCACCGCGGCACTGACAAGGGATTTTCCCTTTTTCCCAGCGCGCATGCAGCCTGAGCACTTTTTTACTGCCGGTAAAAGTTTACTGCCGTAGCAGCCGCGGCAGTAAAACTTTCCCACCGGTAACGTGCCAGTAACGTCACGTGATCAAATCACCTTGGCGACTTTCCCAATCGGTCACTTTTTATCGGTAGTCTGAACGCGCCCTAAGCTAACGGTCGGTTTAACGGTTATAACCTATAAGCCACGGCAATCCTGCGGACTCGTTTTTAACCGTATATTTGACTATACTCATTCAAAAAATGTACCCTATTCAGTACAACGCATACATGTACATTCTCTTGCATGCTCATTCATACATACTCTCACACCAAGAGACCAGATATGACCGAGTTGACAGCCCAGAAATTGCGTACACGTGCGACAGCCTGCGAAAGTGCATACTTTGCAACGACCTGATACTTGAAGAATTGACTGAAAAGTTACTGCGTAACCGTTATCTTTATCGGTTAACCGTTAATTCTTCGTAACCGGTCTGCAACCGGTTAATCGGACTAACCGTTTGAGCCCTAGTATAAAGCCGGTTTGACTGGCCCTCTTTTCCGTGGGGAATCGGCTTTGCTGTCGCTATACTCTCCCCGTGCACTCTGCTGAGTCTCTTACTACAGTGTATTGTATATGGAGAGTTACATGCAGTCGTCGCAGGAGAAGTCTTCCTCTGTTCACGCAGTGCTCAGTACCAAAATGAGCAGAGCCTACTTACAAAGACGGCAGAACAAGGTTTGGCTTGCAGCCTGAGTTTCACGCTTTGAGATCCTCAGCCAAAAATATCAGCCAAAAATCGAACACAGCTGGCTCCTGATAGCGAACACCAATGCACTGGAGAATTAGTTCTTTATACCTGAAGTTCTTTTATAGGAGACCATTGCTGGTAGCTTGGCCTATTTAGCTCGTAGCTGTACTGATGAGGCCTTTATGGCCGAAACAGCTTGCTGTCTACAGCATTGGGTACTTCCAAGTATGTATGCATGTGTGCATGTGTGCTTGTGCGTGTCTGGCTGGCTGGCCTTTGCAGGCGTGTGAGAGCCTACTCGCCGTTCAACCCTACTCGTTGGGCTGTGGCTGGAGTACGGCGCAGCGCCAGGTATTCTTGATGCAGCTGTATCACGTTGCCAAGCAGGCTGACGATGCCAAGGTGGCGAATAGTGCCCTATCCACACTCCGGGTAAGGTCTTGTCACTGCTGTTCTTACATGAAGTGCAACTGTAGGTAGACAATCCACACAACAGTAGCAAGACATGGATACTGACGAATGCTGATCAAGTAATGGATATGCCGTATTTTCGGCAGTAATGGCCGAGGCGCTTAGTAGCTTGTGAGCCCTAAAATTTCACCCAGTTTGAAAAAATCCACGCAATAGCTCTGAAATGATGTGGCGCTTACTTCAGACAGGCGATAATAAAAGACCAGCGCTGATTCCGAAAATACGGTACCAACTATTTCAATGTACACAACTTTATGATGCTACACTAGTGTTTATCGGCCATGGTTAGTACCTGGGAAGATATTGACTAGAAATTAGTGAACTCTGATTGCATGCGAGCAGCATTGCAAAGCCATTCAAGATGTCGTTGACGAAGGAGAACAGCATGTGGCCGCTTGTCTCCCCACGTTTCCAGCACCTGATCGTTACTGATTCGTTCTTGCCAGGCATCTACTGTAAAAGCAGAAATTTTTGGTGGTGTAATAATATTTTCGGTATTCTCCAAAATCGGCGGTTTGGTGGAGGGAATTTTTTGGTAAAACCCGTTTCCCAGGTAAGTGTACTAGTACTGCATGCGTACAGTACCGGTAGTACCGACATTTTCGGTGCGTTTTATTTTCGGTAAAAATTGTCGGCACCGAAGTTACCGAAAATAAAACACCACGGAAAATTTCTGCTTTAACGGTATCCTTGAATGCCAAGGATGGTACGCAAGCATGGCATGAAGAAAGTGGAGAGCCTACAAAATTAATGTCAGCTTGGGGGGGGGGGGGGTACTCAGTTTCGTTCAGCAGGATGGAGAGATGAGATAGCACAATATGGTTCCTCTTGGTGGGGATGAGCGGATGGTGATTGTGGAACACTTCCCAGTGAGCCGATTGCACGCAAGGCAGTCGCAATTCTGGGCAAGATGTCAACCGAGCACCGGCCGGATAGTCGACCCAAGGTAGCAAAACTTGGTTACCAGGTTACACTCTCAATCTGGTTCAAACCAACACCCAGAGGAGCAATGTCCGTATCATAAATACCTCTGCCGATCACCATGAACTCGGTTGTTGGAGAGACTTTCCAGTCCGAACTCTGAGGCGACTTCAATAACGCACATACTCACACACACACCGTTCCACTCACTCAACCCCCCCCCCACACACACGTCGAGGCAAGGCGGTTTAGAACATTCTGTCTGTGCTCTCTATGTTGATAACTGTTCTCCAGGAGATGAAGCCCTATAGTCTGCTGGTGCAGCGGCTGAAATTGATTTAGTGAGCGGGACACCGAGCGCATCGCAGCAAGCGTACGCTTGGAAACCGCCTTGCCCCGACTCCTTTGTGTAGCTTGTTACGTACAGTATCAACCATACTGAGTTACAGCTTAGCTCCGGTTCTTAGTGATTTGATATAACAGATTTAAACCATATACTAGCAGTGCCAGCCGGGCCTCGTAAATAGTATTCTCAGTTCACTTCCTGTTTTTACCGCTAGCGCTCCGTATTGCTCTGACTTGCACCCTGCTGTTATGCGAGCGTGCTCGAGCAGTGCTCGGAGCAATCTGTTCGCAAAGAATGGAGCCTTCTTTGCTCGCTGTACACGGCGGTGGTGCATTTCTTCTGTGATAGTCTAGTTTAGGATTCAGCACGAATGGTTACTTTGCGTCACGGGCACTCACATGTGTCACAATCGAATGGAAGAGAGCAGTTGTCAGTTGACTTGCCAATCCTTTCTCTGAACATTACAGTACTGTAGCGTCCAAGTTCTTTGTAACTATCTCTCTTGCTCATTTAAGTACTTTACATTTAATGATGTATTTTGAGTTAGGCTTTGTCATAAATTTTGCTCCCGCTTCTTTTAAGCTGTTTTAAGTAGCAGTAACATAATTTTGGGCTAGATTGCTAGTCTACTGCATCAGGATCTTTTATCAACGAGCGTTGCATGCAGGCCTCTGTTGTGATGCTGGAAAGCATGGGCAGTATGGTACCGCGATGTTTGCCACCGTCACATTGATTTGTGTAGCTCTGCTGATGTGCAAGCACGTCTTTCCGCTCTCGGCCAGTCCATGCCTTGCACCACTTTTAGGATTCCTACTTCTAAGTACAGTGTACTTCGGTAATATTCTATATGGACACACTACTTGTAGCTGTTGTCTGATGGTCGTCTGATGATGGCCTAGTGCGTGAATCTCGGAGTGCACTAAAACCCGGTTTAACCAGGTGGTCTTTAGAACCAGGTCCCACAGTGTCTGTGTAGAACTGTCGGTGCATGGAAAAAACGGTCGTTAAGAGCAGGTGGTCGCTAAACACAGAGGTCGCTTACACCAGGTTTTACTGTACATATAACAACATATTCTTCAGTTCATCCTCTTCTTCTTCTTCTTCTGGGAACACACTAGCCAATGGATTGATGACAAGAGGCGTTCACGGCTACATACTTAGCTCAGTTGATTCTACTTTACGACTTGTGCGGTGCCTCATTTTGTCACACGTGCTGCTATCACCCTACGCCACTCATTCGACTTGCACCGTGCCGTCTACTATGTTTGTGTTCACTCCGGTGCACAGACATATGCATGATAGCCGTGTGTGACCGTGCAGACGTGTCGTTCTGCACGCACGCTTGGTCTTGCGGCCGGTCAATCGTCCTGCATGCATGCTTCCTGTGTTTAGCAAAGCATGTATCCCCTCTGCCCTGTATTCCAGTAAAACCTGTCCAAAACGACTGCTCAAGGGACTGGTAAAAAGTTGTCACCTTGGCAAGGTGGTCCTCTTATCCAGGTTTAGTATGTTACGTGACCACCTTCATTTCACATACAACCATGTGATCTATATCATTCTGATCAGTACTTCACACTACAATACTACAATCATGTACATGCATGTACACCTATGCTATTTGCAGTGTGCAAGTACCAGTGTGTATTTTCTATGTACCGGTAGCACTACATGCACAGTGTATCATGCGAATATATAAGCACAGAAAAGGAACAAAGGTGCTGGAATCTCAAAATTAAGAACAATTATCACCAGCCTGAACCAGAACCCCCCCCCCCCCGCGACACACACACACACACACGTTCTTCGGTGCTCGGTGTTATTGCGGTGAATACCTTCACTGTGCAAACCAAGATGTTAGTCAATGATAGAGTGCTAGCTCATGCCTATCAAATCATTATTGTTTCCGGGAAGTGAAGCCGCACATGCGTAAGACGCGTAGTGGGCGTAGCCGGTCCATATGGCCGAAAGCGAACTCTCAGCGTTTGGCTATAAAGTACTTTAAGTAGTTAATTAAAATAAACCTCAAAAATTATTAGAATGGATCACGTCATTGATTTATGACAATAATATCATCACGGAGAACGTCCTATAAAAAAATAGATGGCGGCTGAGCATCGTCGGTGATAACTGCAGTCTTTGAGTGAGCTAAACTGAATCATGTGTTTAGCCTGCATAGCAATGGTCTGGTTTGTTGCGAGAAAACATAGTTATTGTGAAGAAGATAACAACGGCATGAGGAGTCTAGAGTTACAGTCTCGACAGGGCTTCGTACGACACGCATGTTCCGTTGTGCAGCACCTGGTGGCAGAAAGAAATGGACAGGGACAGAGGACTGTTTGTTGGAGTGAAATTTCAGAACATTTAGTCCTCTGGTCGTGGAGGCAATCGGTCTGAGGACCCTGTAATGTACAGTTCATCAGACATTTCCAACTCTGTGGCATAGACCTTAGAGACTGCTTGACTACAACGGTTGGTTTGTGGCTGCCCCAACTTAGCCAGGCTTTTCCCAGCTTGTTTTCAATATACGCCTGCTGATGTCACAGGCTTAGCATCCAAACACGGAGTGCATGCATTTATTTATCACTCTTGAAAACATGTTTTAGTGCATAGTCGTGCAACTTCGGCTCTGGCTGCTGGCTGTTAATCTTTGTATTTGCATTTGTATATATGGATTCTTCCGGTGACAGGCCTTAGCCTAAATCGAGGGAGTCTTTGCTGGCGTGTAGTGCCCAACCAATCAAGCAGTCATATTGCCATTGCCCGCTCGCGTTGAAAGCTCTGCCTTGTGGAATGCAGTGCCATTGCACGACAATGGCAACCTAACTTCGCTCAGAACATATTTAGAGTGATCCATGCGCAGCTCAGTGTCCTCACCTGTTGTCCGTCGCACTGTGCAAAGCAGCTGTTCTGGTAGGTGAGCCCGTTGTTGCCGCACACCTGGGTGGTGTCGGCTGCGGCCGTGCACGCACACGCGGCTGTGCAAACGCCCTGCAGGCTTGGCCGCACGTAGCCGGTCCCCGATCTGGGTACCTCCACCGTCGTGGTGCTGGGCAGGCCGCGGAACACGCAACTGAGGCCAGATTGACATCTGTCGGCAGAAGGACACGGTGGAAATAAGCAGCGTTCAGGAGCTGTTAGGGATAGTTTACGAGTACACACCAACCAGTCCAAGGTCCTATAGTTTGTCATTGAGCACGTACTACACCAGGTACATGATGCATAGGTAAACATTGTCAGGACGTCGGAAAGTTTGAACCTTCAACCAACACGTAGGGGTACAGTGAGCAGTGAAGTTCATACACTGCCCTCAACGTTGTGCATGTACAGGGTTCACTTTGAGAGGTACGCGGAAACGGTACTCTGTTATGCGATGGACTATCCAGCCACGCTTGCTGTGACTGGCAGTCAATCGAGAGCAGGAATATCAGTACATCAATGCTTTTCTACAGCTTTGCAACATCCATCAGATCCAAACCCCGCGGAATTCGTAGTGAACATTACATTTTATTGATCTTGATTGTGATACTTCAACAGTTGATTACCAGCTAAATTATGATCATGCTTCACGAAGTCCAACCCCAACTATGGATACAGTAGCCATGGCTGGGCGTTACGCAGCCCTAACACTACCAACTCTGGGTTATAACCTATTTGCTAGTGCAGGGTGGTCAGTGCCTTTTCATTTGTCCAGATTTCAACCAGCCTTGTGGAACAGCATCATCCCCAGCCCTTGTTTCAACCCTCTTCTGACCCAGTAGGCCTACTAAGCATGATGCCATGAGCAGTACCTGAGTGTGCAGTCAATGGGACTTGTGCCGGTGTCGCAGAGCTGGCACGACTGCCCGGGCGCCCGATAGTCCGTGCAGACTCTGCTGCCCGGCAGCATGGCCTCGCGATGTGCCTCGTAGACCTGTGCCTCGGTCAGTGCGATGGTGTAGACTCGGGCTATGTCGACAGCACCCTTCAGTGTGAACTCCTCTCCACCAGCGCGGCCTCCCACACGCAGTGCGTTCTCCTGTAAAGGTTGTTGCAGCAGGCATAGATAAAACCAAGGGAAAGTCACTAATGTGTTAATTTGTGGGCATTACCGACACCTACAATGCTGCTAGCATACAGAGCATACACATACACATACATGCTCTTAATTTTCTGCTGACTGTGAACCCATTCAGAAGAGTTGAAATATAGCATAGGGAAGCCGAAATGTAACTCTCTATCACCAGGAAATAACACATGAAGTTCGAGACTATCACTAAAAGGACTGACCGAGGCTCGGTAGTTGGGCTGCATCTCCTCCACTTCCACAGCCCGGAGTTCGCCGTCCACGAAGAACTCGACTCGGCCGTTTGTCGGATGGAAGGTCACCGCCACCGTGTGCCACTGGTTGTCGTCGATTGCCAGGTCTTGCTTGACGACGGCGCGCCACGGCTGGCTTTCCGCCACGCTATTGCTGCGATCCAGCGGGTTGTAGACGAACCACATCTGGTCGGCCGTGCCGCGCAGGTACAGACCATAGTCACGCTCCACACTGTCTCGGCCTGCATGTATGTGTATGTGCAGAACAGACGAGTGGATTGGATGACAGATGTACCACAGCAGGAAAGTGCACTGAGTATCTGGAGTACTTCCTACTTTTTAAAAGTATGGATCAATGCACCGATGCTCCGGACAGTGTCTGTAAAACTTTAAACGTCACTAAAAAGGAAGGGTATCTCCGAAATCTTCCCGTCGAAAAGAGTACAAACTAAGTGATCTTCACTGTAATTGAGCTTCTATATTTGTTGCTATAAACCAGAAGTGGAGTGAGATTTCGGTATGAGGGCAAATGGCCAGGTTAGGCGAACAGAAATTTCAGGTATAGAGAAGCAGTTCCCTATTGGATTATGTGTGTTAGTGTTTATTCGGTGTATTGAAATTTTAGGTATACGAAACAGACGCACCAAAAGTACAGAAAATTTGTGAAATTACAGTATCACACTTTCTTAGCACAATGATCCTCAGTGAATGGGTCTGGATTGATTCTTCCCCGGCACGTTATTGATACTTTGGATGTTGCCACAATAAGTTGGAATTTCGGCCAGGTTTTGCAGAATTGTACTCAGTTACAGGTTTACTGTGACCCTGTGCGTGGAGCTAAAGGTCTAAAACCCAAATTAAAAATCAAGAAAATGGCTTTTGAGCCTGAATTGTGCAGAGTCAGTCAGGTTTGTGGAGACCCGGAGCTGAGTTAATCCAGAATGTACTGTACGCAGGCTACTGTTTCAGGTGTGTACTATGAAAGGATGGGGAGCATTATGTGGCATAACTCACCCTTTGCAATGACCCAGCCATTGGTGTCTGGCTCCTGGCGAACCTTGCCGAAGAGCGAAATGGTGCTGGACACGGGGGGAAAGCTTGCGGCCGGCACAGCGTACGGCAGTGAGGCATTGTCGAGCGGCGCCGTGTTCAGATCATAGCCGGACGCAATTGCCGTGGTGCTGGACTCACTGGTGCCAAGGCAGAACTGACCAGTGCCGCAATCACCATTGGAGTCACACACTGAGATCACAATACAACAGAGAGGTATGGTCATTGCACCACTGAGTATTGTATGTTACAGGCTACAGGTGAATTCCAACCTGATGCCCCACGTTTATTGCACAGCACCGTACCATTCCGTAATCTCGGCTAGGGCCACACCCTGAATAACCGAGCCTACGTTTTTCTATCGAATGACAGTGATGTCGACCCCAGCCCAACCAAACATCTTACTACTCATGGAATTGAGCATACTTCATCATAACCGATCATAACCGAGTACACCGGTAGATCATAACCTGAGTATAATGTGCTGAAGCAACCCTACACTGTAACACGTGCATTTCATCGTTCAAACACTCTTCCTTCTTTCACAAGGTTCTGTTCTTTCGGTGTGTGCGGCACATGCTAGGATAGGAACCCGAGATCTTTGGTCGGGGGAGCCAACCACACCTCACCCTCACTTCACTGCTGCTTGAATCTGAGGAGTTCGTACTTCGAAGTATGTAACAGTTAGTTGTTTTGTTACATCTTTCTTTCTCTGTCCTTTTCCTACGGTAAGGAATGTGTCACTCCTAAGGGTTGCTTTACCAGCTAAAGTATGCTTACCTCTTGCACAGTTTGGCTGGGCATACAGCGTGGATGGGCAAGTGCAGTCGAAACTTCCCACTCTGTTTACACATGTGCCACCGTTGAGACAAGGACTGCTGCCTCCCAGGCACTCGTCAATATCTGACAGTAACACATCATGTCGGGCAAGCAGCAGAAGAAACAGCAAAAGCCATCATGAAAATGCAAGCTGGGGCAAGGCACTGTATAGAGAAATCAATCCGCAGTGGGACCCTTTGCATAGCGATTAGCACTACGGTTTGAGCAGCACGCACACTTGTTTTGAAAGACGAGTCATCTCAGCTAGCAGACCATGCTTTCAACCCTGTGTAGAAGACTACCCCAGTCACACAGACTGGCTCCTGTCCATCATTCATGAATGGAATCATGGCGACTCAATAACGACTACTGAAGCATGTATGCATCACCATTGGGACAAAAAGAAAGTCAAGCAAAATTCATACTGAGGTTGCATCCCATTAGACGTTTGTGCGATTCATGAGGTTGGTGTTGAGAATGTTGCCGTACTCTTCATGCTTCAGCTCACCGTTACATGCGGGCGGCCCATTGTTTCCCACCAAACTTGCCGTGCAAGTGGTGTTCGAAAATCCTGACAGCACGAAACCGGCATTGCAGGAGTAAGTCAGAGTCATGCCCACCGCAAACGATCCTCGGGAAACGGCGCCGTTGGTCGGGGCGCTGGGTCGAGAGCAGTCTGCGAACGGCACATGACAAGCAAACAGTGTCACCTGGACCCCGTAAGAGCGTAATATACATGCATATCACAATCATGATATCATGGTTATAGAAGTACCTATCATCTCATTTGCTCCAACATCGTGCACCTGAAAGTTCCATGTCCCAGCAGGCTGGATGGGAGTACACATATTTCGACATGTAGATCCAGCCAGAGCACACACTGGCAAAAGAATCTGCGAAAGAATGGATCCAATTAGGACTTGGAAGCCGTTGGTTTTGGGACTGCCCAGCCCAGTGCTACGTCATTACTTCCAAGCGCAATTGATCGATCCATTCAGTACCCACCTATCACCACTCAGAGACCAGAACAGACAACCCCTCTGATACGAGTTCTGAAGTGAACAAAGAAGTACCAGAACTTGCCCCGAGATGAATTTTTTTGTCAACAAAATCTTTAAAAGTGCAGTCACTTATGTTTGCTTGCACACAGCATGGGCTACTGGTCTTGCGGCCAGAGTACTGGTATGCCCCTACATGGCTGTGGGCCTACTGAACAGGAAACATGGGCCACCGGTGCATGTGGCGGAATATCACGTCCATCAGACGTTTCACCAATGTCGCCATTTTCGTCTACGGGACCGTGCCATCGGTGTCTGCAAGTTTTTTTTGTCTCTTTCGTTATCTTTAGAGTTCAGTACTGTGTATCGTGCAGGCTGGTTGTGCTACTAGTACTAATCTTGATACTTGCGTACCTTAAAAATCCCTTCCCTGTATATTATAACATCCTGTCCCATTCCCCCTGCTGTGCACACACATTTCCACGCTCTCCTTTGTGCATATTGCTTTGTACACATTCTGTTGGGAAGATTATAAGCTGCCCAACATTTGGGGGTTCCCGAAGAAGTTGGTTACTACAGTAGTAGCCAAGAAAGAAACGAAAGTCCTTTTGATGGCGAATTCTTACTGTGAAGCAATACGAAGAGCTGGGGCGGGCACCAGCCAGTTCTCACAACACTGGCTATGTGGAGATTGTGCACGATACGAAGGGCATCAATGAGAGGGGTTATGCTTGTCATGCAGGATGAAACCGTCAACGATTGATTAGCGGGTGTGACTCCCGACCTTTTGATCGTGCGTGCTAGAGAGCTTCGGAATAGGACAGTGCAAAGCCCAGTATGGTGTATACTAGTAACCAATGTCCGTGATTATGGTTTTCTCAATCCAGGACTGTGTGGATCTACATGTTACGTCAAGATCTTGCAGTATTCACTAGGGTGACTGAGGTGGCATCATCATGCCATCTTCAACATTATTATACGATGAAAGTGGCAAGTCTATAGTGCAGTAGATCCAACCTGCCCATGCGTATGGCCACTCTTCCCACCAATAGCATGAAGGTCTACATGCACGAAACTTCTAAATACATCCAGACACCGTGCGGCAGAACCACCAAAGAACACAGACACCTCTTCACAATGCTTACTTTGTGCGCAGGAAAGACAAGCCAGGCACAGCAAGCCGGCAATTCGCCACGTCGGACTCATCTTGTCGATGGTTTCCTCGTCCTGCTTGCACTGCCCGTGTCAAATGGCTGCCTCGAGCGAACACCTCACCATTGGAATACCAACCCAACTACAGCCAGCATTCGCTCCGCGGAAGGACTGATCGTTCCGAGAGGGACCCAGCGAAGCAAGCCAGCAAATCAAGGCATCCCAGCACGGACTAGCCAGCCAGGCAGGCAGCATAGGAAGAATGGGGGCCGGCCCGTCTACCGCAGAAGTACGGATCCCGGTGGTCATGCATATCACCAGGCCCAGGGGCACGGTGCGAAGCCGTGCATGCCAACCCTGACTGGTTGTTAGCATGCACCTGTCCTAGGTGCTAGGTAGGCTGTTGACAGTATTGTAGACATGCCAAAGCAGACATCAAAACACCGTGTGACATACCGGTATAATCACTCGGTACCAGACTAGTGACCCCATGGCATGGGCCACGATTGGCTGTCGGTTTGCTTGCAGAGACCTGCCTGAGACATGGTCAATTATCTACATGGCATGCCAGACAACATTTTCGCGAGTTGGTACGACATCGGGATCAATCATCAGACCAGCGACACACGTGCTCTGTTGGCACCGAGAAGATCGTGCCACCAGCACCAAGCAACCATTCCATCTCTGTGTTTCCTCTGCGAGGCGTGCGAGGATCGAGACCGGAGGCCGAGCAGAGTTCCTTCTTTGGGATGTACAGTGCTGGCAACTGAAATCCGACCCCCTGAGCGGTGGGTTCACATTCTTTGCGATGTGAGCGCGCCGCTTAGGGGGTCGGATTTCAGTTGCCAGCACTGTACATGTAGTCTACTGTGTAGATGGACGAGCGAGAAATGGAGAAAGGTCTTGACTCATCATATGACATAATTATCATGGCGACGTGTGAAAGTCGTCTGCTGTTTCGTTCTGCTTTGCACTGTAGACCTGAGTTTGTTTGTGCGTGTGGGAGGGAGGGAGGCAATCGTGAGGGCCAGTGCAGTCTGCATTGGGTTATCGCTACCCAACTCATGTAAAGGGAATGAATAATGTATTTTGAAAATGACGCTACATTGCATATCAACGAACTTCGCAGTCAGGATTGCGTCCTGGATCCGTACTATTGTGCGCGATAACAATTATTATATTCAAACTTCCGTTAGGTATCTACATTGTCATGTCTCTCTCTCCTTATCGCTGTATCGAAGTAAGTATTAAACGTGTTTCCAGGTCGGAGCGCGGTAGTGGCGAATAGCTTTTGCCAGCATGCACCCACAGACACTCGATACACACCCGTTCAGCCTTACCCGCATTGTATAATGTAAAGTCTGTTATCGGGACATTGATCATGAACATTAGTCATTAGAGTAGAGCCTCTGCAGAGTATACATTCCACAGTGAGATGCCTCGACACTATCGTATGGTAAACAAACCCTGGGGAGAAGGGAGTGCGATGAAGTGTCACACATTTAAGACGAATGAAGCGATGCGGAGTCCGAGATTCCTTCCACCCAGCCTTAAGTTACCTTTGAAACATACCAGTCACCCACAGTTTGCTACACGGATTGCTGTGGCTTTCAGAAGCTTGTTTTTACACAACAGCTCATGACGCACGAAGATGCAAAGAGATCGGGTAGTGTTAGCCATTGTTCCCGGATTACACTGTCTATGTACTACAACAGTAGCAGCTCTTCTCCGTAACATGCAAATCCTTTCAAGTTTGGCATACACTTCAAGTAAAAAAAACATGGTCGGCATATCACCTCAGCCCATAATGTGCACAGTCTACCTCTGCTGCATCCTGCAATTACAAGGCAAACTACTAGTATGTAGTTGTTGGAGACCTCTAGGCTCTTGTGCTCGTTAGCGGTAGGCAGGGAATCGTGAAAACCCTTCAAGTCAAAGCCCTTTGAATTCACGGATGTCTAATCCCTCGTAGTAAGAAAAGAAAAGGTGACCATTGGCATAGCTCTCCTCCTTCCTCCCAACTCCGACCCAATCGTACTGGGTCGCCACTTATCGCGCGTGCGTGCGAAAACAATTTCACAAGTAGGCCAGACCTGCCAGTGGCGACCGCAGTGCTGCCAGCCTGGAGAAAGACAGTCCACCGCATGACAGAGTGGATACAGCCGGCAACATTCCGAAGTCGAGTCGCAGGACCACCTACCCTACAAAGTACAAATGCAGGAGGTGCATATGGGTTGGGATTCTAGGACTGGATCCTGTGTAAACGTGTAAACAAGTAACTTTACTTCGAGCGTCTATGGCCTAATATAGTACGGTTGTCTACTGTGAGAAATGAAGACATACCAACGTGTGGTAAAGAATGGATGCACCTTCTCACAGGTGGTTGTTGAGGGGTGGTTGGACAATGACTTATGTAGGTCTCCCAGCTTTGGTCTCGCGTGATTTTCACCTTCCGTCGAGCAGTGTGGCAGTCCGTAAGGCTGTGGATATGCCACTTTTGCCAGTATGGTGAAAGGACTTACGTAGGAGTTAGGTAGCAGATCGTAGACTCTACTGTCTGTACATCCACACCAGCCCAGTCAGACTCATACTCATAGTTCAGTATGAGTGCAAGTGCGGCAGACCATGGCACTTGGCAGACAGTAGGCGCTCGCGCGCAGTTTCGCCTTCGCTGCCCGGGTCCGGCACACACATGTACCACATCGTTGGCACGTGCTTTCCCGCACTGTGGTGCGAAACGGCTCATGCCGGGATCCCGGGAGTCATGGCGTGCCACATTGTCGGGCATCGTCGTGCTCCCCTCCACTCAGAACTCCAGCTCCCCACCATAATCATGATAATCATGATGCAACACCGAATCACAAACAAGCCAAAGCGAAGAACTCGGTTGTAGAAGAAGCACGAAGCTTGTCCTTTCCGACCCAGCGCCGAGTTTCCAGTCTCCGCCGACCAGTGCCTTCAAGTGTGTTATTTAGCTGGAAGGGCCACGCGGCGACCATGGCGTCGACAACTCTGCTGTGTGTCTTGCTGCTACTAGCATCCTCAGCACGTATCGTTCGCGCTCAGGGTAAGTGCTTATCGATTTCATATGACCAAGTACTGTAAGAGGTATTTCCTCCCGTAATCATTATATTGCCAAGCTAGCGTTGCATGAAATTTCTTTAACCCGTAGCATTTAAAACAGGCGACGAAAAAATAAGAAAGGGTTAGGGATACCGTATGTATTCGGTCTCGACTGCTTGAAGGTATAATGCTATACCTGCCACCTTTGTTGGTTTCAGGGTTCAGATACTTTCTATTATTTTGAAGTATACATACCTACTTGTTTAGCACAACTCCATGAGCGACTCTGACTCACGCTGCTACCTGGGGCTTCACGAGGTGTTTGTCGCGCTGGAAACAAAGCGTCTCTGTAAGTTTGTATCCCTGGTGATGGTTTGGCCTGGAGAGCAGTATATAAGTGGTGCTTTTCAGGCACAATCTTCCTCAGCCTACTCAAGCTCAACTGATGAGGGGTGAATTCCCCGAAACACTGAGTGCGTTCGATTACACACTTGAATCGATTCATGAATCCATTCGCATGCATTCAAGTCGTTCGATTTCATGTCATGAGCCCTGGAATCGATTCGGAATCCATTCCCTCTATTCACATGGGGTGATGTGAATAGCGCGAATCGATTCATGAATCGATTCGTGAATCGATTCGCACGTGTAATCGAACGCACTCACTGTGTATTGAGCAGGGAGTGGTGCTTTCTTTCAGGTTTGCCGAGCGGAAGGTGCGACGTGCTCCTGGTGTGCTCCGGATGGCAGTCGTGAGTCAGTCAAGTGTCAAGATCGGCAAGAAGCGTGTGCTCCTCGTTGGAGCAACCAACTTCATGACATTACCGCCGAAGTCGCAACTTCTAAGTTCGTATTGTTGTCCCTCACGCGGACGTGCGACTAGTTGTTGGAGGTGACAGCGTTGTGAATAGCTATACTGGCTCTCAACGTCTGTTTAGCACAACTCCATGAGCGACTCTGACTCACGCTGCTACCTGGGGCTTCATGAGGTGTTTGTCGCGCTGGAAACAAAGCGTCTCTGTAAGTTTGTATCCCTGGTGATGGTTTGGCCTGGAGAGCAGTATATAAGTGGTGCTTTTCAGGCACAATCTTCCTCAGCCTAATTAAGCTCAACTGATGAGGGGTGAATTCCCCGAAACACTGTGTATTGAGCAGGGAGTGGTGCTTTCTTTCAGGTTTGCCGAGCGGAAGGTGCGACGTGCTCCTGGTGTGCTCCGGATGGCAGTCGTGAGTCAGTCAAGTGTCAAGATCGGCAAGAAGCGTGTGCTCCTCGTTGGAGCAACCAACTTCGTATACATACCTGCTAATTAAAGGGGAAGTTGAGGCAAAAATTAAAATTTCACCAGTTGTAGTCTTCGGGGTGCTGAGTCGAATGGTCGTGGTCCGAGGAAGCTGAGACGCTCCCTTCCTACTTGAATCCCAATCGAACTCGCGCACTTCCACCGAAACTGGGTGACTGCGCCCTACTAGATGGGGATTTGTATGCAAAATGTCACTAAAAGCTCCATTTCGTTCTTATAAAAGCACGGATGACCGCGATTGGCCCATATGTTGTAGTCTTTTGGACGCTGAGTCGAATGGTTTTGGTCCGAAAAGGCTGCGATGCAGCGTTCCTCCTTTATTCCCAATCGAACATGGTTGAACAAGTGGTCACGTGCTCCTGCGTACGCCAGTCACCTGGTCACGGTGCCTGCAGGGTAGGCCCCCGTGTAATATGCCGGCGTTTTTTTGAGCATTTTCGGTTCAATCCGCGAACCCAGCACTTTGGGCTCGTGATGCAGCATTTCGGGGGAAACGGAGCACTTGGCCGTTGTGTATCAAAATTGAGAGAAGAAAAACTTCCCAAACAAGAACGTCACTTCCGCATTCCGTGGGTTAGCTTCTTGTAGAGTAGTTTATGAATTGTTTACCATGGCAGACTCGAGCAAGTCTCTTATTGAGTACTTTCTGACTCCCTGGTTTTGACGGCGTGTGCTAAGGATTACAAAAAAGTGAGCAATTTCCGAGCATTTTCGGCAAGGTTTGGGAGCATTTTCGGCAAGGTTTACGAGAATTTCCCAAAAGCATTTTCGGCAAAGTTTCGGGCATATTACACCGGGGCCTACTGCAGGGTACAACTTACTAGCCTGTTTGACCTTTTTTGGGTGCAGTCCTGTCACTCGAGTTGAACCTTGGTGTGAAAGTTGTCGCCTGCTGGCGTGGTGACCAGGTGATTTGGGCACTCAGGAGCACGTGACCGCTTCTTCAACCATGTTCGATTGGGAATAAAGGAGGGACGCTGCATCGCAGTCTTTTCGGACCAAAACCAGTCGACTCAGCGTCCAAAAGACTACAACATATGGGCCAATCGCGGTCATCCGTGCTTTCGTAAGAACGAAATGGCGCTTTTAGTGACATTTTGCATACAAATCCCCATCTAGTAGGGCGCAGTCACCCAGTTTCGGTGGAAGTGCGCGAGTTCGATTGGGATTCAAGTAGGAAGGGAGCGTCTCAGCTTCCTCGGACCACGACCATTCGACTCAGCACCCCGAAGACTACAACTGGTGAAATTTTAATTTTTGCCTTAACTTCCCCTTTAACTATGGACTACTTCTGGCTAGATTTACTCTTGTGTAATCAATGGTGCCAGTGAAGATTATGAGACCCACTCTGGTTTAGCCACCCACACTAGTAGCAGGTATTACCTTCACTGGGAGCAGGGGTAAATGCAGTTGGATACCTTGATGCTGCTTTTCCTTTTCTGCTCCTCGTTCTCACCCACTTACTGAGGTGTGGTGAGCCCATAAGTGGGATCATTTCCAAGTCCACCCATAGTTTGGGGATTTCAGGGGTGTCAGCTGTTGGGCGGTTCAATAGCCAATCGAGTCATCATTCCAAGATTCCTTTTGAATCCACTCTCCGGGGAGACCCAAGTGACCAGTTTTGGCAGTGAGCAAGTGCAAGTACATGTCACCCATGGCAACATACCTGAAAGCAGAGAGAGAATATTGGGAAGAAACAAAGTATGGGGGGGGGGGGGGGCGGGGCGCTCCTGGCCAGTTGTGTTTGACAGCGATCAGCTGACCAACCTCGGATGTGAACGCCTGGCTAGAGAGGGCCCACCCTGGGCACGTTAACCGCCGGAGTGGGGAGAGACTATCTGGTTCAATGCTAAGCTACGAAACCTCTTCAATAGAAACACCATGTACATGTACATGTAGCTGCATGTCCAACATGGAGGCATAGAATATGGCCCATAACAAAAAGAGAATGCAGCTGGGACGTGAGGGTGTAGCCTGTAATTGCCGGGTTGCCGCATCTTACCCGCTGAAGGGTGAATGCAAATATTCCAACATGGGTGTATGAGGTCGTGATAACGCCGGGCAGCGACGTGAACTTATAAATAAATGGATTCCCTCCAGTATCGTACTGATACACTCGCTGTGCATTACTGTTACCCATTGTGTGAGGATTGCCAGGATATGGCATGAGACTATTAGTTACAACTTAACCAGATGCATTGCGCACTGTGACTCGTGTACATGTACATACATAGTATTTTACCGGTATGTAGTGCGGTGATCCCTGCGTAAGTTACATACACCTCTCCCCATCGACAGACTTGCCTGCTCTGATCTCGCGTGATTTTCGCATTCGGCCAAGTGACAACTCTACGATTAGTGTCTGCGGAATAAGCAGTGCAGTGTACAGAGAGCAGTGAACTGTGAATGTCATACCGATATAGACCTAGACCGTGTTTCCGGTGGCACATGCTTTGCGGGAGCGTGGACCGACCGTTCGGCGCTATGCTGTGAAAGCGGCTCATCGAACATGCGATGGATCAGAGATTGTCGGGCATCGCCACCCTTCCGAAACCTCCCCTTCTCACATTGCGCACACAAACATAACATGCAGCCCTCCATCGCCATGAACACAAACAACCGAGAGGGTTGCTGTGGAAGAAGCATGAAGCTTGTCCTTTCCTAGTGTGCGCCTATTTCGGTCCTCACGTGGTTCCGTCGCTTCACTGCCAAACATGTTGTTGAGCCATCCTGGCAGGTAAATGCACTAAAGAAACATTACGAAGACACGCACACACAAAGTATAGAAGTTCACCCCTGCCACCAATGTAGTAGCTGGCCCCGGAGGAAATCACGCACAAAACATTCAGACACTCAGTTAATTTGCGAATTGTATAGTTGCGCTCGGTGGAATCCAACCCAAATTGCAAAACCGACGCCCTGGACCAGTTCTGATCACATCACTTTATGTGTACATGTGTGCATCCAGCCATATCTTTTACCACGTCAAGGGACGTGCAAGTTGAGGGCACCAAATGTCCACTCTGGGTCAGTTTTCACTGAGCGCAACTACTTTTTGTAGATAGGAAAGGTTAACATAACACGCACGAAAGGCAAAGAAGAAGGCAGGGGAACATAAACTCATAAACCGGCAGCCATGTTTTTAAGCATACAGAAATAACCGGTTGCCGAAGAATATAACTACCTAGTGTCTAAATCCTGGAACCTTAGCTCCAAACGGCCAATCTTGGTTCAACATGAGACCGGTTTTAACATGCTGGTTAAGCGTGATATACAGGTTTTGTAATGTATACGGCTCATGCGCAACTCATGGGAAAGGTAATAACGTGCACACACGAGACATGCAAGAAGAGAAACGTTAATATCTGTCCGTCATGTTGTTGCCGAGCCTAGGAATCTCTGATCAATCTAGCTCTACAAAAATAATAATAAGAGGATGAAAAAGTGTTTTCACCTTTTTCATTCTCATATTTATTGTTTGAACTAGCTCTGCCTTTCGGTATTGAGCACTCTATTGGACAGCCTGGAACCTCTCTGTTTTTAGCTCTACAACATAGATACTCTTCTGTGAAAAATATACGTTCAACCAAAATAATGCAACTCCTACATTTCCACAAAAACTAAAAGTCCTTTTCCACAGAATGTTTGGCACTGTAAGTACCGTGAAGTATTTGTAATATTTGGTATGTCATGAGAATGACTGTGATTCTGCACCAATTTGCAAGGCTATGGTGCTACCAGCAACAAATTTCAATCAGTACATCAAAAGCCATGAGAAACTCCACTTCATCCCTGGGGACAATTTGTGCCCAGAGTTTATGAAAATCCTCTGATTTTTTAAAAGAAAGTACGCAAGTGCTTCAGGTAACTTGTTTTTTATCCTCTCTACTGTAAATTTTTCATCAGCTTTTATGTGCGTTTCCATCCATGTTCTGTGCAGCCTCTCAACTATGCTCCCCGCAAGCCACTTCTTATGCCTTTATTGCAGAGGACATTGGACTACATGTGTTGGTGCAGACGTTCCAAACACCTACCAACATAGGTGCTTTTGACACCACTCCATTTGTTTTCGAGCCTCCGGAACTAACTGGCCAATACGTAAATTTAGAAATTGTATTGGAGGGTATCATTGCAGGGGCGGCTGAGCCGTATATTCAAACACAAACTACAAATGCACTTAGGGACCGACCAATTGGTATTGTTTTTCCAGTTGAGGTGGTTTTTACTGGCAGCAAAGAGTTTTGTCAAATTGCTTTGAATCTGGTGCGCCGTGGGTCACCAGCAGTTGTCAGTGGAGTTGGTTCCAATGATTCGATTACGTTAAATGATTCTCAGGGAGCAACATTCACGGCATCTCGGCTCAGTATTAATGTGTCCGCACCAGCAAATGGACTTTCTCTATACAACATTTGTAGCAGCAGCAATACCACTCTAGCATCTCATCTTACTCTATCACTTGTATCAACTGGTGTTACTACTCAAGTTGATCTACTTGCAGATTTCACCAACATCCCCACCATCTTCTCCAATGCCCTGAATTTCACCATTGATTTGTGTGTGACGGACAATGGCTTCAACAAGACCTCGATGTACAGCAATTCACTCTACGAATCATGGCACACCGCATCATCTCGCACTTCTGTCACACTGGAGATCCTCCAAGGTATGTGCGTCAATAATTAATTATTATGCAGGGGCTATGAGCCAGGGACAACAGAAATGCAACTTTGGTGAGATTACTCACTGTTAGGGAACATCTCATAAGTTCACATTTTTTCTAAACGTAATGCATTTTGAAACGGGGTGGGTGGGAGGGGGGGGGGGGGGGGTAGCACACTTCTCGAATAGAAACATGACAGTTCGTACATTTTCTAGATGTGTATGGCTACAGCTGTACTACTGGACTGTGCATGCAGTTCTAGATCGTTTCAGCATGTGTGCATTTAGGTGCAGCTGTAGCCGTGTTTGCAGATCAGCTAGCCGCTTTTGCACACCATTTCATGCACCCTACTGATGTCGCACCAGCATGTTTGAACCTGGTCAGCGTCAGTAGTTTGTGGATGAACTCTGTTTATGTGCGTGCGTGCGTGCGTGTGTGTGTGTGTGTGTGTGTGTGTGTGTGTGTGTGTGTGTGTGTGTGTGTGTGTGTGTGTGTGTGTGTGTGCGTGCATGTACATGTAGTCAGTAGATGTGGCACAGTACATCTAGTGTATGCCATTCATTGCAAGGCAATCATGTACATCCATGGTCATGTACACAGAAAGTGTGCCACAAGGCTCTCAAATAGAGGGGGTAGGGGGTAGGGTCTATTCCAAATGCTTTACACTAGCAAAGAAAGGTGAACTTATGAGATGCTTCCTAAGACCACTATAGAGATATTGTACTCGTTGGTTTGAGGGAAAGATGCAAACGGGAAAAGTCTGAAGAAAAAATTGACTGTCACCACCAGGACTCAAACCAGGGACCCTCGCTTGAGGCCAGCCATGCTCTAACCACTGAGCTATGGTGTAGCTGTAATCCCAGCATCCCAGCAGAGACCGTTCAACGTTTTCTTCAGACTTCGTAACTCGTAATTCGTAATAGAGAGATAATGCGAACGATTTAGCCGCGGATTTTCTAATGGACACTAAGTATACAGTGTGAGTGGCTAGTGCAAGTGCAGCGCTGTGACGTGAGTCCGCGACTTTGCCAAAGCATCTCAACTGATGATGTATTTGCGTACCCTCTATTATGAACGGACATTTAACCGCCTTTTACGGAAATTTGAATTTTGTTGTCAACTGTACGAATTTGGTATAAACTATCGTGCAAAATGGAAACACATACTAAAGCATGGAACTTGAGAAATTGGTGGTTGATTGATAGCCAAGTCACTGTGAACTGAAAATCAACCAGGCCATTACTGTCATTGTTTGTCAGCTACAGAGGGGCGAAACACATATACAGGCAACTTCGCTAATAACGACTGCGGATATAACGACAATTCGCGAATAACGACAGAATTTCCATGCCCAGAGCAAAGTCCCATCTCACTGTGATGCATATAATGAGACTTCGGATATAACGACACTTCGCGAATAAGGACACCTTTTTGATGCCCCGCCGAGTGTCGTTATAAGCAAAGTTGACTGTACTGCAGAGTATTGCAAGACAAGCTGTACAAAGTGTTTCTTACATACCGTATTTCCTCGATTAATAGACCCGGTCTTTTGTTTTTTGAAGAGGGTTGGACCCCCGGTCTCTCATCGGCACATCGCTGGAAATCGTGGATTTTTAACACGTCATAATAATAATATTATGACGTGTATTATAGAAGTTCTTTATTATGACGTGTTAAAAATCCACTATTTCCATGATCCAGCGATGTGCCGATGAAAATATAGTGGACCGTGCTCAAATAATGAAAGAAAGCATTAGCCACTACAAAAATTGTAGTTGCGCAACCTAAAACCGCGTCCTTTTTTGATCCACCACGTGCTTTCTTAGTGCGCATGCGCAAAGCGATGCACTCAAATAAGAGACCGGGTGACCGGTCTCTTATTCGGGCATGGTCTACTATTTTTTCCGTGAGGCCTCTAGGAGGGTCTACTATTTGAGCATGGTCCATTAATCGAGGAAAGACGGGAGGTTGACTACAGTCCATTCATTGGAAACTGGCACCCTAACAATTTGGTGTCTCTCTCACATAGTTGTAGATATCGTGAAAACAACAGTACCTCCTGCATTGTGTGACCCGTGCAATTACTCCTTGCCACATTTGAGGCCAGAAAAGTCCAAGAACAGGGAAATAGAAATTCAGCCAGGTTTTAAAAAATTAGGACAGGTATGCCATGGCAAAATGTATGGAGAAGCAGATCCAAAACCCAGATTTTTGAGATTTAAAGTGGGGTTTTGATCCTCAATTTGGCCCAAATCCGACTTTCAAAAGCCAGCGGGCCAGTTTCCGATGAATGGACTGTAGTCACTACTGTAAAGCAGAAATTTTCGTTGCAGTATTTTTTCGGTATTCTTCAAAATTGGCGGTTCGGTGGGGGGAAAATTCTCAGCTAACTCGTTTTCCAGGCAAGCGTACTAGTAGTAGTACCGAAATATTCGTTGCGTTTTATTTTAGGTAAAATTGTCGGCACCGAAGTTACGTAAAATAAAACACCACCGAAAATTTCTGCTTTTACAGTATCTGCACAATGACAGTGGGTAAAATTGGTGAGATGAAGTGATTTGTGTGTGTTTGTGTGTGTTTGTGTGTGTTTGTGTGTGTTTGTGTGTGTTTGTGTGTGTTTGTGTGTGTTTGTGTGTGTTTGTGTGTGTTGTGTGTGTGTGTGTGTGTGTGTGTGTGTGTGTGTGTGTGTGTGTGTGTGTGTGTGTGTGTGTGTGTGTGTGTGTGTGTGTGTGTGTGTGTGTGTTGTAGTACGCGACCGAGTGACAAGGTAAAACTGGCTCAGTCTCTCCGACTCAACACACAAGTAGTATTCTCAGGGAACAATATTGCACTTAGTGATTGCATAGGAAAACTCAAGTGACTGTTTATTTCAAGACAACTGCGGAAAAGCAACTAGACAAGACGAATTCAAGACGAAGACTACTTCTTACACCACAGCAACACGCACATGCACCAACATAACGTACACACGACGTACACAAAATAACGTACAGATCGAGCAAAATAATGTACTATATACGGTATAGTAAGTCTATCGATATACGGTACATACGGTATGGTACGGTAGAAAGTCCGTCTACTACATGTGTGTTTGTGTGTGTGTGTTTGTGTGTGTGTGTGTGCACGTGTGTGTATGTGTGCGCGCATGCGTGTGTGTTCCCCTGTTTTGTACATGTAAAGCTCCGGATCGTTGCGGTATGATGATGCCATGCATGAATGGAGGAACTTGTACCAATGTACTCGGAGGCCATACATGTACCTGTACAGCAGATTACACTGGCTCCAATTGTGAAACTGCACTAGCCATGGATGAATGTGCCAGTGGTACGCACAACTGCAGTTCAAATGCTAATTGCTCTGACCTGCCAACTGGCTTTAGCTGTACTTGTATAACCGGCTATAGTGGAGATGGTTATTCATGCCAAGGTAGGTTACACTTATATCAGGTCGGTACTTTTTTGTAAACTGTATTTGCTCATCGCAACACAGGATTCTAGCCAGGTGAAAATAGTAGGGGGAGGGGGGGGGGAACAGTGAGTACTCGAAAACAGTAAATTTCCAACCCCGAACATCCTGTTATTTTCCTCTTCAGTTTCAGACGCCAACTCGCCCTTACCCACTACCTATAGTTATTTACCAGCTAGAATCCCGGTGCTTTGATGTAACGTTTATATGGTGAGCGAAATGCAGACTGATGCACATGGTTCGCAGGACTTATGGCCTCCACAGGACTTATGGCCTCCACAGGACTTATGGCCTCCACAGGACTTATGGCCTCCACAGGACTTATGGCCTCCACAGGACTTATGGCCTCCACAGGACTTATGGCCTCCACAGGACTTATGGCCTCCACAGGATTTATGGCCTCCACAGGACTTATGGCCTCCACAGGACTTATGGCCTCCACAGGACTTATGGCCTCCACAGGACTTATGGCCTCCACAGGACTTATGGCCTCCACAGGATTTATGGCCTCCACAGGATTTATGGCCTCCACAGGACTTATGGCCTCCACAGGACTTATGGCCTCCACAGGACTTATGGCCTCCACAGGACTTATGGCCTCCACAGGACTTATGGCCTCCACAGGATTTATGGCCTCCACAGGATTTATGGCCTCCACAGGACTTATGGCCTCCACAGGACTTATGGCCTCCACAGGATTTATGGCCTCCACAGGACTTATGGCCTCCACAGGACTTATGGCCTCCACAGGACTTATGGCCTCCACAGGACTTATGGCCTCCACAGCCGCATGCAGCAGCACTGTGACCATGAGCTAATCAAATTTGTTTGCGCCATTGCAAGTGTACATTGGTTCAGACTTCGTCTGCCAAAGCCATAGATGGGTTTGATACAGTACAGATGGATGGATGGATAGAGAGTGAGTGAGTGAGTGGGTGAGACAGGGAGAGAGGCAGAGAGAGAGAGAGATGGAACGGTAGGGAGAGAGGGAGAGAGAGAGAGAGAGAGAGAGAGAGAGAGAGAGAGAGAGAGAGAGAGAGAGAGAGAGAGAGAGAGAAAGGGAGAACAGTGTACATGCTTGTAGTCTAACACAATGACTCTTGAAATAATCACATGCATCTGTAGGTTATCACTGCAATCGTTTAGGCCAGCAGTATTATTTTATCACGCGGCTTGACTAGCAACTCTTCGACTGCTACCATATTTGTCTTGTATGCATTCATCACCTGTCTGTTTCACTTCATCCAATTGCAGATGTGAATGAGTGTTCAGCAGCTACACCGCCATGTCACCCACAGGCAAGCTGTAGCAATCAGATTGGTTCCTTTACCTGCACCTGCAATCCAGGGTACTCTGGATCGGGGACATCATGTTCCAGTAAGCTATTATGTACAAGTACTTGCATGAATGAGCCGTTGCACGTTGTACACATATGTACAGGGTACATGTATTCCGAGAATAATTTTATGCTGGTTTTCCGCAATGCTCAAGCCAGTGCCTTCCCTGCCGACTTGGCAATTGACTGACTCGCAACTGTAATCCAGAGGACACAAGAAGCCCAGTAAACTTTCAACTGAGCGATCCTGCAAGAAACCACCACCCGGCCTTGCCCAATACACGCTGTTTTGGGGAATTATTTACGCTTATGTACACGCTCCATTGCCAGCACAACAAATGCCACGCGGAGATTTCTTGGAGGTTTGCCGAGTTGAAGGTTTGAGCATATCACGAGCCAATGTCGCCACCACTAAATCATTGTGATGCTGTAACATGTGCAATCATGCACGCATGCGTGCTATGTTTGAATTCTTCTCTTTGTCCGTGCTCTGCAGACGTGGTTGAGTGTGACGGTGACCCGGCCCCATGCCATGTTACAGCTATATGTGTAGACAGTGTGGGTAGCTACAGCTGTCAGTGCAACACAGGGTACAGTGGAGATGGTGTCACTCAACCATGTGCAAGTAAGTCCGATGATGTGCACATGTTTACAACTGGCGACGAAACAGCCTCTGTGATAGGAAACCCCTTATTTCTGACTGGTTCTATCAGGGTCCCGATCATGCCATACCAGGCAAGTTGTCATACATCAATGGACTAACCAGTATGTGACCTGTAGCCTGTGGCGATTGACAAACACATGATTTACCGGACAACATCTTGGGACCTATACTACAGATTGACCATGAAATTTTTTTGTTCACATTGCAAAATCAAAGATTGAAGTGGTCATGTTTTAAAGCAGGATTACAAAGTAGTAGGTTGTGTTGATTGTCCTGTTGCAATGGAAACGAATGCAACGTAGCATGAGCGAAGGCACTGATACTTTTTTGCCGTATTTTCCTGGTCATGTGCTGTAACCTCCTTTTTTCAAGACTCTGTGTATCTGTGTGTTTTGAAGTGCACGTTGGTGATATAACTTCAAATATGTCACAGAGAAGAGTTTGACCATTTTTTTAGGAAATGAACTTTGCCTCCTACCCCAGAAAGAATCACAACCCAGCCTCGTGCTGGCTATACCTGGCATTGGATGCTCCAGGTTTGTTGTAAGGCGATATTGTGCAAGTATGCTAGAGATAAAGTCGCTCATCTGCTGTCCGCAGGGGCAACAAGATAGTGACCCACACCGGTGTGTTTGTGTGTTTGTTTGTTTGGCAGATGTGGATGAGTGCCTTGATGGCAGTCACAACTGCTCCAACTCGGCATCATGCACAGACAACGACGGTGCATTCGTGTGTGCATGTTTGCCTGGATATACTGGTGATGGCTTCGATTGCACAGGTCAGGCACACTACGGTTATCGCCTGTTTTTTTTCTTTCTTCTTCACCGAAGACGTGGTCATTCATCATATTCTGCTCACGTAACATAACTGGTGAAGCGTACCGGGATGTAGGCCAACTGCCTGGTTCACGGCATGCACGGGAACCAAAAATATTCAGATTATTTTGCCAATTTTGTTGTAAAAGCAATGTTTCACTGCCATGAGCTGATAACAAGCATGCAAAGAGTCTAGATCTCGTTACTGTGAGCTGGGAAAAAGCATGCACAGAGTTTAGATAGAACTGAACCACTCACCCCTGATGTTTCTTGTTGGCTACTAGCCGTAATGCGCGAATGCTCTAGATCAGGTATGTCCTGTTGCTAAGTTTCAGTTCTTTCCTCTTATCTCAACTGCCTGTGATTTGCAGATGTCAATGAATGCTTGCAGGGTGTATGCGACGCTAACGCTACCTGCATGAATATGCCGGGAACACACACTTGCATGTGTAATGTCGGATTCACCGGCAATGGATCAGCAGGACAATGTGCCAGTAAGTGCAGAACGTTTTGCTCTGGATGTATTGTGTGTGTGTGTGTGTTTGTGTGTGTGTGTCCCTCTCCCTTCCGCTGTAGCGACAGCAGTGGTGTTTGTAGTATTGGGGTTGGGGATGTGGTAGTCATCATTGTCGGTGGTGCCGCCGCTGCCTTTGTCATCCTTGTCCGTCCGTATGCATATCTGCATGCACGCGTTTGTCCTCGCACATATATGTACATGTACATAACCACTGTTGCGAGATTCGGTGGTGAAGTTGCTGGTCTAGTGTGGGTATAGGTTGTGCTCTTTGGGGGAGCTCTGTGTAAGTTCCAAGCTTTTTCTAGTATTTGTTAATAGTTTGCATGCAGAATTTCACGGTTAGAAGTTTCTCCCCTGAAATGTGCTTTCCACTTGTGTTCCTTCTACTCTTTTTTCTTCTCCAATTCTTCTTGTGATCGTCATCTTCACTATTAACTATCACCATCACTATCATCAACATCATCACCGCTGAAATGGTCATTCTTGCTCCTTGTGGTATTGCTGCTGCTGCTGCTGCTGCTGCTGCTGTTGACGATGATGCCAACGCTGCTGTCCATGCACGTTGTGATCTGATGTGACAGACATTGACGAGTGCCAAGCAGTACCATCACCGTGCAGTACCAATGGGATTTGCATGGACACACAGGGATCTTACACGTGCCAGTGTAAACCTGGCTATGTCGGTGATGGTGTTACATGCGACGGTAAGAGTCACTATCAATGGCTATTGGACTATCCAGTTTCCATTTTTCCATCACAATTGGAACTCCTAGCATAGAACACTAGGTAACGTTATCTCACTCCTGTGTAACACTTTTGTTGTGGTGATTGCAAATTGCTTTTCTGTTTCCAGATAGCAACGAGTGCAACACTGGAACCCATAACTGTGTTTCCACCGCTGAATGCTACAATAAGGCCGGCGGCTTTGGTTGTCGCTGCTTGCCAGGGTATCGAGGCACTGGAAATACAACCTGTTTCAGTAAGACCCCTAGTGTGAGAAACCACCTATTTGTCACGTAACAATTATTGTCGTTTTCAGCTATTTCCAATCCCAGTTTTGCAACTACATGTAATTCAATTCATTTCCCCTCAGCAACACAAGTTGGAGGTGCATTTTAACGAGCAGAAGGTGCACAGACACATTCACCTCAGAGTTACAAATACATGTACTACGCATCCTGAGATTTTGACTTCTGCCAATCTTCAGGCTATTCAGGCTTTCAGCCTTTTAGAGTTGGACTTTTCTTGTATCCTAGGCCTATGCCGAAGTCATCACATGGAGCAGTATGGTCAGGGCATGCACTGTGCAGTGCAATCCTGCACTTTTGTGCTGCATGCTTTTGCTCCAGAATAAGAAGTGCAGTAATTTGGTGTAATGCTGTGTAATTGTAGTGCCCACATCTACATACGCGCTGTGGCATTCCTTGGCCACCCCAGACATTCATGATAGTAGAACATCGTGTTATGTTATGCATCTAGCATGTGCCGTTTTCCCTGCGCGCGCATGAAACGGACTTCGTGGCTTTTAGTTGTGCATGAGTTGAGTCTGGAGTCTTGACTTCTTGTTTTGGACTGGAGAAATAAAGAATACTACAGTAATGTTGTGTTCTGTTTTGTTGTGCTGTGTAGTGTTGCTCATGCACTCTACCAGTGCTTCCAGTAGACTATAGCACAGCTTGTTGAACTGGACTTCCTGATTGTGACTCACTGACAAACACGGCATGTTCTGTGCTTGTATCGGTTTTGTGTGCCTCAGATGTTAATGAATGCCAACAGCCTCCGGGACCATTCGGCCCTGATCTGGACGGAACAAGCTACTTTTTTGATTTAACCTACTACCTACGTCAGCCTTTGTTAGCAAACGGCACACGCATTGATCAGCGGATACCGCTTTGCCATAGTCTGGCAACATGCGCGGATGTGCAGGGAAGCTTCACATGCACATGTAATTCAGGATATACTGGAACTGGCTACAACTGCAGTGGTGAGGATTAAAAATATGGAGTTGGCCCACATGTCATTCAAGATGATTCAAAAATTGGATTATTTTCTGCTTTCCTCAACGCACCAGTGTTCAGCAGCCTGTCTATTTCTCTGATCACATGCACCGAAACCTGAAGCAGAAATATCATGAAGCTGCTAAATTTAGTCATAATATTTCTGATGCACCGCCTGCCCTCGTCATCAAACATAGGAGGTGCATCAGCTCCCTTTGTGATCTACCGTATTTGCCGTCGTATAATGCGCACCTGTGTACAGTGCGCACCCCCCCCCTTTGAGTAATACTTTGGCTTTTCAAGGTATTACCGGAGTATAATGCGCAGTCTAGGTGTGAGAGCTTTATCGATCATAAAGACAGGATCAGTCTAGTGCGACCATTGTCAGAATTTATCATAAAACTATTAATGTGCACCGATGGGGTCTCGTACCCATCATGCATCCATCATGCATCGGCAGTGTAGCTGGCAGTAGGCACTAGTAATGCACCCATATGGCTAGCGCCGAGTCAGATGTGGCAAAAACATTTTCGCTACAGCTTGATGCATTGTACTTCTTTTTGAAGAACATACATTTTCGTGTTGGAGCATAGTGCACACCTGCAATTTGGAGCCTGAAATAGTACATCTAAAGTGCGCACTATACTCCGGCAAATACTGTACGTGTTGGCGTACATGCATGCACTTGATGGGTTTAAAAGGTATTTTCGGGATCTGAGCTTTGCCACGGTATAAGCTGCACCCACTCCTCCCCCCCCCCCCCCCGTTTTGGAGGCAAAATGTAAGTCCCGTGTGGATATGTTTGTAAATTTGGCCTGAGTATCTGATTTGGAAATGTATTTGCTTCTCTGTGCGTGTTTTGCCAGATATTGATGAATGCAGTTTAGACATTTGTGATGACCATGCTAGTTGCCAGAATTCGGTGCCAGGTCATACGTGTACTTGTGATTTTGGCTACACTGGCAATGGAATGACGTGCACAGGTGAGTGCTAGTGTGATGTGTTGGCACGGTGTGTATTTCTGTATGTGTGTGTGTGTGTGTGTGTGTGTGTGTGTGTATGTGTGTGTGTCTGTGTGTTTGTGTGTGTGTGTGTGTTTGTGTGTGTGTGTGTGTGTCTGTGTGTTTGTGTGTGTGTGTGTGTGTGTGTGTGTGTGTGCGTGCGTGCGTGTGTGCGCGTGCGCGCGCGCGCGTGCGCGTGCGCGCGTGCGCGTGCGCGCGTGCGCGTGCGCGCGTGCGCGTGCGCGCGTGTGCGTGTGTGTGTGTGCGTGTGCGTGTGTGTTTTGTGCCAGCTAGTCCGGTTGGTGGGTACACATATGCCAGATAGTATTGGGTCTGTTGCCAACAGGCTCGGCTACTTGAAGGTATATTGTTGTATCTGCCACCTTTGTTGGTTTCAATGTTCACATACTCTCTATTTGAAGTATACATACCTGTTAACCATGGACTGCTTCTGGCTAGATTAACTCTTGTGTTATCACTGGTGCTAGTGAAGCTTATATCAGATCCACTCTGATTTAGCCACCCACACTAGTAGCAAGTATTACCCTCACTGGGGGCAGGGTAACTGCAGTTAGATCCCGGAACGGATACCCTGATGCCGTCAATCCTTTTTCTGCACCTTGTCCTTACCCACTTACTGAGGTGTGGTGAGCCCATAGGTGGGATCATTTCCCAGTCCACCCAGAGTTTGGGGATTTCAGGGGTGTCGGCCGTTGGACTGTTCAATAGCCAATTGAGTCATCTTTCCAAGATTCCTTTTGAGTTCCTCTCTCCCCTTTCCCGGGGAGACCCACGTGACCAATTTCGGCAGTGAGCAAGTACAATGTGTCCGTGTGTGTGTGTGTGTGTGTGTGTGTGTGTGTGTGTGTGTGTGTCTGTACCTGGGCATGCGTCTGTGTTTGCTTCTTCAGAGATCACATGCCCGCTACCAATGGCACCAGCATTCGGTTCTTTCAAGCTGGACGGGTTCAACTACACAAATGCCATGCCCACTGACTCCGATTTCAAATACACCAGGACAGTCACATATTCCTGTAACGATGGACATCGCTTGGTTGGTTCGAACACGACACAATGTCAGCTATCAGGCACGGTCAGTACTGCTCCGCCGGTTTGCCAGAACGACAACGAATGTGCCACTGGCACTCATTCGTGCGATGCCAATGCACTGTGCATGGACCGGAACAGCACATTCTCCTGCCAGTGTATCGCCGGCTACACCGGAGCCGGAACTGTTGGCACCTGTCAGAGTAAGCAGTTTAGCTCTGCATATTGTTGGCTTTTAAAATCCTGTAGGACGTGTCACGTAGCTTCATACGTAACAATGTGGGTTGCGAGCAACACTGAATGTCGTTATACGGACGTTTTAGGTGTTACCCTGAGTTTCACAACACTAAGCCGATTGACAGGAGAGAACATGTCATTGAGAGCTCCGCACTCTGATACTGAGCCCCGTTGAAGGACAACAGCAACCTAGGTTTGTGCACACCATCGGCTTGCATCCTTTAAACACGTCCCGCTTGCGATGACCTGACTTCTTAGTGGATATCATGTCACATCCGACATTGTGATTTGCACAGTGTTCAGTGATCATTGGCCAGGAAATCATGGTTCTAGCCAAAGGAGGTGGGGGGGGGGGGCAATGCCCCCTCCCCCTACTCTAGTAGCGCACCACCCTACTCGTTCTTCGGCTTTTGTGGGGTTTTTTCAGTTCACACAACGAAATGCGGGCCCAAATCGATTGTTCCGGATGCTCGCTGTGCCCGAACGTTGCATTTTGTGTGACTAGGCAATAGCGGAACATGGAAAAAACGAGTGAACTGCGTGTTTCGCCTGCCCCCCCCCCCCCCTCCCTCCCTACAATTATTTTTGGCTAGAATCCTGGAAATGCAGGGGTATGGTTAGGACAAGTGCTGCAATTGAAACTGTCAGTGCCTGAAACGATATCCCGGTAAACTTGGACAGCTAAGATGTATTTTGAACAGTAAGACCAGATTGCCCACGGGGTCTTCTATTGTGACGTCATATACGGCGTGTGATGCGTCATTCCTGTGGTGTTGAAATGTTCTGTTGTTTTCAGATGTGAATGAGTGCTTGGGCACCCCTTTTCCGTGCAGTACCAATGCTTTCTGCAATGACACGACTGGCTCATATACTTGTTCATGCAACAGCGGATATTCCGGCAATGGCATCACTTGCATGGGTATGTGTACATGACTAGGAGCTTAGCAAGTAAATGTATAGTGTGCTGCTTGACTAGGTTGTGCGTTTGTGCTCGTATGCAAGCGCATGCACATGTGTGTGTGTGTGTGTGTGTGTGTGTGTGTGTGTGTGTGTGTGTGTGTGTGTGTGTGTGTGTGTGTGTGTGTGTGTGTGTGTGTGCATGTGTGTGTATGTGTGTGCATACATGTGTGTGTGTGTGTGTGTGTGTGTGTGTGTGTGTGTGTGTGTGCCACGGTGTGTGTGTGCACCCACACTAAGAATTTGGATGGTTTGACATGTTCTAATGCTGTCTCTCCAACCTGCACGTGTTTCTGCCGACTTCCGACTGTCCTATCGTGTGTAGATATTGATGAATGTGTTACTGGTGCTCACAAATGCCACGCGCAGGCAAGCTGTACGAACACGGATGGTGCGCACACGTGTGCTTGTGTCTCCGGCTTCACGGGCAATGGATCCACCTGCGTTGGTAAGCAAACTGTGCATTGTGTGTAGTCGTGTGGGTTATATAATAGTAATTGGAGCTTGGTAAGCAAACGGTGCATTGTGTTGGTCGTGTGGGTTTAGTAGCTGGAGCTCTTGCTGAGTGAAACCTTGGAGGGGTGTTTGCATGCTCATGAGTGCAAGAGCTGCAATATAGTACAGAACCACTACCAGAGTTGGGTAGCTCACTGTCTGGGGAATGATGTGTATATGCAGGTTGAACTGACCCATACTGCAGCAACATGAGAGAGAGGAGAGAAAAACAGAGAGATATTCGTTGCCAGTTCAGTAATCTGATTATCACAAAATGATACGTTTTAAACTGAAGCTGCCTGCATATTGTTTTATGTCCCCAAAATTCTCGGCTTATTGCATTCGTTTGCATACCCATCAGGCAGAAGTACAAAACTACATTGATTTTTCTCCATGCACTGAAGTGTCGTCTGGTAGCGGTGACACAAGCATGGTTAATCTGAGTAATAATGAGGTTCGAAATCTGGTGTGATAATGGTCTCACTTAGTACACACGACCCATGCAAATGCACACATGTGGACAGAAACTCACAGACGAATATGATGCTTTGTGCTTTTCTTATTTTCTAATTCCCGCTCTCTTCAGACGTAACGGACTGCACGCCAACCTCTTGTGGAACTGGAACATGTGTTGACGGCACCAATGATTTCACTTGCATGTGTCCACCAGGACTAACGGGTGCAAGATGCCAAACAGGCAAGTACTAACTAGCCACTTGGAGATAGGAGATGGCCACTGGAACCAGGGGAATGCTACAGTAAAACTTGGATAAGAAAATCTCCCACAGGACCGGAAAACGGATTTGCCTTGGTCCGAATCAAGAAAATGATGCAGGAAACCTATGCGAACAAATCACATTATCTTAATATAGAACCAGACAGAAATGCTAACTGAATCAATCAACAACGCTCCATTGAATCTGGGCGCAATGGATGTCTGTTCTGTGTATCATGTAGTGAACATTGCCCCAATGCTTCTGTCTGGGACGGAATTAATTTGATTCAAAAACAGTCCCCATGTATCGTTTTTGTCGTTAAAGGAATTTGAAACTTTAGCCACATTACATGCTGATAGTTTGGCCGCTGTCCTTGGACAAGGCTGTATTTACGGTGGCCGTGCGTGCAGTCGGCCGATGATGTCTTGGTTTGATACGGGTTTGTCTTGGACGGGCATTCACTCGTCGTCTCTTGTCAGTTGCTGACCATAATCGTTTTCACTGGCACTCTATTGCCTTACCCGTGTTCGCTTGCACCTGACGGCCTAATGCTTATATGGCCTAATGCTTATATGGCCTAATGCTTATATGGGCTAATGCTTATATGGGCTTAGGAGGACGACTATGGTGACCACTGCCTCAGTGGCATTTGCAAGTGCACCACAGTACGTCAGTTACCAATGTAGGGCAGGACGTGAAGGAGTTGTCACTGCATGTGCACTGGCCTAACACACAACATCCATGGATTGTATGTGTACTGGCCCCACACACAACATCCATGGATTGTATATTGTATGTATGCACTGCAGAAGCCAGGCTAGACGAACACAACCTGTTCAGGTACCATGCCCAAGCTGCATGCGTTGCTGAGTTTGTCTGATGTGCACTAGTAAAACAAACACATTGCTTGGTTCCGGACTTTCCACGTGGGTGTCAAGTTTGGGAAACCCGGCTTTAATTTGGCCTTGATTTCATTTAGACCTTCTCTAAAGTGATTATGTTGAGCTACTACAGGTAGACTCCCTCTAATTCGAATACGGTATAATTCGAACATTCCGTGTAATTCGAACTTTTCGTCGTACCGATCTTCTGCAAGTCACTTCAAGTCAAAATCGAATGCATAATTCGAAGTACGAAAAGTGCGCCGGTTGGATAATTCGAACCCAGTCTTCGTACAGAAGAGCTGTTTACAGTACATTGGCTATGTCCTTTGAACGCTTATTTCGAAGTGAGATTGAGTTGCTATCCTTGTAATTCGAAGTTCATTCTTTTCTCCTTCTCTAGCCAAGAGTAGCTCAAAAATCGATTGATGGTCCGCTGCAGGATCGACTATAGCTTTCAAGAAACCCACCTTCTCTCGAAATTTGATTCAAGCCCGTGCGAGGCAAATTGCAAAGGTTTGATTGAAGACGACTTCTTCCAGGTGGCTGACTCTCTTCGCGGATCTCGATGGCCTTTCTTACCGCGCCAGCTCGTGCGCGGAGATGTTGGCGCACAACAACACTATTGTCGTAAATATTGTCTATGCCTTTGCTCCACTTCCGTTCTTCAGAACGACGTACTGCTGTCCAACGGCCTTTCATGACGCGGATTAGGCAGCGCAGTTCTTTTCCGTTGAAATTGTTTCAGGAAAGCTGCAGTGACTGACAACTTCTTCACTAGAAGATGAAGATAATGTCAAAATGATTTTGTGTCGATCCAGTGTTTTGATGATCCGTTGTACATGACCCGTACCTATGTTTCGTTGATGCAAATAAAAATGTGCAAAAAATATTCAGCATGCGATTTCAAGCATTTTGAGATACATATCAGTGCATGGGGCTGCATTTGGATAGTTAGAAGTTTTGGATAATTCGAAGTTAGGGCCTGGCAATTTGAGGTTCGAATTAAAGGGAGTCTACCTGTACTGTGATAATTGCGTGGATGTGGCTCAGGCAGAGTCTGCAACTTCTGAGAATCCCCTGACTGCTTTGAAAGTATGTGATATGCTTTGAAAGTGGAATGTCCAAACTGCCGATGGACAGGTCGCTGTGTTATTAACACTGGGTGTGTCTGTCCGTGTGGGTGAAAACACATTTAAACTGCAGATGTGGATGAATGCGCCAGTGGAAGCCATAATTGTCACACACGGGCATTGTGTACGAATACGTTTGGTTTTTTTGCCTGCGCCTGCTTCGACGGCTATGCCGGAAATGGCCGAGACAACTGTACAGGTACGCTACTCATGCACTCTGTGTGTGTGTGTGTGTCTGTGTGGCTGTGAAAAAAATGAAAAATAGGGATTCACTGGCCAGAAAAAGCCACTTCAATCAGCTGTGTGGTGGATACCAGGCTAGAAAATGTGGCGGTCAATTCATCAGCCTTGCAAGCTGTTGAATGGTGTAATCCCAGCACAAGTTGCAATGTCTAACATAGCTGCTTGCTATCATCGCTTACACGATGGGCATGTCTGAGGTCTGAGGTGTCTGTGTGTGTGTGTGTGTGTGTGTGTGTGTGTGTGTGTGTGTGTGTGCGCGTGTGTGTGTGTGTGTGTGTGTGTGTGTGTGTGTGTGTGTGTACGTGCGAACATCACTTGTTATCATGCTTGCTGATCTACATCTGCATACACAGATAATTTTTCTATTGTTGTCAAAGTCTTAACTCAACTAAAAGTATGAAACTTGGATGCTGGGCCAATAATAAATAGAGAAAGGAAAGGAACGGTTACTTAATAACTCGTATCCATTTGTAACTTTCCGTTCTGAACTATCAGAGGTGGTTATAATCACACGCACCAGGTGATTCTGCAGTAGCAGCCAATGAGATGTGGAAATGATATTGGACACATTGCCCTGGGCTGGGCACAACAGCCTCGTGGTTGTGCGATGAGTGTCACGAAACGTTCATTGCTCTGTATCAGTGACTGATTTTGTATTCTGGTGGCCACAACATTTCTTTCGCCAGCTGTACTGGGACAGAGTTTGATTCTCGTCGCTTGAGTGCATTGTACAGTAATATGATCTGAGTAATGCCTCCAAGATGTAGTAAGTAGACTTGAGGCATGTCCTCATTTGAAGTGTGTGCAGCCAATGCTGTGGTCTGCTGCTATGATTGTTTAGAATGATAGTGCTAGCTGGTGTTAAACTTTGCTAGCTCATTGTTCACTGTACGTCTCCCTTGATGACCTGTGCAGATGTGAATGAGTGTCAGGCTGGCACTGATAACTGTGATTCCAACGCAAACTGTACCAACACCATGGGATCGTTTACCTGTGCCTGCAAAACTGGTTACCAAGGTGATGGAGTGTCATGTTCAGGTGAGTGACGGTTTTATCTTGCTGTGTTTGCATGCATACTAGCGTGCATGCTTGCGTGCATGCTAGTGTACGTGTTTGCGTGCATGCGTGTTTGCGTGCGTGCGTGTTTGCGTTCGTGTTTGCGTGCGTGTTTGCGTGCGTGTTTGATGGTGTTGAAAGGATCTCACCGGGTACTCGTTAGCTCCCTCGCCAGAAACTCGGCTTGTTTGCGTAGATAGCTTGCTTGCACTGCAAGTAGTGCAAGTAGTGAACTTTCCGTTATATCGAAAGTCACGCTTCGTCGTTTTGAAAGTTTTTTTCCCGCAATGCAGCGAAGAACGGGGCTACTTGCAATCTTTGCAAAACAGTCTATTCTTACAACGGCAGGTAAAAGGAAGGCGCAGAAAAGACATCTCGACACCGAAAACAGTATTTTAATTGTTCGCAGTGAAGCCAGTCGAAAGCAGCAGCAATCCCTACGCCAGCCGTGAAATTCTAACCAGCTGAATGAAAAAATCATCCTTGTCTTTGCCGGCCCCCAAATTTGGAGCGGTTGGGGACGATCATCAAGAATAGTCTTTGGCTTGGCCTAAAATTAAGATTAACCCATATTGAAGCATGTGCAGCCAATGCCGTGGTGTGCTGCTGTGATTGTTTAGAGTGATAAGGCTAGCTGGTGTTAAGCTTTGCTTGCTCATTGTTCACTGTACGTCTCCCCTTGATGACCTGTGCAGATGTGAATGAGTGTCAGGCTGGCACAGATAACTGTGATTCAAACGCAAACTGTACCAACACCATGGGATCGTTTACCTGTGCCTGCAAAACTGGTTACCAAGGTGATGGAGTGTCATGTTCAGGTGAGTGACGGTTTTATCTTTCTTTGTGTTAATGCGTGCTTGCGTGCGTGTGGTAGCGTGCGTGTTTGCATGCATGCTTGATAGTGTTGAAGGATCTCACCGGGTACTCGTTAGCTCGCTCGCCAGAAACTCGGCTCGTTTTCACATAGCGAGCACTGTGTAGGGCACAGCGTGCACATCGCAGTACAATGAATGCATCTAGTGAGCTCTCTGTCCAATCAAAAGTCACGCTTAGTCGTTTTGGAAGTTTTTTTCCGTGAAATGCATCGAAGAACGGGCCAACTTGCAATCTTTACAAACAGTCTATTCTGACAACAGCAGGTAAACGAAGGCGCAGAAAAGACATGTTGGCACCAGACGCCTGTCTGAAGTGAAGCCAGTCGCAAGCATGAGCAATCCCAGTGCCAGCAGTGAAATGCGAACCAGCTGGATCAAACCAATTTCCTTTGGTATCTCCGGCCCCCAAATTTGGGGTGGGTGGGGATGATCAGCAAGTATGTTCTTTCATTGCTCTGGCTTGGCCTGATATTGAGATTAACCCACATTGAAGCATGTGCAGCCAATGCCGTGGTCTGCTGCTGTGATTGTTTAAAGTGATATAGCTAAAAAATCGACGGGTTCGCGTACCGGGCAGGTCAAGAACAAGGAGTCGTACAACTCCCTGGTCAAGAATCACCTTTCCGCTTCCGTGGGACGCCACCACCCCTTGATCAGGCGTCAGATGCGGCTCCTAAACGGTGGGGTAGGATAGATCAGATTCACCAACCAGAGGCCAAAGGCCTAAATCCCATTTGCCACATCCATGTTTTACTCCTGCCAGGCCACGAGTGATATAGCTAGCTGGTGTTAAACTTTGCCAGCTCATTGTTCACTTTACGTCTCCCCTTGATGACCTGTGCAGATGTGAATGAGTGTCAGGCTGGCACTGATAACTGTGATTCCAACGCAAACTGTACCAACACCATGGGATCGTTTACCTGTGCCTGCAAAACTGGTTACCAAGGTGATGGAGTGTCATGTTCAGGTGAGTGACGGTTTTATCTTGCTGTGTTTGCATGCATACTAGCGTGCATGCTTGCGTGCATGCTAGTGTACGTGTTTGCGTGCATGCGTGTTTGCGTGCGTGCGTGTTTGCGTTCGTGTTTGCGTGCGTGTTTGCGTGCGTGTTTGATGGTGTTGAAAGGATCTCACCGGGTACTCGTTAGCTCCCTCGCCAGAAACTCGGCTTGTTTGCGTAGATAGCTTGCTTGCACTACAAGTAGTGCAAGTAGTGAACTTTCCGTTATATCGAAAGTCACGCTTCGTCGTTTTGAAAGTTTTTTTCCCGCAATGCAGCGAAGAACGGCAATCTTTGCAAAACAGTCTATTCTTACAACGGCAGGTAAAAGGAAGGCGCAGAAAAGACATCTCGACACCGAAAACAGTATTTTACTTGTTCGCAGTGAAGCCAGTCGAAAGCAGCAGCAATCCCTACGCCAGCCGTGAAATTCTAACCAGCTGAATGAAAAAATCATCCTTGTCTTTGCCGGCCCCCAAATTTGGAGCGGTTGGGGACGATCATCAAGAATAGTCACGGCTGTTCGCGCACGGACATCTAACAATATGGAGTCGTTCGGTGCGATTTACGTAACGCGGTACAAACCTCATGAATACGATGGGAGTTTGCGTTTTGGGATGAAACTCATGTCACTCTCCGTGTGGTTCCACGATTTCGCAAGTCAAACCAGGATTTATTATTTGAAAGCGCTCGAGCGAGATACTCAATATCCAGACAATTTGAGAGAGAAGGAAGGTAAAAGGAACTCCTGCCCTGGTCAACCAGCATCCTGACCTTTTCGAACCTCTCCAAGCTGTCCCTGGTAGTCTGGATATTGACGCACGCACTGATTTTCAGCTTCTCCTCGCCGGGATCACGGGTGCAACTTTCAAATTTGCCGATATGCACTCGAACAAACGCACAATTGGATCTACATCACAATTTCGGGGCTATCTGTGTGCTTGCTGCCTTTTTCAGCAATACCCCACATGTCTACTGGGCAGTTTCCACCAGGCCTCGGCCTCCTGGACTCAACAGCAACTCCAGCGCCATGCCATCTGTCCCCTGAATCGCATGAAAAGGTAGCTCAGCATCGAACGCACGGGACCTGAAGTTTGTGCACGGGACGTGATAAAACTTGGTGAAGATAGCCAGAAGATAGTCCTCTACCTGGGAAAACTGAAAGCTAGACTGGGAAAACTCCTGAAAGGGCTTCTTGACGCAGGCATGTCAACGATGAATCAAGGAACGAGCGAGAAAGAAGGCTTGACTTGTGCAACGCGGAACAAACTGTTCCTGAGACGAAGTTGGCCATGTGAGGTACCAGCGGAAAGCTAGTTTCAAGAGGAACACGGAATACCTGTTTTCCGGGTAAACCTGGCCTGGTAGCTTTCTAAATCGAGCGAAAACCACTGCGAAATCGGCTGCTGAGAATTTGAAAATTCAAATTTCCTTGCCGATCCAGCCCAATCGAGACTTTTGGCTGCCATCTTGTTAAATGTCCAAATTTCGCGAAAAAAAACAGCCGTGTAGTCTTTGGCTTGGCCTAAAATTAAGATTAACCCATATTGAAGCATGTGCAGCCAATGCCGTGGTGTGCTGCTGTGATTGTTTAGAGTGATAAGGCTAGCTGGTGTTAAGCTTTGCTTGCTCATTGTTCACTGTACGTCTCCCCTTGATGACCTGTGCAGATGTGAATGAGTGTCAGGCTGGCACAGATAACTGTGATTCAAACGCAAACTGTACCAACACCATGGGATCGTTTACCTGTGCCTGCAAAACTGGTTACCAAGGTGATGGAGTGTCATGTTCAGGTGAGTGACGGTTTTATCTTTCTTTGTGTTAATGCGTGCTTGCGTGCGTGTGGTAGCGTGCGTGTTTGCATGCATGCTTGATAGTGTTGAAGGATCTCACCGGGTACTCGTTAGCTCGCTCGCCAGAAACTCGGCTCGTTTTCACATAACGAGCACTGTGTAGGGCACAGCGTGCACATCGCAGTACAATGAATGCATCTAGTGAACTCTCTGTCCAATCAAAAGTCACGCTTAGTCGTTTTGGAAGTTTTTTTCCGTGAAATGCATCGAAGAACGGGCCAACTTGCAATCTTTACAAACAGTCTATTCTGACAACAGCAGGTAAACGAAGGCGCAGAAAAGACATGTTGGCACCAGACGCCTGTCTGAAGTGAAGCCAGTCGCAAGCATGAGCAATCCCAGTGCCAGCAGTGAAATGCGAACCAGCTGGATCAAACCAATTTCCTTTGGTATCTCCGGCCCCCAAATTTGGGGTGGGTGGGGATGATCAGCAAGTATGTTCTTTCATTGCTCTGGCTTGGCCTGATATTGAGATTAACCCACATTGAAGCATGTGCAGCCAATGCCGTGGTCTGCTGCTGTGATTGTTTAAAGTGATATAGCTAAAAAATCGACGGGTTCGCGTACCGGGCAGGTCAAGAACAAGGAGTCGTCCAACTCCCTGGTCAAGAATCACCTTTCCGCTTCCATGGGACGCCACCACCCCTTGATCAGGCGTCAGATGCGGCTCCTTAACGGTGGGGGAGGATAGATCAGATTTACCAACCAGAGGCCAAAGGCCTAAATCCCATTTGCCACATCCATGTTTTACTCCTGCCAGGCCACGAGTGATATAGCTAGCTGGTGTTAAACTTTGCCAGCTCATTGTTCACTTTACGTCTCCCCTTGATGACCTGTGCAGATGTGAATGAGTGTCAGGCTGGCACTGATAACTGTGATTCCAACGCAAACTGTACCAACACCATGGGATCGTTTACCTGTGCCTGCAAAACTGGTTACCAAGGTGATGGAGTGTCATGTTCAGGTGAGTGACGGTTTTACCTTGCTGTATGTGAATGCATGCTTGCGTGCATGCTTGCATGCGTGTCTGCGTGCGTGTCTGCGTGCGTGTTTGCGTGCGTGTTTGATAGTGTTGAAAGGATCTAATCGGATACTCGTTAGCCCGCTCGCCAGAAACTCGGCTCGTTTGTGGGGAGAGCTCGTTTGCACTAACCGTCAGCACCGTGTCCGGTGCAGCTTGCACATCACAGTACAGTCAGTGCATCTGGTAAAATCTTCGTCCGATCGAAAGTCTCGCTTAGTCGTTTTGAAAGTTTATTTCCCGCAATGCAGCAAAGAACAGGGGTACTTGCAACCTCTGCAAAACGGTCTATTCTTACAACGGCAGGTATGCGAAGGCGCAGAAAAGACATCTCGACACCAAACACTTGTTCGCAGCGAAGCAAGTCGAAACCAGCAGCAATCCCAGTACCAGCCGTGAAATTCGAAGCAGCTGAATCAAAAAATCATCTTGTTCCCGCCGGCCCGCAAATTTGGGGTGGTTGGGGACAATCATCAAGAATATTCCTTGGTGTGGCAGTGTGTGCAGCCAATGCCGTGGTCTGCTGCTGTGATTGTTTAGAGTGATAGGGCTAGCTAGTGTTAAACTTTGCTACCTCATTGTTGACTGTACGTCTCCCCTTGATGACCTGTGCAGATGTGAATGAGTGTCAGGCTGGCACTGATAACTGTGATTCCAACGCAAACTGTACCAACACCATGGGATCGTTTACCTGTACCTGCAAAACTGGTTACCAAGGTGATGGAGTGTCATGTTCAGGTAGGTAACGGTTTTACCTTGCTGTGTGTGCATGCTTGCGTGCATGCATGCTGGTGTGCGTGTTTGCGTGCGTGTTTGATAGTGTTGAAAGGGTCTCATCGTACTCGTTAGATTGCTCGCCAGAAACTCGGCTTGTTTGCACGGAGAGCTCGTTTGCACTAACGCGCTCCGTGTGCGATACTGCATGCACACCGCAGTACAGTCAGTGAATTTAGTGAACTCTCCGTCCGATCGAAAGTCACGATTAGTCTTTTAGGAAGTTTTTCTTGCAATGCAGCGAAGAACAGGGCTACTTGCAATCTTTGCAAAACCGTCTATCCTTACAACAGAAGGTAAACCAAGACGCAGAAAAAACATCTCAGCACCAAACACTTGTCCGAAGCGAAGACAGCCCATAGCAGCCGCAATTCCAGCGCAAGCCGTGAAATTCAAAGCAGCTGAATCAAATAATCATCTTCGTCCTCGCCGGCGCCCAAATTTGCGGCGGTTGGTGATGATCATCAAGAAAATTCTTTGGCTTGGCCTAATATTTAGATTAACCCATATCGAAGCATGTGCAGCCAGTGCCGTGGTCTGCTGCTGTGATTGTTCAGAGTGATAAAGCTAGCTGGTGTTAAACTTTGCTAGCTCATTGTTCACTTTACGTTTCCCCTTGATGACCTGTGCAGATGTGAATGAGTGTCAGGCTGGCACTGATAACTGTGATTCAAACGCAAACTGTACCAACACCATGGGATCGTTTACCTGTGCCTGCAAAACTGGTTACCAAGGTGATGGAGTGTCATGTTCAGGTAGGTAACAGTTTTACCTTGCTGTGTATGAATGTATGCATGCTTGTCTGCGTGCGTGTTTGCGTGCGTGTTAGCGTGTATGTTTGCATGCATGTTTGATAGTGTTGAAGGGATCTCACCGGGTACTCGTTAGCTCGCTGGCTAGAAACTCGGCTTGTTTGCACTAACGAGTGTAGGCTGCAGCGTGCACCTCGCAGTGCGTGCAGTGCATGTAGTGAACTCTCTGTCCGATCAAAAGTCACGCTTAGTCGCTTTGGAAGTTTTTTCCCGCAATGCAGCGAAGAACAGGGGTACTTGCAATCTGCAAAACGGTCTATTCTTACAATGGCAGGTATACGAAGGTGCAGAAAAGACATCTCGACACCAAACGCTTGTCCGAAGTGAAAAAGCATCCACAATCCCAGTGCAAGCCGTGAAATTCAAAGGAGCTGAATCAAAAAATCATCTTTGTCCCCGTCGGCCCCCAAGTTTGGGGTGGTTGGGGACGATCATCAAGAAAATTCTTTAGCGTGGCCAAATATTTAGATTAACCCACATTGCAGTGTGTGCAGCCAATGCTGTGGTCTGCTGCTGTGATTGTTTAGAATGATATAGCTAGCTGGTGTTAAACTTTACTAGCTCATTGTTCACTTTACGTCTCCCCTTGGTGACCCGTGCAGATGTGAATGAGTGTCAGGATGACACTGACAACTGTGATTCAAACGCAAATTGTACCAACACCATGGGATCGTTTACCTGTGCCTGCAAAACTGGTTACCAAGGTGATGGAGTGTCATGTTCAGGTAAGTAACGGTTTTACCTTGCTGTGTGAATGCGTGCTTGCGTGCGTGTTTGCATGCGTGTGTGCTTGCGTGCAAGCTTGCGCGCGTGCTTGTGTGCGTGTTTGCATGCGTGCGTACTTGCGTGCAAGCTTGCGCGAGTGCTTGTGTGCGTGTTTGCATGCATGTTAGCGTGCGTGTTAGCGTGTGTGTTTGCGTGCGTGTTTGCGTGTGTTAACGTGTGTGTTTGATATTGTTGAAAGGATCTCACCGGGTACTCGTTACCTCGCTCGCCAGAAGCTTGTCTCGCTTGTGCAGAGAGCTCGCTTGCACTAACAAGCAGCTGGATCAAAAAAATTATCTTTGTTCCCTCCGGCCCCCAAGTTTGGGGTGTGTGGGAACGATCCTCAAGTATATTCTTTGTAGTGCTGAAATGACTTTACCGATTACAGTACTCGGTAATCGATCAATAATGCCTCAACAATAACTAATCGTTCGTTGATTACTCGTTCGGGATTTTGAGTCCAACAAGTACTGACCTCCCCTCCCCCCCCCCCCCCACCCCTCCTTTGTGAAGTTTGAATCAGTTTTCGCCATGTGAATGTAGTTACCAGGGGTATGGTTCACGTACTGAGGTTCAATTGACTTCGAAACTGCCGTGTTTCGGAGCTACCTTTCACTGATTCGGATTTTGTTGGTATTGGGAAGACACAGCTTGTGGACACAGTAATTTTTCCCAAAATTCTAGCATTATTTGCTAACGATTATAATCAATGAATCGATCGCTAATCGACAGTTGAGAATCCACGATCGTTTCAGCCCTAATTCTTTGACTTGGCATTATATTTAGATTAACCCACATTGAAGCATGTGCAACCAATGCTGTGGTCTGCTGCTGTGATTGTTTAGAGTGATAAGGCTAGCTGGTGTTAAACTTTGCTAGCTCATTGTTCACTTTACGTCTCCCCTTGGTGACCTGTACAGATGTGAATGAGTGTCAGGCTGGCACTGATAACTGTGATTCAAACGCAAACTGTACCAACACCATGGGATCGTTTACCTGTACCTGCAAAACTGGTTACCAAGGTGATGGAGTGTCATGTTCAGGTAGGTCGGGATCACTCTAAACGCTGGAGCACTATGTGTACGCGGGTGAATCAAAATACGCACGGTAACTACACACAGGATACTGGTTTATACATGTCTTTTGCTTACGGCGACACGTGTTTGCACGTGCGCTCACTGTACCGATACAGATGCATCATTTCATTCACAGCAGCAGCCATGGCGTCTCCAACAGCCAATCATCTGACTGTGTGCAGTAGCTACTTATACATGATTGAACGTCTGGTACATACAGCCAGAGTATATGCAGCCTCACTGGATAGGTTAGCTATGCACATTGAATAAGTCGAGTATTGACTGATTGTATTTTGGTTTGCGTTGTCGTGTCTTCCAGACATCAATGAATGTGCCGGATCAGTTTGCGACGCTCAGGCCACTTGTACTAACACCAATGGCAGCTTCACGTGCGCATGCAATCTGGGCCACAGCGGAAACGGCTTTGCATGCCAAGGTACGGGCTGTACTAGTTTCTTGCCATGACACGCGCGGGGAGATGAACAGGTCTATGCTGGATGAACTATACTTTGGTTCCATAGACGTGAACTATTAAGTTGATTGCTCCTAACGCCGTCTACTCGTAATGTGCAGCTCATTTTCGGCGACTTGGCTGACATTCCAATGATTTTCCATACTCTTCATGAATTAATTCAATTCCAGGTTGCAAAATTTGAGTGAAATTGCTCATAGGCTATCACAGGCAGGCACAGTGGGTTGGTCTAAGACCATGATTGAGAAATGAGAGGCACCAGGTTCAAGTCCTGCTTGGAAGCGGAAGGATTTTTCCAACCGTGCTGCGACCCACAGTTAATTGGGAACTCGTGGCCTGGCATGAGTAAAACATGGATGTGGCAAATGGGTTTTAGGCCTTTGGCCTCTGGTTGGTGGATCTGATCTATCCTCCCCCACCGTTTAGGAGCCGCATCTGACGCCTGATCATGGGGTGGTGGCGTCCCACGGAAGCGGAAAGATGGTTCCTGACCAGGGAGTTGTACGACTCCTCGTTCTTGACCTGCCCGGTACGCGAACCCGTCGAATGTATTTTTATTTTTTTAATTACAGACTGACCCTTTCTGTGGCAGACAATTGTTTCATGCTGAAAATCGCGTGATTTTTGCTTACATTGCCTTGTAGAGATAACATGTATGCTACCGACAGCCCCCACCAATGGACAGTTCGTACTGGTGGGATTCGACACAGCCTATGGACCACCGACTGATGCGGATTTCACCTACAACAGCGTTGTTCAGTTCTCGTGCAACATTGGATACCGACTGGTGGGCGCTGTGAGCACCAGCTGCCAGCTTTCCGGCATGACAGATAACATGCCGCCAGTTTGTCAGAACGTGAACGAGTGTGCCAATCAGACACTGAATCGTTGCGACAGCAAAGCTCTGTGCATGGATGCAAACGGTACATTCAACTGCAGGTGCGTTGCTGGCTACCAGGGCAACGGCTTTGCTGGCAATTGCACAAGTAAGTGAAGTTGATCTTTGTTTCAAAATTGTCAAGTACACCTATTGACAAAGCCTGCAGTGCCATATAAGGAAATGAAAATATTTGCATTCGCACCGGATTGCTATCACTTATTGGCAGTGTGGTGACGAATGATGTGCATGACATTGTGTAGGCAGTACAGTACAGTACAGCACGTGTGTTTTGGTGTACACGAGTGCCTAAAATGTGACCAACGTGGTGGGGCAAGGATCACCTAGATCCTACTATAGGCTTGCTAATCCTTTGTCTCTGTCTCCGTTTTAATCTCCGGCCCTGTTTCTATCCCTGTCTTTGTCCCTGCTTCTATCCCTGTCTTTGTCTCTGTCTCTGTCCCTGGCTCTGTCCCTGTCTCTGTCTCTGTCTCTGCCTCTGTCTCTGCCTCTGTCTCTGTCTCTGTTTCTGTCTCTATCTCTTTCTATGTCTTTGTGTGTGAGTGTGCATGTGCGTATGTATTTCATCGTGTGTGTGTGTGTGTGTATGTGTATGTGTGTATGTATGTGTATGTTGCCCTACAGATATCAATGAGTGTACTGGGTCTCCATGTGATTCCAATGCTATGTGTAATGATACACTGGGCTCGTACACATGCGCATGCAACTCCGGGTATAGTGGAAATGGACAGACTTGCCTGGGTAAGATCCGCAATCCAGAGAAAAAAACCTGTTCAGATGTTTTTTTTTGCCACTACACGGTGACAGAGTGTCCTTAAGCTTGATGCATGATCTCTTTATTAAGAGGCTAGTATGACCGGAGGGGCTGGGGGAGGAGGGGGGGGGGGGGGGGTGATTACTGCACAGTATGATGGGGTGGGTGGAGCTGATAGCCACTCGCCGTGAATAGCCGGTGCCTGAAGACGATGGAAGAAATTATATGCAAGGAGCATGCTGCGAATGCTTGCCCTTATCAGTGGACTCAGCCACTCCATAACACGCACTCAGCTGATGTTCTCGGTTTGCTCAGCAGAACTAGACGTTGACTGTCCAGGCAGTGGATTTTCGGCACTTCAGAATCCCAGGGCATGTCCCACTTCTATGTAGGAAGTGGGCAAAGGTTTGGCCCCGTAGAACATTATTCCTGTACCTCGAAATTCATTATCGACTTCATCAGGGCTGCTGGGCTCTGTAGGGTCTGACAGTATCATAGTGCAAATGGAGTGGGTCCGCCGAGAGCGTGCTGTGGAGTGGTGGAGCCTACTCATCTTGTTACTGGTTTCTTTTTGAAGTACTCGTCCCGGTTTCGATCTACAATGAGCCGCTGACAAGTTCTGTTGCACTATCAACTGAGCTGACTAGTTCAGATTCATGCGGGTAAATTTGTATGTGCTTTTGTATGTGCTTTTGTATGTGGGTACACGTGCATGCATGTGTGGGATATGTGCACATTTACATGTATGTGTGTATGGGGGTGTATGTGGGTATATGCGGGTGTACGTTGTATATATGTACAGATGTGAATGAGTGTCAGGCTGGCACTGATAACTGTGATTCAAACGCAAACTGTACCAACACCATGGGATCGTTTACCTGTGCCTGCAAAACTGGTTACCAAGGTGATGGAGTGTCATGTTCAGGTAAGTGACACATCAGAAAGCTGTGCGGTGTAGACGAGGCTGAATTGTAGCGGTGTCACTTCTTCAGCCTTCCAGGCTGTTGAATGGTGCAATCCCAGCACATGTCGCTGTGGTCTCTGCTGTAGCATCGCTATCATTGTCTCCGGCAATGGGCATCAAAGGTCAAAGGTGTGTGTGTGTGTGTGTGTGTGTGTGTGTGTGTGTGTGTGTGTGTGTGTGTGTGTGTGTGTGTGCGTGTGCGTGCATGCAAGCATGCATGTGTTTGTTTGTGCAGGGTTGTATGGCAGGGTTGGATGGTTGTGTGGTATAATTATTTGTGTGCATGTGAATCCTATCAAATATTATAGAAAGGTTGTATTTGTTGCTGTGAATGGAAGTAGTCAATGCACAGGAACGTGAAATGAGAACTACTTGTTCACCTTTATTACTCTTCCCTTTGTGTGTACCTTACAACACTTTCAGATATCAATGAGTGTGCCGGACAAGTTTGTCATGGTCAGGGGACTTGCACAAACACTGTTGGCAGTTTTACATGCGCTTGTAATGCCGGATTCTCTGGAGACGGTTTCAACTGCCTAGGTATGTTGATATGGCCCCTCATCGGACCAGGTTATCTAACCTTGTAACTTGCTGATCAGCAGTCACACATCTGATGGCTATCATCTACTAAGCCAACTGTCAGGATTAGTTATGAACCATTCTCTCCCACACACATTCTCTCCTTCTGTCTCTCTCTCTTTATCTCTCTCTCTCTCTCTCTCTCTCTCTCTCTCTCTCTCTCTCTCTCTCTCTCTCTCTCTCTCTCTCTCTCTCTCTCTCTCTCCCTGCCTCCCTCCCTGCCTCCCTCCCTGCCTCCCTCCCTCCCTCCCTCCCGGCCTCCCTCCCTCCCTCCCTCCCTCTCTCTCTCTCTCTCTCTCTCTCTCTCTCTCTCTCTCTCTCTATCTATCTATCTATCTATCTATCTCTATCTCTCCCTTATATCTCTTTCTCTCTATCTCTCTCTCTCTCTCTCTCTCTCTCTCTCTCTCTCTCTCTCTCTCTCTCTCTCTCTCTCTCTCTATCTCTCTCTCTCTATCTCTCTCTTTCTCTCTCTCTCTCTCTCTCTCTCTCTCTCTCTCTCTCTCTCTCTATCTATCTATCTATCTCTCTCTATCTCTCTCTTTCTCTCTCTCTCTCTCTCTCTCTCTCTCTCTCTCTCTCTCTCTCACACTTTCACAATAATGGAAATTGGTCACCAATTGGTCACCAAAGACCATTGTGTCTTCTACTCAGACAAATCACACGAAAATGCCGGTACCGATTATACACTCAATCTGTTGGAAAAGAGCAAGCTGTGTTTTTTCTCCACGTAATCATTCTTCTATTGTGTCTGTTGCCTGTGTGCCTGCGTGCCTGCATTTCTGCCTGCCTGCCTGCCTGTGTGTGTGCCCGCGTGCCTGCCTGCGTGCCTGCCTGCATGTCTGTCTGTCTGTCTGTCTGTCTGTCTGTCTGTCTGTCTGTCTGTCTGTCTGTCTGTCTGTCTGTCTGTCTGTTTGGGAACAACACAGATGTGGATGAGTGTAGCAACGGAATGCATCAATGTTACGTAACAGCCAGCTGTATGAATATGCCAGGAACATACAACTGTGTATGTCCTGCGGGAGCTCTGGGCAATGGATATGACACATGTAAGGACTGCTCAAATTGTGTACTCCTCATCCATGCTGAACACTAGTACATGTAGCAGTTATGTGGTCATCATTTTTTGTCTTACATGTTCTCCAACCTTAAGAAGCCCGTGCTATTTGTCGGCCTCGGTTGCAAATAATTATTGGTTTCTTCATCCGAGGATGATGGACAGGTTTGCTGATGCCTTGCATGAAGTACATCGATACATGTGCATGTGACGTTACATGTGTGCATCGATACATGTGCATGTGACGTTACATGTGTGCATGGATTGTATCTGTGGAATATTGCCTTGGATGTGTACGCTTCTCGTTGGCTGAGAATTCGAAAGAAACAAGAAGCAATGTTCTCTCGAACTTCGAATATTTGCGAAGCTTGTTGTATTATTTTTTGTTGTGGCACGCAGTGCAGGTTGACGTCACTGTAGTGACGTAATCGTTGTTGAGCGAGTGCTGTGAAACAGTGCTTGCGCAAAAAGATTGTCCTTCTTTTTGTCTTGCTCATCAAGGGCCCGCCCACCCACCCTCTGTATATATATAATTGCTCTGATTGTGAATGCGGTGGTTTCCTTGCTGTATCTTTCTGCACTGCTGATTTTATAAGTTCTAGTTGCTTATTATTTTATTTATTTTATCTGGGTGGTCATTCTGCACTAACTGTTGCTGTACCATTTTGCCTCGAATTCTGGCAACTCTGTTTTCCCCTTGAAACATGGCAATGTGGCTGTCCGCAGCCGACCCTGCACTGTGGTTTTGCTGTTGCAAATGTGAGGTGTGAGAGAGAACATGTATGGCCCATAGCTTCTCTGCTAGAGGCCTCTAGGACACATGCTAGGCTGGGCAAGCTCCCCAGGCTTCTGGATGTTGCAGGCTATTCCACTGTTTAGTGTGTTGTATCTGCTGTGATTATATTCCTCTTTTTTTTTCATTCCATTAGGTACCTCCAGCTTTCTAAATTTAATTCCAAACCAAAATACCATACACATGGACTTGTACTGTTGTAGGCAAAAATGTTCCTCTGATTGTTTTTAGCTCTATAACACATGCCTTCCTGAAGTGTCCAGAATTGCTTTTTAACAAAATGTTTGGGTAAAGAATAATTTTGATGGTATAGCATTGATTTTCTGATGCACAATTCAATTACTGTTCTATTTTTATTGCTAGTAGTGTGTAAGCACGGTGTGCTATTCCTTGTACATGAAGGCTTTTGTGGGTGTTGTGTGTCCCATTTTAGGTGTGTTCAACCTCACTGTCCCAGTACAACCCACCGGCGGTGTCGATCAGCCCAGCTCCCTGACGTCAACGGCCATCCTGTACAGGTACAACACTGGCCTGACGTTATGGGAACCGGAATCTGTTAATCGCACTACTCAGGTCTATATCCACCATGTGCCACAAGACATTATCGTCCGATTCTTCATTGAATATCAATTCGCAGACGCGGTGGAAAGAGCGGTGGCGTTCAACACCCAGTACTCTGGAACAAGTGGTATGTACATGTACAAAGTGCTTCCGACTGCTAAACTGGCTTTGGTAGGCTTGCTTCGTTTTCCGATTGCGATTTGAAGGGATAATTCGAAGAAGAGGTTGTAGTGACTCTGGCGATACGTGAGGAATTTTGCGCTGCTCGCCACGTGGGAGCTCACGCCTTCCCTGCAACTTGAGGGAATAATTGTTCATAGAATTTTTGGTGTGTTACATCACTAGCAATAGATACCGTGTAGGATAGTGGCCGGGATAGTTTCCCTGTCACTCATCAACCATGTACCGAATACATTGTTTTACTAGAGCAAACTCTTTGTGTCGGATGCTTTGATTCTAAATATCAACAGACAGCAATCCCGCCCAGCCGGCACTTCCTTAGGCTTGCATGCTCAGTTGCTGCTATACCTGTAGGTGTTCCTGGCACACAGCTGCACCACACAGAGAAGTTCAGAAGCTCAATCCAATGTCATGAGGAATCACCTCACCTGCAGCCTGGGCTTAGAGACCATTTATCTATCTCCTGTTTCACAGCACCATGCCTTGAGTATATGTTCACAAGTATTATACCTACGTGGTAGATGTATGCCTGACCAGTGTAGGCCTATGTCTGCCTGACCAGTGTAGGCCTATGTCTGCCTGACCAGTGTAGGCCTATGTCTGCCTGACCAGTGTAGGCCTATGTCTGCCTGACCAGTGCAGGCCTATGTCTGCCTGACCAGTGTAGGCCCATGCCTAAAGGAAACCAGCTCTCAGCACATCGGTCGCGTACTACAGTACGGTTACTGAACAAGGACACTCCTTCGATAAGCATCCTTGTGCCTCTTCGCGAATCCTCTTTTTAAAGGATCCTCCCGAGGCAAAATATACCAAACAGGTCTGACTGCACATAAGTGTATCCAGGTGGCAAAACACAGCCCCATCAGCGCACAGTTATCTGGAAGCCAGGCTTGTATGGTTGTTGTTGGAGACTGAGCAAGCATAAAGGGCTCATGCCCAATTTCCATTCTGCTCACAACCACCCCACTGACTGCATGTGAAAAAAGTCCTGTGCATTCAGAAATCTAACACCTGCAGTGCATTGTATCTCATGCAGCTACATACTTGTGCCAGCCATGGTGTTGCTGTTGAAGCTATTCCTGGTTCTTTCTTTGGTTGTCAGATGTGCGGGCGGCTTTCAGCAGCTGGGCTCACCAATCCGTGAATGAGCAAATGCCTGCGATCAGAGCAATGCCGTCCGGAGGCCACTTCAATGTCTGGGTGACATTGCCAGTGGTTGACGCGGCGGTGACCGTACTTTATCAGCAATGGCGCGTGCAAACACGACCGTTGACAGACGCTTGTCAGAAAGCCGTTGGAGATACAGATGGAAGCGGAGATACAGATGGAACCGGAAGCGGAGATACAGATGGAAGCAAGTGCTCCTGGACAGAATACACAGCGGCAGCCAGCAACGTGAATATGACATTCATGCAACAGGCTGCTGGCATCTTTGAGATGCGTGTCTTCTTGTTCAGCGCAACTAGGACTTCTGAGTACTCGGTTCCAACTCTATACGGTGTGGCGCAGTGTAAGTCATCGTTGTAAGGCGTTATTTGGATAGGCTTCGGTATATGTAGGTTTTACTGCCGTCAGATATAGATGTTGTGATAAAGTTAAATCATAAATACATGTGACTTCACGTACCAGATGGTTTCCATTCTGTGCTCCAGTTTACGGCATAGGTCAAAGACAGCTAAGAGACTAGTGGACTTGGTCAGTGCTTGCCCAGTAAACGTTTGGGACTGGAAGACTCATGGTCATGCAGTATCTACCACAATCTGTCTATGACTACGTGTAGCAGAAGTAGAAATCTCTTAAAACGTGTCATCCAGCACACATACCGTGTAACAGAATCGGTTATCATATTGCTCGGACTAAATCAGCACAAGAGCAAGAACATCCGCGTTGTGTACATCTTTATGCTTACATGTCTTTATGTTCGCACATGCAGCTGATTGTCCGGCTGTTGGCAACGTGACGAATGGCAATGTCGCGGGTGGCGTTGGCCCCATCGAGCCCGGTCACACTCTAACGTTCAGCTGCAATCCCGGCTACGCGCTCATCGGGGCTAGTTCGATCACGTGCAGGCTAACGGGTACCTACACGGCCTCTCCGCCGATGTGCAACGGTAAGACCCAACACTTTCCTTCTCGGTGTCAGCATGTCGTGTATTGCAGATAGCGGGCATGCAGCGCAGCGCTGTCTTTAAGGGCCACCTACGTTATGCCCACCCAAGATTATGCCTGGACAGCTTCTGGCCTGACTAGAGATGCAATTGGGCTATACGGATAGGGGGTTTTCTGTATGCCATGGAGTGCTTGCTGAACATAGGTGCAGTAGAAGCCGTCGCAAGTGTCTGCTGTCACAAACACCCATAAGCATAAAGGACAACCTGTCTTCAGAGCTCACTTGTCATCAGAGCCCAACTGTCTTTACAGACCAGCTGTATTTTACAGAAAGGGCAAGCTTTGCAAGACTGTGCAGCACAGGTGCTGAAATTGCCATCTCTGACCTGCGGTGCATATATTTTTTTGTTAACACACAGACGTGGATGAGTGCCAGGCTGGCTCGCATGACTGTGCGTTTATCGGTGGTGTGTGTACAAACACTCCTGGTGGATTCACTTGCCATTGCAACACCATGTACTACAGCGGTGATGGCAGGCAGTGCACGCGTGAGTATAATTTGCTAAGGATTGGGAACGTTGCAGCCAAAGATACGTGCTTGAACAACTGACAGAGTGCACTCTTAACTGAGTGTTCTTCATGGCCATGCCATCTTGTATTGCCACGGGCTCAGTGCATTGTCAATTACTTGACCATCATTTCAACGAATCTCTTCATTAATGCAGTCTCCAACCCAAAAGGCAGGCTTATGCTGCCAAGATAAATCCATGATAAGCATACTTACCTGAAGCATACCATCTCCCTGGCCCTGATGGCTTCGTCTACTTTTGTGCTGACGTTGGATTAAGTGATAGGAAAGCACTATGAAGTGCATCGTGATCATAGTTGACCATTTTCTGATGGTTCAAGCAAAGAATCCCTCAGGTAAAACTCTTTTTGCCCGAGGATTGCAAAGCGTGAAACTTGAGTTGCAAGCCAAACCTCGCTCTGCCTTGTGGTGTTATTGAGCACTGTCTGGACAAGGAAAACTTCCACTGTGTAATGATGGGTTACATTCATCTCAATAGCACGTCTGTAGCTCCGATGGCAAGTACGTTGCTTGTATTTGCTTTCTTTGCTTTCTTTGCAGCGCATGCTCCTATTGCTGCTGTGAGCCGACGGGGAGCTACATCCCTTCAATTTGAGCTCTTTCCACAGAGGTCTATCCTCAACCCTATGTTTTGTGGCCAGCTAGACTCCGTGCCGGATGTAACCCGTCCATGGGGCCTTCCTGCCCCGATTGCCATTTGTAGAGTAACCGCCTTACTTGACTTCACAGGCCTGCAGGAATACACAAACTATACTTTTGCAGGATACTTCGTCATTGACAACATCTCTACATCGGCCACATCTGTTGCTGTCACTGCTGAAACACTGGAGGCCGGTAGGTCTGGGGGATTGAGTGTGATTGAATGCTACAGCATTTGTGTCTGTGTGTGTGCGTGCGTGTGTGTGTGTGTGTGTCAATATATGTGTGTGTGTATGTGCGTGTATGTGTGTGTCTATATATGTGTGTGTGTGCCTATATGTGTGTGTGTGTGTGTGTGTGTGTGTGTGTGTGTGTGTGTGCCTGTGTGTGTATGTGTGCATGTACGTGAGTGTGTATGCGTGTATGCGTGTGTGTACCTGTACTGTCGTGGACATGGAAATCCGGTCGCACGTCTAGCGGCCCCAGGGCGCTAGCCATGCAGCCGTGGGTAAGCAGTACACACATGCATTACATGACATTGTACAATTATGTTCATGTATTATGCGCTGCAGCGCACTGGTCGCATGAGATCAACGTGTGCACAACGTTCTGTAGGCGCTGAGGGCGCCGGCCCCGGTCAATCGACCGGATTTCCATGTCCACGGCAGTACGCGCTTGCATATGTGTGCGTGTGATGCATATCGCCGTAGCATGATGTGCAAAGTGCAGATTCATGTGAATCCCTGAGCCAACACTACATGTATGCAATGTACTATGCATATATGGGCCGCAATCAGCTAAAACATGTCTTTGGGGTTTCGTAAAAAAAGGTTGAGAAATGAGTCAAATGACGGAATGAAAAACCGTTTTGTCGAGCGCGTTCAAGCTGTGCTTCATTCATGAACCGGTGGCGATCATCTTCTCACATTTTGTTCAAGCACTTGTTTGGCGGTGTAGTTCAAGAAGTTGGCGAG